TGCGAAGTCGGTCTTATTTGCGGTATTAGGTATAGGCCGAATCGAGATAGCCGAAAGAATGAGGAGGCGAGTGGTTATTTTTAAGTGGTTCTCAGACCCACCTGCACTGCGCACTCTTCGCTTTTACGCCCTTCCTGCATGTCACGGCCCCAGTGCATACTCGAGAGCCATTTTGGGTCGCAGCCACATAACGTAAAAGGGGACATTAGACGGTGTAACTTGCAAGGAAATAAGTTGCGAGAGAAGGATGTACCAAGAAACATAATTTTGTGGTGTTGTGTATTTTTTGTTTTTGGCGACTTAGGCGAATTTTAGCTTAGTATCCCAGAACAGAACTGTCATGCATCGGCCGCAGACTTCCGCTGCATGAATCGGGCGTAACCGTCGTGACCCGCGCATACGACGAACTGGGTCATGTCATGAAATACGATAGAAGCAAAAGTATAGAGAACGGTTCTGTTATAGTTGCTACAGACGTAGTGGCTTCCACCAGTTTTATGGGCTATTTTATGGGCTATTCTACTCTCCTACCATAACTCAGAAGTCCGACATGAAACGGCTGAGATTGGTGCAGTACATAGGTCCAGAATATACTTTCACAACAAGAATGCAACCGCTACGGCAATTCCAGCCAAGCCAGTTCCGTATGAAGTAGCACCAAATCCGCTATCCTTGGAAGAAGATTTGGAAGTTGGTTGAGCACTTGAAGTCGAGTTGCGGGAACCAGCTCCAGCTCCAGCTCCAGCTGCGGAACTGGCCTTGGAACTAGCACCTGTGCTGCTCTTGGATCCAGATCCAGAGCCTCCAGAGCTGTGTGCACTGGTTATGGAACCAGAAGCAGCACTTGAAGCTTTGCTGGAAGCAGCACTAGAAGCATTACTGGAAGCACCAGCAGAACTAGAAGCACCAGCAACTTTACTTGAAGCACCAGATGCCTTGCTAGACACACCAGAAGCTTTCGAAGCTTGACTGGATGCCCCAGAAGAAGCTGCAGTAGCGGCACCGCCAGCACCAGCACCAGTTTTGGAGCCAGTTTTGGAGCCAGCAGATGCACTTGTAGATGCACCTCTTGCTGAAGACGCAGTGGTTGCAGCAGCAGCTGCAGTAGCAGAACCTGAGTTTGCTGACGATTTTGCGGCATTGCCAATTGCACCACTTCCACTGGGAGAAGTGCCCAGTCCAGAACCGCTAACCAGAAGCACCACCTGTGATCCTCCGTCACAGAAGAATGTTTGCAACGTATAGCCGTTGCCACTAGGACAAGCGTAGAACTTTCTTCTGTCGTCGGCACTATTGAAACGAACCTCATTGTTCTCAATACCCCAATCTTTACTGGCTTGATCATGATCAGAAACCAACACAATTCCCTCAGGAGTATTGGCCACATATTGACCTTGAACCGTCATGAAACCACTTGGTTCTTGCAAATTGAACAGTGCTCTATTGCCCTTGTTGACAGTTATCTTGCCATTGTCATAAGTAACAGGACCATTGACAGAGCCACCTTGAGCCACGGCCTGAAAGATCTGGTCAGCAGAGACACAGGCTGCTAATGCAAGAAAAAGTTGAATCGAGAGCATTTTTTTATTTTGCAAATCTTTATTTAGGTTTAAGTTTGAAATTTCGCGCAGCTATGGCAACTCGCGCTATTTATGTCGAACCCGCCGACCGCTTAACCGCTGAGCCGCATACACGTCAATTGGTCAGTTCCTGTATGTGGAATGCCAAGTGCAACTTCTTAAAATAGGCATGACTCCACAGCCACGAAAATACCTCAGACATTCCACACAAGCCACCAGTATTTTTGTCATCTGTGAATGGTGGCTTGGCTCTTGTCTCGTTCTTGTATTGGCCCTTTTCGGTGCACTAATACCTTCCCTGCAATTGTGCCCTGGCCCAAAAGAACATAAATCGTGCAGGGTCTCTTACGTAATTGTGCGCGATCGCGCATTGTCGATGGCACGGCTCAACTGTGGAGGCAGAACACCTGAAACAAAGGCACGATTATGAGCGTGGTTAATGTTTGAAATGGCTAATCCTCAATTGTTCGTGTGCATTTGCATTAGTAGGCCTGCATCTATATTAAGCTATTTTAAGAATGCTATTAACGATGAGTTTAACGAATCTCACTACCAAAGATGATTGTAAAAAACTTTTCGTGCCACTTGAGCTTGACATTGCCGTTGGAGTCAACCAGTCTCGTTTTCTGCCAATTTGATTATAAAACTGTTGCTCGTGTAATTCCACCTCTTTTTAAACCTGTTACGAGGTCCACGAGTTTGGGGTCGCGCCATTTGGTTCTTCTTATCAATTTCCAAGAAACAAAAATAGCAATATTGATGAAAATGAACAAGTACGAAAACAAGAATGACTTGATGTCCCATGCTCCCGGCAAGAAAACAGGGGTAAGAACTGACGAAAATCATTACAAATGCTGATACTCCCACCAAAGATTCCAAGCCAAGGTTGGTACCACGGTTTTGAACGGAAGTGTATCTCTGTCAATGCCCTGAGCTTGTAATGCTCTGTAGAAAGAAACGTAGACAACACAAAGAATCGTAAAGTTCATCAATTGACACGAAGTGATGATATTGATAATCCAGTCAAGAACAACCTTGGACAGCTCTCCCAATTGCAAGAAAGAAAGCAATGCCCACAAGAGAGAGATGATGACACAGTACATAGGGATACCTGTTTTCGTGGTAGCTGTCAAAATTTTGGGTGCATATCCATCAAGGGCCACACCATATAATGTTCTTGATGAGCAATAAGTATACGAATTACCAGCAGAAAAAGCTGCTGTAACCAACAATCCGTTCATGATATGAGGAAGGACCTTGATTTTCAAGTTGCTCATGGCAATAACGTAAGGCGAACCTCCAGCTCCTGGGGCACTTCCACCCATGGTGCTCACCAATTGAGGATCGTTATAAGGAATTAAAACTCCTACACAGAGAGAACCTCCAATAAAAAAGATGGATAATCTGATGAAAACCTGCTTGAAGGCCGAGGGTAACGTTTTGCGAGGATTAATGGTTTCAGATGCAACCGTAGCAATATACTCGGGACCGGCAAACGTAAAACAGGCTTGGATTAAACATGCGAGAAATCCTTCAAATCGACCAAGATCTCCAGTAGCAATCCATTCATTCATGGGGCCGGGGTTTTTCCAGTAGCGGAACCCAAACGCATCGTGTTGCGGGTTTCCACCTACCATGGTGACAAAGGTGAAAATTATCAAACCAGTTGCCAAAATAACTTTTCCCAACGAGAGCCAGAATTCGGTTTCTCCATAGATAGCCACGCCAAAGACATTTATAAGAAAGTACAACGCCATCTGGATGGCTAGCGGGATTGCAGCCGAGTAGTCATCACGCCAAAAATGGATAATAGAGTTGACTGTTACCACTTCGAATGGAATTTGGGCACAACACAAGAACCAGAAATTCCAAGCGGTGGTGATTTCAAGTGCTTCGTCACAACACCGGCCCGCCAATCTCACAAAGGGAGAAGTAATGGGTAAATATGTCACCATTTCAGCCGTAGACATGGTAATACACAAGATGGGAATTGACCAGACCACGAACGCCAAGAACAAATTCAAAGGTCCACCTTTTGCTAACGCCTTACCGATGGCTACGAACAACGCCAGGCCAATTGTGGCACCAATTCCTAATAATTGGACATGTCTGCCTCTCAAAGACCGATGTAAAGCATTGCCAGAGTCAGCCGTAGAACTGGTAATTCCACTATAAACCGAACCGGTATCCTTCTCCTTGTCACCTTGCAACTGTTCTTGGCCACTGGGCACGAGCTGAACCACCCCTGAATCCGTGGCGTCGTTGGAAGTGGAGGGTTTGGGAATATGGGGCACAAAATTATCGTGAAGAAATGAAACAAATGTCATAATGAATGTTATAATAAATTAAGCATGCAATGAGGGCCCTCGGTGAAAGAGCGAAAAGTGGCTAGCGTCCAGAATTTCAATCAATTAATTTTGTAGAAATGTTAAGCCCTATAAATATTTTCAAAGAAATCAAAACCTGACAGTGAGAAAAAAAAAATCAGAAAAAAAAAATTCGGGGCGAATGAAAAATTGTGGGGGAACACCCTAAACCGGAAAATTACGACGGCGAAAAATATTTCTCATGTACCAGTGACCGTGGCTCCAAAACAAGCCCCAATATCATATATTTGTAAACTTTGACCTGTAAACTTTTACGGTATAGACTTCGACTCGAAAACGTTATATCATCTGGGGCGCTAATATGACGTAATCGGACCACCGGCACCGCTATTGGTGGGCGATTGGTGGACTGCGCCAAAGTTGGCGTGGTGATTACATAAGTAGACATAATAATTATCTTGGCAAAAAATGAATTTGCACCCAGAAACAAAGTGTCGTATATTTCGATAAACAACTTTTGATTACATTTTGGTTTGCTATTCTAGCAGAACATCATTCCCAATGCAACAGCAAAGGCTCCCAAGGTAAATCCGGCGGAATTGGTAGAAGCGCCATTGGTTTCTGAAACAGACTCAGTAGAGGTGGAGTTGTTATTTGAACCTTTATTTTCTTGCGTAATATTGGCACATGCAATTCTCGAGTTGTTCAGGAAGTGGACCACCACAGATCTTCCTCCAATGAAGGCTGGACTATCAGAATTCAATGAAAGGTACTCGTCAATGTAGGTAATGTCATCGGAAGGAGCAGTAAGGTTTCCGTGTCTACGAGCCAAATCTCCCACCTCGGTATCGTCGAGGGTTGTTGCTGTAGAGCTGCCATTGTAGGGGTTCAAGTGCAATTTTGTGCCCATACAGTCACCATTGGAAGGTACTGGGAGCTCATGAACGTGGTATGGAAATGGGCCTCCAGTTTCTGGAAGTCCTTCCAATTTAACAGAGACAGAAACACTTCCATTGCTGGTTCCAGCAAACTCAACTTGTCCTTGAAGCTTGTTGTCAAACTTAGCAACGTATTTGGCACCTTCTGGCGAGTCGTTGGCTTTTTGCAACTTTGCGAAAGCTGCGGTTGCGAAAAATACACCTGAGAGTATTTGGTTGAAATGAACCATAATTTTGTCTACCACAAACAAAAATGGTACCCCGAACTTATATACTACAGCCGGACCGAAACGGGCCCGGGAATCAAAATTTCCAATTGAAAACAGCAATTGAAACAATAGGCAGTTGCAGCGACATGCATGAGGTGTTGCATAGAGATTTTCGAGATAACTCCAAAAGGAAACTATAGCCACGAGTGCCGGGTAAATTGTCGTTTAACGCCCAATGCCGGCGCCAAAACCGACTATATTCTTGTTACATTGGGAAGAGTAACCTGCACGTGTAAAAATTGCCCCTGAGCCAAAAAAACAATTATATTTTATGACATTTGGCTAACATTTGCACCATCATGAAATAGTGCGAAATCGATGGCCTTTTATAGACCTTGCAGATCTAAGATTTTGGTACAATTATTGCTCAATCTGTGAGAAAACTGCTCAAAATTGCTCAAATTTGCTCGTGTTTTTCAGTGCAACTGCAATTGATCTAAATGCTCGTTACTATGAGCCCCGTTCTCCGCTTTTGCGAGACCGGCATTAACTGGTGCATTGGATGAACTTGGTTCATTTTTTTGGTGTACTAATTTTTGGCGGGCTGGTTTGTTTCCTGCAGTACGATCCTCATGTGATTCTGAAAACCAGCTGCAAACGAGCAACCATGTATATCCCACTTTTAGGAAGAATATCAATATTGGAATGGCCGGTGATTATTATATCGTTTATTCTATCATGGCTCGAGTATGTCGTATCCACAATTACAAACATTCTTCCTCGAGAAGTGATCGATTTTTTTACAGCTACCGTTTCGTTGTTATATAAATTGACACCAAATCCCATAACTTTAATACTGTCTTCCCAAAAAGAATCGAGAGATGGTCAGGTATCATACAAATACTTCTATAAGCGTGCACCTGCGGTCCATAAAGGAGAACATGAACGAATGGTGGATATTCTTAATGCTGCGGACGTGCAAGAAATGTGTCAAATCCATGGTTATGACGTGGAAAACCGCATAGTTCGTACGAAGGATGACTACTTGTTGACCATCCAGCGGATAATCAAACCTGGGGAGCCCAAAAGAAGGTCGAATGGAAGGGTGGTATACTTCCACCATGGACTATTAATGAGCTGTGAAGTATGGGTTACCATGGTTCAGACCCACCAAAACTTGCCGTTTTTGCTTTATGATTTGGGGTATGATGTGTGGTTGGGCAACAATCGAGGAAACAAGTATTGTCAGAAACATTTAATTTTCCCCATCAAATCGGAACGATTCTGGAATTTTTCCATCGATGAATTTGCCATGTTCGATATTCCCAATTCCATCGACTACATCCTCAACGAGACAGGTGCAAAGACCCTCACGTATATTGGCTTCTCTCAGGGAACAGCCCAAGCTTTTGCTGCCGTTTCGATCAACCCAGATTTGAACAAGAAAGTGGAACAAATCATTGCAATATCCCCTGCTACAACACCACATGGCCTCTATTCACGGTTCCTTGATATCCTCCTCAAATCGTCACCAAATATTGTGTATCTCTTGTTTTCAAGAAAAACGCTTATGCCATCAGTATTCTTTTGGCAACAAATCATGTATCCGCCATTTTTTGACACAATGATCGACATATCCAACTATATCTTGTTCAACTGGAGGGCACATAACATTACCAAGCTTCAAAAGCTCTGTTCTTACGCACACTTGTACTCGACAACTTCGGTGAAAACTGTGGTTCATTGGTTCCAAATCATCGGCTCAAAGAAATTTCACATGTACCGAGACAACGCATCGACAATTGGCGGATCCACCTCGATAACGTACCCGCTCAAAAGCATAAAAATACCGATTCATTTGATATACGGAACCACAGATTCACTAGTCGATATCGATGTGATGTTGAGCCAGCTTCCCAATGAAAATACCACTGCGCAGCCCGTAGAAAACCACGAACATTTGGACAACATATGGGGTTACGATGTCAAGCAAAAAGTGTTTACTCATGTTTTGAATTACCTTGACGAGGCTTTACACGCATCACCTCCACTGCCCGTAGAACGTATTGAGCAGTCGTATTTAAAGGCAATTGGAAGTGGAGATGAATCTTCTACGCTTCACAATGATATCAAAGAGGTGGAATTGAGCTACCGAAAGCCGTCTGCGAGTGGATCATTGTTTCTTTAGAAGTCGGTGGTAATTATTAGTCAACTGCAAGCTAAAGTAAAATTGTCTTAGCTGAAATATTATTGACATTTTCAGCTGAACTGCAATTTTCTAACCTGCAGTTTCTGAATCACCATTGCCTATACGATCGACACTTGTTTGATATCCTAGTCTTATTGTCCCATTTGTTCATTCTGGGACCTGTGTGCGCGAATCAATTGCAGCACGAAAAAATGTTGCAACCTTCTTACCTAATCAGGAAACCCCTGACGTTGCCACAGTAAAGGGACCAGTTTTATAGAACTTCAGTTTTGGATCATGTATTAGTTGTACCCTATACCTTGCAATGCAGATGTAAGAAGATGTGGTCTATCTCCAACGGCCGTTCCCGTTTCCTGCGTGCGCCGCAGCCTCATGTACGATGGGCGTGCGGCCACCGTTTACGGCAAGATTGTATTCGGTAGCGGCAAACTGCAAATCCTGCTTTTCACCACAATGGCTAGTGAATCAAGGGTAAGTAATGGAACTGGAGGCGATGAAACTCTGCAGCTAAGAGACTGGATTTTTGATCATTTTGCATTCAGCAAATAGAAATTTAAATAACCACATGTTTATGGTGGTGAAACAAGTCCAGTAGTTTCCACAGTTAAACAATACTAACTTTAGATGAGCCTTGAACGAGGACTGTTTTCACAATATCTGCCACATAGTAAGTACCAGCGTGTTTTTCCATGCATTTTCCCATGTTTTTAACAGCTTCTAACTAGATCTTATAAACCGTCTTCACGACTCGCAACCGCCAACTTCGGGCGGTACAAATTACATTTCCGCAAGAAATGACCCCATATACTCCGAGCTCCAGAAGCTTACACATCAACCCCAACCGCAAACAATTCCTCGGTCACAACAATCTTCGATTAATCACTATTCCAACCAAATACGAATGGTTCTCGACCACTTGATGAGTAAAGATTTTGTCGACGACAGTGCAAGAGCCATGTTGGAAAGCCGACTACTCAATCTTACCAGCTACATTCCTGTGAGGTCTGAGAGCCTCCGTCAGGGTCAAATGTTTTATCCTAACGAACGGTTATCGAAGGTTCTCATTGACAATTATACCTCGTTGGTCACATTTGCATCGTCTTACTTCAATCTCTCGCTTGCATCTCATATAACTCGGTACTTGGTAGACCTCATCTATGCCCTCGAGTACTGGGAATTATATCATTTGCTATATTTCATTCCCAATTTGGACTATTTCTTCAAGCTTATAGGCATCGATGTTATCACCACTCCCTTTGGTCCATTGGTACGGCCTCCAGAAACATACTGCTCCGATACCATGTCACAGGGCTTTGAGTACCCGTTCCCTTATCCTTTTTACAACTATTCATTCCATTCCTTCGATCCATCTGCTTCGCAAAAAAAGCAGAGTGCAATCCACATCACACCGTATGTTGATATAACCCTCACACACGACGAAGAAAGAAACTCCCAGGCGAGAGGCAGAGCAAAGTTGGATATGGCTCGAGGAGAGCAGATCCGCAAGCAAATTGATCGTGGTAGTAAGGAAAAACACAATACGGCTGAGTCAACCGAGTCCAGCGAAGATAACCAAGAAGATGATGATGATGACGACGACGATGACGACGATGACGAAGATGAAGATGAAGATGATGACGATGATTCTATGGACGCTGGTGATGATTACAGAGGCCCTTACAACGGAGAACATGGGTTTAGTGACCATGTAAACTACGATCAGGCGCTGAACCGAATCATGGTGAAAAACGAAGCGGGACAACAGAGCTTTGCCATCATACCTATCGATGGGCGGAATTTTGGCGGTGACAAGAAGACAAAGAACAAGTCAGGAGTGATTCATCAATGCCACTTGATTGACCCACAAAGCAACCAGACATGCCTCAAAATATTCTACGGTAAAAACGAACTTTTGCGCCATCAAGAATTTGTGCATGCCACCAAAAAGAAGATATACAAATGTATCTACTGCAGTCAGAACAACAACAAGGTGCAAAGCTATCCTCGGCATGATTCGTTGGCGAGACATATACGACGGAAGCATGGCATTACAGGCCGTGATAATAAGATGGCTGTCAACTATGCTAAAGCCAACGTCGAGATTATCGATGAGTCCTTGCCAAGGGTAGATATGACCGAACCCGTACCCACAGAAGAAACATCTCCGTCGAAAGAGGTGGTGGTAGCGTTCACAGAGCAGCCGTCCTGGAAATTTGTGCCCGACGTCCCAGCTCCGGATACCACAGCCACCAGTCCATTCTCGAAATTTCTGGCGCGAGGAAAGTAATATGGGCATAAGAACACTTATTGGCATACGTACGCATAAAAATACGAAGGAGTACCCATAGAATAGCATTTAATCTGTATTTCACAACCACCGTACTGCATGTGCTTTTTACCAAGACCGTCTCAGTTGGCTGCGAAAAAGTCGTGCGCCTAGGTGCAGAAATTCTGAAGTGATCAAATTCATTGCAACTACTTATAGTTGGTTTTCCAAACTTGATTCGACAAAGGTTTCCGGTGCCAGTAGTTTCCTCTGCCTCTTGCGTGGCTATTTCCAGACTATAGGTACAAATCTGGCTTATTTGAGATATTCCGTTGTCATTTACAGAGTTTAGTATTTGTTACTCCGATCTTCCAACAAGTAGACGACGAATACATCCCTGAACAACGACCAAAAACGTTTCTGCGAAAACTATTCTCGATCTACTGCTGATAAAACAAGCATTATTTGTTTCGAAACCTTTCTAACCAACACTTATTGCACCTTACCTTTAACGCCACAAAGATCATGGACCTTCCTATTCTTCACCGAATGACAGAATCGCTCCCCAAGAGCCAGTCTACGTCGTCTCCACCTCCCCCTAGCTCCTCAAAGCTGGTTGACTCCGTACCTCTTATCGAAGTGCTCAAAGAACAGGGCGATCTCAACGAGGACGAAATTGTGAAAATACTAAATGTTTGTAATCCTTCTAACATTGAAGAATATAGCGAGCATTTATTAAAAGTGTGCACCATTCTCTATGAAAATAAGATAGACAGGGAAAACTTCAAAATTCTCGAAACAAAATTCATCGAACTAACCGACCATGTGCTGCAGTTCATGCAAGAACAAGACTTTATGACCACCGAATCTCATTTGATCATTGAAAAGTGTTTTGATATCCTCATAGTCATGGCCACCGATGGCAAATCTTTTGCCTTGGCTTCACGAGCAATTCGGTTTTTGACTCAAATAATCATGGGTTTGAGCTATTGGCAGATATATAACCTTTTATTGTGGAAACCTGCCATCTACCAGTTTTTGCTCATCATTCACTTTGACCTCGAAGAGTGCTACAACAACTTTATAAGGGATTATAGTTCCTATGTCAGAAAGCAAGAAAGTGAGCAACGAATAGTGACGAGGTCAAGGGCACAATCACTGACTAATATAGTGGAAAAGGAAGCAAAAATAAGCGATTATTCCGAAGACGATCAAACAGAAGACAGCGACAGCGATCAAACTGACGATTTTCCATTCATCCAAGAAAAGCCAAAGGTCAAAAGGCAAAAGAAAGTCAAGAAGGAAGAAAAGCCTCAAGCTATTGGGCAAGCGTACCTCAAAAGCACCGGCAGTGAAGCCGAAGCAACAGACAATAAATGGCAAACAAACAAGTCTGCCAACTATGATCCCGAGGTTGTGCACGAGTGCCAACTTCCCGCACCTGATGAGCCAGGAAAGATGTGTTTGCGTCGTTTTTCACGTAAGTATGAGCTCATTAGACATCAGGAAACGGTCCACAGCAAGAAGAAAAAGTTATTCAAGTGTTACGTTTGCATCAAACAAACTCCAAATGTGCTACCAAGAATATTCACAAGACATGATACTCTTGCCAAGCATATTCGAGTGAACCATAAAATATCTGGTCGTGAAGCGAAAGCCGAAGTTCAATTTTCCAAGAAGCACGCTGAGATTGTCGAAGAAGGCGATGTCACCGTACAAGTTGGTAGAAGGAAAACGAAGGTCGACTACGATTTGAGAGCTCATTTGGAGATGGAGCGCACAAGGCGGGACGGAAGTGACCCAGACTCCGTGGTAGAGGTTGGGAAGTTTGATGAGTCCGATGACCCGGAATCAATTGAAGAAATAGTCATGGAAGAGCCGGTTTAGTAGTATGATGTATTTGCTATTTTACATATTCATTGTGAACTCAAAAGTTTCACGGCAGCTTCTTCGTAGGCCCGCTGTTCTAAAATCGCCTTTCTGACATCTTCGTCGACATCGTCAAAGATTTCGGCTGGGATATCCCTCAACCCCGTTAATTTTCTCGAAGCGTCAGGATTGTATAATTTTGTGTCCCAGTATATTTGTCCTGGGAGATCATTCCCCTTTGTTATACGGTGCACTGTAGGCTGAGTTCCTGAAGGGTAGAATGTGAGGCCCGTGTAAACGTCTCTAACACCGCAAAATGTTTGACTGCGTTGGCTAAGAAGGCTCGAATTGTACTCGCGAGTCTTATACGCCATTTGGTACATCCATGTTGGATCGGATTGGTACGCTACCAGTGCCGAACCTGCTAATGGAGGAGTACCTGAGCCCGTCTGATTTGCTTCTGAGTAGACGGTAGCTGCATTAAGTGAGTATTTGTAGAGTTCAGTTGGATCGGCGTACTCACCCGCAACGTCTCCGTTGTCAATTGCCTTCTGCTCCCAGAAATCATCCACGACTTTCTTTCCGTCTTTTAATATCCGAGCACCAAACTCTCTGAAGATGGATCGAGCCGTGACTAAATTGACCGAGCGACCTTTGTACGAATTAGGAATGATGTGTCGTTCAATGAGGTCCATTTTTTCGGCATCGGTGCATACTTTTTTGAATAAATTGTGGTGGGTCTTGAAAAGAAGGTAAGAGTCACGGAACCCTACCAACCGTGCTGGCTCAGTCGATACCATATAGAGTCTTTCGCCTTGACCAAGCACGGTAAACGTATTTATACGGTACTGTCTTCCCCCCTTTAATCTTCCGAATTCATCCACTTTTTCCACCGCTTTGGGGTCTTCATCCATCACCACCTCGTCGTTTTCAATATTAATGAGGTTTCCGTCGTCGTCATAAAACCCATCTTGGCCTGCCTGGACTATGGGCTTTCTCCCTCTTCTTTTGAGTTTCTTCATCACTTTTTTTGGCGCTTTTGGAGCCGGACTGGCACCCGGTTGTGGAGTGTTTTCGTTCTCTTCTTCCTCTTCTTCCTCTTCCTCTTCACCTTCGCCTTCTACGTCCATTTCTGCGTCATCCTGAATGTTCTCGTCATCTGCCAGAAGGTCATCGTCATCTTCGTCGTCGGTAACTTTTCTTCTTTTCCGCCGGCTCACTTGCACCTCTTCTTCGTTATATTCCTCGTCATCATCCTCGTCGATATCTAACCCTGAAAGATTTGGTCTCTGTGCACGTCTACGGGTTGCTCTGGACGACTCGGTGGAGTCGGGAGAAGCCAGTCGTAAGCTGCGGCGTGATCGAACCATGGGCTGGTGTTGTGAAGATAAAAAGTTCGGCGCGCGCTACAAAATGTTAGCTTCCTCAAGTAATTATATTCGCGCCAAATCTACCTCGTTCTTTATGTTAAGGACGCCGCTACGAACATTAGGTTCCATCCGCCAGTATTCTACTCCTGTCCCATCCATATCCTCGTTCTCCTATATTGATGATGACTTTTTGTCAGCTGTAAGTCAGCGGGAAATTGCGAAATATTTAGATAGTCTTGGACCATTTCCGTCCTATTCTCAAATATTAAATCCCCAGCACTTTTTTCAAAATGAATTGCTTCTCAAGTATGTGGAAAAGGATCCTCATCCTGTTTCCCTTCGTCAGTTGGCCGGTTATGGTAAGGTGTTGACAAAACAGAAGATTGTTAACAGTGCCAATTTTGTTCGAATCGAGCTTCCAATTCGATTGGCAATACGGATCAGAGACTTACAAACCCTCCCTTTCGGTGTTGTTAACAACCTCCATCTTGCACAGGTTTATGAGAGTTATTACCGGCTGTTTAACGTTCTTCGGAGGTGGCCGAAAATCACTACTTTGGATGACAATGAAGCGTTCTGTTCTGTCCTCTCCAATCTACTCACCGACCATATGTCCAACTTGCCCCACTTGATGATGGGTGCCTTGGAAGTATCCATTTTGGACAGTCTTAATCAGAACGATTTGGATCAGTTTATGAGTCTGATGATACGATCACGAATTAGCAGGCGAGTCATAGTAGAAGAACACTTATCGCTCACCGACAATTACAAGACTGCTCCCTATTCAAGCAAGCCTCCTGACTATATTGGGGGAATATTTCATCCGTGCAACGCAGCTGAGCATTTCCGTCATGTTGCCGAAGTCGTCAAGGCATCGTTAACTGATGTATATCCAGACAAGGAAAAGATGCCGGATCTTGAAATAGATGGTGATTTAGACACAAAGTTCCCATTTATGGTTCCACATCTTCATTACTTGTTTGGCGAGATCTTGCGAAACTCATACGAAGCAACCATCAAGACCCATGGAGATAAAACCTCACGAAAATTACCAGCCATCAAGATAACAATCATAAACGGGAAAAAGCAGGTCATTCTCCGGATCTCAGACAGAGGGGGCGGGCTCTCTCACGACAAGTTATCCAACATCTACTCCTTTGGCAAAAGTCCTCAAAGAGCAAGAGAGTCTTTGGCCAAGTTTCATCGTATACCAGGACTCAGACTACAAACCAACTTTAAGTTGGCAGGCTCTGAAGATGACGAGTCTCACCAGGATGCCCTCTTGCTGCACACTTCTCTTGGAGAACAGCAACAAAATGATCAAAAATCTTCCACATTACAGACTTTGATATCCAGACCTCATCAGTATAGGCTTGGCCTTGGCTTGCCAATGAGTCGTATATACGCGGACTACTGGAATGGAGACTTACAAATGAACTCACTAGAGGGCTATGGCTGCGATACCAGCTTGACCCTCAGTAAATTGGGATTCCACTCCAACACGGTTCTGTTGGATCGAGCATACTAGATAAGAGACAAAAGAGGTGTACTGAAATTATTTGTACCATGTGCGACTGATACTTTGGGAATATTCATTAACCCGATGATCATTGACGTTCATTTATGAAATCTATAACTAGGTATCAAAAAACATTCTTTATATACTGACCTCTAGTGGTTTACCATGGGTATTAGATTGTACCTTGTTCTGTGTACAGTCCCTTCATATATAATCGAAAATCGCTTCAGTGTATAACAATGGAAAACATAGGACGAAGTCCGATATCGGCGCTTTTAGGGTCAACTTCGGCATCAGATGGTAAAAATGAGCAACAAGCGGGAAGTGGAGATAGTTCTAGTTCTCTGAGCGTAAATGGACTTCAAATTGCAAGTGGACCTGCAAGTGGACCATCACCACAAGTAGACAATAATACTCAGCCTTCGCCAGGAAATAATAATGGAAATGGAGAGAGTAGTCTCCCTGGTCTAGGTCCGCAGCGGCGGCGTCCTCCTTTCAAGTATAAGTATGTTGTTGAAAAGAAAGATGAATTTACTTCAGCTCCATTTCAACGGTTTCAGACACCCAATACCAATGGAGAAACTCAGCAGGGACTTCCAGTAGTCATTCCTTCGTCCATACGAAAGTTTCAGTCGATATATCCTGTTGATCCAGAAAGGCTACGCGTTTCACAACAACAGCAACTTGAAGGTACAGAAGCATTGAAAGCATCTACTTCAGCTACTGGTTCTCCTATACCTTCTATACCCTCCACTACATCTGCTCCACCAATAGCCATACAACCAAGACCTGCAGCAGGGCTGAAGGGCCAAATCAGAATCACCAAATATCCAGCTGTAACCAATGACGACCAAACGAATACCCCAGAACAAAAGAAAAAAGCAAAACGGGCACCCAGGACCTCTATCAGCTCATTAATACACTCCGGAGAGTATCTGGAAGCACCTAAGAGAGCACGGGTAGTACCAAACATCCCACAAGGAACGATTGAAGTAATAGATGTTGAAGATACTGAGCCTAGTGTGCCTGCTGTGACATCTGCAAATAGACCCAGCGAGTCCGCTATTCAATTTGTTCCACCAAACCCTTCAGTTTCAACACAGAAATACGGCGAAAATCCACAGGCGCTGACGCTACCAACTCTGGATTTAGCTGCTCTCAGAGCCAAGTTGACTGCGCCAACCATGTCAGTATTTAAGGCAGAAGAGAACACAGAAGAAGCACCCAAAAAGAAGCGTGGGCCCTACAAAAGGAAGAAAGAAGACACTCCTCAAGATAAACCAGACATTAAACGCAAAGCGGATGAAAAGGCAGAGGGAACCGAACCGAAAAAGAAGCGGGTCATGAAGCCAAAGGCAGAGAAAAAGCCAAAAGCAAAGAAGAAGGACGTCAAGCAGGAACTGCAAGCTCCACCAAAGGAGGCCAAAGATCCAATTCATCCAACCATGACGACTGACAAAGCCACTGTTGGTGGCGCCCGAGTTCCTTCTCCTTCTTTAGTCACCACTGAAAGAGATGCCGCTCAGGAAAGACCCACGATAATATTGGATATACCTCTCCTAGATCCCAAAGACCCCAAGCCAGGGAAGGCCGAGGTTGTCATTGATGTGCTAAAACTTGCCGAGGACAAGTATGGGTGGTCTACAATTCACCCTGATGCCAAGTCTGCGATTGATATCATGGATGAAATGATAGAAGATGACGAAGATGGGGTAGAAGTTGACAATGATGGTGAGGAAGCTGATGACAAGGAGTCTGAGAAACCAAAGGACAAAGAAAAGGAAAAAGATGTCGACAACGATACAGAAATGGAGAACGTGGAAAAAACCAAAGACAAAGATAATGAAAAGGAGAAGAAAGACAAACGGAAAGACGATGAAGACCTTACAGAGGAGCAGTTGGTGAGGCGGCATGAAGCAAAAATGAACAGAAAAGTAGGAAAGTACGATTATGAGGACCCATTCATAGATGATGAGGAGTTACAGTGGGAAGAAGAAATCGCGTCCACGAAAGAGGGATTCTTTGTATATTGGGGTCCATTGGTGGACGATCGCACAAAGTCCAAGAAAAAAAAGTGATGACTTGTATTCTATATAGATCATAGCTGGACTGTCAATAAATTAATATTACTCATTGGTCTCATGATTATCACCCAGTTGGGATGCCAGTTGCTGTTCTGCCTCCTGTTGTTGTTGTTGTCGATGGGGAGCAAAAATCTGGTGTTCGATTTGCTTCACTCTATAGTAATCAACAAACGATTTTAAAACCATAAAAAGGCCAAATGCTATCAATGCATAGGCAAAATAAGGAGTCTTCAGATGTGGTTCAGTATCAACGTTTTGTTGAAATATGTCCGACTTGTACCCATCCACCTTTCCTCCCTTGATAGACAGCGAATGGGTAATATCCACCAGATTAGGGTCTGTTGGTTGATAGCGTATAGGGACCGCATCAAGGCTCCCGAAATTAGCAGGTACCATGTTCCAACCATAGAACACAAATGTTATTCCAAGTCCGGTCCGAGACCCTTCCTTAGCCGCGTGTGAGGTATGCAAAAGGTAGCACAACACAAACCCTACGAATTGGAATGCAACCGTAACCAATGCGTTCCATACAAAGTTGGCAATATTGCCCACCGGCAAGCCTTCCACAAACACCTCGTCCTCATATATTGGTGAGATGATGGTCGACTCCCAATACTCCGGTACCGCATCTGCTGCTGCTTCCTCATACGAAGGTGGGTGTTGTTCTTGACCTATTCGGTTAGATTCTGTATCTGGTTTGGCCATCAAGTTGCGGAACACTCCGTCAGTTCCATGTCCAATAAATTGTCCCGGGGTATTTGGTTGCATTCTTCCAGTCGTAAGGCCATTATTGAGTCGTTCGTATGTCTGCCGTATGGGAACAAAATGGTGAAACACGTTAATTATCCTTTCACGAGCACTTAGTTTCCTAGGTGTTTGCAGCTCAAGATCGAGATTGTTTAGGGAGTTTCGAAGTTCTGCTGATGATCCAGCAACGGGATCTGGTCCTTGAGTAACGGTATTGGCTGTTTGTTGTGGAGAAAGTGAAGTATTCGTGTCTACAAAGTTGTCATCGTCACTATCGGAGAGGCTGTGCCGATTATCGGTTTCATCTAAAGGTGGTTCCTGCGAAGTGTTGAAATGCAGAGAATGATTTCCGTGACCGTCTCCATCGCTGGAACTCGTTCCGCCGCTCAACGGCTGATACGGACTCATTTGTTGGTGTAGACAAAGGTGAGAATTGAGATTACGAATGCGCCACAGATACTGGCAGTATATGCAGGCAAATAGCAGATATAGACTATATATTTGTAGCATTAACTAGTAACACTAGTAGATCTGATTCACTTTAGCTTATCACGATTGCGTACCTGCTTGCGGATGTTGCGGAACATCTTCAACTGTTTAAAGTGTCTTTGGATTAAAAATTCCGTCAACCACAATGGAACATACCTGCTCAAGCAGTGCAACAAGTAGGCGCCATGACCGTGGTAAAGATTGAACCCAGGATCACGTCTCGCCGTGATCTTCCGGACCACTTGATCTGCGTACTTGGCTGGAGATATGGACGTTCTGGTGTTCCGGGACATATTGGTCGCAGCATCGCAACATTCGTACACACCTTCGACATCATACCTCAGTTTGGCAAATGACGATTTCGTATTGGAATCACAGATAGCAGTATTCACACCACCGGTAATCACAGAGTGCACACGAACGCCGAATGGCTCCATTTCAGAGTGGAGACACAAAGCATACTGATCAATTGCAGCTTTTGTAGCACAGTAAACTGAGCCAAAAGGAAGCATTACCCGGGCAGCAACCGAGGCAGTAAACACAATAGTACCCTTGGTTGCGATAACAAAATCACTCATGGTTTTGGTCATATTGATATGGCCAATCACATTTACTTGAAAAATCCTGTCAACTTCGTTTTCTGCCATTTCAATGGCAGGTCCACCATAAGAAATTCCAGCATTGTTGTACAAAATATCGAGTCTGCCACCGGTCTGCTCTTTGACAATCTCGGCAGCTCGATCAAGATCCGCCTTGCTGGTGATATCACAGGTAAATGTATACACACCATGGTCTCTTGTCAACTCGTTTAAAGCCCATTCTACCAGTTTGGGTGCACACCCCAAGACCTTGTAACCCTTTTTAGAGAGTGCAACACAAACCTCGTATCCAATTCCCAGCGAAGCTCCAGTGATTAATGCGTACTTCATGGCTCAACCCAAAACTTGAGATTTGGTCCCAACTTATGGGAACTCTTTCTCATGTGAATTTTGCAACCCCACTCGTTCCAGTTGAAGAACATCCAATGCACCCACTGCCCAACCCCACAAAAAAAACCGCCAGGGCCCATCGCTCATGGTACTTTGATAGTAACGATGAAACGGCCCCCATTATGGCTATATTTCACTCGCGGTTCAGACGACGGAACTGGGTTTCGTATTTGTGTTTTCATCCCGTAGACTTCATTATAGGTGTAGATATCCGGTACTCCGAGATCGACTGCTCCGGGCAAGATACTCAGAGGTGCTGGGGTGCGGAAAGTTTTTGGCATATCCGAAAGATCTGGGAGAGATGGTCCACCTCTGGCGGTCGTCAAGGCTCCTCTCCTCGAAGATCCACGTCCTGTTCCGCTTTCTTCGGTTAAATTGTGACGTCTTTTCCGTCTAGCTTCACGTTCGATCTCCTTATCGAGCCTCTCTATCTCTAATTGCGTAAGCTTGAGCAATGCCGGCGAGTAATCAGCCACAGCGTTGGGATTACGCAAGATCAGATAGAAGTCCTCGCCGTTTGAGTCTATCTTTAGCGAAGGTAACTGATGCCCTCTAATCTCGTCTTCGTTAATTGGAGAACCATCAAAACTGTAGCCAACAAAGAGAAGTGCACGATGAAACAACTGAGCTTGCTCTCTGATACTATGGCTGATGCAGGTGCCAAATTCGCCTGGAAGCTCCATTTCCTCGCACATCGTGCGTGCAAAGTCTTCAGGATCATTGTCGTTATAGTTAAGAATATCCCATTCAAATTGGTCTATCAATTGGGTGTTGTTGATGGTGATATCTATCCTGATAGGCACACGAAGCTCACCGACCATTTCGTCGGGTACACGTCGAAAATCGGTGATTTGTTCCTTTGCAGACGCAAGTATAGCGGAGTAATGGGTCTGAGGAATAAATCGATAATCCTCCAAAAGTTGTTGTATAAATGATTCCAACCGTACAATTGGTTCGTCCATATCCCATAAGAAAGTGTCTCTCAATTTGAATTTGTCTCTCTCGCTCTCAAATTCAAGCCTAATAGGCACCAACGACTGTCGTGGATTCTGTGCCAATTTGCGAGCTACAAGCTCATTTACTTGACGATCAGTATACGCCACCTCGAGGCTCGACGGGTACTTCCTGTTCTGTTGAGGATACACCAATTTGGTGCTGCTGTTAGTCATTCCATTTCCGTAACCCTGATACCCTTCGCCCCAGATACTGTTGTTTAGTTGGTTTTTCGCAGAAAGAGCGATCGAATTCATGCGGAGCTGTTTGATTTCATTGTATGATTTGATATCTCGAAGGAGAGTTTCAATCTCTTCTTTGGAACTTTCTCGTTGGACAGCAAACCGCTTCAAGTATTCTGCATCTTTTGTGATCAAATGTTCGTACAACTTCAAGTCGTACGGCACCTCTTTGCCCTCCTCTTTCAACTTTTCTGACCATTTGTGCAATGACTCGAGTTGTGGAAAAGAAACCTTCTTCAACACCTCGGAGGGTATCTTATAACCTGGAGCAACGATGCTATATTGCATAGGAAGAGCACTCATCGTGACTTGTCCCGGAGCCCCCTGACTCGCTTGTCGCCTTTGATGGAGAGTATTACGAGCATTAATGTTAGAGAAGCTTGGACCACCCATTCCAGCTGGTCCAACTGGTTGGCCAAGAGCCGTGTTTTGACCCATATTGAAATTTTGTGGAGGTATCTGACCTGCTTGACGGGCTCCACCTAACACTTGTTGTGGTATTTGCTGGGCTTGTTGAGCCTGGTGGGGCGGTGGCACCTGTTGACGTTGTACCTGCTGTTGTCGCTGGAGATAATTTCTCATCATTGACTGAAAATGTGGTTGATTTTTCAACTGTTCTAATTGCGCTGGAGTGAGATTAGCAAACTGTGGCGGAAGCATCAGCATCATTCGCTGCTGTCCCTCGGTTCTCGGAGGGCCCTGGTAACTCATGGCCTGGTGGTTAAGTTTGGATTAGTTTCAGCCTTCTCAATTATTGATATTTGACACATCGGTGCACCCGTAACTACAGAGTTGTGTATTCAATTACTTCATAAAATCAAAGATAGACCCCATGTTCACGTACCGTCGTCCACATTCAGCCAAGTACCGGTCAACTATTCCTTGAAAGTGAACAAAATGTTCACGATTTTGCTCCGCTAATGCCTCAATTTGTCCTGACGCAAGCTTGGCTGGCTCACTTCCTTTATCAAAAGCATCGAAAACCGGCTTAAGTTCAGTTTTCCGAGCCTTGTCGACGTCGAAAATAGAACTAAAGTATAGCAATTGGTTGTACAACGCTCGGTCACTGTACTTGTATCTCATGACTCCTTTGCACCCAGTGGCTGTTCCAGATGCACCGATACAGCGCTTACCGTAAACCGAGATTTGTCTCGTGGTGATTCCACATGCTCCATCGTCACATACCAACCATCCGGCGTAGTAAAGCGAAACATGCCTTCTTATCATGTTTTCCAATTGTGCTGCAATGCGGAAAGTTGGAAATGTGTAATGACACTTGTTGCAGCATATTCCGTTAAATGTGACTTTGTAGTCATTGGACGCAACAATACCACCAAATCTGAAGTTGACACCACACTTACACTTCAACACCAAATAGCTACATTGTCTGAAGCGCTCAACATCGCTGATGTTTGACTCCAATGGAACAATTTCACCGGCGTGCGTATCGCTGTTTCTCACGCGAAGAACATACTTCTTGGTGTCAATATCCAAAGATGAGGCGACCCTCATCATATCAATTCCCTCGATCCTTTCCAAAAGTCTCTCTACTGGTGCAAATATTTGCTTTTCCAAGTAGTAATTAGGGTCTGGACGATAAATGGAATCCTTCTTCAACACATCTTGTATTGGTCTCGCTCTGTCGGCTGGTGAGGATTTTTCGTCCTCTGTTTGTGGAGCAGTTATAACAAATGTGATGACAGTGCCTGCTTTGATAACCTTGCCACTTTCTCTTAAGAGCATTGCAACTCTCACCGGTGGCATGGTCTTTCCATTAGGATAGTTGTTGGGATCTTTCGATAATCTCGTGTTGATCTGGAATTTGTTGACTGGAATTTCACCACTTTTGATCTTGGCGGACATCTTCTCCAAATAATCGTAAACGTCCATCAAAGCTTGTTCAGGATCTGAATCTGCTAAAATCTTTTCCAAGATAAAGGTGGATATTTCCTTCGAAAGCTGACAGTATTCTCTTCTTCTCATATCCAACCCTTTCACCTCCAATACAACTTTCTCTTCTCCCGTCTTGCGGTCAATAGAAGCATTCATGGCGGCGTATTTCTTCTTTGCATGGAGCAAAAGTCTTTTGAACACATTATCAATATCAATTTCCAAAAGCTTATATCGCTCATTGACATGCAACTTGAACTGTTCTCCAATCTTGATGGCTTCCTTAAAATCCGTGACACCCGTGTCGATCATAACAGAGTCAGTATCACCGTACACAACTCTCAATCCTATTGATTCTGCAAGTTGTCTCGTATCCATCAAAATCTCACGACCTTTGTTGGTGACCAACATGGCCAATGGTTTGGCGTAGAATCTCGAGTTAACATAACCCAAGCAACCGTACATAGAGTTGGCAGTCAACTTCAATGCTTGCTGCTTGATATCATACTGGGCTCGCTCGACCAAACTATTCTTTGGGTCTTTAAGTAACTTTTTGACTTCACGACGACGAGAAACCAAAGTGTTCAAAAGTCTTGGAAGTACACCCTGAACTGATTCTCGATCTGGAAGTACAGGCATGTCTTTTTCCTCATCATGACTGACGTTAAAATCGTCTCGGTCGACGGTTGTGAAGCAGATATTATACTCTTGAATGATACTTGGATACAATGAGTTGAAATCCATAACCAAGATGTAATTTTTGTGCAATCCTTTCTCCGGTTCGAAAACCAATCCACCTTGATACTTTGGTTTCTTGTTTGATGTGACTGTAGTGGAATCGTCTTCGTTGTTTTCCACCTTTGCTTCTTGTTGATAGCTGCTGTTCTTATGGAACTTATCCTCCTTATCAGGAACAATGTACTTGTTCCTATGAAATTCGTGTAGCAAAATGAACTCGTTACGACCAGCACGAGTTCCACTCAAGGTATGAGACCATGCATTACCAGCAATATTGGTCAACTGCTTGGACAAAGAAAGAATTTGTATGGCAAATGCAATCTCTGCGGTGTATTTAACATTTGAAGCGTTTTCTTTGAGAGCCATTAATAAGAATGATGCGTCTTCAGCATATCTTGGGTTCGTGAAGTTGATTTCGAGAGCTGTATGTTTCTTATGACACACAACATCCAACATTTCACTCAAGTCCCAAGACTGACATTTGGTAGTCAATGATTGACCCATTTCGTTGGCAATGTCACAAAGCAATCGACCCTGAAATATTTCCCTTATATGAAGATTGTTGCTGAATCCACTGGACTTACCGAACTTATCTGGCCACACCTTTCTATTTCTGCGACCAAAGGTCGACCAAGTAGTGACTTTCAAATCATACATTCTGTGGACAAGAACGTCTAAGGAAATGTTCTCGAGACGATGTCCAATGTAGACATCTGGATCCAAATTCTTGACGATAGCTGATAAGCAATTGAGCAACGTCTTCTCATTTGGAAGAATTCTAAGGTTAAGACCTTGAGCTTTTGCTAATTTTTCGAGACCGGCAGGCACATTGACAGAACCAACAGGACGCACCAAAGTGACCATATCGTCCGGTTGCTTTTTATCATCAATAGGGGCATCTTGTGGCAAGTCACGATACGTTGCAATAGAAACTGATACAACTTCCTGTTTGTTTTCCTTGACATTCATTGTAGTTTGAACTGAGATTGCCGAGACAGTCAAATTAGGTGGGGCCAAGTTGCCTGAAATTGGAGTCACAGCTTTTGGCGCATCCACAGCAACTTCGACTTGACAATGGGAAGTATTTTGGATTGCTTCAAAGTTCCCGCCTTTAATATCCAACCAACAAGGACCCATTATGTTTTGTTGCAAAACAAAACTTTCAAAAATGCTAGCATTTGTACCAAATACATGGCGAAATGTTTCCCCTTCAAGATCTGACGGTAAGACCAAGTTACGGCTCTTTGGGGTCTTAAATGGGAGAAGAATTTTTAGATAGTCAGTATCACGAGGAATTCCGGAAAGTTCAAAAGCATATTTCATTTTTTCTTTTTTAGCTCTGATCATTTCCAAGCCAAATTTACTCAACAAATGAGGTGCAATTTCATGGTATACGTCATCTGTAGTGACGGGCTGTTCTGTATCTTCCATTCCATCAACTTTGCGAAATTCTCGTGGTAAGAAGTAAAGTTCTCTACTGATACCATTCACCTGAACCACACCCGAAACCAATTTTCCTTCTTTAGTCAAGACTTTACCGAATAGAAGTAAGCTGCTGTCAACTTCACAGTAATCGAGCCAAAACATCTTGAAGCCATCATCTGTAGTATCCAGAGCCAGTCCTACAATATCCGATTGACTCACCTTTTCTGTGAAAGTAACGGGTTGCGATCTTACAGGCGAAGATGACGGAAGTTCTGAGGTTCTGACTGCCGTGAGAGTAGACATCGTGGTGCGAGAGACAGCCGACTTTGGACGCCGTGCAACGACCACTTCGTCCTCAGAGTCAGATTCAGGCTGAGATTTCGGCTCTTCTTTCAAGTTTGCCTCTTTCGCATCCCCATCGTCACTAATGTCTATTACTTCATTTTCAGCCTTCAGCTTAATCGGAGACGAGGGTTGGTCAGGTGTCTCAGGTGACATGTCATCGTATATCTGAACATCGCTGCTGGGGTTTTTCTTTTCCAGTTTCATAGAAGTGGCAAAACGATAACTTGGCTTTGCCTTTTGTTGTGGTTTAGAAGATGTTTTTCCAAACGTGGAAAACTTAAACTTTTTGGTAGCAGGACCTTCGAAATCGTCCAAGATGTCATCTATTTTTGCGTCGGATTTGACAGCTGGGGCAGGGTTCAGGTCAGGAAATGCAGATGATTTGAAAAATGTGTTGATTTTGGCAGTTTTGGCGATTTTGACTGGCTTTTCTTTTCGCTTTCTTGGCTCGTCTACGAGCTCTTCCTCGTCAGAGTAATACTTGGGACGCGTGTTTTCGTCCCATTCGTCTTCTCCATTGTCGACATACCCTTCTCCGTCATCATCAACGATAAAATCGTCGTTCATCAACTGGTCTCTCTTGTGTTCACGATAAGTATTTTCGTCCACTTCATCATAAATATTCGATTCTTCCACATCTGAATCATCTAGCAAGCTGCTCTTGCCTTTCCTGGCTTCCCGGAGGGCCCGTAGCTTATCTTTTCTGGCGGCCCTAGTCAGCATAAAAATGAGATGTGATGGTAAGGAAGAAGGCGCGTCGCGTCGCGTAAATGGAGTAGGTGAAGAAAAATGCGAGTGGAAAATGGCTGCGAAAACTAATGCGAAGAAAGGCTGCGAATGGCTGCGAATGATGCAAATTTCTGCAAAGTATCTCTACAAGATCTGAAAGCCACTGCTTGTCTTAGACTAAATATAGATAACCTATGCCTGTTCCCAAAGCGATGGGGGAATAATTCCCTTGGCAATCCTATCAGCAATGATAGCCTCAAATCGCTTCAAGATTGAAGGGTCACCAAGTATTTCACGAATAAGGTTCCAGATCAAGTTGGACTCTATGAGTGCCAGCACCACCTGAGGCAACGTAATTGCGTGAGACTGGATAATCTTGGACAAGAAGGTGGCAGCAGGAACCGTCAAATTGGGGTCGGTGAGAAGGTGCTGGATAACAGATACAGCCAAACCAGAATCCTTCAACGCAGCAAAAATCTCATTCAAAGCCTCCGATTCCCTCTTGGAAACATCACGAGTGACATCCACTTCATCCAAATCCTCAACATCAGCTCTCTTGGTAGCTTTGATGAGTCCTTGTTGCCTCAACAACTCCTTCGTGATTTTAAGCACGCCAGGAAGAATTGCTGGATCCTGCAATGAAAGCTCCAAAACCTGAATAATCAAGCCAGACTTTTGCAACGCGATAAAAACATCGGCCAAGTTGATAAATCCCGACCGAAGGACAAAAATAGTGGCGTCGGCAGAAATGTTCAAGAGTTCTGGGTTGAGAAGCGCAAAGTCAATCACAGAATTGGCCAAGCCAGAATCAGCAAGAGCCTTCAAAATTTCGTCCACAATAGGAAGATTGGATCTCTCAACCAAGGACAGCTCAAACAGTGCTCCAGTAACGGAACGACTGTTCTCCCGGCGAAGTACCATCAACAATTCATCATAGTTCTGAGCGTCTGCCTGGTCTGCGGCATTCGCACAGGCCAACAAGAGAAGCGATACAAGCGAGAGTCTCATTAGTGGTTTGTGCTCAATGGGTACCTATTTATAATCGGTACCCAGAACCATTGATCTTACAAGTGGAGGCTTCTAGTACAAAATCGGCAAGAACAAGAAAAATGGACCCAGTTAGGAAACTACTGTGGTGCGAAGGATAGTACAAACTTGATTGGGATTGTGACATAAAGACGCTGGCTCGCTCAATGCTATGCAAGCCTGGGCACCCTGCAGTGACCGTCTTCTTTCCTTGAACTCTGGTGATACACTCAAATACTTGGTCTGTCTCTTCTCCATCTTTGGCACCTAGCAGCCGCACCCGCCGCACCAGCCATGTTGTAATTTCGCGCTAATCGAGCCTAAACCGTCATTCATGTCATTTGCAAATTTCGACATAGAGGCCCAGCGACTGGTTTCGAAGGGCCGCAAGTCAGTGGAGCCCGAGCAGACAGCGCTCCAGAATGACCTTGACTCAATTATCTCCAAAACCTCTGATCAGGTGCAAACTTTTGCCAGTTTGGTGCAACAACACGACAAGCAACGAAGACAATTGGGAACAAAAAGAGACTGTATCCAGCTTAGAAACAACGTCAATGTCCTCGAAGTGCGTATAGAGGATATGGAGGGTGCCATCAAGCAATTAGTGAACAATTTGGTGCAACTCATCAACAAGAATCAGAAACTGTCAAAGGAGAATAGCATCGAAATCACCAGCAAACAGATTTTAATCAAAGAAAGGTTGACTAAAGAGTTCAGCGAGCTCCAGAGTCTGTTCCACACGGCCCGGCGCCAAGCGGAAGATAAGATGAAGCAAACACCGATTCAGGCTCATGTAGACGAACAAACACCTCTCCTTGACAATTCAGAACAACAACAGCAACAGCAAACCCAGGTCGATCCAGACTTGGTGGAACAAACAGAGCTTCAATACCACATGCTTCTCACAGAAGAACGGAACCGCGAGTTGAACCAAGTGAGCCAAGGCATCCAAGAGGTCAATTCCATATTCAAAGATTTGAGCGAACTCGTACAGCAACAAGGCGAACAGCTCGACACAGTTGAAGACAATATTCTCCAGCTCCACAGCAATACTCAGGGAGCAGACAGGGAGCTCCAAAAAGCCCATGAGTACCAGAGGCGAAGAAGCAAGTGGAGCTGTATATTCTTAGTGGCATTGTGTGTATTTGTGTTGATTGTGGTATTGGCGGTATTGAGCTAGTTACCTAATCCAAGCTTACAGTGTCTGCTACAAATTCATCTTCTGAAACGTCAGAGATGTCAGGAGTCGTTGCTTCATCGGTATCATAGGAACTGAAACCCGTGGTACGAGCCCCAGACTTTTGGTCATAAACTTCATGAAATCGACCATCGGGATAGTCAGTTGCGAATGCGCTGTTCATGTGCTTTGTTTCCTCGAGTTTTTCTCGACAGAAATCAGCACCTTTTTGCAATATGAGCTCGGCTGTTTCGAGGATTTTTTCTCTATTGCGAATAGCAGCAATGGCGGCTCCAGATGCTGCACCGACAGCTATAGCGACCTTGACTGATATGGGAACTGCGTTAGTTCATTCAGAATGACAAAAAATGTTGCCACTTACCTATCAACGGCATTGCTGTTCCTTGTGATAAGAGTTGTGGGGTGCGAAAATAGGTGATGGACTGCATGCATCGTTATGGCAACTGCCAGTCAAAACTTTAACGTAAACACAAAAACTACAAGAACTTATCCGGCCACGAACTATGGGCACTCTAGCCGCCAGGCCCTGTATAGCATAGACTGTATTTACGACAGAACGTATATGACCCCTATTATCTCACTTAGGAGTGCGGCTGTGATTCACCATCCGGTTCGTGCGGCGCCAATGTATTCATCATCAACTTGATTTCTTTCAACTAATGACTTCTCGTGCTCTTAGTCAGTTTGAGAACTTTTATCGGTGTCGAACGGCAAGTGATTTTTACAAGAACTTTCAGGTTACTGCCAGTTATTCTCAGGATATTACATTCGAGCTCTTGTATAAGGCATTGCGGAAAACCGTACTAGATTATCATATATTGGTTTGTAACATCTTTCGTGACAATGATTGTTGTATTTACAGACCTATCGAACATGCCTGGTTCAAGGACGTTGTTATAGAAGAAGATGAAGCCAAATACTTGGTCAATGGCATCATAACTGAAGACTATATGAAAATGATTAATGAGATCACTTTTCAGTTGTATACTGAAACCCCATTATTTCGAGTGGTTGTGCTTGGAAAGAGACACTTGACCGTTGTTCTCGAGCACACCATAGCTGATGGGCTAGTTGGAAACTATTTTCACGAGATTTTGGTTGAGAATCTTGCTTTTGTCGATGATCCAAATAACGCACAGTTGCTCCAAAATGAGTACAATATTGAACCAATTGAGGATGTATGGCAAACCAGCATCTTTGATGCAAACAAAGATGAGCCCAAGAACTCTCTTCCACCTCCGATAGATCCATTCATGGCGCCGGCTCACCTTGATTATACCTATGGAGACAGTGAATATTTTGACAAGGTTCTTCCCGAAGGATTTTCCAAAAAATGGGAGGGTATACTAGTTGCTTCTCGTGAAGCCAGGTTGTCTTTCAAATTCATTCATTTTGATCCACAACAGACCAAGCTTATACTTGCAGCTTGCAAGAAAAATGGAGTCACCGTAACTTCATACTTGACAATTACATTGGCTGTGACATTGAGTCCATTGACAGACCAAACATGCTACACCACCCACAAAGTTGCTACAGCTTTGCGGAGACATATCACACTTGAGAACAGTTTACCCATCTATAAACCCTTCTTCAAGGACCCCACATACAAGATTCTTGGGTCTTCCGCAATTGGATATGCTATTAATCTTCCATCGCTCGATTCATTTAGCTGGGAATTGGTCAAGCAGGCGAACAAAAGCATTGCTCTAGGTGCCTCCAATAGAAGAGGACTCAACACGTCTTATGGGTTTTTCCAGACCGCCAGCATGGTGGAAGATAATCGGAGCTTCTTTGAGCTGGGTTTGGGAAAGCCAAAGGCCGATACCGTCAAAGTGTCCAATTTGGGACTTGTAAAGACACCAGAATATTTATCAGGAGACAAATCGTGGAGCATTCGAGACCTCTATTTTTCACAAGACGTTTCTCCTTCGGCAGCAGAATTCCAGTTGAATGCCATATCCACCAAGGACGGCTTGAACTTGGTATTCAGCTACTTTGCTAATATTGAAGGTCTCCATACGAAGTTGCAAAAGAATATTTTGGAGTTTGCACGATATGAAAATTAGATATGTGGTGCCACAAGTATTGCAGGCAGCGTAAATAACAGTATTGCAGGCAGCACTAATAACCCTGGCTAGCTGCGACTGAACTAGAATTAATATATGCTTTTTCACTTTCTCGTTGCAGCCAAAACCAGTCGCACCAATTTTGGTCCGCTGCGAATTGCAACAGATCAACTACTGGTAGTCTCGTTTTCTTCTACAATGGTCGATACCAATGGATCGCAAACCAGTTATAGGGACCCCTCCGGCTCGTGGAAGTTCCAGGACAAGGTCAAAGAGGTCCAGAGATTCGATGACTTTGTCACCATTGATTGGGTCGAAGACGAGTTGGATGAGCATTTACAGCGACTAGCAAAGAAGAAGACTTCCCATAGCCAAACATCGCTTTTTCAACGAATAATGGCGTTCTCCCAGACGTGGTTTGTTTTGGCACTCATGGGATTAATGATAGGATGTATAGCCGGATGTCTTAACATTATAACGGCATGGTTAGGAAGTTTACGTTCAGGCCATTGTGGCCATAATTTCTACTTGAGCAAGGCATTTTGCTGTTGGGGACTGGAGGAGGAAACCTGCGATGCCTGGCAAGAATACACTCCTTTTGGGCTACTCAATTATTTGTTATACATCTTCATTTCTATCGGCTTGGCAATGGGCTCAGCTCAGCTTGTCAAGTTGTATTCTCCGTCTGCGGCAGGGTCAGGTATCTCAGAAATCAAGTGCATTGTGTCTGGATTTGTGGTAAAGGGCTTCCTTGGGTGGTGGACATTACTTATCAAAAGTTTAGGATTGCCTCTTGCAATTGCATCGGGATTAAGTTTGGGTAAAGAAGGACCAAGTGTGCATTATGCTGTCTGTGTTGGTAACTCGGTTGCTCGTCTGATTCAAAAGTACCGCCGTAGTGCTTCCAAGGGTCGAGACTTTCTTACTGCTACGGCTGCTGCTGGGGTTGCTGTGGCTTTTGGCTCTCCAATGGGCGGAGTGCTTTTTTCCATCGAGGAAATATCGTCGGTGTTTCAACTTTCCACCATCTGGAAGTCGTACTTTTGCTCGTTGGTTGCTGTCACCACCTTGGCTGCTTTGAACCCCTTCAGAACTGGTCAATTGGTTCTCTTTGAGGTGACTTACGATAATAATTGGCACGCCTACGATATTCCATTCTACATTCTTCTTGGTATCTTTGGAGGTGTCTATGGAATAGTAGTCTCCAAGTTGAACATAAGAGTGGTGTCTTTTCGTAAGAAATACCTAAAGAATCATGCTCTTCGTGAAGTGCTAATTTTGGCTACTTTGAGTGCCAGCTTTTGTTATTTCAATGAGTTCCTCCGGCTCGATATGACTGAAGCAATGCAGTCTCTCTTTCACGACTGCTCAAACTCGCAGCATTTTCTTTGCGAGCCAGACTCGAACAAGACAGTTGTATTTTCCTCGTTGATCTTTGCAACTATTGCCAGAATGTTCCTTACAATTATCACTTATGGATGCAAGGTGCCTGCGGGAATCTTTGTCCCCTCTATGGCGGCGGGTGCAACGTTTGGCAGAGCTATTGGAACATTAGTGGAAGCTTTTTACAATAGCCATAAGAGCTCTCCTATCTTCGCTACATGTCTTGACAAAGAAACTTGTGTCATACCAGGAACTTATGCTTTCTTAGGAGCGGGCGCAGCATTGAGTGGAATTACCCATCTTACTGTTACCGTTGTCATCATTATGTTCGAGTTGACAGGGGCCGTAAGATACATCATTCCAACCATGATTGTTGTGGCTATTACAAAAATTATTAACGATAAGTGGGGACATGGAGGCATAGCTGATCAAATGATTAGATTCAATGGGTTGCCATTCATAGACACAAAAGAGGAGTTTGATATTTCTGCAACAGCAGCTGATGCAATGTCACAAACGGTAGTTACAATACCCACCACCGCTCCTGAATCAATAACAGTTGGCAACCTCAAAACTATATTACGGGAAACATCATATCGGGGCTATCCTTTGATTAACTCATCTTTAGGTCCCACGATAGTGGGCTACGTGACCCGTACAGACCTCGAGCAAATTCTCGAGACATCTGATCATCTAGATGAATCCTCCCGGTGCAACTTTTTAGACGGAAGTGATGGGTTAAATTTGAGTAGAATTGTCTATTCTTCCCCAATCACAGTCTCGCAAGAAACGAACCTCGAATACCTTGTCAACATATTCACAAAGTTGGGACCAAGAAATATTTTGGTTCAAAATGACAATTATTTGGTAGGAATTATCAGCCGCAAAGATATCTTACGATTTGAGTTCACTCATCACCACGTAAATGGGGGACTCGACTATGACGAGCAAGCGCAGGACGCCTTTGATGCTAAAGTGTGGAATAAGATGAATGAAATAATTGATAAAGTGCAGCGAAAACTAGGAGTCGCTCTACACAACGATGAGACAAGATACACTAGAATATAGAGACAATGCAATAGAATGTTATTTTTGTAGCTATCAATTAAGTGGTCTTCCACTTGTAGTTTTCCTTGTACCTGGTGTATATCAACTTCATGTACAGCTTTCCTGGAAGATCCAACGACGCATTCACTATTTGTAATTCAGAATCAGATATTGTATCAAAGACGATACTCATGCAAGCAAGAAGTTCTTCCAGTGTTTTATCTCCAAATCTTGAGTTGAGTGAATAATGTATGAATGACAATAAAATGACTGGAAGATGTTTTCTCAAAGATCTCTTTGCTGATGCAGAAGCTGAATTGAGGGTCAGAGAGCCCGTTCTCTGAGCCTTGAATTTGGGCTCACAAAGGTTGCTGACTACACGAGTATAATATTCGACAGCCATAGAAGACTGCGCCAAATGCTTGTTTCCCAGAAGTGTCAAAGGTTCCATTAAAGCACAGAACATATCAGTAATGAGATGGTGACGAGAAGACATTCTTACTCGATGAAAAAGAAGTAATGCTGAAGCAATCTGAGTTAAGGTCTTGTAAATGCTATCAACATCTTCAAAGCTGTTCAGCAGCAAAGAGTGAGAGACCTTGGTCACAAATGCAACTACCAACTCGAAGGAGTATTGTCCAATTCTGACACTTGCTAATTGCTTTGCCAAAATCTGCAAACTGAGTTTCAAGTTTCTCTCGCATGTAACAATGGAATCTGCGTCGGCGGATAAGATAGCCACAAATGGGCGTATTATATCGTTTCCTGGTTCATTGGAGTTTAAGAGACACGATAAGGCTCTCAAGTAAATGTATCGATTTTCAGGCTCAGGGTCTTGGCTGAAAGAGTAGAGAACATACTTGACAGTAGCCAAGAAATGATCTGGATTTGTAACAAGTGAAGTGCCATAAGCACACAATGCAGAGTCTAACTCTCCAGAATTAGACATTGGAACCAAAGTTGTGTAAACAGCTAACACATGTAATGCTTGTTCGAACCGTTCATGCTCAATATTGCAAAGCAAGCAAAACAAGTTAAGAGCATCAGTTACCAGCTCCTTTGATATTTGGGAAGCCAACTTGTTTAATGTAGTTCTAGCAATACAGCCACGGTCAAATATGGAAACCTCTTTGAGTGTATTCAAAAGTTCACTGCTTGGGGTTCTCTTCAATGATTCTAGGATTTCTTTAATTAATTTGGAAAACAAGTCTTGGAGTAAAGGAAGCAATTTTCCTTTATAAGTAGTAGTCTCGGTGCTGAAGATTGCCTTGCATAAAACCCCATGTAAATTGGCTTTCTTGTTCAAGCTGCTCAGCAAAGTCTCCAAAACTTTGCTAACGTAGCTCCAATGTTTCTCATCATTGATTTGAGCAGTATGAGCAAGCCAGATTTTCTGGAAAATCTGTAATGAATTTGACTCGAACAGGGTACCCACAAATCTTTCAATAAATGAGAACAATGTGCTTATATCTGTCTCCAAGTTCGATGCAAATGTGGGTTCGTCAAGTATGTGACAAATCAACTCCAATAGCGATTGTTCATTGTCTTCTGAATTTGGTGAGCTTACCAAGTTTTCAATTATGGTGCGTCTTTCGTGTCTCTCAAAGCACGCGGAAGGTATAGCAGTTCCCAATTTGAACATATTTTCCTTTGGATGTTTCTTCAACTTCTTTATCAAGCAAGCTACCAACAGTCTGTTGAGTCTCTTCTCTTCAAAGAATACTTCAGCCTCCTTTTCAAAGTATTCAATATGACCATCTACCTCAAGAAAAAGATCGAGTAATTCTTCAAGGTTCTCTGGCTCAAAATGACGAGCTAGTATTTTGGGCCATCTTCTGTAAACTGTAAAAAGATGCTTCTCTTGTTCATCCTTTGGAAGTTTTTTGATGAGTTCAATGAATTTGGTGGAACATGAGTCCGTGGTATTTCCTAGTTCGATGTGACGGAACCTGGTGTAAAAAAAGTAGATGTCATTATAGTCTGCTTTCGAATCAATTTTACCATCGTCACCGTAGAGAATGGAGCAGTAGAATCTCACTTTCCAATCCTGTGAATTTGGTAGATTTGAATTGACAATTTGTTCTCTCATAGCATTGCGACGAGAATCATCACAGTTTAAAAGGCCCTTTAGTATTGATATCAAGAGAACAGAATACAGTGACTGAACGTGGTTTTTCAACACTTCATTCAAGACTTCTAGTAGAGACTTCAAGGTCAATCCGGGAACTTTTGATGCAACGATATCGATGACACTTGGAGATTGCCAAACTCCACCGTTGTCTGCGTTGCTCAACCAGATGTCAAGAAAGAATGAGGAGTAATCACGTACTCGTATGAAAGCATTGAATAACTTCCCCAATAGTATTTCGTCAGATTCTGTGAGGGATGATGCAATTTCGGCCGCATGTTTCACTCCTAAACTTGCATCCAAATCAATCAATGATCCCACAAGTTGATGGTTCTGTTTGTGTTCCGAGTACAAAGTCTCGAAAAATGAGGACGAGAGAACCCGGTTGGCACCGGATAAGGTTTCGAGAAGGGTATTTGTCAATGACTTTTGGTTCTCCGTAAGAACCAAAAAGATCTCTTCACATAGCTTTATATCTTTGGATGAGCGTGCCACAACGTAGTGGAATAAGTATTTGATGGAGTCTGTGTTGTCATCTTTGAGATTGAGCGATTTTACGAGCCGACCAATGTTTTCCTTGAGCAGCAGCGTGGAGTCTTTGGAGAAGGTGCCAGAAATGAAAATTTGATGAAGTTGGTCATAGTTATCATCTTTTTGGTTTGACGTGAGGTACCTCAAAAGTGGTACTAAGCAAGACTCAAAGAATTGGGAGGTGGTTTTCTTTGCGGGTTTATATCTGGCTGATCGTCTTGGTAAATGGTATATTTTTGTGATTGTGGAAAGAACTTTGCTGTCGACAATTTTTTTGGTGTTCACAGCATTCAAAACAAGTGCTAGCATCAATTGGGTGCTGTTTGCATCTGCTGTCATTATGGAGTGGTCTAGAAGAAAGTTGGCGACAGGAAGTGTATTGGTGATGATTTCTGGAGCACCTTGTTCTATAATAGTGATGATCGATTCCACAAATCTGAGTCTTTTTAATGATCTGGAAGAAGATTCAGGGTACTTTGAAACTATATGTGTCAACAAATCCCAAACTTCTGGTGCCAATTTCCAGTTTGTGTATTCCTTCTTGTTGTCATTGAGTCTGTCACAAGCAAGCTCAAGAACGAAAACTTCCTTGAAAGGAAGATATACATCGAGTTGATCTTGCACTAGCTGATTGCAAAGAGCTATCTTTTCGTGTAGCGAGCCACCTTTTCCTCTCAAAAAGCGGGTGAGCTCCTGAGAGGTGTTCATCGTGAAAGATGCGATGCGATGCGATGAGAAGTGAACTAAGAGTGAGAAATGGAATAAAAAATAAGAAACGACAATAGAGCCAGAAGGGGCTACGGGGTAAGAGTAATACAGAATCACAGAAGAATAGGAACTAATAAAAAAAGTAGAGACTTCAAGTGCCTTTGTCATTCACTTCCCCCTCTACGCTACATCACTACATCTTCATATTTCTTGTTATGCATTATCTAGATCAACAACGTCTCGATCTTGTCCTTGATGGCGTAGATCTGGTTCTTCATCGACGAAGCGTCGTTGGTGGTGACCGAAGCGGCGATCACTGGTCTGGAAACACCACAGGCTCTACCCAAAGCGGTCTTGGATGGCACGAAAACGTATGGAACGTTCTTGTCCTCACACAACAAGGGGAGGTGCAACAAGATCTCGATTGGCTCGGTGTCGGCAGCCATGATGATGAATTCAGAAATACCTCTGTTCAAGGTCTTGGTAGCCTCATTGGCTCCTTTTTTCAACTGACGCAAATTTTGCGATTGTTGAACGACGTCCAAAATTTGCTGGGTCAAAGCAGTGTCTGCCAATGGGAAGGCTTTTGGGTTAGGTGCGGACATTGTTAATTAGGGTTCCTTGCAGTGAGCTCACCAGTAGATGAAGAAGATGCGAGAAATAAATTTTCATCTCATCCCGCGCCTGCAGGCTGGTTCGGGGTGCCGCCGATGAGCGAGCGAACCGCACAGTTCGCAACATTTAGTCCTGCGAATAGTGAACCGCGCTAGCGTGTGTACTCAAATGTACCGAGCGCACCAAAAGTGCGCGCACTTTACATCACGCCTGCACACATCCTATCGACAACCAATCTCGAATTTGGCCCCTTTGCTAACGATACCGAGTGTCATCTACGCATCTTAATCTTATATTTGATATTAAAGATGTCTGATTTGTGGTATGTATTCAGTGTGCTACCGTGATTGATTAGCCATGGCTAAGTTTAATGGACTCTTTCATGAGATACAAATGTTACTTTAAATCGATAGCCGGCAAGTTCCAAAATGGACGAGCCAAAAGTTCATGTTTTAGCCGAATTATCGTCCCTTTCGAGCTAAACCTAAAAACTCCATTCGATATGAGTCGATTAACCATCAAATTCAATTTACTCCCTTATACTAACCCAGTCCTGTTTACGCTCCATTCTTCGGTTCCATTGGCTGTGCCGCCGCCATTGTGTTCACCTGTTTCGGTGCCTCCTACGGTACCGCTAAGAGTGGTGTCGGTATCTGCGCAACTTGTGTTTTGAGACCCGACTTGTTGGTCAAAAACATTGTCCCTGTCATTATGGCCGGTATTATCGCCATTTATGGTTTGGTGGTGTCGGTGTTGTTGTCGGACTCGTTGAAACAACAGCAACCCTTGTACTCGGGTTTCATTCAGTTGGGTGCCGGTTTGTCGGTCGGTTTGTCCGGTTTGGCTGCTGGTTTCGCCATCGGTATTGTTGGTGACGCTGGTGTCAGAGGTACCGCTCAACAACCAAGATTGTTCGTTGGAATGATTTTGATTTTAATTTTCGCTGAAGTGTTGGGTTTGTACGGTTTGATTGTCGCCTTGTTGTTGAACTCGAGAATCGGCCCTGATCTCAAATGTTAGAGCTTTCTGTCATCAAAAATCCATATGAGCAGTAGTAAATATACAATTGCGCTATACGCTCCCCTACTTAATATACAATTCGGCAATCTTGGTGCTGATAACGTTTCTCAACAACTTGATCGCATCGTCTCCGTTGCTGGGTATAGGCTTGCCTAGCTTTTTGACTGGTCGTCTCCAGTCCCATTGCTCCTTTGCGTCAACTTGAGGCATTGCTAAAGCTTCATGGTATAACTCTTCACTTTCGGCTTTCTCCTCTTTGCTTGCCAACGTATAGTAGTTGTCTATAAGTTCCACAAACATGATCATTTCAGGGAGCTGGGCGTCACATTCAAGAATAGACCCAAGAAACTGGCAGAAAAGAACCACGCAGAACTTTTTGGGTAAATGTTGAAACCGAAGAAGATGAATCAATCGAGACACTCCGGTTGTCTTTTGCTCCTTTTGGGCCAACAAAAACTCGGCGAAAACAGCATACGGAGAAAGACACTGTCGAATGACTGGATGTATATCGAAGTCGGGTGCTGTTTGCTTTAACACAACATTATTAATAAGGTCGTCATCGAATAATTGGCTGCTGACGACCGCTTCATGGAAAATTATATCCCACACAACCCGATGAATTTCCCTCATACTTTTCACTGATGTATCTGATGTTGACTGTTGATCGTAGCAATTGGCTAACATGTTCAACCCTTCGTAAATGTAGCCTTCTTTCAATGAATTCATACCATAAGTGTAGTACAATTCCTTTGCAGTGTGCACAAGGTTTAACGTTGCACAGATGGTGAGCCCCCACTCCAAGTCATCGTTGGTTTGGTAGTGATAGAGAGGTAAGAACGATTCTATGGTTCTTCTGTTGTGAACAATGGACAGGCTCGACGACGCAATATCCTCATTGAGAAGCAATCCGATTCCAACGGGGACCAAATCATGAGTATTGAGACATTGGTACGCCTGGGTAGTTAACAAGTATTCCGAAATGGTTCTCTGTGTCATGTAATCGTTTACGCTTTGCTTTACGTCAAAATCATAATACGATTTTAACAACCCTTTGACCTCAAGCAACCGAGACACATAGGCCGCAGTAGCCAGATCTAACTTGTCTATGGTAGTCAATACCTTGACAAAGCTTTCCTCCATGATATCCACGAAACATTGTTCTGTGAGCAAGTCTATATCCAACTCATCATAGCCTTCAGAAACGTCAACCGCAGGTGGAGGTTTTTCGTTGGTAGCAATGTCGAAATAGTCACGGAAAAGAGCGCTGTCCCTGACTTGAAAGAATGCTAAGGCTGTGAATATTTCGTACCAACTGTCACAGTATGATGCAATGGTCTTTGGTAACCCTGTGATAATGCATAATAAGTCGTATATCTGAGACACAGTTTGCCGAAGCGACGAGTCCTCAACGTCCTCTTTCACACGAGGAGCTAAGTCCCTCGTCTCACAGCTTGATAACTTCCATTGTGCAAATTGACCCTTGAGAGCCATGCTAGAATAGGAGCCCAATAACGTCTCAAAATCCTTGATGAGATCATAAACTTGCAGCTGCGACTCCTTAAGTTCCTCGTAGCCAGAATTAGATAGAGCCTCGAATGCCTGTTGGACAAGTCCACGAGTTAATAGTTGGGCAAGATAAGTATTCCAAAATTGAGGATGCGAGTATGGAGTGCGAGTTTTAAGCATAATAGATTCCACAAGCTCGTTTTCTGGCTTCATTTCGTACTTGTTGATCCACTTGGACACAAGTTCGGGTACTTGCTGTCCCAGGCTCAGAAAGTGAATCGCTTGCAAGCAATCAAGAATGTTTGATATACGATAGAACAGCGTAATGTCTTCATGGTTCTCATCTATCTTGTCAATGAATACTTGTAAGATATCAACGACATCAGCAAAGGCCCGATCAATCACATTGTTTCTGTGGACGGTGCTAGAGTTGATTTTGGTTCCTTGTCTTCCCACAACAACTCCTAGTGGTTCATTGTCGTCAATGTCATTCGGCAAACCACCGACATTTTCTTCCAGTAACTTCTCGATCACCTTATACAATGAAGTCACATAGTTCGTGTAGGTTTTGGAAAAGTCGTCAGCTTGTGTTAAACTTTCTTCGTATTGTTTGTGATCGAAATTGAATTCCATTCGTTGCAGAGTCTCGAGCCAGTCTTGCAATTTTAGTCTATTCTTGAGCCCAGAGGTTTCCAGTTCATCACTGGAAATGGAAGAATCATCTGGTATCTCAAGCATCTCTATGTCATGCTGAGGCACCTCACCAGGATTATTCACTGTCATGATTGAAACTCGACTCTACGCGGGTTTATGATGAGCTTCGAAATAGTACCCCGCTTACATAATTCACGGGTGCAAAAAATTTGTATAGTCTATGTACATCTGAAGGTAGCTTCGTAGACGAGTCTTTGAATCAAAGGTTTGTTCTTGTAGCATGTTTTGAGTGCCTCCTTCAAAGACCTTAAAGCTTCTTCTGAGGCAATTCCTCGCTGGTCATAAGCTCGAAGATTACTATCGAGCTCGAGCCATCTTCTCATGATTATGCTGTCAAGAAGTCCAGTATGAGGTTTGGAGTAGTTGTTGCCTTTATCGTCAATCCTCAAATGAGTCCAGTCTCGTTTCGAGGTCCAGGCAGCGAATTTTGCTCCCTTTGTTGCCAGAGTCTCAAGCACTTCTTGGTTTGCAACAAGCTCTGCTTGGCACTTGAGTAACGTTGGTTGCAAATCGTCCAACGTTTCATCGCTGATGAGATGGGAAACACAGTATATTCCCCCATCTGAGGTTCCTACTATGCCCGTTTGGTGCACAAGTGGCTCAATAACTGGCCAAATTGCACCTTCTTCTGACACCGTTTGGGAAGAGGGAAGGGCCCTGAGAACATTGATTGGTTGGCCAATATTGAATGCATATGATGTCGATACGGAATTTTCTTCCACAGTATTGCTTGAAAAGTTCCCCGTTGAATCTCCAAGAAAAAAATGCGTACCACCATCAAGTTTGTACGCCTCGAGAGCACTGAGGAACCAGGGTTCGTACTCAAGTTTAATGGGAAAAGAGGTGGTGTTCAAGGTTGTTTCATCACCTTCGCTATAGGTGGACCGAGATAAGGTGATTCCTCGGGACAAATCTCCAAAAATTGCCACATCGTCTATGGCGCTTACTTGTGTGAAACCTCGACTCTGAGCAACTGACGGTTCGATTATCTCCCAGATAAACTTATTTTCGTTGGGTGTCAACCTAGCCGCAAAATTGAGGTTCCCTGACAACACAAACGTTAGCTCATCGGCATTCAATAATGCAACAGAGTCTAGCGTTAGTCTTGATGAATCTATGATTCCCTCGACAATCGATGTCATTTCTATGATTCGATTCTTCTTCAATCTGTAACACTTGATGATGTCGTTATCGCGGGAGTTTTGAAGCACTGCAAATGAGTTTCTGGGTATATCACTAGCGCCTGGTAACGAGATTATGTCGACAACTTGGTCGCTACCAACTGGCAATCGATGAAGCTCGCTCATGCTGACGGTATCCACCAACTTTAAAAAGAACAGCTGATCATTTGTTTGGTACTCTCTGCAGAGTACTATGGAAGACCGCTCAGTGACACTTAGTATCTTTATACACAAATGGTCGCTGAACAAGGTACGTATGGGAAACGCAGCTTTATCAGTCACGGCCGAGAAAATGAACACTTTTGACCCAAAGAGTACTGCAAGACTTTTAGAGCTTAAAATGTGCACGTCCGTGAAGCAAATATCTTGATCCTTGAGTAGAGGACAAGGAAAAAAAAATTCCGTCGCTTCATCAAAATGGAGGTAGAATGCCACATCCTCGTGATACAATACAGTGAAATTGCTTCCACTTGCAATAGATAATGGAAATGTTCCCAAATTTGAAACGACAGTCTTAGAGTCTCGGGGAGTACCTTTGGCCCAATCGATATTGATTTGAATTAGATCTCCTTGGGCTGATGTGATGATTGCCCAGATAGTCCGTTTGTCTCGATACTTATCGTAGACCAAGGCACAATCTGCTATTCCATGCCCGCTGGAGAATTTACTGCTGTAGCATGTTTCGAAGTCTTCGGAATCAGCTTCAAGAAAACAAAATGAACCGTCCCAGAAACACACCAAGAGGATATAATGAGAATCTCCTAAATCTTGGACATCAAACAGAGAGATTTCCTGGTCACCAAGCTGCTTTGAGTGGTGGAATTTACCATTGTGCTTGAGAACCAATTGCCCTCCCTGGGCAATATACGCATATGCTCCATTGGCCAAGAGCTTGCTTTTAACGACAGAAACTTGTGTCTCCCCAGATTCGTCAAAGATCTGTTTCCTGGTAATTACCGGAAACTCAGACGTTGCTATCTGGCTCAAGTTTGTGGTTCCGGTTGCTATCAGCCACCCACTCTCACCTTTTTCAGATTGAACTGTTTCTATCATCTCCCCTAGTACATCGTAAACACCATATATGCATTTCGTCCCATCATCAAAAATCTTCAAGAGTCTATTGGCATTCTTTCCTACATTAATAGGATCTTCTTTGGACTTGAGCAGGACTGTTGCATCCAGAAATTGTCGTAATTCTCCGCTATTCGTGCCTCCTTGACAAGTCAAAAGTTGTAATTTGCTTTTGGTTTTTGCAAGACTTATATCAAGTATAGGTGGAGACGATGGCATGAACTTCTGAACGGTAATATGAGGGGCAGAAACCCGAACGTTGAAAAATAGTGATTGAGATAATCTGGATGATGCAAAGAAAAGGCTCCCAGTCAAGTGGTGGACACTAGTTGGTACGGTGGTTTTTCCTAGTTCCACAAGATCGAGGGACAGGACCGCAACTGAATCTCTTTGACTGATGGCTTGTAAAAGTAACACATAGGCAGTGCCCTTATTGGAAATAAGCAACGACCTTGAAAAATCTATGTTTGTACAGCACAGGATGTTGTCAATGGTAGTTGATAGTGAAGATGTGATAGTTTGGTTATCATAACTCACTGATATTTTTGGGTCTCGAGAATCGTTAGTGAGTTCAAGATATGATATATGAGGACTCGGGAAGTAGAATACATGTTTTGTGGAGAACACAACTACCCCTCCCACTTCTGGTGTCATTATTTGGTCGATAGGCTCGGCAAACTCTCTAAATTGTTTCACCATTTTGAACTTATTCAGAGCATGATTCACTTCGTAATAACGGAGTGAAAAATTGAGATTATAGTCTCTGTACAAAATAGCCACAATGTTATCCTTTGAGTTGTCCAGCAAAGCTCGTATACTCCGAACCAGGACGCTTCCAATAGAAAAAGAACGTAAAGTGTAGCCTTCGGTTGTGCGGCCCCTCTTTCTGGCAAGTGGCTGATCTTCTATAGAAACGATCAGCACGACGTTTTGAAAACAATGAAATAAGAAACATCCGTCGAGCGCAACAATCGTAGCCTTTCCATCAAGGCATTGCTGTTGTCCACGTTGGTCCAATTTGATGTTCTTCCTACATTTGAGACCATCATTTAAGTCGAGAAAAAGAAGCCTAAAGTCTCTTGTCAAAAGCGCTAGAAGAGTACCGGAATGAGCCATTGCCCATATTGGCAGTTCTGTCCTTATACTGTCAACAAGGACGAAATTTTGGTCTTTTTGAACCGCATAAAAATTGACACTTTCAACTGTTGCAGTTACAAGTAACGATAATTTTTGGGTGGAAATGAAGTCGGAGCATGTAATGCCCTTTGGTCCAGCAACCTCAGAGAGCACGCATAGCATGATACCGGTGTGAACTATCTGTTCAATTGCATCAACAAGGAGGCAAGGAAAGAGTGAAGAGATGAAGAATATGGTCCGATAACGAGAACTGAATGCAGGAATGTGGCTGCAAGCCGATGAGGGGGGTCAATAAAAATGGAGATAAATTGATGAAAAAAAAACAAAAACAAAAGAGATAACAAAACTCAAAAGTGGACTAAATCCGGTTCTGGACTTTCACAGGATAATCTGCATCCTTTTAAAATTGCTCTTCTCTCTTAACCGGCTGCGCTCAACGCGGCGGTGCTGGCTTATCTGCAGAACACATACGAGTTTGTGGTCAAGCAGCCCCCCTTCAGAAGGCACAGCAAATTGGGAGTTGGAAACTTCATAATACATTTTCAAGCTGAACACATTCAGCTTTTCTCTGATGCTGAAAGATACGTTGGCGAGACTGAAAAGTACGTCTGACGCTTTAAAGAGATCCAACTCGAAATGGAAGGTGTTTGATTTACTTAAAAAACCGCCACAAACTGACGCCGAGGTGAGTGTGGAAGACCCTGGGGAGGTTCTTGGTGAAGACATGGTCAACAATTGCCAATGTTGTGATACTGTGGTGATTTTTCCTAAAACTTTTCCCAAATACCGATGTCTGGTTTGTAACACAACCAACATAATAATTGGTACTGTTGATGATTTGTATCCCGATAAAGAAGTGCCACATCCCATGTCACTTAGTCACATCAAGAAGCTTATCGAGCGGTGCTTGCAGACTGCCGAACAGTGTAAAAGGTCAAATCAACCAATATCGACCCACGACATATTTGAACCCTTATCTTCCTATCTTCATCAAGCATGCCGAACTTTTGCTTGTTTAAACTCTTCGTTCAAGATCAAAAAGTCAAGTAGAAAGGTGCACAGATCTGGCCCCAATATCAAATCCGATGACGTTAAAGAGGCATTCATGCTACTCACTAAGCTACCTACTTCGCGACCATTATATCTGGCGCTTCTGGGTCTTTCGTCTTTGTTAAAGCGAGTCTACCTCTCAATGCCAGATGACCCAAAGAACCTTTACTGGATCATGATTGTTCTCGAGATTCCGTTTCTCTCACATGCTTTAATCCATACGGAGAAAAAGTCAATGCTGCCTGTTCCAATGCTAGCCGTGGCAGAAATAAGAGCCATGTGCTACGATATTGTGAAGCGTTTGATAGGCATACTATCTCATTCCATGTCACCCGCGGCAACACCTTATCTTAGCAGCTGGTTTGCTAGGATGGACTTTCTCAAATTTGCATCTAAAGTTGACTTGATCAACTTGTACATAACTTTTCATCTAAAAAAGTACTTTTTGATGGCCAACAACCCAGAGGTTTCCAGACGAGGAAGCGCAACAGGGTCCCATCCTCGGTTGCACCCCACCGATAGAGAATACTTTGAGAGCTCGGTATTGAAAAATGATATAGAAGCAGAGCAAGAGGGCCGTTTGATCTCCACCAACTTACCTCCCAATACTTCAAAGAAGGGGAAGAAAGACACCAAGGTTCGTATACATCAGTATGGAACTGACTGGCATCTCAAGACAGCCTGTATGGTTTTATTATTTTGCTTTCGTGCCAATCGAATGAGACTCGAGACTGATAGACTTCTAGTCAGTGCATTCTATAATTCCCTTGTTGATTTCGTCAATATCAAGTTGGATTTTGACTTTTGGCAATCAAGCAAGAAGTTTCTGAACACAAAGAAGAACCAGGAGCAGCCTGAATTGCAGACTGTCATTGACTATATTCACGGACATAATTCCTTCAAGTATAACGATAAGGCATCGTTTTTCTTCTGCAACTATCCAATCTTGGTGTCCCTTGGTGGAAAGATAACCATCTTGGAATACGAGGCGAGAAGACAGATGGAACGCAAAGCAGAAGAAGCCTTTATCGATTCGCTCGATAAAAAGAAGGTTTTCGACCTCTATTTTAAGGTTAGGGTGCGCAGAGAGTATATTGTTCAGGACTCGTTACATTGCATTAAAACAAACACAGCTAATTTGAAAAAGAGTCTTCGAGTTCAGTTTGTCAACGAGCCAGGAGTTGACGCTGGAGGATTGAAAAAGGACTGGTTTTTGAATTTGACAAAAGTGATTTTCGATCCTTCAGCAGGTATGCTTACCAACGTCGACGAGTCCAACTTACTATGGTTCAACCTTGTTCCTGTTGATAATCACGAGATATATTACTTGTTCGGGTCTATATTGGGATTGGCCATCTACAACTCCACCATATTGGATTTGAGGTTTCCTTCAGCTATGTATAAGCTACTTTTGGGTCATCCAGTGGGGTTTGGTGATTACCAGCAATTGTTTCCCGAGTCAGCAATAAACCTAAGCAAGCTACTCGATTATCCTCCTAATGTTATTGAGAGCCTTGGACTTACTTTTGAAGTAAATTTCAAAGATCTGTTTGGAAGACTCCGTCAGAAGGAACTAGTTGCGGGAGGTTCAAGAAGATATGTTTCTGACGAGAACAAACATGAATATGTCGAGAGGTATTGTCAATTTTTCATGTATGACGGCATAGCAAACCAAGTTCAATTGTTTGTCAAAGGGTTTTCAACGGTTGTTAGCGGCAATGCCCTTTCCCTTTTTCTGCCTGAAGAGATTGAATTGCTTCTTTGCGGAAACGATGAAGGCAAGTTGAACGTTGAAATTTTACGGTCCATCACCAAGTACGTCGGCTTTAATGGTGAGCCCAATCAAAGCCAGCTAGTTACTTGGTTCTGGGAATACGCCAATGGACTCACGTACTCGCAACAGAAGAAATTACTTCGGTTTGTCACTGGCTCTGACAGGGTCCCTGCGACTGGTCTACAAAATATGGCGTTCAAAATCAGCATGGCTGGAAGCCGCGATACGGAAAGGCTTCCAATAGCACATACGTGCTTTAACGAATTGGCACTTTACAACTACAAAAGCAAGGAGAAGATGGTACGAAAGCTCAATATAGCCATCAATGAGAGTGCAGGATTCGGCTTGAAGTAGATAGAATATATGATAGAAGCATCCCCATAAGTTAAAATAAGACTTAAATTATGTAGTATAGTCTCAAACTACTTAGTATGGTCTCGAGCTACTTAGCACAGTCTGGTCAACACATTTTGACCAAGTTGCTGCCGCACCTTGGTCACCACCTTTCGCAGCCATTTCTCCGAACGTCAACTTGGGCCGCGCACGCCGGCGCAGCCAATGAGAACAACCGAAAATCGTGAAAATCATAAGGTACAGAGCACTTAGTTTATTCGAACCACCATGTCGATTGCATACAGAGCCATGAGAAGTGGCTTGGGCCTTAAAGGTATGTACTATACAGATGTGTGGAGCTCATAGAGTCATCCATGATTGCCACAGAAGCACATGTATAATTTTTCATCATGAAACTAACCCAGGTTCCGTTAGAGCATTGTCATCTTCGACCCAATCGTTGTCCAGCTACCAACAGCCCGACTTCTCAAGCTACTTGAACAACAAGACTGACCAAAAGAGCCGTAATTTCACCTACTTTATGGTGGGTTCTATGGGTTTGTTGTCAGCTGCCGGAGCCAAGTCGACCGTCGAAGCTTTCTTGTCTTCCATGGCAGCTTCTGCCGATGTGTTGGCTATGGCTAAGGTCGAGGTCAAGTTGGGAGCCATTCCAGAGGGCAAAAATGTCATTGTCAAATGGCAAGGTAAGCCGGTGTTCATCAGACATAGAACTGCCGAAGAAATTGATGAGGCCAACAAAGTGGACATCAAGAAGTTGAGAGACCCCCAAAATGATGCAGACCGTGTCAAGAAACCCGAATGGTTGGTGATGTTGGGTATCTGTACCCACTTGGGATGTGTGCCAATCGGAGAAGCTGGTGATTTCGGAGGATGGTTCTGTCCTTGTCATGGATCGCATTACGACATTTCTGGTAGAATCAGAAGAGGACCAGCACCATTGAACTTGGAGATTCCCGAGTACGACTTCACAGATGATGAGACCTTGCTTGTTGGTTAGCATATAGTATGTAAAAATAGATATTGAGGTAAAGACTAAATAACTTCAATCTTTCCACTCTTTTTGATCTTGTCTACATTCTATTTCTCTCGTGTCGTACATTCAATATCTAGCATGTTGTCTTTCGTTAAATGGATTCTCATCATCATAGGCTCCTCGTCCCTGGTACGAAGGCTGCGGTCCATCATCATATGCTCTTTGTCCTTGGTATGCGGGCTGCGGTCCATATCGCATGGGTGCAGCCACCGGCTGGTACATATTAGGATTATTATATGGACTTTGTTTCTCTTGGTAAACCACAGGCTTCGAAGAGCGACAACAGCAACAGCACAATGCTTCCAAGCAATTGACTCCCATGCACAAACACTGAATAATCGTTGATATGGCCCATAAAGCGACCAAAACAGCCAATACTATACCGACAATTGCAACAATTTTGCAGGTTTTATTGTCCATACAAGTATCCCATGACTTGAATGAATCGGCAGTAGATTTCACGTTGTCGCCAAAGTCTCGGCGAAATAAGTTGCTTCCAATATACATGTTTAAATTTATCAGTAAGATATCGATAGGAGATGCAGCCGCTTATAAGTATTTTTTCGTGCGGCGCAAATCTCCTATCTATTTTTAAAGCTGGTATAAGGCTGAGCAGAGCTAGTGATGACAGAACTGCGGCACAAAAAAATTTGGTAACCAATTAATTCCTGGTCGATCAATTGTGACTGATAAACCACATACTATAGCCTCCATTGGTTGGTATCAGGCATTTTGTCTCATATCGGTTTCATAAAAAAATGGCGATTCGCGTCCACTCTTGAGGGCCGCACTGCCTTTGCCAAGAGGCTGAGGATTAATTTTTATGCACCATTACTCCGGTCCAGTACAGGCGTGAAAACCCCGTTCGGTGCTTTATGGAGCCCACAGTCATGCGAAATGTTCTGGTTGTGCCACTTAGCCGGTTTAATGTTTGGAGTTTCAGAAACTGTAAATTGTAGAGTTCTTCTTCTTCTGTGCACCCGACTAAAGCACATATCTCTTTTGGCGTATTAAACTCTAATTCGAGTTGCTTGGACTGGTCTCTGACTATAAGCTTCAACGGAGCCACTTTGAGTGTTCTGTTGAACGGTTTAATCACAAATGGGGCTTGGGGGAACATGCCTAGAACGGTCACATCGACTACAAACACAAGCAGACGACCCAAATCCGACCTTGTCGCAGGAAGAGGAGGAAGCAGCGCAAGAGTGCAATGGCTGGAGTAGACACCGTTTGGTTGTGTAGCTCTAACGGCTACTTGGGGTTGGGTCAATTGGCGTTTTCGAGGTGATTCTTGGCCATTGGAAGTGTGGTGCTTTTTTTAGCCAGCTGTTGCGATTCAGCGCACACAACCTTGTGGTGAGGGCTCCTTCTTACGGGCCTCGTTGCAGTTGGCTTGTATCAGCCGGCTGTGTGGACAGCATCCGTAAGTTTGTGAGGCATTCGTCTTCCTGAGCTTTCCTTCTTCAGATTACATTTTGACCGAACAAAAGCTGCGGCTTCCCAGCACTTCCGGGCCGTCGATCTTTGGCGTTTCAGGCAGCACTTTTTCCGTCTTGACTTGCCTTCGCAAACTCGTAGGCTTCATGTCCAAATTCTCCTTTAGTTTCTCAACCACACCAATATAGGACCTAGTATTGAATCTGTTCAAGAGCTCTTGTAGTCTGAGGTCGCCTTGAGGAAACCAAAGTGGGGCATTTTCCAGGTCAATGATCCTGATACTTGTATAGGTCGCTTCTATGTACCCGTCGTATTTTTTGAGGGTGAATTTTACTAGAGCCACCAATCCCTCCAGTGTCATATTGCATTTGTCTTTGTCATGGAAGTCGTACTGGTCAATGATTTGAGGAGCCTTCTGCTGAAGAAGACCAACCACTTTCGGAAACTTTGCACACAGAACATTGACGGTGAATACTTCGTCTATATTTAAAAAACCATCCATCATGCCGTCTATGATGCGAAATTCAGTAGGTACTTTATCTGACTTTAATATTCCTCCAGCTACCGTAGTATTCCTGTTGGGGGTTAGATCCGTGAACACCAAGTACCCAGGTTCCCTTGTGTGTCCGCCCTTTCTCCGGTACGCTGCTAGAAGGAACATTGGAAGCTCGAACTCGGGTTTTTTATCGCCTATCGCTTTGGGTAGAGGTAGCTGGCTGATATTCTGACATGTTGTTTGGGTCATTTTTATGCCTCAGGAAAAGTAGTAGTGAGTTGCTGAGATATAATGAGGCGTTTCGAGCTTCCTCCAATGTCCGCTACACCACAATGTTCAACTGTTAATGCAGTCAAGGCAGTAGTTGGTGCGTCGCGGTCTGTATATTTTTGTACTGCAGATGGAACATTCTTTATACCACTTGTGCATCATATATGGCAAGTAAGTAGCCACTAATATATGTCTTGAACGCTGACTAACGACAGAAAAGGGACCGCCCAAGTTGGGTAAACGTGCTCAAGCAATCTTGGAGCAAAAGGAACAATCACCACAAAATGCCGAAGAGTTTCTAGAACAAGGTGCTGCCGATGAAGAGTCTGGTGATCGTTGGTTTGGATCTGATGTAACAAAAGCGCTCAGATTCTATCAAAAGGCATACGAGCTGTATTTGGCATGCATTCGAATGGCTCCCGGTCAGTTTCCCGATAGTTACTACAATGCTGCTAGGCTTCTTTTTCATGTCTATAACCACTACGTGAGTGCCGAAGAAGTTAATGTGGAAACTTTGGAAAATGTTGGAAACGCTACGTCTGGAAACGCTGAGAGTGTCATGCAGCCAATTGCTGTGGTTTTACGTGCTCATGAAGAAGCATTGAGGTTTGCTGGACTGACTCCTTCCATCGATCTCATCTACAACTATGCTCTAGTTCATACAGCATTTCTCGAAGACGAAGATCCGAGTCTCCCTGATACTTTGAGCTATGGTAGCGCTGCTATACAGCTTTTTCAACAGGTTTTGACAAAGCAAGTGGAGGAATTGACTAGCTTTGCTGCCGAGATAAAGGAACTAGTAAGTCCAGAATTGTCTTCTACAACTGATGTGACTGAGCCCAATGTGATTCCCGATGCTTCCCTGTCTGGAATTAGTCCTACAAAAGAAGAGCACACTAGTGAAGAGGTTTTGCAACCTGTGGATGTCTTGGACACAGTTGTTGCAGCGTATAAACTTGCATTGGCCATGGTAGAATGTACCATTTCCTCTGATATTTCTCCAGTTGTCGACATTGTCCAGCCTTTTTTGGAGTCCTGTGATACGATAGCATCAGAATTGATGACAAGTTTTAGTATTTCCACCAACCAAACCCCAGAAATGATATCTTCAATTGAGCCTGAAAACTACGACGAATACGCTGTGAATAGAGCCTTCCTCCATTCTTTTGCTCATATTGATGACGCAGCAACATACATCAACTACTGGAATCAGGATTCCTTGCCAAGAACACCAGACAGGTATATGCTTTCAGCCGATGGACTAGGATTGTTTCTTGAAAGACACTCATTAAATGTGAAACTGGCACATGCCGACCAAGCAGCCACCTTGTGGAAATGTTTATCTCAAATGAACACTTACTATAAATCTGCTCAGGATTTGTTACAAGCTCAATACCTGCAAAAAGCCAAGGCTCCATCTGGAACAAACGAAGGACTCGGCAGCCTTATCTCGCAAGTGTGTAAAGTGACCATTGCCCGAGCAGACATTGAAGTGCAAAGGTGCCAATTAGACCAAGAATTGGCCCGCAAGAGTCGTGAAGTATTACTTAAAAATGCAAAAACTCTTCTCAAGAATGCCATGAAAATGGCAGAAACCACCGGAGGATTGCGGGAAAAAGCTACTGAGAAACTCGGTAGGGAAAAAAGAAGGTCAGAAATTGTTCTTCGACTTTGTCTTCTCGAACAAAAGATATCCACTGCCGAATTGGATTCGATAATGGGACGAACTCGATGGACTGCGGAACTTCCTCTTCTCAAAGAACTTGATATCTACGGAAATTGGGGTATTCATAAAATCGTCACGTAATCTGCATAAAATCATCTAAATAATAGTCTATAAAATGGGGGCTTCAGTCATATTAATATTGACAGAATAGTTGGCTCTGAAATCTTCCGGCGGCGGTGTGCACACAGACGCTTCAAATAGGGAACTATCTATGAGTTGTATGGATATGGAGTGTGATCGGCTATTCTGTACTATTATATTTAGTATATTGACTTTTAAAGCGTACATTAGTACCAGGATCACCTTCATTTTGGAAGATAGAGAAATCCCATTTATTATAATCTAGATGAATTAGCTAAATGCGTGCACGTGCCCACGACAAATACATTGATCACAGAAAGAGTAAATAAAGTACACCCGGTACACCACTTATACGGTTGCAAGTTACAATAATCTATTCACACTATATACATATTTAACCCATCAACTTGTCGAAGGCGGGAATCAACGACTGTGCCAACGCAAACGAGAAAACCAATTTAGGACCTGTAGTCAACAACTTTGGAGTCAACCCTTTGAAGAACGATGTAAAACCTTCGTTCTTGGCCATGTTTCTCAAAATGGTAAGTCCAGATTCTGGATTGTCAAAGTTTTTGTTCTGGATCCGGGTCTTGATCACATCAAGCGGCGCAGACACGATCAACGACGCCGAGGCACCCACAATTGATGTCACAAAATTTTGGGTCCAGGTGGCAGAAGAGTAGTCTTTCAAGCCAAAGATGTATTCCTTGGCAAACGAATTACCACCGAAAAGGGCAAACGAACCAGGAGCGTTTCTGGCTGCGGTCCATCCCCAGCCTCGGTAAAGACCGAAACCTTCGTCTGCCAAAATTTTCAAGAACCCACGACCACGGAAAGACTCTGGGTTTGTTTGACGCTTAATTTTCAAAACATCCAATGGCAACAACACAACCTCACCAATTCCAATCAACGAACCCGCGGTGGCAGACAACAAAGCCTTTCCGGTCTTAGGACCGAACCATGACTCATAAGTGTCTTTGAAGTTGGCGGTCAAAAACTCATTTGCGAACGGTTGACCTCCGTATTTGTAAACTCTTTGCAAAATTTTGTAGCAGGCAGCATAACCAAGGCCAGGGAACAAGGTGAAAAGTCTGGAAACCAAAGCCTTCAGAGCATGTTCCCGAAAAATGACAGAATTAAGCTGAGCGGCAGATGCGATTTTTCCATGATTCGACATCAATCTCTTGGATATGGTATCCACAGGGTGGAAAACGGCAATTTCGCAAATTCCGGCAGACGCCGATCCTAAAACACGGGCAGTACCCGACTGCTTCTTGTCTGTGGCAGCTGGAGGAGACATTCAAGTGGTAGGGAGCCTTTGGAAATTTTTCACCGCGGCTAATCGCTGGTCCTGCACCCATGCCGCGCCCGCGGTGCCAGCTCTTTTACCACCCTTCACCATTTGTGTCTTTTGCACTCCCATTTCTAAGCATCATGTCCATCGTAGATGACTATGCTAGGAGTCTCAACGAGCTAACTTTCAACTCCCAGCCCATAATCAAAACGCTAACTGATATCGCAGGCGAAAATGTTGGTATGGCGGAGGGCATCGCCAATGCCATTTTCAACCGGATTTTAAAATCGATTCCAGAACAAAAATTATTTGCTTTGTATCTCCTCGACTCAGTGTGCAAGACGATCGGATCTCCATATTCCGATATTGCTGGCTCCCAAGTTTTCAACTTGTTTTCTCATGTTTATATGTTGGTTGGTGATGCGGTGCGACAGAAGCTTGTTAAGTTGTTTATCACATGGAAGCAAACCATCACTCGAGATGGGCAGCCATTGTTTCCTCATAGCCAACTAGACCGAATTGAGCAGTTTTTGCAAAAAGCAGGAAGAAACATCAATAATGGAGGCGGTGAAAGTGCCATCTCGAACTCATCGGTGATTGCTGATATCCAGACCTTGATACCTATTTTTGAAAACAAACTCATCAACAACCCCGACCCTCAGCTTTCTGGCCGGTACGAGGCACTCAAGCTGCTCGAAGCTCTTCTCCAAAGTCAACCCATGAACGCTCAAGAACTCCAAGCTGTACAAGTTCAGCTAGCCACCATGAAGCAGCAGGAATTGAGTGGTTTAAACACCCCTGTTGTCACTCCATCAAGCACCGCAGTCGCCACACCTTCCGTCACCCCGGCATCTACCCCTGGACTTCCCCAAGCGCTGTTGGTATTGAGTCAAAATAAACGTGCCAACGATCTCTTCAGTGTGCTCATTGCTTCGGGCCTTGTCAAAGTCGAGCAATCGCTCAAGCCGGGATCTGTACCCAAGTACGAACTCGTATTCCCAGCCACAAAGTATGAGCCTCGCAAGAAAACCCAAGTAACCAATAATGCATTGGAGCAATTGCTTTCAAGTGCCAATTCAAATATCGTACGGTCTGCGTACGACCAGCTCAAATTTAATGAGCTTCTGCATCTCCCCATCGATTCCAAATCTCCAGCAAAGGAATTACAAGATTTCATTAATACTAAAAAGGTTTCTACCAAGACACTTGCTCTACTCTACGATGCGAAACCTTCTCAATGTAGCAGTTGTGGTAAGCGCTTCTCTACTGATGATATGGGTAAAAATAGAAAAAGAATGCATTTAGACTGGCATTTCCGTATCAACAAAAAGCTTGCTACCAGATCCAATGTGCAATCTCGGAATTGGTACTTGGACGATGTTGATTGGGTCAAATTTAAGGAAGATGATTTGCTTGAGTATACTACCACCGAACAAAAGGCTATTGCGGCAGCTCCTCCAGTTCCTACCAAGAACGAGCCAGTGCCTTATGTGGTGGTTCCGCCGTATGAAACCAACATGAACAACAAATGCTTGATATGCCATGAACCAGTTAATGCCGTGCAAAATGAGGATATTGGAGAATGGTGCTGGTACAATTGTATACGGGCACCAGGTGAGCCCAAGACCAGCCGCAAGATTGTCCATGCTACATGCTTCAATGAAACCAAACGAAAAGCGGGTGACGATATTTCACCTCCAGCCAAGAGAGAGCGAGTATAACTACCCATGTATAAAGTATAAGGCTATACACAACTATATTTACATTTAACTTACTGGCCCAAACATTTCAAGATGTCAGTCCACACCTTGGAGGGCTTTTGAGAAGCGTCAATTCCTGACCAGATGCCCGACTTTTTGTAGTACTCGACAATAGGCTCGGTTTGCTTGTGGTAGGTACCCAATCTTTTCTTCAACGCTTCCTCGTTGTCGTCGGATCTTTGCACCAATGGCTCGCCGGTCTGGTCGTCGGTCATCTCCTTCTTTGGTGGGTTGAAGAGCTTGTGGTAAGATCTTCCCGAAGCTGGGTGAACCAAACGACCGGTGATTCTGTCCACCAACAATTGGTCCTCGATTTTCAACTCAACAGCTTTTTGCAAAGGAGTCTTTCTGTCCTCCAACATGGAGTCTAATTTCTCGGCCTGGGGAATGGTTCTTGGGAACCCGTCCAAAATAAATCCCTGGGAACATTCCTTGTTGTTTTCCAACTCGGACTTGATCATGTTCACCATGATCTCATCAGACACCAAACCACCTTGGTCCATGATTTTTTTGGCCTGGACACCCAACTCGGTCTTGGCTGTCACCTGTGCCCTCAACATATCTCCAGTAGCCAAGTGACAAGCGCAAAACTTTTCCTTCAAGTTTGGAGCTTGGGTTCCTTTTCCAGCACCAGGAGGTCCAATCAACACCATTCTAATGGATTTGGGAACATTTGGAACGATTCCGGCCTTCTTTTCCAACTGGGTGATTCTGTCTTGCAATTGGTTCACTACTTGCTTCAAATCGTCTGACATGGTATGTGTTGGAGATATGCGCTGTGATTGGACTTTTTCATCGCCCGACGGTTTTGTGTAACGTGCGGTTTTAGGAACCGGGGTCCGACGAGCTGCAGGACCAGCCGGTGGTCCGGCTCCGGTGATAGACTGCGCTCAACTTACTATGTATATAAGTAGAGAGAGTTCTAATTAGTGTTTCAATTAAAGTTTTAATTTATGTGATATTGGTATTTTCAGCTTTTTTTGCAACTTTTCATTTTGCAACTTCGCATTCCATCTCCCCGCAAATTGCATATGACAATGAACTTATAACTACAGGTTTCGCAACGTCCACTCGACCAACTTCTTCTCATGATCAGTGCAATTGGATTTTTGACCCTATTGTCGATTCCCATTCGAATTTTAGTTGTGATTTTCAAGTACTATGCGGGAACCATTCCGTACAGAAAGTTCCGAAACGACTTGCGCCAATGTATTAGAATGACCATTTTCCGAACCGCGTTGAGTCTCACCAACAAAGACTGCTACTACATTGCACTTCTCAGCAATAGGTTCATTTTGAACAAAGTGATGAAATTGAAGCACAAAACTATCGCCGACCGTCTTCCTGGCTACGGTCTGAGGTACGATGCCAATTCGTTGTGGTTGGTAAAACAGCCAAACAGAAACAACGACGACCCAATTATGATATACAGCCATGGTGGCGGGTTCTTCTTGCAAACAGAAGCTCCGCAGGTCGAATCCATGCTTGCTATGTACAAACTCTTGGACGAAGACAAAAAGAAGCGAATTTCCATTCTCGCCTTGGACTACAAATTGACGTCCCATGGGTTTAAAGTACCGTACCAATTGGGTCAATTGCACGAAACGTACCAGAGATTGGTGGATGCTGGCAACACTCATATTATTCTTGCCGGTGACTCTGCTGGTGGAAACTTATCCATTGGTTATACTCAATACCTTAAACGATACTCCACGAAATCTCCAATTGTGTATCCCAAAACCTTGCTCTTGTTAAGTCCATGGGTCAATATCGTTCCTCATGACGACGCGTTCACCCCATCCAAATCGTTCTTTGATAACGACGGCTACGACATGATTCGGCACAGTTATTTCACCGAGACCGAACTCCGCGATATGTTCGATGTTGATGTCAATGATCCTATGATCTCGCCCGTGACCCAGCCAGATATAAAGAGAGAGGATTGGGACTTGCCCAACTACCGTAATCCTAATCACAATATATTTCTTTTGTGTGGAGAAGACGAAGCGTTCCGCGACGATATCTTGAGATGGGCCGAAGGTGCGTTGGACGTGCCGTATTTTTCTACCATCAAATACGGCAATTCCGATCAATTGTTCAACCTCAAGACTCACCTGCACCTCCGCAAGGGAAACCCCAATCATTGCCGCTTAGACTTCTATATTGAGCCGTGGGGAGTCCACGATGCTGCACTCTTTTTCGAGAACCATCTTCTCAAACGCATCCTCAAAGTGGAGAAAAGTGGGGGTACAATCAGCTTTAGGGATTTAGGGGATGAATTCTTCGGACTTAAACGTGCTGCTTCATTCTTGAATGACGTAATATGAACTAGATATGGACTATAAAGATGCGAACTATCCATGCATTATCTACCCCACATTCTCCCCCGCACTCTGAAAAATATGCTCTCAGCCGGAACCATTTGCAAACTTGCAACCCTTCCAGTACGACTTCTATGGGTGACCATTCTGTACTATTTGGGCTACCCTGCGTTCAGGAGATATCATAACGACTTAATTTCCTGCCTCAAATTGACGTTTTTCAGAGATGTCTTGGCATATAGTTTTCCCGATTACCAGTATATTCCCAGTCTTTCCAATGACTATATTATTAATAGTGTGTTGCCATTGGCATTCGGAATAGAAAAAGAACTGATCCCTGGATACGGTACACGCCATGATAAGAATTCTATTTGGCTTGTCAAGCAACCTGATAGGAAACCATCCGATCCAATCTTGATCTATCTTCATGGTGGAGGTTACTTTTTGCAAACAACCCCAACCCAACCGGTATCAATGCTTTCCATATACAAGCTTCTTGACCCTGAGATTCAGTCCAAATTGTCCATTTTGTATCTAGACTACAAATTGACCTCAAGAGGGTTCTCCGTCCCTCACCAATTGGGCCAGTTACATGAAACATACGAGGCTCTCATAGACGCTGGAAACACCAATATTATGTTATGTGGAGATTCTGCAGGCGGAAACTTGGCCGTGGGATACACTCAGTACTTGAAGAAAGTCGGGAGTCGTCATTTGGTTCAACCAACAGCATTGGTTCTCATCAGTCCTTGGCTTGATATCAAGCCAACTGATGAAAATTGGCAGCCATCTCGTTCATATTATGAGAATGAAAAGCGCGATATGATCAGGTTTGGTGCTTTTAAAGGCGATATGCTCAAGGAAGGTTTTGGAACCGTTGATCGCAGTGACCCCATATACTGTCCTGCCCAACATCCAATTGACAAAGCTGATTGGGAAATCGACTGCTATAAAGATGCCAACCATAGTGTATTCATGGTATGTGGTGAGGATGAGTCTTTTAGAGACGAAGACTTGAGATGGGCAGAGGCGGTATTGGATGTTCCTTTGTACTCATCTGTTCGCTACGGGAACTCAAAAGGAAAGTATGATCCTCAAATCCACCATTTCCATCGGGATGGAGATACCAACCATTGCAGAACCGATGTCTACGTTGAGCCATGGGGTATTCATGATGCTGTCTTTTTTTTCGAGAACCCAGTCATAAGTGAAATTAATGCGGCCGAGGCTAAAGGTCTGAAACTTGGTTATGATGACTTGAGTGACAAATATTTCGGTATCAGGCGGGCGGCAAAGTTCCTTAATGATATTATTGGATAGGTTCTTAAGTATCTCAAATTGACTTTTTGCACCCAAAAATTTTGTTCCCCTGCATGTGTCAATGCACCTCACGGTTTACCCCACATTCGAATTTTTCTTTCCAATGTTTTCACTTCGTGGTTTATTGAACTTACTTTCGCTTCCCATAAGGCTCTTGTGGGTCACTATTCAATACTTTAATGGTTCAGTTCCATTCAGAAAGTATAAAAATGATTTGATCTCGTGCTACAAGATGACATTTTTCATTGCCTTTTTGACAATGAATTTCGGTGACTACAAATATATTCCTGCTCTCAGCAACGCCTATATTATCAACAAAATTCTTCCAGGACGATTCAAAATTAGAAAGGAGACACTTCCTGGTTATGGTGCTCGTTACGATGCCAATTCCATCTGGCTCGTCAAGCAACCTCACCGGAAGCCAACAGACCCAATTATGATTTATATCCACGGTGGTGCATATTTATTGCAGACTGTTCCAACTCAACCTGCTTCCATTGTGGCGGTTTACAAACTTCTTGACAAAGACGTTCAATCGAAACTTTCAATTCTATTTCTCGACTACAAGTTGACTTCCAAAGGGTTCAAGATTCCCCACCAAATGGGTCAATTGCACGAAACCTACACCAAATTAGTCCTGGAAGGGAACAAGAATTTGTTTCTTTGTGGAGATTCTGCTGGTGGAAACTTGGCTGTTGGTTACACTCAGTATTTGGATAAGGTTGCAAGTCGCCATATTCTTCGTCCCAAATCATTGATTCTTATCAGTCCTTGGTTGGACATGAGTCCTGGTGACGAGAACTGGAAACCTTCTCGATCCTATTACCAGAACTACAAGTATGATATGATCAAGTTTCACTCGTTTAAAGGCGACAAATTCAAAGATTCTTTTGCATGTGAAAAAAATGATATTCTTTATTGCCCAGGAAAAGATCCCATTAAGAAAGAAGATTGGGACATTGAGTGTTATACCGACTCCGACCATAGTGTTTTCTTGATTTGTGGAGAAGACGAGAGTTTTAGAGACGAAGATTTGAAATGGGCAGAAAAGGTGTTGGACGTACCGTCATATTCCTCTGTGAAATATGGTTATTCTACTGGCAATTTTGATCCAGAAATTCACCACTTTCATCGAATTAGTGACGTGAACCACTGTCTTGCTGAGGTTTATGTCGAGCCCTGGGGAATTCACGAAGCCAGTGTGCTTATGGAAACCGAGATTTTGTTCACTATCAATTCAATTGAATCAGAAGGTGGAAAATTGAGCTTTCGTGATGTGAGCGATAAGCATTTTGGAATCGTACGTATTGCAAAGTTCTTGAACGATATAATTGAATAGATAGTATCAGTCTAGCTCTATAAGATTAGTGTTGGAAAGTGTGGATCTCGGGGACATGCTCAACTTTAACAAGCGGTCTATAAATGGGTCTCCACATTTGTGATTGAACCCACTTTAAACACTCATTGAAGTCTCGAGGTACATGGACCATTCCTCCGTCTGGTCTCTTTTCGCTTTCTACTCTGGAGGTACCTTCTTCTAAGGATTGTAAGATGAAAGCAGTAGCTACCTTAGCGCTCACCTCGTCGATTTCTTCCAATCTGGGAAGCAATCCGTTTTTAGGATTCTCCATCTTGGGAGACAACGATGCAAGTTGGTCAACGGCAGCAGAAATCATGGAGTCGGAAATGGTGGAACATCTGGACAAAACTGCTCCCAAACCAATTCCAGGGAATGTGAAGCAATTATTGTTCTCGGAAATGACATATCCATTGACAGGTTGGAAGGGTGATCCGGTTGCAATCAATGCATTGTTATCAGTCCATTTCATCAAGTCCTCTGGGATAGCCTCGTGCAAACGAGTAGGGTTTGACAAGGGGAAAATGATTGGTTGCTTATTGTGCTCGTACATGGCTCTCACCACTTCTTCAGTGAAAGCTCCCGGTTGTGTGGAACATCCCACAAGGGCCGTAGGTTTAACCTTTTTGATCACTTCCACCAAATTCTTTGTATCGATACCCTCCCAGTCGGCATCGTCATCAGCATAGCGTTTCTGGCCCTCGGTAGAATCATCATAAGATTTCAAAATCAAACCTCTTCTGTCCATACAGTGGATGGACTTGCATGCTTCTTCTGTGGTAGCACCATGGCTGCGCATATGGTTAACGATTTGATCTGCAATTCCCAACCCTGCGGAACCTGCTCCGTAAATCAACACTTTGGAGTCAAGAAGATTACGATTTGTGAATTTCAATGCTGCAGTCATCGAGGCCATAACCACAGCTCCGGTACCCTGGATATCGTCATTGAATGAAGGAATTGCTTGGCGATATTTGTGTAACATTGTACGTCCAGTGGAGACGCCAAAGTCTTCGTAATGGAGTACTGCGCTAGGAAACCGTTCTTTGACTGCGGTGATGAACTTGTCGATAAAGTCCCAGTATTGTTCACCACGGACTCTTGGAAACTTGTTGCCCATGTACAAGTCGTCAGAAAGAAGTTTTTCGTTATTAGTTCCCGTATCCAACACAACTGGCAAAGTTCTACCAGGATGAATACCTCCACATAATGTCATAAGTCCCAATTTTGCAATTGCAATTCTTACACCACCCACACCTTGGTCTCCGATACCCAAGATGCTCTCTCCATCAGAAACGACAATGTAGTCGATATCTTTGTCTTCTCCGTAGGACGCAAGACGCTGAGGAATGCTATCAGGATCATTGATATCTAAGAAACATCCTTCAGGTTTACGGAACCGATGGGAGTATGCGGCAATGGCATCTCCTTCAGTGGGAGTGTAGATGATGGGTAACATTTCACGAATGTGTTTTCTGACCAATTCATAGTAAAGAACCTTATTCTGCATTCTCATCGACACCAAAAAGTCATTTTTGGCTAATGGTGTTTTCAAGTAGGAAAATTGGGCATATGCTCTCCCCACTTGTTCCTCAAGGGTATTGACCTGGGAAGGTAATAAACCCGTCAATTTGAATGCCTCACGTTCTTGTCTGGTGAACGCTGAACCCTTGTTGAAAATTGGAGAGTTAAGAATTTGAAACCCTTCGAGATCACATTCAATGGCCCCTTCAATTGACAAACGGGTAGTCTTGGGTTTAAGAGATTCTATAGCAGCTCTTATTCCCACTGGGGTTTTGATGGTATGTGTGTGCACAGACTGGTGCTCGGCATTAGCTGCCGCCTTCTTGGCCAGACTAGAAAGAAACCTGAAGTTACGAAGCATGATTGCAAAGAAAGGAACCGATTTGGAAACCGATGTGGAAAGCAAGATTGAAGAAATCGGCTATCGGGAAATGCGGCTGAGCGGGCCAGCGGAATGGGGCTGAAAAAGGATGTACTAAAACCACGACACCTGTGGCTAATAAATTTTCTGGAAATGCTGCAAACGAGATCAATTAATATGGTGTTGCTTCGTGCATATGTCCGCGGTAAGAATCGGGACCAGTAGCGGGGCGTTGCCGCGATCGGAAGGTGAGGGGAGCGGAATCGGCGGTGGCTCAATATGGCAATTGTAGAGGAGTAATTGCTTGACAGGTAAGTGTACAATTTATAGAGTGTGGAGGTGATTACTAGAATGTCAAAACTTTAGAGTAGGTTGGTGTGCTTGGCTTTTGGATCTGAATTTTTCCGGCGCCGAAAGTCCGGTTCCATCTCCGACTCCGCGATGGGTCGGAGAATTTCGGAACGCGGGAGGGGTGCAGGCGTCAGTCCACCCAACGCAATAGTGGGGTGTACGGCGTTGGGGAGAGAGACGGTGCAAGGAGGGCGCAAGAGGGTTCAATAAAAGGATGGGGGCATGAGTGGGGGAGATTGTTTGTGAATTTTTGAGCTAGTCAGAGATCGCACTGACATAATTATCGTAGCCTTATCATTTCGTGGATTTTTTTTTTCGCAGCCCTCCAGCCGCACCTGAAGCAAGCCTTTTGGTTCGCGTACTCTCACCATCGTCTTCAGCTTTCGTCTCATTGTCTTTCTTAACTTTTGTCTCACCGTCTTCCGCTTTCTTTTTCACTTTTTTGACTTTTTCTTTCTCTTTGTCTTCCGTCTTTTGATTCTTTAGCATTTTTTGCAACTCGGGCACAAAACACGATGTCCTTCCACCAACGGTTCCATGGTCAACTTGGTAGCCTTCTTTTGTTTTGCTCTTTTCTTGTTTTCTGCCCTTTCCCCATCGATATGGCATGAGCCAATTGTCTGGAAATTGCGTCACTTCTCCCTCCACAGAGACACAATACTCACAAACATATATGAGAGCATTGTAAAGTTCCTTAATAACCTGGCTCACATTTCCATCATTAGATATTTTACTGGAAATTACCTCGTTGGGATGAAGCCGAGCATGGTAGATGATCTCATCTGCTACCCAGTTGCCGACTCCAGAGAATAATTCTTGCTCCAAAAGCATGCTTTTGATGGGTTTTTTCTTTAGTAAAACCAAATCGTTAAATTCTTGTAACAGAAGCCGTGGTCTACCATGATGGTGAGGATCAGGATCTCCATACACAAATTTATCCGTGGTTTTTCCCTCTGCCAGCTTGGAATAATCAGGACCTAAAGATTTGAGAGGAGCCTCTTCCATCAATAGTTCGTCACTTTGAACCGTTTCTCCTGTTAAAAGTCTCACTCGTCCAAGTCGCCGAGGGTCCACGAATGCCAATTCAATCACCTCTCCATTTTCTCTCTCGAGATCCATTTCAAACTTGACGAATTTGGGCGGCCATTCTTCATCTTTTACATCGTCTTTCGTATCCTTATCGTCTTTCGGAACCGTAACTGTTTCCGTAGTTTCTTGCTTGACCGCAACCTTCATTTTTTCTAGAACCTTTTTGTCGCCTCCATTCTCCATAAAAGTCAAATGAGAGTCGATATTGCGTAACTTGATCATTCCGGTCATTCCAAAATGCATCAAAAGGACTCCACTAGGAGCTTTGGCCAAATCAGGTCCATTGGCCAAGTTCAATCGCATCCAGAAATACTTGCCATGTCTGCCCACAGAGTCGATCCGGGAACCCAAAAGGGTGTTTTTCATTGTTTCCACCTCATTTTCAGCATCCACAGCTGTTTTCAAAGCAGGAAAAAGCAACGGATCATTTTTCAAAATCACACTAGAAATCTTACACCCCAAGACATTGCGTCGTAAAAGAGCCACAACGTGAGCAACCTGTGTTAGAAAGGCTTATTGTGCTACTGTAGTTGGTGGTACATACTTCAGCGACTTCAGGCATTATCAAATTAAAAAAAGCAAAAAAAGAATGCTCCACGGCAGGTTCGAACTGTCGACCTTCAGATTTCACAGCGCGCGAACGCGAACTATGAGACTGACGCTCTGCCAACTGAGCTAGTGAAGCATCCGCTGGTCGAAACCGAACGTGCGGGATTAAGACGTTGCTCGCACACCTTTGGCTTATTGTGCGGTTTATCTTTACTTCCTGTCTTCATCACAAACTCTTGCCACACCATGAACAGACTATTTGGAGCCAAAAACACCGCACCAAAACCGTCCCTAGATGACGCTGTAAGCAATATTTCAGATAGAGTGGGCTCACTTGACGTTAAACTCACCAAAATCAACTCTGAACTTTCCACTTATCAACAGAAAATGGCACGAATGAGAGATGGACCCGGGAAACTGGCGTTGAAACAAAAGGCACTCAAGCTCCTTCGACAGAGAAAGCAAATTGAGAGTCAAAGAGACCAGCTTGAGAACCAATCATGGAATATGACCCAGGCACAAATGACGACAGATAACCTAAAGAATACCATGATTACGGTGGACGCCATGAAGGCAGCAAACAAGCAATTGAAGAAGACATACGGCAAGATCGACATCGATAAGATAGAAGCATTGCAGGACGAAATGTTGGATCTTATCGACAAATCGAATGAGCTCCAGGAATCGCTTCTGATGTCGCAAGATGTGGCTGACGATATCAGCGAATCAGAATTGGATGCTGAGCTTGAAGCCTTGGGAGAAGAGATGGACTACGAGGCTGAAATGACTGAGGGTATACCCAGCTATTTGAGTGAAGAAGCGCCAGCCGCGGACAACCTTCCCACGTTCATTGACGAAGAGGAGGAGAAGACGAAGATTGCGGAGTAAAAAAAAGGGGAATAAGTACTCCAAAGAGAGCGGAAAAGGGAACAAAGGTGACAATAGTGGTGAAAAGAAGGGAACCAGAGCAACAATTGAGTGGATTAAAGTAATGACGTAAATTGGTGGAATGAAATGAATGGTGGAGATTTCTACTTCACACGCCTGATTGCCATAAAGTAGTTGCCCACCAGCGCTGTCTCAGTGAATTTCCAGCCGTACGCCGGCAAATATATACATCCTTTGCTGTCCGTGACGACAAAGTCGGGTCTATTGGTCTTGACCCAATCACTTATTTCATACTCATTAATATACTTTTCCACATTGTGGGTGCCCACAGGGACAATACGGAGTATATGCTCTCCCATGAAAATGGTAGTGAACCAACTGATAGGATCACGGTTGATGGTAGAGAGAAAAAGCCATCCGCCCACCTCGAGATGATCCATGGCCGCACTCAACACTTGGGCTGGATACTTGACGTGTTCCAACATTTCGAACATGGTTATGACATCGTACTTTTCCGTGTCTTTGACATCTTCAATTGCCTGTAATTCGTAGCTAATTTTACCCTGGTCTCGTAATATGGGATCTTTCTTCATATGGAGCTTCGCAGCTTCAATGACATCTGGCGACAAGTCGATGCCTTTCACATGGTCTACGTACTTGAGACGGGCCATTGACTCGGCCAAGATACCCCCGCCACATCCCACGTCGAGAACTTGAAGTTTGCTCTCATCTAGCAACTCGTCCCTTTTCAGTTCCTGCTCATCAACGATTCGCAATCGTATAGGACGAGGAAGTAGGTCCAAATTGTACGGCGGAATATAAATACTCTCCTCCTCGGGAGTATCTTTGCTATTCAATTGGAGATTGGTTCGTATCGTGTCCACTATGAAGTCCATTCGAAGTAAGTTCATCTTGTGCAAGATCCGCTGTGGACCATTTACATCCCACCAAGTGGACGCGAGAGCATTAAAATGCTTTAATTCGTCTTCGCTGGCGGTGGTGAGCTTCGATGCCCATCTTCGACCTCTGCACCTGTCTTGCGAGCCGAGAAAAAGCAGCGGTGGCTGCTATACGTGGTCTCATGTATAAAGAGTTGAGAAATTCAAAGTCGGCGAAATTGCGAAATTGCAAACTTGAACTTTACATGGCCGAAGAAGGACTCGCTACCCTGCGCGCACGCCGAGCAAATGCGGGCTCCAGGCTCAAGCAGTTGATAGCTATGGAAGACGACGTTTCGGAAAAGCAACGTTTTGTGCCCGATGAGGAAGATGAAGTGGCACTTTTGTTTGCGGAAGATGAGAACGATGAAGAGGTTCGATCCAGCAGCGATGACGAGGAAGGCCTGGAAAACGATAATGAAGATGACGAGGACAATGCCAGCGCTGATGAGCAGTCAGATAATGAAGATCAAACCAAAGAAGTTTCAGGATCTCGCAAAAGAGCCACTCCAGACGATGAAATGCTTTCGTCTTCTGATCTTTCTGGATCTGACACAGACGAAAGTGAAGGAGAAAAAGAACTAGAAAACCAGGAAAAACTCAAGAAACGTAGACAGCGACGAGCCAAGACGGTGGTACCTGCTATCAAGAAGCTCAAACCTGCACCACCCAAGCCTAAACCAAAGAAGCAATTGACGGCGTCCGAATCGCTCATGCGATCACAGAGATCTTCCTCGCGAGCCTCTGCCATCGAAAGCAAACAAGCGTTGGTGCAAAAGTTGAAAAAGGACGAAAAAAGACGTGCTGCAATGGCACCGGTGGTTCGTCCCAAATACGTCGAGCTCACACAAGAAGAACGGCTTCTTGAAGCAGTGGAAACCGAACGAGTAAATGTCAAGTCGCTTAACGAATTCATGGACCAAGAAACTCCAAAAAAAAGAAATGCAGCGCCAACTTTTGCTTCTGAGGCGGAAGAGGCTTCGAAATATCATTCGTTTGGTGAGTCAGGAGTCTTTTGTAACTCCTACTGAAGAAGTCGAAGAGGCTCGCTATGTACATGACTACATCAACGGACGGCTGAAGAAGAAACCTGGACGCAAAAGAAAGGAGCGTGAAGAGAGGAGAGAGCGTTTACCTGGTGACATTGATCCTGATTTGCCATACTATAGACGAGAGATGTGGGAAAAGCGACTCAAAGTTGGAGGAAGATTTGCGAAAAAAGGCAGAAAAGGTACGACTGTGAAAAGAATGCCGATAAAAAGGATGTCGTTTCTGTGGATGAATCTTCTGAGCGGAAAGAAGGTGAACCGGTTGCAGAAAGCACTGAAAAGATCAGTGTGGAGCAGCCAGAAAAAGCTGCATATTCTGGAAGATGCCAAAGAAATCAAGGAGATTAAAGAGTCCATAGTAGCCGAAGAGACCAAACCAGTACCTCCCAATCAGGAGCAAAATGTTTCTGAAAAAGTTATACCATCAACAGACGAGCCAAAGAGTACGGCTGAGTCAAACAATGAACCTGTTACCGATATCAAGGGTGAGGATGTTGTGGAGACTCTTAATGGAAACAGACCAGAGGAAAATAATACGCATGTTCCAGAAGAAACCACAAATAAGAGCCCTACTCCTTCCAGTAAGCAAGTCAAATTTGCCGACAACGAGGGTTCGGTAATGGACAAAGAGGGAACGCTTGAAGAAGGTGCCGAGGTCTTTGAAGGTCCTGTTCAGCGCATAGCTCGAAACATGATTTATTTCCTTGAATTGGACGAAAAGATTGACAATGTCAAGCTTAAAGCATACCTTTTTGGCGAGCAGTCTCTTTTGCCAGCTTCGAGAAGATACCGTGATTTAGAAACAATTGTACGAATTGGTCAGGCGGTGAATCCTTACGCCGTGGTGAAAGATGAACGAGATGAGCTCTTGGAGCCAGCGACCGAATTGACAGAGGAAGATTCTCGGTTTGATGAACTTAAAAAGTTGCCCAAGCTAGGAGTAACAGAAATGATTTATGAAGACGATGAAGACGAAATGGAGGAAGAAACTGCTGAAATTGTGTTGAATACCGAGGCTCCCAGTGGTCTCTACTTGCCCAATGGAAACAAAAAGGCTTGTCTCATTTCCGGTGCTGAAGTTCGATACTTTGATCCGGCTCTTGGGGTGCCCTACAGCACAGTGGAGGTTTACAAGTTATTGAAACAGATGGAAACGGGTACTATTCCTTGGTACTCTATAGAACGAGGGTACAACGACTTTGGCTCTGCGGAAATCTACCTCGGATCTAGGGACGGTGAAGTTAGACATGCCAAGGGTGTACCGGAAGGGTTTGATGGGTGAATAGTTTGATACTATAAATTATAATCTAAACAGGTCTATTTAGTCGCTCAAGCGTATTTGATCGGCTGAGCAATTGTTCAAGCTTAGCCTTTTTAATCTGTGGCGTGCTGAACGTCTCTTTCGTGTGCCTCGATCAAGTCGCTTTGAAACTTGATTAATTTCTGTTTCAATTCCGGAACAAACACTCGAAGGATTTCCGACTTGTGGTCAGAACTATCTATCTCGAAAACATAGTCGTCTTCGTCTTGGTCATGAACAAATTCCGGGACTACGATAGTCGCCAGAAACTTGTCCTCTTCACTTGCCGAGGTTCCAGCAATGGAAAATTCAAGTTTCATGTCATATATACACAAAACCTTCCCCTTTCTCTGGGTGACATCACAGTCACCAGAAATCGAAACTACATTGTCAAGAACAAACTTTAAATCACCGGACTCGGCCGAGGTATTTACTACGTTTTCCTGGAAATATTCCTTCGTCCAAGGAAGACAATTCTTGTCGACCCAGTGCCTATGTTAGCATTTGTGAGGAAGTGGTAGTTGCATGTAACTTACCAGTTGTTAGGATTGTGTACAACCATCTGTTGAGAATAAGCGTATCGTTTCTCAATCTGGATTCTATACCCTTCGATGGATCTGGGTGCACTGGTGTGAGTCGGCTGCAAAAAGACAAATTGAATTAAGATTTAAAACAAGAATCATAAACATGTTGATCATTAGGGGTAACTTGAGAGTTCTTTTCTTAAATTTGAGACTATTGTTTGGTCAGTACTTTAAACACTTTTATTGAAAACAATTATGCTAATCATGGTCAGCTGATATGAAGGAAAGTGATATGCGAATGAATGTAAAATATTATGCTTGGAATTAAACAACAAGCAAAGCAATACCAGTACCACCAGTACAGTCATTGACGGCCAAGGAAAACTTGTTTTCTCCACTTGGGCATGCCTTCCAATCTTGCTTTCCATTCAATACCAAATTGGAGTCCTTGATAGCAAAACCCTTGGTTGAGGCCTCGTCTCCCCATGGACTGACATCTCCAAACTCGCCTGAAGGACGAATAATGATTCCTCTTCCGTTTTGGTCTACCAAAGTACCATCGGCATTGAGGGTCAATTTGAGATCTTCACCTTCAGTTCCTCCAACACTGAAGACATGAGGATGAGATGCAACCTTCTTAATAGCGTTGTGTTGGAACTTGGTGCCTGAACGAATGGCAACGAGTCCAAAGTCTTTCTTAGAAGCAGCTGGTGGGGCTGGTTGGTTAGTAGCCTTAGGTGGAGCTGCTGTAGTGGGCTTAGCAGTAGGTTTGGGTTTGGTGGATGTGGTGACAGTAGTTGGTTTGGAACCAGAGTCTTGCAATCCTTGGACGCTCAATGCAACACCAACAGAGTTCGAACAGCCTCCATCGAGAGCCAATTGGTAGGTGTTACCAGCACCGTGACAGGCAACGAAAACCTCTTTACCACCGTACGTCAAGTGCTCGTTGCTAATGCCAAATTTGGTATCCTTTTGAGTTCCCTCCACGATGAGCTTGTTGCTTGCGGATACTTGCTTTCCAGTTTTCTTGTCGGTCAATGAACCATCGTCGTTCAACACAAATGAAATGGAATCACCACTACCCAAATACACCTTGTCGTCCTTGTTGTAGACACTGGCATATTGGAGGTTGGACCCTGAGCGGATGGTGACCAAGGAGAAGGTTTTCGCGGCCGAGGCAACGGCAGCCAAAGTCAAGATGGATAATGTAGTAGAAGCTTTCATGTTTGTTGAATGATGGTAATTCAAGAATTATTGGACCCTTTTTATATCCATCCCGTCATGCTAATTTTAGGCCAAGGCGCTTAAAATTTTGATGTCTGCATTGTAATACCTCGCATTGTAAAACATCGCATTGAAATTACCCCATATTCTATATTTAGATCAACCGTTACGAACTAATATTTGATGCGCGGTGACGTCACAGTTGGGTTTTGACAGGTTTCTGCGTTTCGGTAAAATCAACTTTGATGGCCCAAACCTAAACAAAGATCCTTCATCAATATATGTCACTCGTATACAATGTCAGACACTTATTTTTAGCACTTCACCAACGCTCAAAATTTTCGATTAAGTTTCTACTTACTCAATTTAGGGTAAATTCCTCGGCATCGGCCCTACTACTGCACCTCGGATAAACGATCACCCGTATTGATGGTAAATTGATGGAAATGCGGCACCGTAAATTCTTGACTTACGTCATGGTTGCGATTCATGACCATGCATAAGGGCTCAAACTTCTAAGTTTCTCCCCGAACCTGTAAAATAAAAAAGGTACAGGTATAAGCAAGCAACCAAATAATGCCAAGAGAGTAGAAGCCCAATGTATGCCCATGTGTTCATACATTTGCAATCCAAAGAGGGGAAATACTCCGGACATGAGTGACCTCACAAATGAATTAGCAGCCATTGCCGATGCTGTGTAAAGTCTATACGCTTCTACTGTATAAGCGAAGATGCCATTGAACACCAATACTGTTGCAAATCCGAAAACAGCAGATCCTATGATTGGGGCTATCCAATGAACTTTACGATAAGTTGTCCATGCCAAAATGAAAAGACCAATAGGTACGAAAAATACCCCAACCAAAAGTGCCAAGAATCGAAACTCGGGTTTGGCTACCCCATTATTTTTCCGAACAAGTTCTTCGTGCTTTTTTTGTACATATGTGGGGGTACCGATGCAGGCAATAAGCATTCCCACCATGAGACCCAAAAATGACATACCTTGTTGGCTGAGATTGAAATCGTAGACCGTTTTGAATATGTATGGAATGGCCACAAAGAACATGTAGACTATAGCGAGACAAAAGCCGCTGTAGAAGCATAGAACAAGCATCATTGGGTCTTTGACTAATAATAGTATGGGTCTTTTAGACGATAAAATAATCGACTCGAATAACGATTCCTTATCTCGTTCAATGGGAGCATAGTAACGATTATCGCCTGTTTCCTTTCTGAGTCTTTGTGCTTTCCAATGCAATAATACCGGTTGATATGTTTCAGGCACAATCACTATGAGAAGGCCCAAAAGTGCACCGGACCAAATAATCATGATGTAAAAAGTCCACCGAAAGCTGATGTGGGAATTTACAAAGCCAGATATAAGCGGTCCCAACAGCGGACCAAGAAATGGGCTAACACCATAAAGCATGATGGGATAGTGCATGTGTTCTTTATCAAATAAGTCACTAAATGTGCCAGAAGCAACAGACATAAACGATGCTCCAAATATTCCCGAAGCCAATCTTCCAAAAAGCATACCGCCGATATTATCGCAAAAGGCGGTAAGAAACTGGAAAGCAATCATAAGTGCTAGACCCACAACATACACTATTCTTCGTCCATGAAACTCTGAAATTGGAGAGAGAAATATGCCTCCAGTACCCAACCCCCAGATATATAGCGATATTCCAAGAACACTGACCTCGTGGCTGATCCCGAAATGCTCTATAATATTATCTGAAGCTAGGGACCATGCTGAGGAGATACAAGTGACATTGACACTTAACAGCGAGATGAGAATTACGATTATCCACTTGCGAACAGGTGACATGTTCATGGGATTCTCCTTGTCGTTGCCGTCGTCAAACAGAACACACCACAGTTTATCATCATATACATCATTTTGAATTACTTCGTAATCAGAGTCCGGATGGGATGGTTGCACGTAATTTGTATTGGGTGAATTTATGGTGCTTTCATGCATGGTATGCAGTTCTTCTTCTTCCATATCCACTCGCAGCACTATTTTGTGCTCAGTAAGTCATTAATATGTGTACTAGACCTTCAGTTGTTGTCTATTAGTAAGGTATGAAGCTTAGTGATAATGAAGATAGTGAGGAACTGCATACGAAAATATGCTCGGAAACGATGCAACCTTAAAACGAAATAAGGAAACAGCGTAAACTTAGAAAGATAGCAAGCTGGCATATTTTTCTTTCAAAAAAATGGTTCCTTAATAGATTTAGGTGGTTTCTAACGCGGTTTTTGGAAGTTGCCGTGCGGCTTTTTGCAACCAACAAACTGAGCCTGAAAATGACGAAACTTCCAAGAGGATTCTAATGGTGATTATTTCAGGAATCCCTTCATCGTTTTGTGTTAATCGTTTTCAGTCTCTCTTTTGAATACTTTATGTTAATTTTTTCCCATTCATTCATTTTTCACTTTTTGCAATTTTCGCATTTTTCATTAAATGCGATTCTTCTTATTGCTACGCTCACAAGACATCTAATAATAGAATTGCAAAAACCATGAAAAACAACCAAGAGCCCACAATTTCACAGCATACAACCACAGTTCCACCCCTAACAAACCCTAACCAACATGGTGCACTGCCCTTGATTTTGGACTTCTTCGTCTACGGCTGTCACCCGCTTTGTGTCATTTCGCATGCATAGAACCCAGAACACGTTGCGAATGTTTTGTCATGGATGCAATAAAGCTCTCTGATCTCCACGCCAATGGTCGCCATGCAGACTTGGAGATGAGCACAGTCATCTCCGATCACGATGACGAGCCCACTAAACTTCATGGAGCATCTGGACCTTTACGTCGACGGCTTTTTTTCAACATTCTTGTATCAGCAACACTCACCTTCACAATTTATTACAATTATCAGAAACTTATCGACCGGCTGCATCCACTTGTGGCCCCGGCATTGCTCGGTAGCATGTCGGCTGCTTTTGCTCAAACGATGAATCAATATTTGAAGAAAAAAATCGACTTTAATAGAATTTTCAAATTCATGGTGTGGGGGTCGATAAACGGGACATTGACGGTACTTTGGATTGATCTACTCCTCAATAGACTTGATAGTGCGGTCTATAGAATAGTGGTGGATCAAACAGTGGGAGCTCCTGCGTTTCAAGCTACATTTTCCATCCTTAATTCATTATGGGAAACCGGTGAATTGATCTCCACCACTGCCAGGTCGTCGTATTTAAGATCACTTCGATACAGCTACTGTTATTGGCCCATTTTCTCGGTATGCCTGTTTCTTTTGGTACCGCCGCAAATGATGTTTCCTGCCAATTGCTTGGCCAATCTTTTGTGGAACTTGATATTGAGTCGATTAACCTAATGTATATTATCTACTTCTTTTGACGAAACGACTTGAGTGCATCCACCTTCTTCCCTCCTTTTCTCTTTCTGTTCTTGTGTACTTTGTTCTTGTGGAACGGAACAAATCCAATCTTCTTGGGATCTTGCCGAGCACTCTCAGGCAACAAATAATCTGGAACCCGTTTAAGTTGACTTTGAACTTTGGCGGGGTGAAGTTCCTTATCGTGGCGCAAGGAAGCCAAATCCTGAGGATTCTCCTCAAAAAATCGCTTAAGTTTCTCCGAATTCATAATCTCATTCTTGAGTTCACGAATCCTCGCTTCTCGTATAGCCGCCAGAGTGACGGCTCGAAATGCATCTTCAGCTCTATACCTGAACCCTTCAACTTGTGTCATATCAAACTGATAGGGTTTGATCTCAAATCCATTTTTGGATTGCAGTTTGACTATACGAGCCAACACTTTTTCATCTCGCTTGGCTCCAGGATTCGTAGCGGTTTTATGCTTCCCCACCTCTTTTACAGGAACAACAAACGACAATGCCATACCAGCTTTTCCGGCTCTCGCAGTACGTCCAACTCGATGGACGTAGGACCTCGAAGTGGTGGGGAGATCAAAGTTTAAAACGCAGGCTACGTTTCGGAAATCCACACCACGAGAAACACCATATTCTCCATCAACTTTCTTGCCCTTTTTCTTTTTGGACTTTTCCGGTTTTGAGTCTTCTTGGTCGTCTTCTCCCTCCTGCTCAGTAACCTCCGTAGACTCATCGCTTGCAATAAGTAGATTATAGACATTTTTGTTGAATTCATCGACAATGTGTAATCTCGAATTTACCGGCAACTCACTGTTTAGAATACAGCAACGAACACCAAACTGCTCGAGGAACAATTTCAATCTGTACCCACGGTCTATGTTGTTGACAAAGGCCAATGTCTTACCCTTTATCAAGTGCAACTTGAAGATAACATATGCAAACAAAAACTTGTCAAATTCAGAGGTACGAGCGTAAAATTGCACGAGACGATTCTGATTCTCTTCATTATCATTGAGCTTGATAATGGCTGGTTTAGTACAAAATCGTGCCTTCAAATCGTTGACATCGTCATTGACAGTTGCCGACATAAGATATGTCTGTAAGTTTCTCTTAATAGGTAAAAAGTCATCAAGCTTCTGTAAATCCTCCATGTACCCATAAGAAAGCATTAGATCAACCTCATCGATAGCAAGACTAGTAACAGTAGTGAGGTCAACAATACTCGCATGCTTCTCTAAAACGGTGGTAAGTCTCAGTGGAGTGGAAATGATGATTTCAGGCTTAGCCAGCAACAATGAAACTACAACTTGGTCTGACACATTAGTTGCCAAGTTGATCTGAGTTATTGAATTGCAGTAAACCAAGAGTTTTTCAATAAACTTGGTTACTTGATTGGCAAGTTCTTTTGTAGGAACCAAGATAACACTCTTGATGTTGTGTTCGGATAAACCTTCAGAAAGAATATTTTGAATGATAGGAATGGAATAGGCACCAGTTTTACCCGAACCCGTAGATGCTTTGGCAATAATATCTCTTTTATCTTCGAGAGAAAGTGGAATTGCATTAGATTGAATCAATGTAGGTTTTTCAAAACCCAACTGATATACAGCTTGCAACAAGCGAGGATCAAGTTTGAAATTCTCCCACTTAGCCGACTCATCTAAATACTCAGATGCTACCACAGCGTCTGTCATTGGGGAAGGAAATGTGCGATGAGCACAGCGATGAGGTTCGACTTGAAGATGGTACTGCATATTAAATTTTGTGATTCGCAAAAAAGCGAGGCTATATAGCGGGGATTCACAACGCGCATATCAACTTGAAAGAGGACCCAAGAATGGCTCGAAAACAAGGGTATAACTTGGAAATTGTGGAAAACGTCATAGTAGTACACGCAAAGCTAATTATACATCAAAGGGCGTGTGGCGTAGTTGGTAGCGCGTCTGCCTTGCAAGCAGAAGGTCACCGGTTCGACTCCGGTCTCGTCCATTCTTTTTTGAATTTTAATTCACCTACATTTTTTTTGGTAGATTCGATGATGAATGTTGCAAAGTAATGAATAAATTATAGAATGTATTGAATATTAGATTATTGTCTATCATGCATTGCACCATCAATCTTTTGGACTTTCCTCTTCTTGAATCGCACTTGAAGTGCCTGCAGTGGCATCTGCCACATCCAAAGATATAGGTGAGAGATTGGCTTTATTGATTCGCTGAGAACTTGTGGAGGCTCTTCGGGCATTAGAGGAGCGACGCGCGAAATTTTGGCGTATCAGCGCGAAAGATGGCCGTCTTGAAACTGCTTGTTCTTCATCAACTGTTCGCGTTGATTTTCTCGAAACGAGACGCTTTATTTGCAGACCAATGTAATCTGCCGATGGGACGTTGTCGTCAGAATCATGAAAGCTGCGAATAGATTCACTCAATCGATCTTCATCTTCCTCGTTTGGGCGAACACCTGAAGCAATTGACGTTTCTCGTTCGAGTGGCTTGCCCATTCCATAAACTGGAAATACATTTCTTGGCGATCTGGCATGAGGACCCCGAGAGCCAACTGATACATTGGTATTTGTTCTTGAGAGCCTCGACCGTGTGCGAGCAACAGACTCATTGTAAAATGGGGCCGGAGAGTAGCCAACCATAGAACTTGCACTGCTTCTATGCGATGAATTATGCCTCAGAATTTCACTATTGTGCTTTTCTAAAGCCAAATCCGTAACGTCCTCATCATCTTCTTCGGGATCCGGTTCCTTCTGTCGTATGACTCGCGAGTCAGTATTCAATTCAGGCTGTTCATCTCGCAAAGTAAATCTTGGAAGCCTCAACTTTTTCTGATCGTGCTCAACAGAAACCAAATGCGAGTACCATGGAATGGTGATGGCGAAGAAAACACCGCCTATTATATTCCCAATGGCCTCAGGGAGCATTACTTTCCACACCACCTTACCAACAGATATCGGTGCCGAGCATACAAGTCCCATAATGAGCAGAAACATATCGGCGATCGCATGGCTAAAACCGACAGCACTGAAGGTGAAAACAGGAACTGTTATCATTATAAATTTGACATGTAAAGGTTTGGCCATTATTTGAAGATAAACCCCCAAGCAGACAAAAAAATTACCTGCCATACTTTTAATCATCGTTTCCACAAACGAAAACAGGGCCTTTTTCATTGTAATAGCTATGCACGCTTCTTTGTATGACGGCTCTTTCCCAACATGCAGAAACCACACTATCACATAGCAAACGAATATATTGCCCACCACGTTGAATGCGTAACTTACAGTCCAACTTATTACAACATCAAAGATTGACACTGCTCCTCGTAAAACTCCAACACCAAAGTAAAGAACATTCGAATTAAACAAATCAGCACCAAGTACCACAACGTAAAACAAACCAATGGGGAAAAAGAATCCTTGAAGGAACTCTATAATACCTGGATTTGCCTTATAAAGTTCCGGACAATTGGCTTGTAACGCTGCATGAAGCATACCTCCACTTGCAAACAATAACCCGCCCATGAAAGAGTTGAGAATTAGCATGTCAACTGTGAGACGGGCCTTCTTCATGGAAGTTGCTACCACCGCCAACGCGGCCTCGTACGTGGAAATGTACAAAGAATCATCAACCATGAAACATCAAGTTGAGGATGGAAGTGCGTAAAGTTTAGACTATTGGTGCTAGGATGCAATGGGCAAGAATCTTAACTTGCAGAGTTTAACTCGATGAGGTAGCTTATTCTGGAAAGTTTTTCCGAAAAGCGTTAATAAACGAGACCCTCGTAACCTTGGCCGTTATTTTTTTCTGGGCACTCATTCGTCGTGAGATTTTCCGGTTTCCGCGGACTTTTCTTCGATCTCAGCCGCATCTGCCGTGCCATTAGAAATAACAGATATTTCACGTTTCTGCTGATGACTTAGCCTGGCGCTCTTTATCAAACCTTTGAACTCTTTGTGGTATTCCTGTAGCCATCTCTTTACCAGAAAATCTTTGTCAGTGATCAGTTTAAAGCTGATACTGCGGCTTGAGAAAAGATCTGAACCCGCTGAACCTCCAAATGCCAGATGAGATCCTTCCCATTGGTTGAGTCTTTGGTGTAGCACCTTTTCCAGCACCGGGTGGTTGCTGTCTAAGTTTGAGTTGAAGAGAATGTAAAAATGATTATATCGAAGCTCAAGTTGAGTCCTGGTACCTGCTGTCAGTAGTCTTATTTGTGAAAGCTTTTCTTTAAGTCTGGGCGTAGAAAGGGACTTAAAGTCCAACTTGGGTAGTTTCTTGGTCTCTGCGGCGTTGTGTTTGTCAACTTCATTAAAGTAAAAGTTCAGGTGGTCTTTAGTGGGTCTTGGAACGGGGGAAACGGTGCGTTTAGGATGCTGAAAAAAGGACGATATTGCCGAGTTTGATGAACCAGCATTTTTCTTTCGTGGGGTGGGCTTCTTATAGCCCAAGCACTCATCAATATGTCTCGATTGTAATACCTGTGCCGTCATCTTTCTCGAGCAAATTGGACAATCTACAAGTTCGTCTCGCGTAGGAATTGCCGCTGCATTCTTGTGTTTCTTTAGTGGTGGCTCTTCGTCAGAAACCTCTATTATTTCTTGTTTCTGTTCATTTTCAGGTGAAATTTCGTTGCCAATAACCAGTAATAAATCGTGCCGCAACGCAACATAGCAGTTTATGATTTCTTCAAGTAATATCACTTTCTTGAGGTTGCTCTCGAACTGTTCTGTCTTACACAACGGGCAACTACTATTGACCACCAAGTATTCTCGTATGCAATGAGAACAAAATGTATGATTGCAGCTTGTAGTCATTGGCGCTTTCATGAACTCTTTGCAAATAAAACAGCGTTGGAGAGCATCAAGTTCGGTCAACTTAGGCATCTTTGTGGACTTGAAATCAGAAGGATCCGTCACGTTCTGGAGATTATTAGCAAACGGATTATCCATGGTGCTAAGCTAGCCTTTGCGATCTCGAGTAATCTGAGACTCGCGTAAGCGATGCGATGCGCAGGAAGTGTGGAGAACAAGAAATAGAGATAGCAAAAATCTAGACGATAAAGAGTAGTGAAATAGCAAGTGGTAGCAAGGAAGTATTAGCGAGTATCATAGCAATGACAATGTATTAATCAGAGTTCGTCGTGGACAACAGCTTTACTAGGTTGACCAGATGAAGATTTTGATCCACTCTTCTTCTTTGATCTCTTCTTTTTTGACCTTTTAGTAGTTGGTTTCACTGTTGATGTGGAGGATTCAGAGCTAGCTGCATCAGGAATTGGTGTCGTAGAATTGGTCAGTCCATCATTGGCACTCTCTTCCACAATCGGAGCAGCTGATGGAGTCACAGCAGGTTGTGCAGAAGGCACATCCTCCAGCAGAGTTATAGCTTCTGTTGCAGACTCTTCGAGTGCGTTAGCTGTACTTTCAGCAACGGCTTCAACGATAGGATCTGCGGTTTGTTCGGGGATCTCTTCTGCAGTCAGTTCTGAAGTCTGTTCTGTTATCTCTTCCGCAGTCAGCTCAGAAGTCTGTTCTGGAATCTCTTCCGCGGTCAGTTCTGACGTCGCTTCTGCGGTCTTCTTGCTTTCGTAGTCGAAAGTAGGCAGTTCGATAGATGTATATGTCTCTTCAGCAATACTTGGTGAAGGAGTCTCATCATTAGGAACTGCAATGGTATTGCTTTCATCATCAGTGGCTTGTTGTGAAGGTTGAGAAGTATCGTTCTCGTTTGATAAGTCTCTCGTAGAAGTCTCGTTCGCTGGCTCTTCCGTTGACGTCTCCTCAGTTGGTGCAGAAACGGATTCCTCAACAATGGTGGAAGCTGATATTTCTGAAATGATTACTTCCTCTATGATGGTTGATGCTTGAGACAAAACAGGCTCAGGCGAGCTAACAGTTGAATATTCAGACAGTGATTCTTCTTCGCCGGAGTATTGGCTCTGTTCTTCTTCTTCGGTCTCTTCATACTCTTCCGTCTCCAGGCCCAGGGAATATCTATCGTCATCGAGATCTTTTGCCTCTTCAGAAGAAGCTTCAGTGTCTGAAGGCGAGATTGTCGTCGCTGCAGTCGTTCCTTGCGTTATTGACTCAGCTGCAGTTGTGAGTGATTCAGTCTCAGAAATTGCTTCTTCCTGATCATCTTCTTCGGACTCCTCGCCCTCCTCAGCTTCAGTCTCCTCTGATTCGTCACCATCTTCTGCTTCCGCTCCTTCTGTTTCGGCTTCTTCGTCATTACCGTCTTCACTGTCAGTGTTCTCGTCACCTTCAGTTTTCTCGTCATCATCTTCAACCGAAGCCTCTGAATCCTCTGAAGCTACTGTTGGCGTGGATATCGTTGACGTGGATACTGTTGGCGTGGATTCACTTGAAATGTCACTCAGTGTAGAATTTGTACCGTAGATTACTTCTTCTTTGATCTCATCCATTTCTGGGACAACTTCAATTGAGCTGGTAACAGGAGCCAGTACTGTACTGAGAATTTCGGTAGTCACATAGTTTGTTGTATCCGAAAAGAACGAGGACGAGTCAAAATCTTCCTTACCAGTAATGTCTGCCACATTTTTCGTCACCTGTGAGACAATATCTTCCAATGTATGAGACATATGAGCAGTAGATGCAGCCTTGGAGCTATCATCAGGAGGTTGGACAGGTGCCAGTGACTGCTTTGCATCACTGTTGCTCTCAGATGTCGCCGATATTGAATTTTCAACTGCTGGAACTTCGCTAGTTGCAATCGTGGTATCATCAGTAGTAGCTTCTCTCTCTGTATTCAAGTTGATTTTTTCCTGAACAATTGAATATCCCAATTCTCCATAATGTTTGAGATGACTGAGGCCAATTTTACCATAGACCTGAGCCTGATCCCATGCAACAAGTCCGTATTCACGACCTTGCTGGAGATACACTTCGCTGTTTTTGGAAGCGAGCGCCAAGTAGTCTTGTAGTTGGCCAGTTTCATGAGCTTTTTGCAAGAAAATACCAGTGATTGCAACGAGGATAATCATGATCAAGTAGTTGAAAAGTGAACCAATAACCGAACGTCCCTTGGCATAGTTGGGACGAAGTTTCAAAACCTTTACGTTTGCGTCGGAACTACCACTTGCCAATTTACTGCCGTTGGGACAGAATGACAAACATGTGATGGCAAACTTGTGATAATTCTTGTATGTTTTCAAGATCTTGAAATCGCTCAAGCGGAAGATGTTGAGTGAGCAGTCATTACCAGCAAACGCGAGCAAGTCCTGAGTCACAGAAATGTCAAAGGCAACACATCTCATTTTGGATTTGATTTCCTTTATTTTGTCTATAGTCTGGTTTGCGGTGGAATATTGTATGAGGGCGACACCCTTTCCATTTCGCAATGCTGCCACGATGACCACGGTTGATGCATTAATGTATTTGACCTTTGACAAAATGTACTTGCTGAGCGTCTTTGTAACCGCGGGAGATTTGGAACTGGAAGACACCAATGATCCAGATGCAGGGTTTATCACTTCCACAGAGCTACCTGTTACGTAGCACAACGACTTGCCATTGTTGGGACTAAGTTGAAAATCCTTGATCTCCACATCTGATGATGGAGTAAACTTGAATATGAGGTCCAAGGTGTCAGGATTGAATATGGAAATTGATGATGGGGTTTTGGAAGTCATAAGGCATCCCAATGAACCATCAGATGAAACACACACAGCTTTTGGATACTCGCCCACTTCGTCCAGGGAAATCTCCTCTTCCAACTGAGCAGCATCCTGGAATCGCAAATGCTCTTCCAGTGTATAAACGTACTTGCGTAGATTGTGATTGATATTCATTGATTTTGCAAGTTCTTCCGATTGATTGCAACCGATAAACACCAAATGACCATCGTCGGTGCTTCCAGAGATATCAACACACATTGGCGAGTCTTCATTGTCTGGCAAAACAATTTCACGGAATTTTTGGAGTCTTCTAGATTTATCAGATACTTTGAACAGACATTTAATCACAGTTATTTTGTTCGGTAAACCATGATTTCCCTCGCCGCCTCCCCCAGTAACGAGCACGGCCTTGTTGTTGATGAAACGAGCCCCGAAAATGGGATAACCAACGTCGATCCCTGCCGAATCTTTGGACATGTTGTACAACACATCTACGCGACGTGGCTTCGATGTTAAGGCGCTGGTGTGCGGGTGCGAATTCTGGATATTCGCGGAAACCGGACGCACTGATGTTTGGCTGCACCTAGTTGATGAAAGCGCTCTGTGTATCGCTGCATGTTAGTCATGGGTATGTTGGAAATAGAGCGTGTACGTTCCCGCTCCAGTACCAGGGGTGGGACGTGGATGCAGTGAACACCACAAACTTCTCTAATCATCCTGGTTATGGCAAAATTGGAGGAAGAGTTGTTGATCCCGATGAAGTGCAACAAGTAATTGAAGGGTTAGGAGGCATTGTAGATGTCACTCTGGAGTACGATATGGTTATTAGTGGATACTGTCCGCGTCCAGAAACCGTGGAAGTCGTGAGAAAGTTATGTGCTGAGTTAAAGCCGCTGGTTGCCTTGGTGGTCGATCCTGTTCTTGGCGATAATGGAAAATTATACGTTCAGGAAACGATAGTTCCAGAATATGAAAGGTTGATGGTCGAGTGTCCCGTATCATTGACTACGCCCAATCTGTTCGAATTTGAGTTGCTTTCAAAATGTAAAGTGAGTTCTTGGAGCGACCTCAAAAGAGCCATGAATGCATTCCATGAAAAATTCCATATACCCAACGTGGTGATCCTGTCAATTGAGATCGAGGGACAATTGTACGCGGTGGGAGCCCTGAGAGAGTCACAATTAATAAAACAAAAATTGACGTCTGATAATTCCAATTTACAAGAATCGGAAGAACGTGATGGACTTGCAATATTTTACTTTCCAATCGAAAAATTGGACTGTAACTTCAACGGCAGTGGTGATGTTTTGACTGCTATCGTCTCCCACTGCTTTTATAAAAATGGGTGCAAATTAACCCCAGAGACCCTCAGCGAAGCATTGATAAAACTAGAACATATTCTCAAGAAGAGTATACAAATAGAAACCCATAAAACCGGCAAACAGGTGTCTCATGTCAAGGACATCCAGATCGTTGCACTGCGAGCAGTTCTCGATATGAACCCAACAATGCGTCCGGTATTCTGGGTACAATAGATAAGAGAAGTTGCAAAAATGAAAATTGCAAAAAATGAAAAATGTATAAATCAAATTAAATATCAAAGACGAATATAGAACCACCAACAACAGAACAATAAATATCGACTTCACCCCTTTACCAGACTCACTACACAACCCTTTCTGGTTCCTTTCGCTAGGTCCAGCCTTCACATCCTACCACCCACCCCACAGTATTCTACGCGATCACGGATTGATTTGATAAGACCTACCATGGGATCCAAACACAAAAAAAACGCCCTGAAAAGCCTAAGGGCGTTTAGTTTTATCATCTTGAGTGCCCTGATAGCACTTGTATATATATTCAATCCGGTGAAATTGATTTTTCCTTCCTCAATAATTCGCTTTCATCACGGGTTGCCACCACAATCGCAAGAAATCGTCACAGAACAACCAAAATCCCACTCCAAGTTCCAGCTTAAGCATATATATCATCATGGGTCCGGAAAAAACTATAAAATTCACCGGCGCCTTGATATTACTCCCGAATATTTGGCCAAACATGACGCATATTTTCAGCATTTTAACCAGCTTCAATCTGGAACCGAGCAAGTTTCCCTTGACAACTTGGATTCAGTCGTGGCACAGTACGACTGGCCAAAACATCACCAGGGAAAGAATCCATGGACCATAGAGCTTCCCATGAAAATTGCCAAACGGCCAGCAGTTAGATTGAAACAGAGACATGATCACAACTACATTGATTCGTATCTCCAGTATGCCCTTTCGGTAAAGAGTAATCCTCAGCATATTAATAATGTTCAACTTGAGTGGATACTGGAAGACATATCAGTTCCAGACGTCAAAGATAGGGACACTGTAGTATCCCTTGCTACCATTTCCTCAAATGCCTACGTGAGATTCCCCAAAGATGACGACGAGAAGAAGAACCTGGACTGGATAGATGTAGGGGAACCGTGGGTTCCAGATGATCGCAACAACAACATCGAATTTGGGTGGGGAGACGATGGACTTCGCGGACATATATTCGTCAGTGAAGACAATAAGACGGTTGTTATTGGTGTCAAGGGTACTTCTGGAGCCGGGCTTCCTGGTTCAGGGTCTGAGGAAACACAAGCAAATGATAAGACGAATGATAATTTGTTATTTCTGTGTTGTTGTGCACGTATAAGCTACATGTGGACTACGGTTTGCGACTGCTACGAGAAGACGTATACCTGCAACCAAGATTGTTTAGAGAAAGAATTGGTGCGCAAGGACCGCTATTATCAAGCGGTGCTTGACCTTTATCGGAATGTCACCGAAATATACCCGTCAGAAAGCCATGATATATGGGTTACTGGCCATTCTTTGGGAGGTGCTTTGGCGTCGCTTTTGGGACGAACTTATGGATTACCGGTGGTAGCCTATGAGGCTCCAGGTGAGATGCTTGCCACCCAGCGTCTTCACCTTCCACAACCACCAGGACTCCCCAAACATGCAGAAAATATCTGGCATTTCGGTAATACAGCAGACCCCATATTTATGGGAGTTTGTAATGGAGCATCCAGTCTGTGTAATCTCGCGGGCTATGCCTTGGAAACAGCTTGCCACACCGGACGCCAGTGCGTATATGATGTGGTTACGGATAAAGGATGGCATGTGAACTTGCTCAATCATCGAATCCACACCGTTATCGACGATATAATTATGACCTACAACGATACAGCTCCATGTGCAGACCAACCTCCATGTCGTGATTGTTTCAATTGGAGATTCACCAGCAGAGATGACAGTCTTGATGACGAGCCACCGTTGCCCAATCCATTACGGCCTGGAAAACCTAGTACAACATCCTCCAGTCAGCACCATACTTCTACAACTACCACCACCGAAACATCCAGACCCCAAAAGTGCCTAAAGAGAACATGGTATGGGTGGTGCGTGGAATGGGGCGATGAGGAAGATGCATGATCAGCCGGGCACATGAAACGGAGACGAAAGCATTAAGATGAAACGAGAGAGTACAGTGAACAATGAGTGGAGCATTATGCAAACATTAAGAATGCTATATGCAGCAAGCGGCTATATGCATCCGAGACATATTTCGGCAATTCAATTTCACAAATTTAAAGTTTGCGACTTCAACTGTCCCGGCGATGAGCACTAAGGAAGTGGAGCCGTGACCGTCTTGTTCTTTCATGCCGCGGCGCAAGAGGCTGTAGTTTCCTATTTGGTATAATTTCCAAACTTGTGACGTGCACAGAGCTATTATTACCCAGGGCCAGCCGCAAACAAACACATCGTCGCCCAATTAGGAAGGGGTCTTGTTGATGACTAGCAACCTGCACTCGGGCTCAAAATGCGTTATATTGCGTCAGGACTATCCAAACTTTCTTCCGGCTGTTTTCTATCATTGATACCATGAGGTTAATTACAGGAATCTTTAACCTCTTCTTCCTTGCAGGGTCAACCCTCTTGTTGGTCTTTATTGTCTTGTCGGGTTCAACCAACCATTTCCCATTCAATCGGTTCTACTGGTTGAAAGCTGATACGTCCAGTATTTCCCATGCTTACCTGACTTCATCGTGGACTTTTTGGGGTGTTTGCCAAAGTGATGACTTCAGTAAATGTAAGCTGGGTCCAGCCTACCCATTGTCTCCTGTTGACAACTTTGAAACCTCCCTGTCGGTTCCTCAAGACTTTGTTGATAACAGGGACACATATTATTATTTGACGAGATTTGCATTCGCATTCGAGATTATTTCGTTATGTTTCGCAGGAGTATCGCTCATCATTGACATTTTGGGCTTGTGCTTCAATGTGATTGATAGAATTGTGATTGCATTCATTTCGTTTGCTCTCTTCTTTGCTGCTGGTTTTGCGGCTTTACAAACAGCAGCCGTTGTATTGGCAAGAAATGCTTTCCTGGACGAAAACAAATATGCCCACATCGGAGTCAAGATGATGGCCATTACATGGGCGGCAGTGGTTTGTTTGTTCATCGTGTGGGTCATCACATGTTTTGCCAACATTGCAACGTCGTACAGAAAACACATGAGTAGAGTCAACGACTACAGAGCCCAGGAAGCAGGTGCTGCCAAGCCAGCAGGTGCCGATGACGAATCCGTAGCCAACGACCAGTCATCGTTCACCAGAACTGCTCCTGCTGCTACCGAGACTAATGAGGTCAATTCCAACTCGGGAGGCATTCGGTTCTTCAAGATTAAAAGAAACCAGAAGGTGTCCGACGAGGACAGTGTTTAGTACATAATTTAATTGTTTGAGAGCTTGGTGTAGGCGTTTGGCAACGTTCCATTAGTGGGGCAACGTTTCTTCCCCACATGTTCCGCGGCGTTTCCACGCCCGAAAAGTTTCTCTCAGGAACCGTTTACGAAAATTTATTATTGCGATAATTACACATTTTTACCCTTCCTCTTTCACTTCATTTGGCTCTCCCATCCACTCCGACCATTAACCGAGACCTTTTTCGATTCTAACCCTCGGATTGTGTTATATTTTCTAAACACGGCGTTTCCGCTCGGCCATAATACTCCTGCATTGTTTTTTTTTTCAACATTCGCTATTGTTGCTGAGCAGAACAATTGACAGATCAAAACTTATCTATCAAGCCTTTTGGACCCCTTAAACAACTTGTTGTTTCGATACCGGCTATCGAACATTCCAAATATCTTGCCCCTTCTGTGCCTTATCTATAAAAGGTGCTGCATAACTGGGGTTTTGTGTCATTAAACCACGGAGGGTTTCGGCGTGAAACGAGCAAAGTGACTTTATCTTAAAAATACCAATTTACACCACGGAACCATTTTTTGGTCTACAGTGATACCCGAATCCTGGTACTAGCGACGTCAACTTTGTTGATATTCACTTATAGGTTCCACCCATAGCATTTGCAAAAACTGGCCCCTTTAGTTTTGCCTATCAATTGTCAAATTTCTTATAATCACCATGCCTAACAACGAACAAAACCACCACCACCATCATTTCCGAAACATCTTCCGCAAAGAAAGCAGTCCATCTTCGGACTCGGGTGGCTCTCATGTGGGCCTTTCCAAGTTATTTCATCACGGCGAAAAGGAAGAAAAAACCATATCTAGAACCCCATCGGTGCTCTCGCTCAAGAGACACAACTCCAACATCACCCGGTCAGCCTCTAATCTCGATAAAGAGCCGAAAAAACTCTCGAAAGCACAGACAATGGCCCATATCCAACACATGAACCAGAAGAATGCCAAGAGTCTTGCCAACCAAAGGGTCCCTGCTCCCATTGGCAACCACGAGAAGATCAAGTACAATCCCTTCGGCATCAACAAAACCCCCAGTGCCACTGGATCTCCCAAAAATGCCAGTTTCTACATGGCAGGCGGTGCCGATGGAGGTCGAGTTCTCTCGAACCCAGTGGCTAACCCAAACGACTATTTGCCTGAAGACTTGTTTGAGGAGCACGTTAACCTCCTTGACGACTACGAAATCGACGTAAGCACCAAAAAACTAGGAGACGGCGGCTCCGCCGATGTTCGTATCATCAATGCTGCAAACCACAAGAAGCAATGCTACGCGCTTAAAAAGTTCAATCTTTTGACCAATGAAACAGACGAAGAGTTCTACAAGAGAGTGGCCCAGGAGTACATCATATCCAAGCGAGCAAGTCAATCTAGGCATGTCGTGGATACGCTTGCGTTGGTGCGAATTCAGTCACAAGGTACCGTTACCAGAGGATGGGGATTTGTGCTTGAGTTTTGTAATGGCGGAGATTTGTTCAATGCAATCGTTAAACCTGGCTGGAAGCGTACGTCACTTGCTGAAAAGTTTTGTGTTTTCAAGCAAATTGCCTATGGGTTGAAGTACCTTCATGAGCATGACATTGCTCATCGAGACATGAAGCCTGAGAACATTTTAATTGACAGTAATGGAATTGCCAAGTTGTGTGACTTTGGCGTGAGTGTTTTCGGGCATACCACTCCTGGAGACTTCAATAGTGAGTTACACTTGTGTTCTACGTATGTTGGTTCTCCTCCATACTCATCACCCGAGGTTATGAAAATCAAAGAAGCGAGCAGCTCTGAAGCAAAGAGTTTAGCCTACGATCCTTTCCAGATGGACGTATGGGGGTTAGGTATGCTCTTGTTCTGCATTGTATATTGTGGTGTGCCATTCGCAGCCGCTACTCCCAACGATCATGGGTTTCGAGACTACAAATTCAACCATGACAGATTCACCTCGGACCATCCTACTTTCAAAAACAACAACGATTTCTCAAAAGGTCCAGGGTCGGAGTTCAAGTGGGCAACCCAATTTGCATCCAATGGAGCTGCCAGAGTAGCATGGAAGCTATGTGACCCATCAGTCAGAGACAAGATACACCATGGACCTTCTTTTCAAAGACCCATGGTTCAATGGCTTGGAAATGTGTATCTACGAGCACCCAGATCAAGATGTCAATCCGCTTGTACTTGCACCTTCAGGTACTACCAACTCTAACCTGTCATCGGTGACAAATTCGAGGGCTCCATCGAGAAAAAATACGATTGTTACTTATGACCACGAAAAAAGCGAGGATGGAGAGCATACCCCATACAGAAGTATGTTGGATTTGGCCAGCGCCTTACCCCCTTGTGACAATAAGCCCGATAACCACACTGATGATAATGATTCGTTGCACTCGACGTCGTCGTTGACCCACACCCCTTTGAAACTCACCAAGAATGACCATACAAACTCAATTGATTCCACAAATAGCGAAACCGGCAAACCGCTTCTGCCTTCACGAAGCAAATCCCTGGCAGATGATAAAGGTGACGATAAACTGTCGTCAGTCAACTTGCCGTCCTTACGTGAAAATGTGGAGCATTCGTTTGACGAAAGCGAACAAGATGAGGAAGAAACGAAAGAGAAAGAAAAGAACGTACCATTGCCCAAGCAAAAAGAACTCAAGACCAGTCTGCTGTTCCAAATGGATTCCAACGGGCTTTGTAATTTGGGTTACAAAATTAAAAAACATAATCATGTTGATATTAGCACTATGGCGGTAGCTGGAACCATGTCTAGACGAGACGTCAGACGATAACTATAAATACATGGTCAGAAAGAGAAAGAGACAGTAAAGTAGACAAACGCCTTAAAACAAGAAATCAATAAGTAGTCAGACTTAGTATGAAGTCACATTAAAGTAATGTTAATCTTCACCAGTCAATCTTCACTACCCGTCTACTCTTCGATTCGTACATGTACATGTATTAAAGGATTACTTATGCTTCCAAGGAAACTCTACCCTTAGGGTTGGTCACCTTGACACCGATCTTCTTAGCCTTGGCAACAATCTCAACTCTGTTCTTAGCAGAAACGTTGTGGGCAATCTCAGCAGCATAGGTCTTGGTGTGCATCAACAAAACGTCCAAGTCCTTGATGTTCTTGACGAGGTAAGCTTTGTGACCACTTGGCATCATGTGTCTGGTCTTCTTGTTAGAACCGTAACCAATGTTAGGTTGAGGAATGGTACCTCTGAATCTTCTTCTAACACATGAGTCAATACCCTTTTGCTTTCTCCAGTTCTCAGCAACACGCTTGAATTGGTCAGACTGGTGTCTCTTGAACTTTTTGTGGTGCTTCTTGACAATCTTTGGGTGAGGAAGAGATGCGGCCACTGATGTTAGTAGGGGTTCAACATTTCATTTCTGTCATTTGAACGGATCCGGGGCATGCTGCTTGTCATATGGACCGATTACAGGCCCTGGGTGCTCAACAAATTTGTGATAGCGATATACATACTTTTTGCTGTCTAACTGTTCGTTCTAAAAATTTTCACTTTTCTTGAGACCTGCTCGCACAATTGTGCACCCACACACCGACATATATGCACACCTTCTCCAGGGCTGCACCCTTGACAAAGAGGCGTGCGCTTTGACACGTGATTTGGAAACATCAATGCACACAGAAAGTGCGGCGCTCGGTTGCGAAAGGTTCATCAAGCAATATGTCACTGGAATAATTATGGCTGAAGATGGTCACCTCAAACATAATCTAACACTCGTTTTCTTCTCTGTTTTGAACGTGTCCGATTTCGTCTATTTCAAACTTAAAGATCGTCGGACATCCGGACACCCACTTTTAGTTCTGCCAGAAGGTTGCGAATGGTAAACACGGTTGCGGCATCACATATTCTTCACAAGCTATTGCTTCAATTTCACATCCATTGTACTTTGTTTCTTGCTGGAAATTCTACAATGAGTTTTGATGCTAATCAAGTACTATATGTATGCTTTCAGTTTATAATAGCCTGGATAGCTTGCTGGTATGCAATATACTTGGTCACTGGATTTCATCTTCGAAGTATAGGAATTAACAATGGAGTACTTTTCAATAGAGTATCTTTCACTTCCAAGTCCATTCGAATATCAATTGGGTCCGTGAGATTCCGATTATGGGGCAACTCCCGAATGCTCATTCTTGATGAGGTCGATATTCAATTGCGAGAATCAAGAAAGAAAAGAAAACCAAAGGGTAGAAAACATGACACAGACACTCCAGAAGATAACGATATTCTGGGTCACCCATGCATTTTTCCCAAAAATGTCCTTTTAAGAAACCTACTTAAATTGTTGATCAAACTAATACCGAACATTGACCTTGAAATACGACATGCTACTATTCATGATAAAAAGGAGCTGGTATCCAAAGCCGAGTACATCAGAGCGACCATAAAGTCTCAAAAGGCTGCCCATAACAGAATATTTTCATCAGTCATTAACACCAATAATATAGACTGGCGTCCTAATAATTCAGACGATACCAACGAAGAGGCACTTTTATCGCTAGCAACATTGAAATTACAGTCAGGATTGCTGGTCAATCTAAGAACTGGTGAACTATTTGACGTTCAGTCAAAACTATTCACTGACGAGTTCAAAGTACGTGCTTTTTCTTTAGCCCGTTGGGTTGCTCAAAATCGTTCGTCTAAGAACGAATCAGACGAAGACACAGCTCCAGCTACAAACAGTGAAGGTCAACCAAAATCAATCATCCGCCTCGTGAAGTGGCATAGCTACATCTACCGCTGCATGCATGAAATTTCATTAATAGCAGAAAACACTATGATCCTGGAATTCCCTTTCTTGTCGGCAGATGACGACTACGATATGTCCAAGTTTTGGGATCAACCTGACCACAACCACTACTTCAACTTTCAAATAAAGTCTTTGTCTCACACAATTCGCAAGTTCGACAAAGATTCAGCTGGATTTCATGTGTTGTTTGACCCAAAAGTCGACTCTCCTGTTCAGGCAGTCACTGCTCTCCAAATCCTTAGAGTTGAGTTCTGCCGCAAAGTTAAGAATACCCACAACCAGTTTCATGTCTCAGAGATCATTTCAATTCCAAACTGCAGTGTTACACACAAAGGTAATATGTCGGATCACTTTGTCAAAGGAGATGGCTTCAAGAATTGCGCCATTGAGTTGTTTGCCTCGTTAAGTAACCCAACACTTGACCTTGATGCCGACCAACTTTCAATTATCACCTACAACTTCATAGCATTCAAAAAATTTATGAAAGCTAAAAAGTTGATGAGAAAGGACGATATCGACGCTGACCAGCAGTCCGATGATACGAACGATCCAGATGATACAAAGGTAGAAGCTCTAGAAGAGGAGTTGAATACATTACAAGATGAACATTTGCATGAAGAGCATTTACTGAATGACCAGAACAACAAGGCTAACCACAAAGCTAACGACGTACGTTACCGTGCAAACATCATTGGGCTCCTCAACGAATACTACCCCCGATTGAACATGACTTTGATCATGGAACAGCCGCGTATTGTGATAAGACAGACTGACAAAAACCACAATTGCCTAAAGCTTGTGAACTTCTCATATTCGCTTTTAAACATTCATGTTCTAACAACGGATCAAAGAGATTACGATGCAAGATGCCATATTCTCCACCCTGCAATTACCTACCAATCGCAAACTAATGACTTCAATTCCTCCACGACCAAACATGAAATATTTTTGTCTGAAGCTTTGACTTGTCGTCTTCAGGTACTCAAGAGTTTTGAAGTAAAAGCAGACTTTGAAGTGGCCCAAACTTGCGTTGAAATGGGCAAATTATCGTTACTTGCGGGGATCAGTTCATTAATGGATGACTTGAGAAAATCAATCACTCAATGCCTACAATCCAGTAAAATTTTGGAACAGATTGAGAAGATTGGAAACGACAGAGCAAGAAATCAACAAAAATCACTGACTGCTCAACCTTCGGTTCTATTCCATCCTTTACCTCATTGGCTCCTTGAGCTCAACTTTGAACTTTCAAACATCAAGTTAAATTTGGGATCTCGCTCACTTCTTATTCCCGAGAATAGAATGACAAGTATAAGCAATGACATTGTTAATGAGGACATATTTGGCGACTACAATCATTTACAATCTACCTCATTTAGTGTTGGCAAAGTTCGTTTCCAGTACTTGAATGGTACAGATATCGAAACAACAACCGCAATGACACTGCCAGCTTCCTCACTGGAAACCTTGGCCGAAAAGAGAGTCGAGTTGTGGTCTTTGAACTCCAGAGTTTCAGACATTTCTATGTCTATGGACTTAGATGTCAGAAACCCAAAGCTGCATGTTTTATCGGTACCTGATATTGATCTGAAAGTCTCTGCTTTGCAAAAATCTTCGAATCTTACTTTGCAAGTTGAGATAACGGTCGAGAAGGTAAGTTTGAGCTATGACAAGTTTAAGTTGTTCACTTTGCTCGGAACAGTAGGCTTGTTCAAACTGCTTTTGTTACCATTCAGAGCAATGAAAGAACGAATTTCTGACAAGTCAAGGGATAAATTTGATGATAGCACGCCAGAAACGACTCCACCAGCCGTTGAATTCGATTGCTTGGTCAAGTCATTGGACTTGGTACTTGAATTGAGCGAAGAATGTACCGTGAAGACCCAGCTCTTTGACGCACAGTTATCAAGCAGAGCAGAAAAGCACCATGTTTTTCTCAAGTTACTACGGGTTATGATCAACTCGCCAACCGTACCGAATGCTTGGAGTCGTGTCTTATGTGTGGATTCGTTAAACGTCGACATTGATCCAAAATTGCAAGACCCCATCACTGTCGACACTGACTTCATCAAGTTGATCCAGCCACATGGACTAGTTGTGTATCACCTTTTCGACAGTATGTCCATTACGATTAAAGTTCTCAAGCATCTCGTTGCTTGTTTGAAATCGAATGCGGACAAATCTCGGTTCGTAGCGCCAAGTGAATCAAAGGCTAAGAAAATCCCCAAAGTCAGACTTAAGTCTTTCAAGGTTCACTATCAAATGGAAGACGACCCATTCGAGTCTGAACTCAACATGTCTTACCAATTGGGTATGGTTGAGCAACGGAAGCGACTCGAAGAATTATCGCTTTTTGATGTGAGTTGGAAGAGGAAACACGGCAATGAAGAAGGGGAAGAAAGTGGGTCAAATGAAGAGTACGAACAATTACTAAACAAATTACGTTCTCAAATGGCACGCTCATGGGTTAGAAAGGTCAAAGTTTACCGGGCAAAACTCAAAGAAGAGATTGCTGCTAACAAGCGTTTTATTTTCGGCAGCGAATGTAAGTTGGATACGCATTGGAATGAGGGAATTGTTCCATATCTGTACCACGCTCCATTGTTGAACATGATGTTGCTGGAAATGGATTTGGACCTTTCTTCCGTTGAAGACTTGGAAAAGGTTCCTGAAATGATCCATTCGCTCGGTCAAGGTGTTCCTGTTGACACTAGGTATTCGCTTTTGCTTCCTCTATTTGTCAAACTTCAAGTTCTGGAAGTCCGCATGCACCTTCGTGACTATCCTCTTCCAATGCTCCACATTCCTAGAAGTGACGATAGAAAGGTGTTAGGCATGCAAGGAAACTTTATCATCTCGGAAGCTTTCATCACGAACAAGGAAAACCTTCGGCGAATGCAGGTGCCTTTAAGTAAGGTGCTCAAGGACACAAAAAGCGAAGACTTCTATTCTCTTTGTATCGACAAATCTCTTTCCACTGTGAAATTGTATTCAGATATGAAGTTCAAGATCCTGCCTTCTGACCCTGCACGTTTTGTTTGGGGTCAATCATATCAGTTTGGTATTCAGCAAATTATGCTCAATATGGACCAGTTCTCTAAACCGCCAGTTGATCCTTCACCAAAACTCGGATTCTGGGACAAACTAAGATTGATTTTCCATGGCAAATTTGAGGTCACTTCTGATACTGGTTCAGGGCTAGAAATTGCCTTTAAAGGATCTCGCGATCCTTATAATTTATTCGGAGACGGATGTGGTTTTGTGTTGGCATTTAACGATGAACTTCACTGGAAAATCAACAAGGACGACGACCCAAGACACTTCTTTGAAGTACATGCGAAAAAAGTGTCATGGTACATTCCTAACTACATGAAAGCTCCGCTTGTTGCCTGGTCAAGAGACATCTCAAAGTCAAATTACCTTCCAGACTCAACGTCTGTAATCACATCTTGCTTTGCTTACTATCTTCAAGAAAGTAAGCCCAAATCTGCGAGCCATAAGGCGAATATTATAGAAAAGCATGTCGTGCGTTTGAGTGGTGGCATAGATTTTAAGGTTGGATTCATGCTAGAACGCAAAGACGAAAAAGGTGAAAGGACTTTCGATTGCAAGCCTCATTATGACGTTAACCTTTTCAACCCAATCTACACCAAAGAGGGCCACGATTCTTACGCTGGTTTCAGAAGCGATTACATTCACATGTCCATCGGCTTGGAAGCAAACTCCAAGAAGTCAACAAATGCAATCTACCTATCCCCCAACACATTTCAACAGTTTTTCCGTTGGTGGAAGTTATTTCAAAGTAACATGATCCTTCCTGTTAGAAGGGGGCCTATGTTTGGAGAATTAAAGCAATCTGTCAAGTTCTCACAGCATTTGATGACGAACAAGTTTCAGTTTCATGTCAAGTCGTTGTTCATCACCCATGTTTATCGGGATAGCTCTGATATTGACAACGATAAGATGCTGTGTGTGGGTCTTAAAGCCAAAGTTGAAGAATTTGTTGTTGATTTACACCTGCGTAAAGAGCAGAGAACTATAGTTCATGAGGCGCTTTCAAGAGACCAAAAAACTATGAAGATGAATTTCAATATTGGAGAAGTTCATCTCAACGGCATTGATTTAAGGCTTCTCAAGGGAGAGTTTGACTACGATGTTTATAATCCAGAAATTCGAGGGGACCGTGAAATGAACTTTGCATCCTACGATAAAGATAAATCTTGGCTCGACGCTCGAGATTTTGTGGAGGTACATTCTCCTTCCGTGAAAAGTGGTGGAGATGTCAAGATCTTTCCATTAATGCACTCAAAGCGGTTCACGTATTTGCGAGATACAATGGACGAAAATGACGACAACGAATTTGGCAATGAAGATATACACGAATGCTATCTAGATACCTCCGACCAATTATCGCCAGCGGAGGAGCTTCTTCATGAGAGAATAACAGATTTGAAGAAGCAGGTGACGAAATGTGATTCAAAGCATCTAGAAGAGAGAATTGATTTCATTGAAAAAGAATTTGGGAAGAAGAGATCCAATTCTGTCGTTTCACAAACATCTATCGGTAAAAAGAATTCAGATGAAAAGTTTCACAATAAGTTTGCCCTAGTGGGTATGTTCTTGAAATGGAATGTTGACAGCAGAAATAACCTCATGAAGTATATTCATTATTCTCAGCTCAAGAGTATGATGGCAAAGTATCTCTCTTATGAATCAATAAGTACTCTTGAGGAGCTACAAGAAGAAGCAGAGAAGATGATAAATGATGACAAGTCTTCTGGGTTCTCTGATAAAGACCATAATAAGCTCAGTCACTTGATGTCCCGACCTCGAAATCTGGTTCTGAAAGAGGAACAAACTGCAGAAGCTCGCTTGGATTCATTTTCCAAAATATTGAAATCATGCAGTGATGGAGAGAACATTACCGAAGACTTCAAAATCGAGATAATATCCCCTCAAATTCAAATGCTGACTGAAACCAATCCGGACGCTGTTGTGCTAGTAACAGCACCCAAAATTGATATCCAAATTGTGTCAGTTGTTGAAGAGAATTCAGACAAGCTTATTATCAACCCGAAGGAGTACGTTTATCGATACGGAGTTGTTCTTCATGAGGCTAATTTTTTCGTTATCAGGAAAGAAGATGCAGAGAAGCCAAACGAGTTGGCTCTTAGCAGTAAAGCATACGGATCCAAAACGAACTGGCCGCCTTGGCTCGGCATTGAAATCAGTCAACAAGGACGATTGGCAGGAACCAAAAAACTACTCATTGAAAAGATGTCACTTATGTTGATGTATGATCAAATTCGGCCCCTGGGCAAGAAGCTCTACCAAACCGAAGACTCGTCAAATCAACTTGAGGCGCTCAAAGATGGGGAGCAGGAGCACAGTTTTACAGTTGACAAACTTTGCGTCGATATTCCCCAAGTGGTCATCACGTCTACCTCACAGCAGTACTTTACGTTGTATGTGATTGTTCTTGGATTGTTCTTCTATTCTGAGCCTATGAGTAAGTCTTTGTCGGAGCGGTTAGAAAAGTTGAAATTCAGTATTGATTTTCAAGACTTGGGTGCACTTCATTCCAAGTTGACCCAACTCCACAATTACTATCAACTTATGGGATACTTGCTACGCAATTACGAGTTTCGACAGGATAATTTGGACAATGATACGCTAAATGATGGGTTAACTCTTCGGTCAACGCAAGATGAAGTCGCCAAAGAAGTTTATTCTTTGATGCTGATACTATTATCTGGAGACTTCAATAGCTCCAGTCTGAGTTCGAAAGCTAATGCAGAGTGGTTCATTCGTACTGACCAGATTATCTTGCACATGCTAGAAGATGATGGAGCGTCCATTCTCGACTTGGCAATGGCCAAGAGTAACTACCGAAGATTGGTTTTTGAAGATGGTTCCAACATCAACAATATTGACATTGAGATGATGCAAGGCTTCAACTTGATAAAAAATGCGCACTATCCAGCGTTCATTGAGCCGTTAGAAGAGATTACTGACGGTAAACAATCGCTCGTGAATGTACGGTGGAAGATGAACCGACCTATAGGAGGTATCCGAATCATGGAAGAATTCGAAATAAATTCACAGCCGTTGAATGTCAAATTAGACGAAGTAACTGGCGACAAACTTATGAAATATATCTTCCAATCGGACCTTAGCGACTTGAAAGAGAGTCCTATACTTCAGAAACAGAAAGAGGGCAAAGAAGATGGCGATGAAGATTCCAATGACTCCCCTGGTAATGCGGATTCTGACTCAGGTGAGCTGGACTCAGCTGGTAAGAAGCAGTCGGATTCGTCTGATCATAGCAGCAGCAGTGAATCCAAGAACAAAAAGATACAACTGTTGACTTCAAGTCACTCGGAGTATGAGTTCCATGATCAAGTGGACGACATGGTATCTCGTTCTAAACAATACTTGAGTATTATAGACTTCAAGCTCAACAGTTTCAAAGCCCTGATCTCGTTCAAGTATAAAACAGGAATTAAGAGGTTGCTCAATGTGCAAAACTTCATCATAAGCTTCCCCGAGCTTGTCATCCATAGGAAAGTGATGTCACTTCTTGATATTGCTATGATGGTGAAGAAAATTGTATTGAAATCGGTGATAATGCACAGTGGCAGTTTGATCAAGAATAAGCTTACAGTTCAGCACCAACCTAAAAGAGTGATTAAGGCGCCATTGAAGCCCATCAAGAGGTATGTTCGCTTCACTAAGATATCCGAGTTACATCTGGAAAGCCATGAGTCATTAGAAACTTGATCATTAGTTACATAGTAGTCTATACATGTTGTCTCTTTGGTTCGTTAGCCATCATCTTCTTCTTTCTCTTTCCTCGTCTTCCACTGTCGTCTCCATCACCTATATCGTCGCCTCTCATAAATGTTTGCTGATCATTGATAGCCAAGTCTACAGTATTGAAACCCGGTATTCCGTTGATGGAAGTCTTCTCAAACTTAAGGGCTTCGGCTAACAATGCTGGGCTAATTGCCTTGATAATATCGGGTGCCTGGCCCAAATTGGGGTCCAACAATCCACCAGGAATAGGTTTTGTAGGCGGTATCAGATGTTTTCCCGGCAAGTCTTGGATATGGTTTTTGTATGATTTACGTAACTTGACTCCTTTGGTACCGTCTGGGTTGCTTCTGGCAAGCGATTTCGCTATCGGTTCAAGTCCATATAATGCTAATAGATTTTGCGTCGGCGATGGAACTGGTGGATTATAAGATTCTATGTTAGCAATGACGAGTACTGGGAAAAAGAATGAAACTTACTTTTGGAGTCAAAGAGGTAGAAATCATAATCGTTACTACCCTTCGGCATGATAAATGGTGTCTCTTGAGATTCTCACAAACTACAAATAGGACCTGTGCAGGAACCGAAGAATCGAAAGAGACGGTACCTATTACATATTTCTTTTATACTATCAATACAGGTAATCTATGAACTAGCTGAAGCGTTATAACTATGTTTCACAATACCATCTGTAATGCCAATCTTCTTCAGTATTACACTAGGTACCATTTCAGTCCTACTTCTTAACAGTGCTCCATCCTTCCTTCTCGTCAACAGACAATTCACTGGTTTTAGATTCTAATGCAGAAACAGCGTCATCTCCGGTCTTCTTGGCAACTGGCTCATCGTCAGATTCATCATCACCATCACCCTCCACGGCCAATACTTCATACAAAGATTTTTTGGCCTTTGGTTGTTCCTTTTCTTCTTCTGGTTTGGATGTATCTTTCTTTGGCTTGCGGGGCTCGACGGTTTGTCCACGTTTCCAGTCCAAAACAGGCTCTGCCTTCTTGGGAGTTCTGTTGCTTCTTTCGCGGGGTGGAAGTGTTCCCAGACCTCTGGCAGAACTCCAGTCGAATTCTGGTTCGTCTCTTTTGGGTGTTCTGATACTTCTCTCTCTAGGCTCTCTTGGTGGAAGCGAGCCTTGTCCTCTAGCGGAGCTCCAGTCAATTTCTGGTTCTTCTCTTCTTGGTCTGTCGCTTCTTTCTCTTGGTTCTCTGGGTGGAAGAACTCCTTTACCTCTGGTGGAAGACCAGTCGATATCGGGCTCTTCTCTTCTGGGTCTGTCGCCTCTGTCCATTCTATCCCTTGGCTCTCTGGGAGGAAGGGTGCCCTGACCTCTAGCAGACGTCCAGTCAATATCGACTTCTTCTCTTCTTGGCCTATCTCCTCTGTCTCTACCACTGCCTCCAGTGAGTGGGCCTCTGGAAGCTCTCCAGTCCATCTCAAAAACATCCTGCTTCTGGGGGGCTGCTACATTGACAAAAATCTTTCTGCCATTGAAATCAGACAACGTTAAACGTAAGGATTCTTCCAATACATCGCGGTCCTTGAAGGTGACGAAACCAAAACCACGCAACTTACCAGTCATGGTGTCCACGGGCAACTTAATTTCGGAGATTGCATCTCTTGTTTGCATTCTGTCTTCAAGAAAACGTGCCAAGTCGTCCTCGGTGACTTCCCAGGGCAAATTTCCAACTCTGGCTCGGTAAGGAGGTTCATCAGGAATTGGATATTCCTGTCTGTCTTGTCTCTGGTCTTCAAAACGGGACGATCCAAATGATTCTTGTCTTTTGTAGGTGCTCGTAGAAGCCCCAGTACTTGGTCCTGTTGTGGGGACTCCAATTGACGCCATATCGATCTCTTCGTCGGCCCAAGATGAGGCTCCACCATAGGAGTCATCGGCCCAGAAGGACCCCAAGTCCATTTTTACTGCTTTTTTAGGTGCTGGGTTAGTTATTGTCTCTCGATTGCTCGATTCGTTGCATGTACATACCCATGTTAGTGGTGATCCGTGTTGAAAATTTCAAATTTTTTTTCGCGATGTGTATTGAGGCATGGCTGCGAAAAGCCATTTCATATAAATTATACTCGTTGTTCCACAACGTCTCTCTCACTATAAATAGTATCTGTGGGTCCATTGTTTCGCTGGGCGTCGGACTGGGCCGCAGGCTCGGGGCGTCGTATATCGTTGGGCACTTCACTGGAAATGTTCGCACTCTGTTCGACTCCACGAGACTCATGGTACAAGGTTATCACCGCCCAGTTGTAGAGATCCTCTCTCGAAATTCCCATAATTCTCCACAAGAATTTCTTCAAGAAATTGCCGTACTTCTTTTTGGCGAGAACCTTGGCTCGTTGCTCGAGATTGTAGTGGGCATTTCTCGAGTCCGCAAGAATGAGTCGCACTCGTTCGCTGGTGGGAACCAACTCCTGTATCATTGCTCTTAACGTAGGATCGTTCCTTAGCATGTCAAGGTCGAGAGTGAAGTCTTCATCTTCATTAGTGTCCGCATGGTCGGTCGTTGGACTAGTAGCTACATCTGGACTCAGCGCAGGCAGATCTGTCCCTGGTTCACCATGGCCCTCAGCGCCCGCGCTGTTCCGAATCGTACCCTCGTTCGCCGTGGTTTCTGCTTCGGTTGCATTTCCCGATGTGATTCCCGACTCTGCCTTGAAAAAGTAATCTCGCTTACAAGTTGGACAGCATGCCCTTCTTTTTGTGAGCCAAGGATCTAAGCACTCTGCGTGGTACACATGTCCACACAAGAGACCTCTTACAATATCGTCATTTTCAAGAACTTCCAAACAGATAGCACAGGTTCCAGAGGTAAAATGGAGTCCCTGAGCCTCATCAGAACAGCCAGATGCCGACAGCTGGGCGTCCAACTTGCGCATTTCAATTTCGTCGGTGGGTCCCGACGGTGTGGTACGTGCGTCCGAGTACTGGGAGGTGTGGGTCTGGGTTGCGTGTAAGGTTGTTTCTGCCGCAGCATTGATCTCGATTTCGTCTACATCACTCATGTCTTCAATTTTGTGGTTCATCAAATCGCCCTCTTCCTGGAGTGCACCGTTCCGAATCTCGCTATCTCTTTCCTGACCGCCGTTGAGCCAGTCATGGTAGGTTTTCTTGGGAAAAAGAATCTCCACTTCCTGTTCAGTCAACTTTTTCATCCTCGAGTACCGGCCACCACGGCGCCGTCTGCGTCGGTTTCGGCCAAGTAACCGTCTTTCGAGGATCTCTCCACGGATAAAATGGTGGGACCGAATATATTCGATGTGTTCTTGGAGTTCATCGTCGGTGAGTTCGACATGTGAAGCAGTTTGCGTGGTGCCACCAACGAGAATATTGTTGTGGCGCCGTGTGAGTGGGTACACATGAAGCCCAAAGTGGGATCTGACAAAGTAGCGGACGGTGAAGAACACAAATAAGAACGCAATAAACACCCCTACTGCAAGGGCGAGAAAGAAAAGTACCGTTGATGGAGCATTACCGCCGAAAGTACTTGAAGTGAACCCTGACGAGCTGTCTGAAGTTTCCGAGGCACCCAGAGTTGACGACGCCGTGTTAGGCGAATGGGTGGAGGAAGCCATGGCTTATCTTTTGGAAATCCACTGAAATTTTTTGATTACGGATGGATAAGGCAATTTAACGGTTTCGAATAGATGAGGGGAATAAACCTTAAAAGCTATTATCTGGCTCATATATTGTAGCCAGTGTAAGCGTGGAAGATGTAGCAGTACACCCGCTGGATTTTATACACCCAGAGTATACGATTTCGGTCCGGTTGAAGCAAATCAGGCTATGCGTCGTTCCTTGCCGCACGACAGATTTGTCTCCATCATGCCTGCAGATCGGCATTAGTGGGGTAGCGGGACAAAAAGATAATGACGGCATGACAGGGCGCAGAAAAGGAAGGTGAAATACGAGGAAAGAGTAGGGGTGGATACGATGGTCATAGAAACGGAAAATAGAAAAGAAAAGGATGTAGATGCTACCTTAGTATATTCTTCAGTTTCTTCGCATAAACCTTAAATGAAAAATTAGCAATCGAAATTTCAACACTTCTTTCGTCGTATATCTGCGGCTACAATATACATTTCATGTACAATTCCATGTACATCTTGTCTACATCACTTAGTTCAAGCATATATTAGCCCTGCATTTACAACTTAGGTGCCTCCTTGTAGGAAATAGCAGCTTCCTCACCCATGGCAGAGATGATGGTAACCAACAAATCCTTACCGTCATCGAACTCAGATTGGATCTTGTCACCCAACTCACCCTCTGGGATCTTGACATCATCCTTGGTGTCACCATCTTGGGTCATAAGAGACAAGAATCCATCATCAATGTCCAACAATTGGTACTCCTGTCTGGAAACATTTGGCACCTCCATGTTGTGGGTGGATGGGGACAAATCTTCCAACTTCTTACCAGTGAAAATGTCAATAGCCACCAAGTGGACCTTGGCGTGACCGTGCTTACCGGTCTTGGAGGTGGACATGTCAACAATCTTACATGGTCTGCTCTTGATAACAACGTGTCCGTTCTTTCTCAATGCAGAACATTGCATTGGGAAGGTCAAGGCGGCACCGGCATCGGCGGTCTCAAAAACGTGCTGGAGTTAGTATTGGAATGGAATAGTCTTATGATGCTTATAAAATCAAGCGGCGATGCCCATGAAAATCAATGGAAAATCATCGAAAACACAAAGAAATGGCCGGTTTGAAATTTGGTTCTTCAACCTCGCACCAACATTAGGCTATATCCTAATTTTTACACTCCATAATTACATACATCTTCTTCAGCCATATTGACGATTACTTATGTTCTTCAACAGTTGGTTGAAATTTTGTCGAGTGCGGGACAATTTTTCCTTACACAAAACCAAAATGGGAAGACTCGCAGCGTAAATCATGGCACGACGCCCGCCTTCTTTGGCGTACATACAGGCACATGCCACAGTTACCCGGCGCTGTACCATTAATGGCAATCTACAATATTGGCCCAGAAATAGTAATGTTGTATTAATTAGCTGGCTGTAGTGACTGGAATCCCCATTGTTTCCGATTCCGATTCTCCTTCCTTTTTCACGCTCTCTATCCCAGAAATCTCCGAATCGTCTGGTGGTTGGCTGTTGAGCCGTGCATCTCCACGCCTATGCTTTTCTTGTCGGAGATGGTCAATTAATCCGCTCCATTTGTTTAACAACTCGTTACACTTCTCGTGTAGTTTGAAGCTGTCGGGGTATTCCAAATCGGGATCTTTCAATATACATTTTAGTACCTTGTGGATCTTGGTGGTACTCAAGAGATCCAAGTTCATGGGGAACTCCGCAAGTCGGTGAAGAATTAGTCGGGCTATCAGTAGTTCATCCACGGTAGGAGGAGGGAATGACTTGGTGTCGGTAGGTGTAATTGGTTGGTTGCGTTGGATTAGCGACCTTTGAAGCTTGATGCGACAAAGCCAAAGTTGGTGCTGCCGTTCTTCCTCGGACAACACCTTGGGCGGACAAGGTTCTGGTTTATTTCGTTGCTTGATAGTGCCATTACTACCATTGGCGGACCGGCGCTTGGTAGTGGCCACGAGAGGAGTCGACAGACGAGCACGTTTGCGTCGGTGCGTCAAGTTTTCTTCTTCTTCATCGCCGTCGTCCTCGGCATCATCTTCAACCTCGACCGGTGCCGAGCGTCCTCGACTGCGTCTTCCATTACCTCTCCGGAGATCTTTTCCGGTTGGTTTGGTCTCGATGTCAACACTCTCAGTGTCTTTATTATGCATATCTTCTTCTTCGTCGCCATTTCCGTCTTCTTCCACATCCTCCTCGTCCTCTTCATTTTCTTCTTCAAGTTCAAATTCTTCCTCGTCTTCCTCATCATCATCTTCCTCTTCGCCTGCATTCGCGTTCAATTTCTTTATGAACACATCAAAGTCTACGTCTTGAGCTGCCATCAATGCGTCACCAACGACCAAGGTTCGCTTGGTGGATGTACTCTTCTTTTTGCCCTTATTGGGGAGCTTTGCTATACGCTTTCGCAACTCTTCAGGCGTCAACTCTTCCAAACTCTTTTCACTAACCCAATAGTAGTCACCATCTGGAATGAAAATAACACAATAATCGGTCGATTTCTTCTTGGCACGCATTATATTCTCGGGAATCAATTCCTCAGGCATCACAAACGAAGGCCACGCGGGAAACCCTTGCATCTTGGCAAGAACTAAAGTCCGCGGTTTAAACAAAGGTCTTGCTCTCTTTGGTGGCATTATATCTATAGGTGGAATCTAAAGTTTGGGTTGAAAGAATGAGTTAGGATATCAATTGATGGAATCCTGGTTAATCAATGGTTTGAATGAACCGATTGAAACGAAGATTGCACACAAAAACGATGGAGGACGTTTGTGTTTAAGTATGAAAAGATGGGCCAATGTCGAGATTCTCGCGAGAATATCAATTACCCGGTCCTCTATGTGGGAATATCCGCTGCGATATAGGCTCGGGAAGATTTGTTACGCCTGTTGGATATATTGCTGTTAGTAAACACGGTAGCTATTGTCGTAAAGAATCTCACCCAAACAGTGGTGCACGGACGACCGGTGTTTGGGTGTAGCGGGGACGAAGAGTATAGTGGACAGAGAGGGAGTGAAGGAAGAATGGTTGAAGTTGCAGAACGATGAGGTAGGTGAGAAGGTATGAGTTTCGAGTCATTGTTTTGGTGTTCTAAAGAGCTCTTTCTAAAAATTTTTGGTTGTTGTTCCACTAAAATAAACTTTATATATTTTAAACTCAATTAATTAATTGTTCTATTCATCTGCTTTAATCCTCTTTCCATTGCGGCGTCCCCTACCCATTCCATTCTCTCTCATTTGCTATTCGCATTTTTGCAGCTCCTTTTCGCAGCCTACTTTCCTGTTCCGGCATGTTCCTCCTGTCACCATTTTCGGCTGCGACTTTTTCTCTCGACTGATACTAACGGTTGACCCTTCTTTTGTTCTGCTATATCTACGCCCCTGTGTCCAGATAAACCATATCAGCTCTGCTGAGAATCACCCTAGCAGACACATACTAGCACCCCTTGACCCAAACTCAAAAAAATCTACTTTTTAATTTCGTTTAAGAAAAACACATTTTGCAAGCAGGTGCAACCATTTCGATAAGCTTTTTGAATTCGATAATTGGGTGCCCTATTTAACCCAAATCCACACCCACATTCTTGCAATCATGTCGCTATCTCAAACTGTACGAAAAAGGACTTTCGAGCCGGAGCAGCAGGGCCAAAAACGACAAAAAATTGCCAATATTGATGCCGCCGTTCTTCATTGCATTCCACCCAATATTGTCCCGTTGGTTCAGCCGCCGTTCCACGAGTCCAACTTTTTCACCGACTTGGAGCCCCGTGATAACCCCAAGTTTGTTCAACAAGTCACAAACATAGTTGCGAAATATCCACCACCTCCTCCACCTCCTCTTCCTGACCAAACCCTGCTGACCTCTGGAGGTATTATGGTTCCATTCATATTTCCGCCACCGCCAGTTTTGAAGAATGAGTCGGTCACTGATTCGTCACCAAAACGGCGTTTGCGAGGCTCGGATCACGATAATAAAACTTATGTCGAGCTTCCTCCATTGCCGTTTCCTCCACCAAATTACATGCCATATCCGATGCTTTCGGACAGAAGCACACTCGCTCCACTGGAGGTAGTCCAGTCGTTTTTGGATGCGCTGCAGAATCTTCCAAGAACAAATATGGTGGTTGCTAGTGCCGCTGGTTCGTTGCTTGATATGAAACATCAGGCTGAACAGGAAGGTCTCACCATCGAAGACTTTGAGAATGGAGCGACCTACGATGCAGAAAATGTGGACACAGAGGAAGCAGAAGAGTACATGGCATTCGCGGCTGGTGTAGATACTTCGGAGACTGTTGATTACTACGATCAGAAAAAATCACCACCTTCAACGGTGGAGGTCAACAGTGACATGTATTCAAGACTAGCCAATGTTGCTCCTCGTTTGAGCTCTATTGGACGAACAAAATCGAACCTGCTGACTGAGCCCACGACCACCAACATAGACATCTTCCAACCCAGTCACAACCATGAACCTCACCCAACACCTTCAATTTCACACCCTTCCAAAGATATCGTGACAGCAAATGGTGTTAATAAGGAAAGAAGACGTGAGGATCTTCTTCGATCAGCCAACCAACTCCGGTCCTTCGAAACCCGCCATCGCCGTCAAGTATATGAGCACAAACGACTGCAATTGTTGCTGAGACTCGAAAGTTTGAGGTCGTCGAAAATCCTGCTCACCGATGAAAGCCTTATAGTCAACGACGACCTCAGAGCCATCCAGCGAGAGTTGGAGTTCCAGAGAGACTTTGAGATCTTCAGGCTCAAAGTGGGCCAAAATTATCACTTGTCTAATAACGTTCAGTTCTATTATGAAAATTGTGACCGAGCATACAAGCGGTATAACTCTAATGTGGTGAACAAGTTGAAAAAGTTGGAGAATTTCTTCCAGTACCAGTACGATTTGTTCAACCAATTGTTGAACAATGCATCTAACGATGTCTTTGATATCAAAACAAGAGACTCTGGAAAGCTCTATCATGGTATTTCTCAACGCAACTTTAGTGCCGAGATCAAACAAAGAGAAACACCCGCGGTGAAACCAGCACCGTTGGTTCACGATTTCATGCCAATGACCTCGCTGGCAGAGTTTGATATCATTACAGGTGACGGAGCCAGCAAGATCAAACAGAGCAATTTGTCTTCGAAGGAAGCAAAAAATGCCAATCTACACCATACAATTTTTCAAAATGCCCTTTACGATCCTGCCACTTCCAACTCGGATACCAACTATTCCGAGCTGAGCACCAGTCTTCCGTCGACACCCAAAAGACGAGGTCGCCGAGCTACCAATCTTGGCGCCGACAAACTTGAACTTTTTGATAAGCAATCGAAGCACTCGGAGGCAGCATTGATCGCTCGCATAATGAAAAACTTTGTAGGACCACAGGGCAGTAAGCCCGATGAACTCACTACAGATCTTGACCAAATGGGTATCACCACTAGGTGGCCGATCTGACGAAGTTATTGGGAGTATAGTATTAAAACACATATAGGAAAACAATATAGTACAGATCAATATTCTTCGAATTGAGAGTAGATGGCAGTTACAACATTGGCAGCACCAATGACCAATGGGAAGTTACCCAAGAGCGAGGTGAATTGTCCGTAGATACCAAGTTGGATAGCAATGAAGTTCTTCAACGCGTTCCAGATACCCTTGTATGAAGTCAAGGTGGTCAAGTGTCCAAAGTTCTTGGTGATAAAATAAAAGATCAACAACTTGGACAACGCATACACGAATGGGTCAAACTTGTAGATACGAGCAACAATTCCAGCATCTTCATCATACACAATCACTCGGCGAGAAAAGTTGACATAGTAGGAAATTACCAATGGCACCAAGATGGCGGTGATAGCCCAGTTAAAAGCAACAGACAACACCTTTGGGTCCCACAAAGCAGTAATATCAGGAAGAGGGAACGTACTCGTGGACAAATACTCAATGTTATCCTTGAAAACTTGGTGCACGGTAGGATTGTGCTTGATAGGTTTGATGGGTACAAACGTGTACAAGAAGAATGAAAACTCCAAAAACACCTCCAAAAAGTTGAGGGTGATCAGCTTGGAAAGGTTTTCTCTCAACTCATCGTTAATGTCCAACGTGGTGATTCCTACCTTATCGGTAAGTTCAAGAACCTGCGAATAGGCGCGTTCGTACAAGTCGATTGCGGGGTCAACAACCCATTCTTTAAGGTTGATTGGGGGTCCTGGTTGGTAGTCTGCACCAGCCTCGCCTTCGAGATCCTCGCCAGCATCCTCAGTAGCGGTTTCCTCATCGGAATCCAATTCCAAAACACTTTGAACCGTCAAAACTCCGTCTTCGGGATGGTCATCAATATAGGCAGTAAACTTGTCTACCAATACCTTCTTCGTATCCTTAGCAAGGGCATGGATGCCTATCTTCTTGGCGGCCTCCAAAAGCTCGTCTTTTCTGAAACCACTAAAATTGAGTTCCGACATTAGTGTTGATAGTTGGCGTTTCTTCTCCTGCACTTATATTGGTGTTTTTGTTTATCCTGTCTGCATGGCCGATTGTCATGCAGGGCCAACGTTGACACCCGTGCCCAATCGGGAAAATATGGCGCCTGCATAATTGCTTGCCCCATCAGGTTTTATGTGCATTCTCAGAAATCATCTGTTTCAACTCTTGGTTATTTCGCCACCAGCAATCAACATTGACCATGCGACTACTTCGCCGGCTTCCTACGAGACATTACACTTCCAAAGTGGTGTCTGGGGCTGAAAAACCTCGAATAAATGAATTGGGTATCCAATACCTATCGGAGTCTCTCCATAAGAAAGTGTTTCCCAAAACTTCTGTCAATGATTACAAGAAAAAACGAGATCCTGCTCGTCTCCTACTCGCTCAGAAACATCTCAAGCATAATGGGCTTCTTGACCGTAAAACAAATATCGAAGAACCTATCCAATTTCCACATTTTCCTTCCCTTGTAGGAAACAACATCGAAGAGCATTTTCACAAATTGGGCACTCTGTGCTCAGAGCCGTACCTTTCTATGGCAGAACGGTTTCTTGCTACTAAAACACTTCCCAAAAAACCAACAAAATGGGTGTTTGAATCGGGCTGGACTCGATACACCCCAGGTGCAGACCCTGAAGCCGTGCCTTTTCCCTCGGAATCTGAGCTAGTCTTTGATGTCGAAGTTATGTATCACAGGTCCCCTTTTGCTGTGATCTGCACTGCTGTGTCCTCCAAGGCTTGGTATGGATGGGTTTCTCCATTACTAACCAATTTCGCTATAGATCCATCCTATGATGATTGGGAACATCTTATTCCGTTTGATTGTCTCAGGAACCCAAAACTTCTCGTAGGCTACAATGTGAGCTACGATCGAGCCCGGGTCCGTGAGGAGTATAATATAAAGCAGTCGCAAGCTTTTTACTTGGACGGAATGGCCCTTCATGTGGCCACAAGCGGCATCTCATCACAGCAGAGACCCATGTGGCACAAGCATAATAAGGCCAAAAAGACGACTGAAGAAGAGCTGGAACTCTTTGTCCAGTCTGAACTTGACCAGGAACTTAGTGATGACCCGTGGCTAAACAAGGGCTCACCAAATTCACTTGCAAGTGTTGCCAAGTTCCATTGCGGTATTGACGTCGACAAGTCTGATCGTGAGTTCTTCGAAACGACGGAACCCCAAGATATAATAGACAACTTCGATATGCTTATGGACTACTGTGCCAAAGATGTTGATGCTACATTCAAAATCACAGCAGAATTGTTTCCTCGTTTCCGCAAAAAGATACCACATCCAGTATCATTTGCAGCCTTACGACACCTCGGAACATTGGTACTTCCCACCACAAAAAAATGGGACAGCTACGTGCTGACGGCAGAAGACTGTTACTTGCATAATCGACAACAGGTTTCCGAAATTCTTAGGGAACGTGCCAATAGCTTGGTATCCTTTGTTGAAGCAAAAGAGCCACTTCCAGATGTCTCAGATGATCCGTGGCTACGTCAACTCGACTGGACGTTGAAGGAACAGCGATTCAAGAAAAATGGTGAACCGGTTGCAAAGCAAGCATTTTTGACCGGATATCCCGAATGGTATCGAGATCTTTTCCGCAACAAAGAGAAGGAAATGAATATCTCTGTGAGGACAAGAATCACTCCACTTCTTTTGAAACTCAAATGGGAAGGATACCCCTTGCTCTGGACCGACTCAGCTGGTTGGTGCTTCAAGGTTCCCGACGAAACAAAAGAAGTCAAACGTATGGCAGCCAAGAACTACACTTTAGCAAAACTCAGCGAAGAAGATCATGAGAGTCTTCTTGATGAACTTCGAGACAATGGACATTACCAATTGTTCAAAATACCTCATCCTGAAGGACCCTCTAAGCGGTGTACCTCAGTGTTATCAAAGAGCTATTTGCGGTACTTTGAAAATGGAGTACTTTCGTCTGAATACGAGTACGCACAAGACATTCTTCGTCTCAATTCCGAAGCCAGTTACTGGATGGGTAATAGAAACCGTATCTTGGATCAATTCGTGGTTTATTCAGATACAAGTGGCTCCAAGAACATGTTCTTCGATACCAAAGTCAAGAGTCGAGAACACCCAGAAATGGGAATAATACTTCCAAAGTTATGTTCTATGGGCACTATTACCCGCCGGGCAACTGAGAATACCTGGTTGACGGCTTCAAATAGTAAGAGCAATCGAATTGGTTCGGAATTGAAAGCTATGATTGAGGCTCCTCAAGGTTATGCTTTTGTGGGAGCCGATGTTGACTCAGAAGAATTGTGGATTGCCTCGTTAGTGGGTGACTCAATGTTCAAGATACATGGTGGAACGGCCCTTGGATGGATGACATTAGAAGGTGACAAAAATGAAGGAACAGATTTACATTCGAAAACGGCAGAAATTTTAGGTATTCTGAGAAATGATGCCAAAGTGTTCAATTATGGCCGGATATACGGTGCTGGGGTCAAATTCGCTACAACTTTGTTGAAACAATTCAACTCTGAATTGACAGATGCTGCCGCTTTGAAAGTGGCTCAGGACTTGTACGCTCGTACTAAAGGACAAACAGGAAAGTCAAAGTTTCTCGATCGACCTATGTACCACGGTGGAACTGAGTCTGTGATGTTTAATGCCTTAGAAGCAATAGCGTACCAAGATGATCCTCGGACTCCTGTTCTAGGAGCAGCTATTACCGATGCCCTTTCAAAGAAGAATTTGAACAAGAATAATTATATGACATCGAGAATCAATTGGGCAATCCAAAGTTCTGGTGTTGACTATTTACACCTTCTTTTGATTTCTATGGAGTATTTGATTGCTCGGTACCAAGTTGATGCCCGTTTGATTCTCACGGTGCACGATGAAATCCGATACATGGTCAAGGAAGACCAGAAATACAAACTTGCATTATTACTCCAGGTATCCAATCTTTGGACGAGAGCCATGTTTTGCGAGCAAATGGGTTTGAAAGAGGTTCCTCAATCTTGTGCGTTCTTCTCAGAGGTTGACATCGACCATGTTCTCCGAAAGGAAGTGACAATGGATTGTGTTACACCATCACATCCGGATTCCATACCGCCTGGAGAAAAGTACACTATCAGACAGCTATTAGAAAAGTGTGACTTTGGAAAGGTTTTGGATGAGGGACGCAAAAAGAGAGGATATAAACCTCTTGATTATCAGTACCAACCACAAGTACCAGTACTCCAAGCACTACAAGGCGGTATTGAGAGTTTATCTTTGGCGAAACTCAGAATACAAAATTCTATCGACAAAGCTGAATGGCGGAAAGAGGTAAACCAGTTCATCAAGTTACAAAAGAATGAGCAATTGGACGAGATTGAACGGTCTTTTGAAAAGACTTCAATTCTGTCCAAACCACGAAAGAGTATCAAAAATGATTTTGATGTGTCCAGTGACGGAGACGAAGCGCTTCGACACGAATTAGCGGCTCTGGCGCTTGAAAGCTACGATGATCAAAACCACGATTTTGGCGATTTTTCAATACCTGGGCAACAGGTGAAATATGTGAGACAAAGTGCGTTCAAGTACAACAATTATAAGCCGCAAAAATACGATATCCGAACCAAAACGTGGAGTGCCAAGGTGTCCAGGGCTCAGAAGAATATCAAAGAGCCAAAATCGACACCCAATGAAAACCGGCAGGTTCTAGGGTTCCACCCCTTTGCAAAGCAGCGCTACGAAGCAAAACGATCATTTTCAACGGCGACAAAAACGGCTCGTTCTGTCACCGACCGACGAAGAGGCAACGCCTGGTTCTACTGGAAAGAGGCATGGCGACGACCCAACCAGCAATAAAGCTCTAAACGTCGCAATGATCGTAAAGGTTTGTATTTTTCGCTCGGTAAGAATTGGGTAGAAACTTTCTAGCCATTAATAACCCCACCGGCGAGCGAATCGCGTTGCTACAACCACCGTGAATTGATACACTGGTGCTCGACGCTATACATAGATTACGACGAAAAGATTACCACAAAAATACATTGTAGGCTTCACCAGTGGCTTTCGAAGTCACAATCGCAGGTCATGGGCCCCGCTTACGTCATTCACCTTAGTTTGACACTGGCGTGCGTTAGTGTACGGATACTCTGGTGCCGGGTGCAGGTTTCCCGATGGTGCGCAACCTTTTTGAGCATTGCACTTGCCCAATCGGTCCGAGAAGATAATAGCCGGGTGCGCCGCACTCCAGCCGTAGAAACCGGCATCCGCTAGATCCTAACTTTGGACCTAAACTTGTTGTTAAGCTGTTATTTATAATTTAGGAGGGTGATACAGCACTGTAAACGTGATCTGTAGTATCTAAGCTATTCCATTGTCAAATCTTCAACCTCTTTACCCTGACGTAAATTGCTGAACGTCTCGGTAAATCCAGGAACGAGCCGACCTCTCCGAACTTTCCTACCGAGCGTTTTTTTTTTTCTTTTCTTATTCGTCGGTTTGAGGCATTAACGAAAACATATAATACCCCGTTCGCAGGCTGGTAGTTTTCGAAAAAATTTACCTTCCAATTTTTTTTTAAATCACAGACATGCTTCCAGCTGGTGTTATCTTGGTGTTCGTCTTGGTCTTCTTAGCCTTCTGTGCTGTCACCGCCGTGATGGTTCAAAAGAAGCTTAAGGCTAAAAAGGCCAACCAAAGATTCTAAGAATCTTAACAGGCATTTTAACGACAAAATCGACAGCGAGGATAATGGTGAAACGGTATGTTTGGCGTGGACCAGAACTGGGGAGGAAGCTGAAGCTGAAAGCAATGGATAACAAATGGACTATGCTTAAGTGAATAACCAATCTCTAGTTTTTTTGTTATCTTTGTTTTTGGCAACAGTATCCGACTCAATTTTTGGCCATGTTGGCTGCTTGGTTTTGTATCTCTTGCTTGGTTTTGTCGTTGTCGCTATAATACGAAACATCATTGACCATCTACCCTTGAACATTTCACTGTTGCTATCTATCATATCGTGTTGTTTTCTATTTGTTGTAATTGTAATTGACGGGATTTTTTTTATTTGGGAATATGGACACCGGGAAACATTATATACCTGTTTTAATTGATAAATCATTAAGAAGTGTAAAAATTTCTCTCACTGTCAACAGTGGCTGATAATACTGTATTGGAACTACCGTATGCGCTGAAAATTTACCTTCTTCTGAAATTCTACCTTTTTACTTATCATCTTTTTACTGACCATCCTCTAAACTTCATCGTTCTTCTCCTCGTCGTAATCTTTCATATAAAATGCATGCAAAAGTGACCCCACCGCTAAAATCGATAAAATGTACCAAGACACAGGAACAATTCCCATGCTATCAGTAAACGATATCAACCAGCCCCATACTAGAGGAGCAATGCACCGAGCAAGCGAATTAAGACTCAAATTGAGTCCATTGACAAGAGCCCGAAATTTTGGAGTGGCAGCACGATGTTGAAGTAGCACCGCATGAGGAAACGCCGTGGCTGTGGAAAGTGTACACAACCCACTATTGAGATACAAGAGTATTGTGGTAAGGTGTGGAGGCATGCTGTGGTTGTATGCGGGGCTGGTAAACACTATTGTGGGAAGCAACATGAATACAATTGGAGGTAAGCAGAGTGAAAGTCGATACCCATTGATGGTTCTCATGTGTCTATCCATCCATGGAAACAAAAGTGATACCACAAAGACGCCTAGGAAGCCTGTGGTTGACAACAATTTTCCAATTGAGTCAGAATCGTAGCCGAAACCACCGGTCATTTTAAATGGAAAATTCAAGCTGGAAACAGTGAGCTTGCCAGCCAAGAGAACCGGCAAAAACTCGCTGTAAACCAAGTTCTGGAACGCCAACAAGAAATTCGATGTGATGGTCTGGATAACTGGCGACGTGAGTACTTGTGAAGAAAAGATAGAATGAGGTCCTTCTTCATCGGTGAACGATGCTGGAAATGAAGCATGCGAAGAATACCGACGAACAATCGCTGCAGACATCTGTCTGGAAAGAGGAGTAGTTCTGTAGTCAGCAGAATCTATGGACTCGCTCTCGCTATCATCACTTTCCACTGCAGCATAAATATCTGGTGTGCGGTTCAATGGAGTTTCTTCTGTAGCAGGACTTTCCAAGCCGTCCAATTCGTCCAAAAATCCATTCTGGGGAGCCCTTGGAGTCAGCGAGTCCTGGATCTCGCTCCTGCTTGGCCGGTGCCAAGGTCTCGGTGACATCTTGTAGCCAAACCATGTCAAGATGGTGTCTCCAATATCGAGTCCCCTGTCCTGCTTATACTTGAGTCGATAATGAGTTTCTTCAAAAAAGAGAAAACACACTGTGGCACTAACAACCAAAAAAAAAGCCACCACCACATTGGAAAGTGCATAAGGGTACAGGTTCATGAAATCGTTATACATGCCCGAGGTGTGCGCTTCACCTCTTGGTCTCGTGAGGTATTTGGATCCACCAATTAACGGCCCCACGACAGACCCAAGATTCCAGAGAAGAGGCACCGTAGAAAACGCCACAGCCTGGTGTCGTTTTTGGGTAGCTATTTCGCCAATTGAAGTTCTGATCACCCCCACATTTCCATTGACGGCGCCCATCGCAGCTCTTGCAAACAAAGCCATGTAGAAATTGCGGGCAAACCCAAACATAATCATACAACATGCCAGACCAAGCAAACCTATCATTAACACCGACTTTCTTCCAATCTTTTCTGATGCTTGACCCCAGTGAACGCTACACAAAAATTGCATAAATGAGAAAGCTGCTGCCAAATACCCGGAATAACGAGGAATTTGTGACTCGTCAGCGGCAATCTTGAAGTCTCTGACCATGAAATACACGTAGGGAAATAATGACGTGAATGAGATTGGCTCCAGAAATCTGATTAAACTGATGACAACCATCTGCCAGACTGGAAACCCTTTCATTTGTTCTCTGAACGTTCCATGATGAGGCATGGCGACTGGTTTTTTGGTGGGCGAACTGAGTTGTCTATGACTCAGTTTGCATTCGAGACGAGAATATTCAGTCTATCGCGATCTGCCGCAGTAAATATGCAGGGGCACCAAAAGGAACGAGAAACGAGAAACGAGAAAGAGAGGAGGAGGAGATTCGAAAGAGTTCAGAAAGTTACGAGAAAGTTATAAAAAAGTTACGAAAGTTATGAGAAAGTTGAGGAGAGATTAAGATGATAGTAAAGTGTTATACTTATTATGAGTAGTATCTTAAACTTGAGGTCTTACATTTTGGGTGCAAATTACACTTTTTTCAAATTTTGCAATGGTCCATCAATTGCATTTATTCATTCTTAATCATTATTTCCTGCTCCTTCTATTAATGTTCCACATAACTGGGCCTCTTTCCTCCCTTACTCTTTCTCATTTCCTGCTCTCGCAACACCAAGATCACACACAACATCACCAAAGTATGTTGCAGTTCATCACCCGGTGGTTGAAACATCCGTACTGTCCCATTTAAACTGTGTTTCAGTCCCGAAATCTTTTTGTCTCCGGTATCTGTATAAGTAACAAGAGGAATATTGACCAAGGTGCGTGCCTCCGACAAGAGTTTTGTATGCAAATGTTTCTTCAGCTCACTCAATGCTTGACAGAGGTCATTAGCCGAAGTGTTGAAACCCACTTTGGCACCTTTTATCGACCCGGGAGTCGGTTGCACCAAACTAGACCCATCAGTCAACGACAAGGTATTTGGCTGCAAAACATACATTTTCAATTCTCCACTGGCAAACGTGGAATTGTCCCCTGACGACCCCACCACACGTAGCTTGGTGTCACAGTACATTATATCGGCAGCTGGGCGTAATCCATTGTTTAAAATCATCACTGAAGTGTGGGGGAACATGAGAATGTAACATGACAAATTATTTGCAACATTTTTAAAGTGCACACGACAGTACTCGTGCGATTGACCAGCATCGTCATAGGTGCAAATGACCATAAATGGGGCATTTTTCTTGAAAACACTAAACACTGAAGACAGTGTACACAAGAGTGGTGAGGACCCTTTCCGGGCATCGTCTATGGACCGGAATACCGATACCCCCGGATGTAAAAAAGTCGATGCGATGGAATACTCTTTTATCGTGGAAAAATTAGGTAACGGCAACCCAAAAACCTGTGACGACAAGTCCGCGAGCGTATCATCAGAAAGCGATGTGAAAACAGACTCATTATCTGGTAAAACCGTGTCCTCACTCTGCCTTCTACTGTCCGGCATTGGTGGTGCGACCGATGATTGCGAGCTATTTGGGGCCGCTTACATAAGCCCAAGAAACTTTATTTGTGGTGGGGGTGGGGCGAGGGGCAGCGTTGGCCAGGGAAATAGGGGTTCAGACTACGAGAGGGGCAGGCAAGTGGGAAAAACGGAATTTGGGTCAATTTCATTCGGTGAACCCGCACAAGAAGTGTACGATCGTCAAGTGACATTATAAGCGAGATCATCGAACCTACACAGTGGAATTTGCGGGGTGCGTTTCCCGTTTGAGATTTTGCGCACGAGGGGGAGATCGCGTAGTGGAAAATAGGGTGGGGAATATGTGGGGGAAGATTGCGAACGTCCTGTGCGGGGACCGTCAATTAAACTTCAATCTCTGGTGCGAATTATTTCTTCAACTCGTAACATTATTCAATAATTGTTTTGTCGGCAGGTTTCCGACCATTGGCATGGCTACACAAAAGAAATATATTTGCGCCTTCTGTGCCCGGGCATTCACTAGATCCGAACACAAGCAACGCCATGAAAGGTCTCATACCAATGAAAAACCGTTCCATTGTCAACACTGTACTTCTGCGTTTGTACGGCGGGATTTGCTCCAGCGCCATTGCCGGACAGTTCACAATGTCCAGCTTCTCAACGTACAGCCTCGAGAATACGTAAATTTCACCGCCGCAGCGAAGGGTCCGGCCACCGAGTCCAGCTCTGACAACGATAATGGTCCGCCAGCTTTGTCTCCAAGACTCAAAGCCAAGGGTAGCGATAGCAATCCGCCGTCACGAAGACCGTCGGTGAGCCAACAAGAGTCGGACTTTGTCCATTTACTTTCAATTTCGCAAAAACTCGAACTGTTTCTTGCCAATTATGATGCTGGATACCCCAAGCTGTCGGTGACCAGTGACGCCTTTTTAACCGGATTTGCCGCTGCGTCCCATTCGTCGTTTCCCGTGTTGGAAATCATTGCTCGTGACATCTGTAGTTACCTTGGAACCATCAACAATAAGCCCAACAATCTGGCTACCCTCAACAAGTATGCGTTTTTCAAGTTGGGTACCATATACGGCATCTTGGCACTTGGTGCTGCCAATGCAAACGACTTGGCACTGGCGGTGAACTATGCCAATCGGTCTTGGGACCTTTTGATCTCACGGCTAATTCCTCATTATAACAACAATAATGGTCACAATGGTCATGACAAGACGGAAATCTTATGCATTCTCTTCTTGTTGTCGTACGTCTATGTCACGTTTGACTTGGACTCGGTTTACTACTCGCAGACCCTCAATTGCAAAGTGGTGTTTAATTACCTTAATGACCTCAGCCACATCATCATGTCGAATATGGACGACGATACTTCCGAATCAACTTGGCACTTGGAATGGTCTATTTACGTGCTTCTCTCTCGGTTTTTCATCAATTCGCCTGCTCCGCCAAAAATTTATGAGCTTTTCAAGGATAAAATGGTTACCCCAGAAACCCTGTTGGTTTCTCTTATGGATAACCTTTCCAAATCCATCGTTCCATTGGCCACAAACTTTATCCAAGAAGTAGCCATTCTCACCCTTATGAACGAATACAATAGCTTTACCACCAGCAACTTCTTGCTTGTGTTCAGTCTGCGCAACTGCCTTCATAATTGTATCATTCTCCTCAACAAGTCGCTAGCACTCCACCCTACGGAAAAGGCTGAAACCAGCAGCGTGTTTGAGCTCTTCAAAAAACGCACCATAATCAATAGCGTGCCCAAGTTTCACGACTTACTTTCATCATATATCTTTTGTCCTACCCAACCACACCATTGGAACCTTTTGAACGTATCGTTAAAGGAGTATAATGCTCCGTTCAATTTCGGTTTGTTCCTTGAGACAAATATGGAAGCTTCTCCTCAAGATTTCTCCGTCAACTTGTCGTCGTTTTTCAGCATCACCAACGAAAGTAATAACAATTTGGGAATCGTCAGTTTTCCATTTTTGTTCAATGTCAATTTCATCAAATTCAAATCGTTAAAGGTGATAGACTTGACCAACTTGAATAGTACCGAGATCGACCACTTAAAGTACCTTGCAATCGAGTGGTATGTCACCATGGTAAAGATGTTGATAACTTTATGGTGCAATTCCAAATTGCTTGAAAATTTCATAATACAGTGCACCCTTTATCTCATTGACGAAGTGGCTGATCCCAAGGACGACAGATCGTTCTGGGCAATCTACCGCAAGTTCACGTCATGCTATGAAAAATGGCTCGCCTATTTCGACCCATCAAACAAGTTGGTTAATGTGCGCATACGCTTACGGAAGTTCCTTGGAGAATACATCTATTCCCGGTTGAGTTTGGTGGAAGTTGGAGGCTACGATGCTAATTACGTCTTGGAACCGAGCCCCAAACAGCATTCTGCATCCATGTCGTCTGGATCCTCTCTGGTATCCTCCACTTCGGTTTCCAAGATGAACTACTCACAACCCATGCCAGGTAAAAAAGACTTGCAACTGGGAGCCAGCGGGTCTGGTTCGCTTCATCTTCCCCCAATAATGAAAATGTCAAGTGTCCAAACTGCCAACCCAATGATGTCCCATATTGAACAGAGGTAGGCAATGTAATAGTATTAGCTAGTAACAAGTGCTCAATTGCTTACTGACCGCACCCACATGGTTCCAGCGTCTTGTTCTCTCCAAAGTCGGCTAATGGTGATGCCCAAACTGTACTTCTTTTTACTCAATTCGTCCTGTTTTGTACGTAGTTTTTCAATGGCTCTTACTATCTTGGTCCGGGTCGTATAGTCGATTTCCACGTTATAAGGCGGAAGCAAATTGTTCAAAAAATCGATTTCCTTGTTGATTTTCTCGATTCTACTCGAATACAAATCGTATTTTTCTTGACTGGCAGCGAGGGCTTTGGTCATCGACTTTGAGGATTCCGACAGTTGACGTGTATGCAGATTGTGATGGTTATGATGGTGGTGTGACTTGCTGTGACTGTTTTGGCGACTTGGACCCTTATCACGCAGCGATGACAGGTCAGAAGGTGGGGTGTTTACTGGTTCATGCGATACTTTTCTGACGGTGAATTTGATTGGTTTTCGCTTTATTCCCGGCTTCGGAAGTGGATTTCCTGACCCTCCAGTCCCAGAAGATGTAGGAGCCACGGTGGCTTGCTCAGAAGTTGTAGAAACGACCGGAATTGACGGGTCATTGGATGTCTCATTGGCAGGGTCGGTGGACAGATTTAAATTTTTGTGTACTGAAAGACGTTTAATTAACTTTCCTGTCGAGCTGTTGCTTCCTACAGTGGACGTAGACGATACTGAGGGCGAGCGGGCGAGCTCCACGGAGTCAGAAGTCATGTTTTCGGGAATCGTGGGTGACATTCAACTAGAAACTATTTGGCAACGCGTTAAGACGCCGCGTTATATGTAGGAGCTATCTACGGCCCCGGTGTATGGCGGGGAAACTAGGCTCAATTAAGCGAAACAGTGGTTATTATTTCCATGTGGAGCTGGGTTCCGATATGCGTGAGATTGATTGCCAACAACAATGTGCATGCTGTGAGTGGAATACAAGTGGAATTTCACCACCATGGTACTTCTACCAGCTTTTGGCTTACAATTAGTCCGGTGCCACTTTCCACCCTCGATGAGTATGAAGTATATGTGGCCAGCGGCGACACCATAGACGAACAAACCGTGGTGTGGATCCCGGCAAGGTACCACCTGCACCATATGCTAACCAAAAACGAGAATTTTCGGCTGTTTCTCTCACAATTTTTGACCAATGGGTTTTCCCTATTTCCCCACAATTCGGTATCTTCACAAGAGCCAGAGGTTTCGGTCTTAGCATTGAGTCCCAAAGACCACGCAACAAGCAAAAAGAGGTTCAAGCACGGAAAAAACCTCCACTTTAGCTCGGCAACTTCTCAAGCAGAAATCTCCATCACTTCATACCCATTCAGTTTCACGAACCCTGTTCTCTTTTCAAACTTTCGGTCTCATGGGTTCATTAATTATGCATTCATCGACAACGGCGCTCCATTGGCGTATTTGACAGACACCAGGTACTTGGAGAACATGGCTGGAGGCATAGTACAATTGACTGACTCTAGTGCCATAGGACTAGTCATTGGCAACCTTCGAAAACGCAACGGTGACGGCGACTTGAACTTGGTTTGTGGTTGGCACCTACTCGGCGACTATTTGACCAAGATTTTCGGTTCCGATGCCATTTCTGATAATCCAATTGTTCTCGAATCTCGCACCGATATGATTCCAGTGTTTCCTTTAGTAGTAGGAAATTCAACCTCGAGATCGTGGGGAACTTGTACTTATGTTTCGTCCGTACTTGTTACCAATTACCACGTTTTGAAGCCGTACATTGAAGCGGCAGACTCATCTGCGACATGTACCATTTATGTCCATGGTTCACAAAAAATTTATCTTTCGCTGGAGGATAACATTATCACTCCGTTTCCCGAGCTCGACTTATCCTTCATATTTTTATCTCCACACCATCTTGCTGCTTTGGGAAAGGTTCAACATCTCAAGCCATCAAGCAGCGACGTCAACGATACCGTCTATTCTGTTGGATACGGCCTCTTTTACAGCCAACGACAAACAGCTCCGCTTCTAGCCAAAGGCCATATCTCGGCATTGAGCCCTTTGCCTTTCACTATGGACGAATCTCCCATAGAAACCATGATTGTGACTTCTGCCCCGTGCTGGAATGGTTCCTCGGGAGGGGCATTGGTAGATTCCGAGAACAAATTGGTTGGCATTATATGTTCAAACGCCCAGGTTCGGGTCCCCGAGGTGGCAGGCACCATCACTGGGCAAACAGAGAAGCTTTGTACGTTTTTGCATGTGTTTGCCGATAGCTTTAGTACTCAGATGTCTTGAAGCATGCAAATCGTTAGCAGCACCACAGCTCAATCCTGATATAGCCAAGCTTTGGACGCTTAGTACCACTCATAAGGACGTTATAGAAAGCGGACCCAAGTTATAGATAGGTTTAACGCAAAAGAAAAAAAGCTGGAGTAGGTTTAGCGATCAACGCCGACCAGCAGCAGCAGCAGCAGCAGCTTTCTGTTCCACAGCCTGTGCCAAGGAGTTGGCCACCGAAGCCTCATTCGTTCCTGGACCCGAATTGTTTCCAGCATCAGCACTGTTACTTTCTATTCGACTGACTTCCAACAATGAAGAATAAAGATTTGTCAAATCCAACAATTCCGTGACTGAGTCGGACCGCAAATCGTATACTAGCTGCTGAAAGGAATGCGACTTGATGACATTGATCGACAATTTGTTTTCCGTCAAAAATTTCATCAAGTGCTTGTGGAACTTCATGGCGGTATATGGAGAATTATCAAATTCCGCCGATAAAAACCTGCGGCTTCCAAAAGCCACATTTGGCGCCTGCGCCATGTTGCTAGATACCGGAACCAATGGCACCGTCAGACTATCGACATATTGTCGTTTTTTAGACCCTCTATGTGCACTTGCACCCATCGCTATCGATGCAGGGTCCTGGTGCACTGGTGTCAAGTGTGACAACGAGCTGGCATCGAGCACGTGATCATGACCGGAATGACCGGTTGGGGTTGGGTCGTGGCGCATATGCAGGTGCGGTTGTTGGTGTCTCACCTGAGTGTGGTGGAGATCTGGTTGGGTATTTTCATAAGACATAGGCATTCCATTAGGGGCATAAGTGACGCCGTTCCCGTCGATAGGTATGGCACGAGAGTTGTTTATGGAGTCACGCGTGAGCTTGTGGGTTTTCAAGTGCTCGGTTAATTTTTTAGGCGAGCCTTTATCCGAGGAGAGTCTGGTAATTATCTTGCCACAATAGTCACAAGCAGCCACATTTGGGTCTTGAGAATCTTGAATAAACCACGTCCACACCCACGACTTTTTTTTCGCGCCAAATCGCTGGCCCGGCCGGTTCTTGCGTTCTTTGCGCTGCTCTTTGGCAGCCGCAGGGGTCAATTCCGGTCCTGATGATATAGTTCCGACTGAGGTCTCAGGTCCTAATCCGGGGGTACGCCTATCTTGGCTCAGATGGACTCCAAGATGATTGTGATGTGTCACATTTGTGGCCGATGAGTTTGGTGCTGTCAGATCGCTTGTATGGCTCGAACCCAGGGTCAATTGTTGTGGAAGTCCATTGATGTTTATTGGTTGGCGCTGGTGTATTGGAGTCAGGTTGTAGCTGGAAAACCCTATTTGGTTATTTGAAGGATTATAATAACTCATTTTGAGTTGAGCTCACGTAAAATAGACGTGAAGAGTATCGGTTGTAGGAATTGTTTGCAGCAGTTTACTTACTGCATGACCGGAAGTCGAGTGAGCATCGTGGTGCGCGCACGCCGCCGACGCGACACCCGGGGGTAAATGGTTGGGGAAACCGGGGGTATGTTGAGGTTGTTCAAGAAACACGAAAACGGAAGAAAAATATGAATCTCATCGAACAATCATTGACGCCATTGTCAATCATCGAAGGTAACCCGCAAACTTTGTATAACCAGCGAAATTTGGGCGAGGAGCCGCACGACTTCCCGTTTAGGAAATTGCAACCAGCAGCATATCCAAGGTTGGATTAATTGCACCCAAAACGAGAATACCAGCCAGTACTATATTGGACGTAGTATGATGCTACAAACCAGCCAGATGTTAGGTTTGAAGTATATATAACATTCTCAAGTTTGTAAAAGAAATAAACCACTAACAATTTATCCAAGGTAACCCTAGTGAAATTTATCTCTCTCTAACTACAGTCATTCCTTTTAACACTGTCTTTCTTTGATTTCCAACTACAGTCCATTCCTTTATAACTCTTTACCATGCAATTCTCCAAGATTATCGGTTCCTTAGTGTCGGCTTCGTTGATAACAAATGTGATGGGTGCTCCACATGAAGCTAAAAAACGTGATGATGATGACGATCCTGTGGTGGTTCACATTAAGACTACGGTGCAAAACACACAAACAAATGTCCATACCGTGGAAGGAAAGGTGCAAACTAAAACAAATTGGATTGTTGATACTTCAACTGCCACTGTTACCAGTTATACAGCCACCGTCACTTCCACAGTTTTTGGAACTCCTTATACGTTTGTTACGGTTGCTACTACTCCGATTGATGTGTCCAGTTTGTCTTTGCCAACTGAAATTGCTGCGCAAACCGAAATTGAAACTACTCAAGCAAAGGCTGCAACCACACCCACAACGGTCCCAACTACAACGGCTCCAACCACAACCACTTCCACTTCCGTGACTCCAAAAGCTTCCGCTGCCGTCACCCAGACAACCTCTACCGAAGTGGCCGAAGTTACCGACTCCAATGACGGACCAACCATCACCGATAGCAACAATATTCCAACGTCAACCGACTCATGGATTATTGAAAATGTCACCACCATGACTTCCGACAGCGTCTGTTACGTCAATTACGATTACTACTACGCATCCGAAGCCGACGAAACCATAACATCCACATCCACCATCTATACCACCGTTACTCGTTCTTGATCGTTACCGTTCTTGACGAATCGGGCATGTATATTAGATGGCGTTTGGGACTTGTTGAATTGTATGCTCTCTCTCACTAGGGCCCTGTTCTTCTCTTCTAACGCTATGATTTGATTCTTGTCCTCGGGACTTTTTTAATAAATGTGATAAGATACAAGATGTAGTTACTATTTGCAGCCAAATGATTGTGTTATATACTGCACACAGAATATGCTCGCTCGCGCTCTCTCGCTCAGACTTGTTAGGGCCGCGCCCTTGCCCCATTCACGTGCGCGCACATTTGTGTCACTGGCCCAATCTCAAAATTTTCACTGCGAATAACTCAAGGACTCACTTCGGTAACTTAATAATACAATGGGTAAGTAAATTCTGAGGATTGGAGACGAGGTTTCGTCGGTGACACTACATATATACATAGTCTCCATCAGACAGATTCCTTCATCATCCAATAGTGGTCATAGATCCATCTTCCACACGTTACCCATACTAACTCAGTGAACGTTCCAAAGACCAGAAGAACCTACTGCAAGGGTAAAGACTGCCGTAAGCACACCCAACACAAGGTGACCCAATACAAGGCAGGTAAGGCCTCTTTGTTCGCCCAGGGTAAGAGAAGATATGACCGTAAGCAATCCGGTTTCGGTGGTCAAACCAAGCCCGTTTTCCACAAGAAAGCCAAGACTACCAAGAAGGTTGTGTTGAGATTGGAATGTGTTGTTTGCAAGACCAAGGCTCAACTCTCATTGAAGAGATGTAAGCACTTTGAATTGGGAGGTGACAAGAAGCAAAAGGGTCAAGCTTTACAATTTTAAGCTTATCATGTAGTAATATACACGAGAAAGAGGAAATGTAGAAAACATACAGAGCACCAGAAGCAACAAATGGAGGAAATGAGAAAGGTTTAGAATAGAGACGGAAGAGTTAGATTGACCTACAAGGTGAGACATTATATGCAGTGCACCACAATGAAAAGAACTCGACTAATTTGGTCACCGTTCGGTCAAATCGTTCCTAAGCTCATGTATATTCAGTTTCGACCCCATTGTCTACTATACTCTCCCCCGCTTTCCCTTTTCATCATTTTTAAATTTAAGCCCTCGTCCTTCCCCTCCGCCTTTTCTTCCAATTTCGCACAACTCTCCTAATTCTCCACTGCACAAAATACACTCCTCGCGCTGTTATTGTTCGTGTCGGCATCATTCGCGTTTCACCTGGCAACGTTTTTTATTCCTCTAACATCGTGTTTTACTTGAGTTAGGGGATCAACTCGGGTTATTTTTGCAAGTCACTCATTGCTAGAACCTTACTTTTGACTTTTTTGTAACTTATACTTTGCAGAAAGCCCTTATTATCATCTTTTCATCTCAGATCATCGAATCATGGACTTTGATTTTTTGACCGACGAACAGAAGCAGTTCTACCGGAACCAATACCAGCAAAGCCAGAACCAACAATATCAAGAACACTCACTCCAACAAGACCAATTTATGCAAAATCATCAAAATCACTCGAATCATCCGCATGCTACTGGTCCCTATGGCTTACAACTGATCCCCAATCTTCAACCAAATCCAGATGTTAGTCTTATGGACGAGGATTCCGACGATAATAACCACGCAGCGGTGCCCTCGTCTCCTCTTCCACAGCCTTCGACTTTCCAGTCATCTCCCACTTTTTCAGCTTCCGACAATTTCGGTCATAATGCATTACAACTGGTTGATTCCCAGAGTTCAGTGAGCTTTAAGCCTCCAAACTTCTTCACCCAGCTCACCAATCAGCTGAGCACCAATGTGCTGGAAATCAGCAATGATAGCAACCACATGTTGCCTATTTCGCAGCAATTTCAAAACCAACAAAACTACCAATCCCAGGCTCAACAGCAAGCTCAACAGCATATTCAACATCAGCAGGCTCAGCAGCTAGCTCAGCAACAAGCACAGCAGCTTGCACAGCAACAGGCTCAAGCTCAAGCACAGCAACAAGCTCAACAACAAGCACACGCACAAGCTCGAGAGGCTCAACAATTCCAGCAACAAGTTCAGCAGCATCAAGCGCACCAAAATTCTCTGCCACAACGACAACAAGAATCTCACTCCCCTCAGCATACGACATCTCAGACCGCTCAAAACGGTTCACCCTACGTATACTTTAACAGACAGCCGAACCGGCTTTCGAAACCAGCTCAAGACCGTGCATCTGCTCTTAAGTTGAAGCTTGAAAATTACTACCAGATGTCAGTCACCCATGCAATTGAGCGCAATCAGAGAAGATTGGATCTCGAGCACAAATTGGCTACAGAAGAGGCCGCATCGTCTCAAGAACGTAAAAACCGACAGCTTCAGAACCTTGGTAAGAAGGAGCTGCAGTTCTTACGTCTTCGAAGAACCAAGTTGTCTCTCGAAGATTTTGCTACTGTCAAAGTTATCGGAAAAGGTGCTTTTGGTGAAGTTCGTTTGGTTCAAAAGAAAGATACCGGTAAGATTTACGCCATGAAAACATTGCTCAAGACGGAAATGTACAAGAAAGATCAATTGGCGCACGTGAAGGCGGAAAGAGACGTTTTAGCAGGAAGTGATTCTCCATGGGTAGTATCATTATATTACTCGTTCCAAGACGCTCAATATCTTTATTTGATTATGGAGTTTCTTCCAGGAGGTGATCTTATGACCATGTTAATTCGTTGGCAAATATTCACCGAAGACATCACCCGGTTCTACATGGCAGAGTGTGTGTTGGCTATCGAGGCTATTCATAAACTTGGCTTCATCCATAGAGATATCAAGCCGGATAATATCTTGATAGATATTCGGGGACATATCAAGTTGTCGGATTTTGGGTTATCCACGGGATTCCACAAGACTCATGATTCCAACTACTACAAGAAGCTTTTAGAGAAGGAACCACCTTCGCAGCTGCAGCAATTTTTGCAGCCAAATGGCGGACAACAGAGCAGGAACTCCATGATGGTGGATGCCATTCACTTGACGATGTCAAACAGGCAGCAAATGCAAACGTGGAGAAAATCTCGGCGATTAATGGCATATTCTACGGTTGGAACCCCGGACTATATTGCACCGGAAATCTTTATACACAAAGGTTATGGTCAAGAGTGTGATTGGTGGTCACTAGGTGCCATTATGTTTGAGTGTTTAATCGGGTGGCCACCATTCTGTTCGGAAACTCCACATGAAACTTACCGTAAGATCATGAGCTGGCAAGAAACCCTTCAAATTCCGGACGATATTCATCTTTCGCCAGAAGCCGAAGACTTGATTCGCAGACTTTTGACCAAGGCAGAGAACAGGCTTGGGAGATATGGGGGTGCCGATGAATTGAAGCAGCACCCATTTTTCAGAGGAGTCGACTGGGATACGATTCGTAAAGTGGATGCACCATTCATTCCAAAATTGCGTTCGATTACAGATACCCGGTTTTTCCCTACAGACGAATTAGAGAACGTTCCCGACTCGCCGGCGCTACTGAAGGCAGTCGAGCAAAGAGAACAGATGATGAAGAGCGGAGCAGGCGTCAAAGAAGACATGCCATTCATAGGCTATACCTATTCACGGTTCGACTATTTGACGAGAAAAAATGCATTGTGATAATATATTGTCAAAACGCATTGTGATAAGAAAGTCCCGCTTATTGTCTCATTTGAAACACATAGTAATCAAGTTTGCGGCTCGGCTGATGTCGGCATGTGGTGGACGCACAGAATCACCTGATAAAAATAGAGTGTTCTCGTTCGACTTTCCTATTGTGGCATGGGTCTCATTATGCATGCAATTTGTCTCACTAATTCCGATTCCGTCCGTGGCTGAGACATTTTCCAAACCTTAATTCAACATTATTCTATATAACGTTTGGCCCGGAAAAACGCTTATAGAGTTTATAAAGGTCTAGCCTTCATCCTCTCGTTCTATTTGAACCTAGTAACCACGATATATAAAAACACATTTTTTTTCACTTGCAGTAGAATCTCACCAGCCACCACCCGGTTGAGCCGATGAGAAGATGCCGGTTGCACGGCTGACTAAGGTTTGGCGCCGGCTGTTTTAAAACTGGCCATTTTAAACCCCCCTTGATTCCGGTGGTCAAATAGCAACTTAACCACCGATACCAAGACCGGATTAGGTAGTAAACCGGTTTGTTCTTGGCTCGGAAGCTAGCTAGACCGTATTTCCGTCCGGTTCTGTCACACTATATGCACGCTATTATGCACGCAATACCGGCATTTCCGAGGCGCGTGATTCGGCCCTTCATATAAAGTGGCCTTGGCTGCCAATTTCTTGATTGCTGTCGGCGCAGCTTAATAGTGTGAATAAATTGATAAATTATGAGATTACGATTATGTCTCTTGTTGGCAGCCTCGGCGGTTTGTGCTGCCGAGCAAATGGCACATATGCATCAACAAGAATTGCAATCGGAACAAAGTTTTGAAACTCCGGTACCTCATGTAATGACCCATCATCACGGAGTTCCTATACTAGAAACCGACCTTAAACCGGCCGAACTTGCCTATTGGGAGGCATATAACACCACCACATTTTTCACGGTTGACGCCCCTCATAAAGCGGCGTTGTATCTGCATGTAATCCTTACTGCGATAGTAACAGTTGTATTATATCCGGTATGTTTGGTGTTAAATAATGTAAAATCCTCGTGGTATTTGGCTGGATTGACTGTCAACTCGGTGGTGATGGTGATTGGTCTCATGAACTATTTCATGTTTATGCAATCGGCTCCAGATTTGTACCCAGGAAACGCATACACAAAGATGTCATGGATCCTCTTGTTCTCGACTTGCATCCATTGGTTTTTTGCGTTATTAAGAGCGGGTTTCAACTATATCCGCACAGAAAACAAGTACTCGCATCTCTCTGGTGATGATATGTACGATCTGGATCTCTCGGTGAACAGATGCACCTCGCCTTCATCAACATTGTATGAGCTGCCCGATTCCTTTGAGATTCCAGACGAGGAAAACGAGTTCAAAAAGGCTACCATGGTGCAAAATCTGCCTACTTCTCCTTACCTTGCAAAGGTATTGAGTACCCCATGGCTTAGAAAATTTGTCGATTTCTTTGGCGCCTGGACCATTGTCATCTTCAACTTTATGAACTGGGCTCAATTCTTTTACCATCTTATTTATATTCCCACCGGAGTCGCAGTGCTCTCGTGCTTTGGACAAGGAAAAACTGTGTTTAACTTGTTGGCACATTTCATCAAGGGTGGAGTGTTCTTCTCATTGGGATTACTTTATTTATCTCGCTACTGTGGATCTTTTGCTGGAAAGGGCTGGGCATGGAACCACAAGTTTGTGACTGAAGCTGAAACAAGAACCAGCAGATGGGCCAGATGGCAATCATCAGGTTTGTGTACGATGGAGATGGTGGAGTCGTCTCTTATCTTGTTCTATGGATGTACCAACATTTTCTTGGAACATTTGGCAAGCCCAGGAGGTGAATGGACGGCTAAGGATTTACAGCACGCTTCCATTGCCTTCATTTATATTGGCTGTGGTCTTTGTGGGGTGATTACCGAGTCAAAGTTGGCATCGTGGAGATATGAAAGAGCCATGGTGAAAGCTACGGATTCGGGTACATCTAGAATAGTCAAGGCTAGTCCTGGCTTTTCTCCTAACCCATTCCCTATTCTCACCATCTTCTGGACTGGTATCCTCATGTCTAAGCATCAGCAAGCCTCACACTTGTCTACAGAAATTCACACCCAATGGGGCAACATGTTTATTCTTGGCTGTGCTTTCAGATTCTTCAGTTATATCCTTTTACTCCTCATTCCTGGTGACAAGAATCCAACCAAGCCACTTCGTTTGATTACCGAGTTGATTGTCAGCTTTTCTTTGCTTTGTGGAGGACTAATCTTCATGGAATCGTGTGATCCGATAATCTTGGCATTCGAATACAGAGGATTCACATCGATGTTCACTCTCAACATCTCTTTGGGTGTAATTACGCTTCTCATGGCATGGGAAATGGCACTTTTCGCATTCAAAGACTGGTTGTTGCAGCGTGGAACCAAAAAGTTATAATTACTTGCTTCAAATCTTAATTGTTTACTATGACCCTTCTAATGACTAGTCAAGCTCATGACTCCTAATAGCTAGCCAAGCTCAATATATCATATGATCAACTTTAAATCTTATTTGGGCAATCTGTTTGGGACCTGTTCCACAGCAGCCACCAATGATCGAGGCGCCAATTTTCAACCATTCATCTACCAGTTGCAGCCATTTTTGATCAATTTTCGTGTCATTATGGTCAGCGAAAACATTGGGGTAAACGATTGTTGGAATATTGTGATAATTGTAGGTTTCGATATTTTTCAATACATGTGTAGCATCTTTCAATTCCGTACAATTGCAACCAATTGCAATCAAGCGTTTGCGTAAAGTCCTATTTTTGTTCAATTTACCGTTTAGATAACCCATAATCTTTTCAATGGGTGTTCCGTCAGACATTTGTGAAGAATTTCGAAAGTTCATGCTGAGGTAAAATGGCTTAAGAGGTCCTGTAGCTGACATTTTACAAACAAGATTCACAATGACCTTTAGTTCTTTGTAGTTGGGAATTGTTTCGAATGCTAGGATGTCGACTTTGGGGTTGTTATTCAAGAATGTAGCGAGAGGAAGATGATACTGTTCCAATTTGTGGTTTGTGATCAAACCATATTCACCAGTATATTCGGCATAGTTGGCCAAAAAACCACCATATGGTCCAATAGCTCCACATACTCGAGCCTTGGACTCATGGAACTTACATGCCTGCCAGCAAACATCGACAGATTTGGCCCATAACTCCTCTATTTGCGCATCAGTAAAATCGGTGTATTTTTTCAAACTCGCGCGAGAAATTTGGTATGTGCTCGTTGTTACAATATCGCATCCTGCCTCCAAGAAGCTTTTGTGAACATCTTCAATAAGATCTGGTGCCTCTATAAGTGCTCTTCCAGACCACAAAGGATCATTTTTAACGGCAAAATTTCGTTTTTCCGCCAATGTTTCCAACTGGATACCAAGCCCGCCGTCTAGAACAAGCGGCTTTCCTCCATACATCTGTAAAGCGTCGCAATTTGCAAAATGTCCTGTTTCCACCAGTTTCGTGTCTTGGTGAGATCTCACAATTTTCTGAAAATCTCAACTCTCTTCTCACTATTTAGAAATGTCGAAAAGAACACGCGATGACTTCGACGACCCGATACACGCGGAGGCAGACTCCAAGAAGCAGCACATTGACCCCGTTGACGAATTGATTTCCAATGTGTGTAAAGATATTCGTAGAATGGGAGAAAATGCCAACCTCGCTACCCAAGTGGAAGATATCAATTACATTTCCAACCCCATAGTAGCTGAATTCGAGAAAATAGATAAGCTCCGCACGGCGGTGTTGAGTACTATCTATGCCGTGGTGCTTGAACAGCCGCAAAAAATCCCTGCTTTGAGTCAATTGGTCCTCATTTGCAATGCCAAAAACTTTCTAGTTGCCAAATACGTGATTGAATTTTTTCATACTCGTACACAAGAGATGTTGGACAAGATGGTAGCTCCGGTAGATTTTGAGTCTGAAAGTGACACCAGTGAAGACACAGGCACGATAAATAAGCTCAAGACAACCTTGCGATTTCTCGCTTGTATTTCTCCCATAATCGAAAATAATGGGGTTGTTTCCATGTTCAAAACTTTGATGGAATTGGCAGTAAACTTGCAGACTTCGGAGGATACACGGAATGGAGCCGCTGAACAAATTTATTACTCGGTGCTCATCGCATTACCATATTTGCTATGCAATGATACTTCTTCTGAGATGATGGAACAATGTAATGGGTTGGTTGAGCAAGCTTCGCTTTTCCCCATCAGAGAGTCCGATGCTTCAATTGATATTTTGTCACCTTTTGACCCAAAACTCTCAAATTTTAAAGAGAGTTTGCCTTATGTGCCCAAAAAAATCACCAACTTGATCTTGCCTGCTCTTTTAGACTTGCAAGGCGAAGACAAAAAATGGTCAAAACTCATCGGGCATCTTTTCTTGAGCTTTAATCCTCTTGTGGACCCGATATTGAAGGATGCGTTGAGCGCCAATACCATTTCCAATGATTTGGTTAAGCATAACCTTCCTCAATTCTCCATTCCTTCAGTCGACGCTTTGCACGACCACAAACCTACTGGTCTAATTGACGAGTTATGGTACCATCATCCAAGACTTTTGTTTCAGGTGTATAACAATACTCTGGGGCTCGAAACCGTACCTCCAATCGAATCTTTTTTTGGCTTATTCTTCAAGGATTTGGCGTTCGATATCTTGACCAACTTGTCATTTAATAAAGACGAAGCTTCGATCCAATTATCTATCTTGGATCTCTACTTTAGTAAGGATTTGTTTGCTCCTCCAGGTTCGTCCATTGACCAGTTGAAACTTATACAAAAAGACAACGAAGAGGGAGTGAACAACCCTCCTCTCTCTACCTGGAAAATTGAAGATATCGCGGTTGAAAGTATTTTGACCATGATATTCCAGCTTCCCCGGTCGTTACACCATGAAATATACTATTACACTGTGCTCATTGCCTGCTGCAGAGAGAGCCCCGAGTCAATTGCTCCGGTTTTCGGCAGGGCCATCAGATATTTCTACAACCATTTGGAGACTTTGGACTACGAGCTCAAGATACGGTTTTTGGACTGGATGACGATACAAATTTCCAACTTTGATTATAGCTGGAAATGGGACGAATGGGTTGACGATTCAGTCAGACTCAGAAACTTGAAGCACCACCCCAAGAGAAACTTTATCAAAAACTTGATTGCAAAAGAAATCCGTCTTTCCAACAAAAACAGAATCAAAGAGAGTTTTGTCGCTGTGAATCCCGACCCGGATGCCACTGACCGTTTTGTTCTTCTCGAAGAGTTCTACAAGTATTTGAACCTCTCGCTTGTCGACAACCCCAACGAGTACATTGCCAGTTACGACTCAAAGCTCTATGGAAACGACGAGGAAATTAGCGGCATTTTAAAAGAACTTCAGGTAGAGGCATTGGACAAAATCAGTCAGAAGTCGTTGGTTTCAGCACAAGATGAGGTTCAATTCTATTTTGGAAACAACCGCTTACCGCTCCATGAGATCTCAAACAAGGTTTATGAGTTCCTTGTTGCACAATGGAAGCCCAATGAAGATCTTCTTGACATTTACCAAGAATTGCAGGACAATTTGAGTAGCCACCCAGCGATTGACGCTGAGACTTTTACCGTCAATGTCTTTCTCCAGACTTACGCATACCTCGGTTCCAGGTCTATCTACTCGGTTGTAAGTCTCATTTCCAGAGACAAGCTCAAACTCAAGTACTTGTTGGGTGCCCCAATTGACGACAAAGATTACGTCCCTGGCTCCACCTTTCGTTTCGAGGAAAGAAACTTGACACAGGAGCAAATAGATAAGCGCCAGAATCTTGCAATTGACTCTATTTTCCGTTTATGGGTGAATCAATCGCAAATGGCATTTTTGCTTTTGGAGTACCTCATCGAGTACAAAATTTTGCAGCCAATTTATTTGGTGGGCAAGTGTCTCAGCTTGGAAACCAATCTTGTCATAGACAACGTCGCTTGTATGGAGAGTATCAATCGGATTCTTGAGTCTTCGTACACCACAGATCGTGACGAATTCAATGTTCTCTACCAGTACTTACTCGAGCGAATCATACAGAATTTGAGTCTGTTGGCTGAAGGTAACAACGATGAGATCAAAATTACCACGGAGTTTAGCGACGAAGAAGCCGATGACTTGGAGAAAATGAATGTCATAGATAAGCAATGGCTCTTCTACGAGTATACTGGGTTGCTAAAATCGTACTTGAGAAAATACTACGAAGAGTCAACGGTTACTCAGCAGATCCAAGACTTGACTAATGAGCCTGCAAAGCAGCAGATTATGACCTGGATCGAGGAGTTGTCTAGAAAGTAAAACCTGTAATATATAATACACACCAACCAGCGAGCCACACTGTAAACTCCGTACACACCAAATGCACCAGGAAGATTTAGTGCGACTCGCGTTTCTACTTCTGACTAATTCTTGATTGCAAAATCACACCATGACCCATTCACATCCAGCTATCGAAACCACAAATTTGACGTACCGATTCCCCCTGAACAAGAAAGTTGGGCTCGAAAACGTCAGTTTGATCATTCCATGGGGCACCACCAATTTGGTCATCGGACCAAACGGAGCTGGAAAATCCACACTTCTCCGTATTCTCGCTGGTAAAACGTTGATAAAGCAGGGAAAATTGCGAATTGGAGGGTTTGATCCGTTTGAATTCTCAATGGCTCGTCATGAGCAACACAACTCGGATATCAATGACTATATCACCTACCTTGGGACCGAGTGGGCCACCAATCCGGTGGTGAAACGAGACATCCCTGTGAGACTTCTTATTTCGTCAATTGGCGGCGACAGACTCGCGGAACGAAGAGACGAACTTATAGACATTATGGATTTGGATCCCGACTGGTCAATGGCATACATCTCCGACGGAGAAAGGAGGCGTGTGCAATTGGTGATGGGTTTGCTCAAACCATGGAGGCTCCTCTTATTGGACGAAGTGACGGTAGATCTCGATGTGGTGGTTCGCCAGCGGTTGTTGGAGTTTTTAGGCCGGGAGACCAAAAAGAGAGACTGCTGTGTGATCTATGCCACTCATATCTTTGATGGAATGAGTCGAGGCTGGTGTGATAGAGTGCTTCATTTGAACGCAGGCACGATTACCGACGACATTTCGACTGCCAATATCAATTTCACCACGGATGGACCCGAAGTGAAATATGGCGAAAATGTTGAAATAAAACGGGCCGAATCGTTGCACCCATTAGCATTATATTGGCTTCGCAACGACTTGGATGAGAGAGGCACCCGAGATGAGGAAAAGGAAAGGGCCGCCAGTAAAAATGACTGGGATAATGCTCGCGATGGCGATTACTTTGACAAAAACGACAAGTTGCAGCAATACTTTAAGACATCAAGAAACTTCACGTGAGGTACCACAATATATGATAGAAGACAAAACAATCTTTCAATTAGTTTCGTTTTCGTTTGTTCTCTTCACTTCCTCCTTCATTTCACTTCCCTTCCACTTTCACTTCACTTCTTCTCTTCACTTCTCTCATTCCCCTCTCGCAAATTTGCGCTCCATCTCCATGAATGCAACTATTTCCTTCGAGTACCGAAGCTGCTGCTCTAGCATCCAGTTCTCATACTTGCATTCCAACACCAGCGGCGACTCGAACTCGAGATATTTGGCTGGTTTTGCTGCTAGTTTACGTCTTGTGATATTCTGCTGAGCGGTGGATGGAGTCAAAGGAGTTGACGGTGCCCTTTTTTGAACCTTCAGAGCACTCAATTCAGGCGATTTGACTGGAAATAAGCTGGCCTCTTCGTCCAAATACACGTTTTCAGACATAAGCACCAAAATATTTGAATCAAAATACAAACACGAGTAGCGTCGTGTATTTCCTGTATGCACCGGTGTGCGGATGTGCTCGGCCACGGTGGACGAAAATTAAACCTCGATCAAAATTTTTCATCCAATGTCTAACGAAAGAACTTTTATTGCTATTAAGCCCGACGGAGTCCAAAGAGGATTGATCTCCTCCATCCTCGGCAGATTCGAGAACAGAGGCTACAAGTTGGTTGGTATCAAGTTGGTTCAACCTACTGAGGACTTGTTGAGAACTCACTACGACGACTTGCAATCGAAGCCTTTCTTCCCTTCGTTGTTGTCTTACATGTTGTCGGGACCTGTCTTGGCCACTGTGTGGGAAGGTAAGGACGTTGTCAAGCAAGGTAGAGCCATTTTGGGTGCCACCAACCCATTGAACTCTGCTCCAGGTACCATCAGAGCTGACTTTGCCATTGACATGGGTAGAAACGTGTGTCACGGATCTGACTCTGTTGAGTCTGCCAACAAGGAGATTGGTTTGTGGTTCAAGAAGGAGGAATTGGTTGAGTACAAGTCAGCCATGTTCTCGTGGATCTATGAGTAGATAATAAACTAGTCTAGTACGAGATGTAGGTGACGGACACAACGAGGCAATTGACACAATTGACTCAATTGAGCAACTGTGAGTGCTCCCCGTACCACCTTTATTATCTTCTTTTCCTCTATTCTTTTCTTCCCTTCTCGTTTTTCACTTCGCGTTCTCTCCGCGAATTGACCTAGCATCGACAGCATATCCAATGCCTGTGGATGACGACTTGTTCAATGTTCCTGACAATGACGAGGAGATGCTAGAAAACGAAGACGAAGATGATGACGAAGATCTAGAAAACCAGGACCAAGATGAGGCCCAGGACCAGGAAATGCAAGATGATGGTGAGGACGAAGACGACGAAGATGGAGAAGAAGGCGACGAAGAGGAGGGTGAGGAAGACGAAGATGGCTCAGGAGATGATAACGAGGGAGAAGAGGGCGAGGAAGTAGAAGAGGGAGAGGAAGGAGAGGAAATTGAAGAAGGTGAAGAAGGTGATGAAAATGACGAAGGTGAAGGAAATGAACAAGGCGAAGAAGGTGAAGTTGGAGAACAAAAACGAGCTAAAGAAAGTGAAAGTACTCAATCTCAGTCCGAAAACATAAAAGCTTTTCAAAATGGCGAAAGTAACACCACAGAAACAGACCACAAGCCCACCGTTGAAAAACTCCCTGCTCACCAAGTTCGCTCCCAAGTTGCCCAGCGGGCCAAAACGACATCCAAGGTGGAAATCGTGCCTACAACCTCAATTCCTTACACATCTCAATGCCATGCAATTGCACTCACTGAGGGCCCACGACTAATATTGACCGGTGGAGAAGATGGGTTTATTCGAAAATACGACTTTATTGCTTCTATCGAAGGAAAGTCTCCACTTACCATGGCCCAGAAACACAATATGGTGGACTCGGTGACCAAAGCGGGAGTGATAAGTTCGTATTGGGAAAATGAACAGCCCATTACTCGGACTGAACTTATGCAAGCCAACCCCAAAATCAAGCCAGCTGACTTTACGACGGGCACAATCAACTACGAGCCAAAGCTAAGTCCGGTATACTCATTAGCGGCAGAAAAAAGGGGCCTATGGTGTCTTTCCGGGCTTTTGTCTGGGGGTATCTCGCTCTACAGCATGAAATACTCCGAGGGAAGTCTAGTCCACTATTTTCCCCATGGCGATCCAAAACGACCTGCTCACGAGAACAGTGGGCACAACGATGCTGTGTCGGTGCTTAAACTCACACCAGACGAAAAGGGCTTTTTTTCAGGTTCATGGGACAAAACTATTCGCAGCTGGGACTTGAATACGGGCAAAACTACGGCCACTTATACCGGTGCTTCGAATCAAATTACTTCGTTGGAGTTCCGTCCACATGGTCTTGCTGACTTGGAGCTCGCTGATGGAGACGCCAACAGTAGTGATGTCGACTCTCTTTTTGGAGATAGCGACAATGAAAACGAAAATGACAACGATAACGAAAATGGAAATTCTGAACAAAAACCAAGAAAACCTGTTTCCAAAGTGGTGAGAAACGACTCAGTGTTCATGACTTCAAGTATAGATGGAACCGTCAACATCTGGGATGTTAGAGTGGGCGAATCTAACCAGGATCCCGTCATAAAATACGTGGTTCCTGAGCATGTTCCTCCATGGTGTATGTCAGCGACATGGGCTAATTCTGGAGACTTTATCTTTGCAGGAAGAAGAAACAGTACAGTGGAAGAATTGTCTCTTAAAATGCCCCATCGACGAATTCCCAATAGTCATGGTAAAAATGATGTGATTCCAAATGTATCGAGAACTTTACAATTTCCCAAAATTTCAGGCCCAGTCAGTGCCATTTCCACCATGCCTAACGACGACCTTTTACTTTGTGGCTCAAATGATAACATCAGATTGTACAATCTCCAATTATACGACCAATCTTCAGGTACTCAACAAACTACAAAAAAACAAGCTACACCGTTTATGATCGTTCCTGGCCATCATGGAGGAATTCTAAGCACATTATACGTTGACGAATCAGGCAGGTTCATGGTGAGTGCCAGCGGCAATCGTGGATGGGGACAGTCTGCCTTTACAGAGACGGTATTGATATACGAGATAGACTTTTAGTATAGGGTTATCCCGATAAATAACTATAGATCAAAATAAGTCGCTCTCAATGTTCCCAAACCAACTTGCCCGAAGTTGATACGTGCTTGTTCTGATATTGTCTCGTATGCATGCCTTGCACTGTTTTTAGCTTCACCAGCAACCATGCCACCAAATGTCGATAAGCTATTGACTAATCCACCAATCGACCAATCACCTCCCAAAAGACGGGAAAGTTTGATCATTTCAGGATTTCGTTTCGTCAATAAAAAGTGTATCATGAACCCGACAAATCCCACGGTTAAACTTACTTTGTAGATTCTACTCAAGCCCTTGGGTCGTTTCTTCTCCCCATCGCCGGGCTCTGGGCTGGTTCTTTGACTGTGATGCGATGAATGTAATAATCTTTTGAGGATCTGTGATGACGCTTCGGCTATTCTAGTGTTGACGGACGAGGTTCCAGAAGCCAAACTGCTGATGGAGGAGCTCAACAGATGTGACTCGCTAGGACTGTAATCGTCTGTAACCGAGTCGTCTTGAAGATCCATAATCTTGGCAAGTAAGTTGCTATCAACAAGAGTTTGCTTTGTCACCTCTTGATCCTGTGTTTGAATCAATTCCGCCAAATCATTATTGGAGGTCGCAAGACTATAGTAAGATTGTGGAGCTGGTCCGCCCGTGGAGGTGGTCTTAAGGACAGAATGAGGGTTGTATTCTCCAAACCAAAAATTGAAGGTTGTATGGTTGTTGGACAATTGATCTAATGGGTGCTCTTTCAGCAATTGTGAGGCAGAATGCAAGATATTTGCCATATCCTGGTCGGTAAGATTGGCAAATAAAGTACTGGGACTCACAAGCGAATGTACAGCGTCCGGATCAACATCCAGGAAATCTGTCACTGGTCGAGGGTTGAGGCCCAATTTGCGAAATATGTCATCTTTGGAAAATAATAGGGCAGCTGTGTATACATAGGCACACGCCAGGATCAGATTGTAGCTCAATATAAAGTCCCATGTCATCAAGAGTTGAGGAAGGTTGTTGATATCGTGACTGAACATGGTGAGAATAGAGGATAAGCCCTGCACGAATCCGTAATCGTAGAGTGCGCCATTGGTCAAGCGATAGACGTTACTGGTTTGTTTGAGCAACTCGTATAGTGTTGGGTCGACATCTTCTAATAGGGCTGGAATTAACTTGAGGTGGATGGTGGACAAGTTGATGTCGGTGATCATAAAGTCTCGAAGATGGAACAACGACAACCGTTCCAACAACCTAAACGCCAACTCATCGCCTGGATTCTGGTGGTTTTGGCACACAAGTAGTATTATGCTTGCGATATCGTGATAACCTTGGTAGTAGTGCAATGCTGGATAAGTACGGAACATTTTCACGAGCAAGTTCAACAAATCTCTTTTCAACTTGTCGATGTCGGAGCTTGAGTAGATACCTGTGAATGAGGAGTGGTCTACGGTGGTGGAACGAAGATGAGACACAATGGTAAATGATCTCTTGATATCAAGCTTGATTTGTTCCTCATCCCGATGAGGAGGAAGATCATTCACGTTCAAATCGTCTAGAAAGCACGAAGCAGACTGCTGAAGCACCAGATCCGAATTTTCATCAATTGAAGGAATTTCCAAAAATAATGGCCATATTTTACAGCGTAACTCATTATCCATGAGGCCCTCAGAACTTCTCAGATGTTCCTTCAAAAAGTCTATGTTGTTGTTTTTGATCGCCTCGTTCAACGTCTTGTGCTTTAATTGCTTCAAAGATTCACTGAGAGGATTTCCATCATTATAATAAAACGACTTTCCTAACCGGTCCACATCCATCAGCACCCAATCTGGATGCAGCTGAACAAGATGTGACGAATCAGCAATTGACATTTGTTCAAAGCAAGGCAGAGGAGCACGCCCTGGTACGATGATTCAATAGCTATTTTGCAGCAAAAAATCTAGCGTGGTACATTCAACCAAATGGTCACCTGTTTATTATCAGTGGCCCCGGAAATTATCGCAGCGGGCCACATCCGCACACCCACACACCAAGGGGTTTAACTGAGCCCGATTCCGCATAGGTGCAGGTCGATATGTGGGGTCGGCATTTTTTCCCACCAACTTTATTACATGACTAAAATGGACCACAAAATTGTAAAAACTTCGTATGACGGCGATGCGGTGAGTGTGGAGTGGGATGGGGGTGCACTGGCCAAGTTTGACAACATTTGGTTGAGGGACAATTGCCATTGTTCCGAGTGCTACTATGACGCTACCAAACAGAGATTACTCAATTCCTGTTCTATTCCCGATGATATTGCGCCAATTAAAGTGGATAGTAGTCCTACCAAGCTAAAGATCGTGTGGAACCACGAAGAGCACCAGAGCGAGTACGAGTGTCGCTGGTTGGTGATCCATTCATATAATCCTCGGCAGATTCCAGTGACTGAAAAAGTTAGTGGAGAACGAGAGATTTTGGCCCGTGAGTATTGGACGGTCAAGGATATGGAGGGTAGATTGCCCAGCGTTGATTTCAAGACGGTAATGGCTTCTACGGACGAGAATGAGGAACCTATAAAAGATTGGTGTTTGAAAATATGGAAGCATGGGTTCTGTTTCATCGATAATGTTCCTGTGGATCCACAAGAAACCGAGAAATTGTGTGAAAAGTTGATGTACATTCGTCCTACTCACTATGGTGGTTTCTGGGATTTTACCAGTGACTTGTCAAAGAACGATACCGCATACACCAATATCGATATTTCGTCGCACACCGATGGAACTTATTGGTCTGATACTCCTGGATTGCAATTATTCCACCTTTTGATGCACGAGGGCACTGGGGGCACCACGTCTCTTGTAGATGCGTTCCATTGTGCCGAAATCTTGAAAAAAGAACATCCGGAAAGTTTTGAACTTTTGACCCGAATCCCGGTTCCGGCGCACTCAGCTGGAGAAGAAAAGGTGTGCATTCAGCCTGATATTCCCCAGCCAATATTCAAGTTGGATACCAATGGCGAATTGATCCAGGTCAGGTGGAACCAGTCAGATCGGTCCACCATGGATTCGTGGGAAAATCCACTGGAAGTTGTCAAGTTTTACCGAGCCATTAAGCAGTGGCATAAGATTATCAGTGATCCCGCCAACGAATTGTTCTACCAATTGCGTCCTGGTCAATGCCTTATTTTTGACAATTGGAGATGTTTTCACTCAAGAACCGAGTTCACCGGAAAGAGAAGAATGTGTGGAGCCTATATCAATCGTGATGATTTTGTTTCAAGGCTCAACTTGTTGAACATTGGTCGCCAACCGGTCTTGGACGCTATTTAGAACAACCGAAAAATTATGATACAACCGAAGCAATTAGATAACAACTGAATAGCAATTCAGATCTACAATTGAATATGTTAGCACATAAATTTTAGTCTATAAGCCAACTTACACAAAAGTTGGAATCTTGTCCCAGTCCCAAGGATTGTTGAATCTCAATTCAATGTCCAACTTGGAAATTTCCTTGAAATCTTCTTGCGACAAGTCAAAGTCGTTCACCTTCAAGTTGCTCAACAACCTATCGGGATTGTTGGACTTGGGAATCACGGCAAGTCCTCTTTGGGTGGCCCATCTCAACAATACCTGTGCTGGAGTCTTGTTGGCTTTTTCAGCCACAGACTTGATAACATCGTGCTCGAACAATGGCTTGACATCCTTGACACGAGGGTGGTTCAATTCAACAAAAGATTGAGGTCCGAAAGATGAGTATGCGGTGATGGCGATGCCTTGAGATTGAACGTACTCAATTAATCTTGGTTGTTGCAAGTAAGGGTGGTGTTCGATCTGCAACACTGCTGGCTTGATCTTGGCACCTCTCAACAAGTCTTGGATCAATGCACCAGGAAAGTTGGAAATACCGATGGATCTGATTTTACCCTTCTCGACCATCTTCTCCAATGCTCTCCAAGTGTCAATGATTGGCACACCCTCGTAGATAAACTTGTCACCATCGCCACAGTAGAATCCTGGAGGATACTTTTCCTCAAAAGGAACAAATTTGAAGGCAATTGGAAAGTGGATCAAGAATAAATCAAGGTAGTCCACCTTCAAGTCGCTCAATGTTCTGTCCAATGCCTTTTCCACATTCTTGGGGTCATGGAACGAGTTCCAAAGCTTGGAAACGACGAAAAGCTCATCTCTAGCAACCAATCCCTCGTCAAGTGCTCTGTTAATACCTTCTCCGACTTCCTTTTCGTTACCGTAATCTTCGGCTCCGTCAAATAATCTGTATCCTACCTTGATAGCATTATAGATGGTGTCAGCACAGGTGGCCTTGTCGACCTTCCAGCAGCCAAAACCCACCGAGGGCATTTCATAACCTGAGTTCAAAGTAATAGACATAGCAATTGATGATTAATTTTCTGGGGATGCGCCTTCTTATATAGTGGGGCAAATCCCCGCAAGTCGCACATTCCGACCATTGTTCCACGGAAGGTGAAAGCGCACTCAGGCTGCGAAAATGGATATTGACTATAAATTAAATAGCCAGTGTATATTACTCAATTGGCCGATTTCTACAATGTGTAACCACTATAGTATAGTTTTGTTGTTCGTCTTACAATCGTCCATCAATTGCTCCAGCTGACTAAGCCGCACACCTCGACTCCGACGTTCATACAAAGGTTATTAGAATACGGCCCTGAAAAATGTCGCTTAGTACGGCAGTGTTGCCGACGAGGTTTCGGCTAACTTGCCTACTAAGGAAACCTTAACGCGCAAGCGGGGCGCTTAGGGGGAAACTTAAGGGTCGTGTCGGTAATAGTGTCTTTGAGTGGGGTAATCCTATAATGGTAACTATGCCAGAAATTCAGGGGTGTGAACGTGAAACGTCAATGGTTGGCTCAATCGTTAGTCATTGTAGCCTTGGGCTAGCTGCAGTCTTTCTGGTGCACCGGTGCAGTTGCAACTCTTCCGCATTCGGCAATACCAATACAAACGGTCGCAGACACTTAGGCATCGTCTTTTACGTTCTTCACCAAGTATGGGGATTCCTCTCTACGTCAGAATTAAAGACGTGCACCCGCCACCTGCCGGGGTGAACTCTCATGTTGTTCAGTCATCATCTACGTCAATTGAGTTTGGTTCAAGAAACTACCATTTTGATCAAGTCTTCACAAGCAAAATAGACTACCAACCCTATTTGCAAAACGACAATGATTCCGTCACGGTGTTCGTAGGACCAACTGGAAGCGGTAAGACCACCTGTCTTCGGCACATGTTGGATGCCACTTTGAACTTTTGGCAACAAAATTCGTGGTCGTCGAAGAAAATCAGTGCTTTTGAAATCAAAGAGAACCGTCATGTAATTGATTTGACTGAGGAAAAGAAAGTTCCCAAGCCTTTAAAGCAGGTTGGTTCCATTCAATTGAGTGACTTGGACCATGCTGAGCAGACTTTCAAGGCAATTTTGGCATGTAGAACAACAGCTCCAACTGCCACCAACCGTGAGTCGAGTAGGTCTTGTTTGGTTTTGAAAATTGTCGATGGTTCCTCAACGACAACCTACGTGGATATGATGGGCAACGAGAAGTTCGACAAAGGAAGCGCAAACCAATTTGCCAACTCTACTATGTCTTCTTTGACTCAATACCTCAAGTCTAATGGTTCCGGTGGAAGATCTGCCAATACGATTATCAATATTATCTTTGGCGACCCCAAGGCCAAAATCTCAGTTGTGTTGGCATTGGACCCCTACGGAGACCCACGGTTGATCAAATCGTCATTGTTGAACATTGCTGATTTGACTCGCCAATGTCAGCCAGAGTTAGCGAGAGAATCAGTTACCACCGCTGCTCCGAAATTACTTCCACACTACGCAAAGCCTACAATTTCGTCTTTGAGTCCTAAGAAGGCTTCTGTTCCGCAATGGAGTACTGGAAGAGTCACTAAGCCCGCCAGAAAACCTACAATTGCTCGCAAGATTGTCAACACTCTTTCCAGAACATTGTATGGAAGAGGAGCCGAGCAAAGTAGACAAAAGATCGAGAAACTAGAAGAGGAAAAGAGGAATATGGAAAGCTTTATCCAGGAGCTTACAAGCTCAAAGGACCGTCTTTTGGAAGAAATCGCAGCTTTGGACGAGTCAAGAGTTCAGCTAATCGAAGACCTTCACCAATCGAAAGTTTTCATTGAAAAAAGTGAAGCTGAAAAGGAAGCTCAGTTGTCCGACCTTCGTGAGTGTCTCCAGAACGCACGCTCAACTCACGGCCAACTTCAAGAGTCAATCAATGGTCTTAAGAACCAGGTGGGTACCATTGAGGCTTCATTCAACGATGCCGTTCAAAAAGGTAATGAAGTAGAACAAACGTTGAGGGAAGTTTCTGAGGTCAAAGAGCAGTTGGAAACCAAAATAGCTTCCTTAGCTTCGAGAATTGAGACTTTAAAGGAGTCTGAAGAACAAAAGACTAAAGAGATTCTAGACTTGAAGAGAGAATTGGGCTCAAAAGAGAATATAATTCGTGAACTCAAGTCCAGCGTTGGTTCTAAACTGGAAACAGTCAAGGGCCTCAAGTCTGAATTGGGTTCCAAAGTCGAAACAATCAACGGTCTCGAGTCTGAATTGGGTTCCAAAGTCGAAACAATCAAGAACCTCGAAATTAAATTGGAGGAAATGGATTCTTTCAGAGCAAAAGTAGACGAACAAAAGAAGCTGTTGTCTGAGAAAGCAGCAACTGTCGCCAGTTTGAAATCCAGAATCGATAATCAGGACAAGATCATTGGTGAGAAGGCAGAGACCATAGCTGAGTTGAAATTACAACTTACTAGTTTCGGAGCTCAAACTTCGAAATTGGCTAGTCAAGAAGAGATTCTCGCCGAGAAGACGGCTACCATTGCCGAATTGAAGTCAAAGATTGAGAGCTTGGAAGAAGAAAATGAGAGAAAGAACGAAAAGGATGATTTGCTTACTGAAAGAAACGAGACTATTGAAATGTTGGAGAGGAAGGTAGAGGAGCTTGAGAAAGAAATTGCCATGAAAGATACCCAAGACAGTGTTCAGAAGTCAGAAGCCATTGGTGAGCTCAACCTGCAAATTGAGGAGTTGAAGGCTCAGCTTTCGAAGTCTCAACAAGATCAAGAAAAGACCTTGTCTTCAAAGAAAGAGTTGAAATCGACGATATCTACTATGACCAACGAAATCCGAGACTTGAAGAGAAAGCTTGAGGGAGAAACTACAGTTGACAAGGAGAACCAACCTACAGCTTTCGTTCCTCCTCAAGGTACAATCATTAAAAAGAAGTTTACCGGAGACGATATTTTTGTTGACCAACAAAATAAAGAGTCAGTGCCAGAGACAAACCAGGAGAAGAAGCGCAAGAAATTGGGAAACATTGACAATTACAGAAGTGCCATGCTTGAAATGTCAGCTAAGAAACACAAGAAGAAGAACAAGCCTCTGAAGCTTCGGGCTTTAAACTAGAATGATTCGAAGATGACTAGAAACCATACCATAATACTATAACAATAATACCATGATACCATAATATTAATACTGTAATTCCATAAACTATCAAATAATACCATAGCATAATATCATAATAAAATGCCATAATTTCAATCCATTACTTAGTAATTCCTTTTCATGATAGTAATACCCCTTCATAAAACCAATGAAGCTCACTACCGATATGATTTAACAGCACAACACCTCGGTCTTATATTCATTTTTATACTGTTCTTCTATCCGTCATAAACCGTACAATTGGACCCAATCCTGTGATCTCTACGGTCTTCTCAAACCAATTCAACAACAATCCTCCCTGCTTTGCACCATAGCCAGTGCTCATACTTTTGTACAAATACTTGATGAGCGTATCCTGCTGACTGCTATCTAACTGTTTTACAAAGGTTCCCAAGTCGTTGGTGTTGTGGTTATTTTTGATCGAACACAAAACTTCGAAAACAGTTTCGCCGTGTAACTTTTTGGTGGCCTCGTCTGCAACATATGGGGGGTTTTCAAGCAGCAATGCCAAAGCTTCTTGAAATCTTCCCAGGGATAACGAAGCACGAACTTGCTGGGAAGTGTTTACAACATCTTGGTGAGACGTAGGAGGTAAGTCTGGAATGAGCTCCTCTTTCAGAAGATGGTTCTCGGGCTCTAAGGCGTCAATGTCAATTCGTCTCCAATCTTCCATGGTATTGGTGAGTAGGTTACGCTTGAATTGTGAGATTTGGTATGGAGAACACCGGTGCACCAGGAACTATCACTGCCTATTTTTATGCCGTTACACGTTGAAAAATACATTATCCACTTTGGGCCATGCCGTTCTATTGTACATTTATATAGCGCTGAATTGCAATTGGTTTGTATGGTTCAAAGGTACGCTGTAGTATATTTTTCAGCGATGACAGTCTCTCAAAATATCAATTAATGTTGTCCCTTGCTTCTTCATTGCTCGTGATTCGTAGCTATTTTCTCGCCTTTTTCGCTGGTCTATCCTCTGCATCTTCCGTCCTGTTGTCCACTTCCGAAGTGTACTCGTCAATAAAGGTCAACACTTTCTGCTTCAATTCCTTCGAATCGACTATTATCACCACAAGACCGTCACTGCCTACTTCGTACTTGATGTGGTCTTCGTTTTTGAGGGCAACTTCTTCGTCAAATTTGTCAAAAAAGCCATTTACCTCGTCAAATGTCTGTATTTCATCCAAGAGTCTCTCGTCCATTTCGCCTTCTGGAACATCAGGCGAGTTGATTACTATTACTGCACGAAGCGGGTTGTCTAGTTCCTGGAACTCCACCTCATGCAGAGGAATATCTATTGGATCTTCCCCCATGGCTACAAATATTGGAAACACATTTATTTCACCAAACACAAAAATTCAGGGTGCGATGGCATGGGCCATATGCCGGACGTTGCAACCAAACTACAAGCTCCATTTCTTGAATTGGTTGATTAAGCCCTTGGTAGAAGGATCGTGGGTGGTGACAGGGTCCTTGTTGTCCAACTCCTTACCGATTTTCTTGGCCAAAACCTTACCCAATTCCACACCCCATTGGTCAAAGGAATTGATGTTCCATATGGCACCTTCTATGAAAGTAAGGTGCTCATAATACACAATTAAAGCACCCAAAGCAGCAGGAGTGATCTTTTGAGCCAAAATGGAGGTGGTGGGTCTGTTACCGGAAAATTGCTTGTGAGGAACCAAGTCTCCAGTAGTACCTTCAGCCTTCACTTCCAGTTCAGATTTACCCACCATCAAAGCTTCCGATTGAGCAAAGAAATTGGAAGCCAACATTCTCTGGTGGAGATTGTTTTCGATGGGGTTGTGAGATTGAGCAGCCATGATAAAGTCAGCGGGAATCAATTTTGTACCTTGGTGCACCAATTGGAAGAAAGAATGTTGAGCATTGGTAGCTGGTTCTCCAAATAACACAGTACCAGTTTGGTAGTTGGTGAACACATTTCCTCTGGTAACCGACTTACCGTTGGATTCCATCGACAATTGTTGCAAATAAGCAGGGAATCTGTGCAAGTATTGGTCAAAAGGAGCCACCAAGTGAGTTTGAGCTCCGAGAAAATTGTTATACCACACCGATAACAAACCTCCCAAGGCTGGAATGTTGTCTTCCAAACGAGTTTCCTGGAAGTGAGCATCCACTGCTTCCGCACCTTTCAAGAAACTCTCAAAATTGTCAAAACCAATATAGATGGCAACCGACAATCCAATGGCAGACCATACCGAGTATCTGCCTCCAACCCATGATTCGAAGCCAAACATGTTCTTGGTGTCGATTCCAAATTTGGACACTTCTTCAGCGTTCGTGGACAAAGCAGCAAAGTGTTTAGCAATATGGGCAGTGTCCTTAGCCTTTTCCAAAAACCAATTTTTGGCGGTATTGGCATTGGTGGTGGTTTCCGCAGTGGTAAAAGTCTTTGAAGCAACCAAAAACAAGGTTGTTTCTGGGTTCAATGGCTTGAGAATCTCAGCAATATGAGTACCGTCAATGTTGGACACATAGTGGACATTCAACCCAGGCTTGCTGTACGCCTTCAATGCCTCGGTCACCATCACTGGACCCAAATCTGAGCCTCCAATTCCAATATTAACCACATCAGAGATTGCCTTGCCGGTGTAACCGGTCCAGCTTCCATCCCTAATCTGGTTGGAAAATTCCTTCATATGTTGCAAAACACTGTCCACTTCTGGTGCCGTGTTCTTGCCATCCACAGACATGTTTTTCATCAGTCTGTTTCTCAAAGCAGCATGGTACACTGCTCTACCCTCTGTGGAGTTGATCTTGGAACCAGCAAACATTTCGTCTCTTAACTTCTCCACCTTGGCCTCCTTGGCCAATTGGATCAATTGAGCCAAAATCTCGTCATCTACCAAATTTTTGGAGAAATCAAACAAGATTTTCGAACCGTCATAATTGGTGAAAGTCTTGCTATATTTTTCAAATCTTTGGGGGTCTTTTTCAAACGCCTCCAGAACATTGAACTTGCTGTTCTTGGTGTGGAGTTGCTCCAACGACTTCCAAGCTGGAAGTTCAGACGCTAATTTGAAGTCAGAAAACGACATTGAGTAGTGGTGATTCGGGTGGGTGAGCCGGTGATATTTGTAAGTGGGTACTGCAGATAAGCGGTGAGGTGGACGGTTCTAGCCCGGCACACGGGTTCACTTGACAGAGAATTTGTCAGTAAAAGCCGAGAGCCAGAGCAGAATAAGGGTCGAATGAGGTAGAGGATTGAACTAGTGGGCTTGGGGTTTCTGAATTGATTCTTAAGGTGGATACAGAATGGATTACACACCAAAAAAAAATGAGATTTTGCAATGACATCGACATGTCTCTGTGATTTTGCATAAGCAATCTCCTCCTAATCTGAAACTATCGATAGTAGTTAGCAGCTTCGGCTCGCCGAGCCCGAGGCACGGCTTGCGCTGGTCGTGCGCGCTTCATATCTGTCAAAGTTTTAGCGAGACAGCGCGAAGTTTCAAGCTGCGATGACTGGGTTAGCCTCGAAATGGGCCACGGAACCCACACTTGTGCAGCAGGCTGAGGCCCAAGACAAGAAGAAACCCACTAAACCAGCCACGGGAAATCCACTGGAATCATCAGAAAAGCACCAAATAACTTCTTCAGCTCCAGTGAGGAAGCCATTGATCAGCAAGTGGGCCGATGCTGCTGTGGGTAGCAAAGAGGACGAGAGAAAAGAGTCACCAAAGAGCCCACGAGGTGAAGAGCGCCATAGAAGAAATAGCAAGAACAGAAGAAATTCGGAAACTCGAAGAAAAGACGAAGTCAATGGCCAAACGCTGCGAAACAGAGAGAAGAGAAAAGGACGTAATGGCGGTTCCAAGCATGATGAGCCAAGAGAAAGACAGGAAAAACACACTACATCATCCGAGGAAAGCAGAACTCACCCAGTTACCAACGAAATACTTCCTCCAATGTCCAAAGCAGCTGCTAGTTTTGCACTGCGTTTAGGAGTTCCTACTGGTAGTGGAGCCCCTAATGTAGACAACAAGTCCACTCCACCAGACAGCAAGTCCGTCAACGATTCTGACGAGTATGAAACAACAGACGATTCCGACGACAACAGAAACGTAAAACAACCGATGTCTAAGGCAGGTATGAGTTTCGCAGCCAGACTCGCAATTCCACCAAAAGCGAACAACTCCAAGAATATCAACAAAGACGTTAAGAAGGACCAAGCCAGGCCTAGCACACAGAAGTACATGTCTCCCAAGCAACGCAGAGAGGCCGAAAAACTTGAACAGGAACAGCAACGCCGACAGGAACAGAAGCAGCGGGACGCTAAATTGCAAGAAGAAGTTCGGGACATGTTTTCGAAAATGACGGCATCAACAGCCAACTGGGCTGATTTAGAGGACGAATGAAGTGTAATAGTACTGTAATATACTCATAAAATTCAATTACATTTATAACAAAACGGACTTGTCGTTCACTTTGTCGTCTCATCTCCCCACAATTCGCGACTGAGATCTCACTAGTTTTCTACTAATTTACACAATTATGGTGCCATATAATAGAGTGGGGCCACGGATTCTGCATGTTTTGTTTCGTACTACCATCAGGAAATCCAAAAATAATCCAGTTTTTACCAGATTTGTATCAACAAACGAAGAAAATGAACGTCTCAAATACGACCAAGCAAGAAATGACATCATTTTATCCACGATTAAAAGCAGACCTGATCTCTTGGTGAATGCTGGGCTACAGAGAAAACTGTCCATGTCGTGGAAATCAATTTTGTTAGGAATGGTTTTGACATCTACAGCCACAATGGGACTTTTTGTGTCCCTCCAACTTTTGTATCCACGATCTGATCCAGAAGCTCCCAGAAGAGCTTTTGTTCCTTTATGGGTTAGTACGGGCTGGTTGGGCAAGAGTTGCCTAAGATTTCCTCGCGATATCATTCTTTTGGACGAAAACTGTTATCATTGCTTGTTGGATGGAAAGGAACTAGCAGAATATCTCGATCATTTGGAAAAGGAGAACATAAAATACAAGGTATTGGAGCTTGTATCGCTGAGCCAGGAAGTACGCAAGACGCTCAAACTCCCCGTATCCATTTCCGTGCCTGAAAATTCGGATTTCAAGATATGGATGGAAAGCACCATGCCTATAGTTGCGGGTCTTCAGTTCAGTTTTCCGCCCAATGAATTGTCCCCGAGAGTGGAATGGCAATTGAAGCAGATAGACTACCGTTCTGTGGTTGATAGTGCATTGGTGGCTGCGGGACTCAAGCTCGACCGATTGGGCTCAGACGCTGAAAAAAAGACCCACGAGAAAAGCAGTGGAAAAGTCCACGAATCGGTACCTGAGCGTGATCGCTATGTTCACTCTCCGAAAAATTACACCATTGTTATGTCGGGAATTCTCGATTTGGAGGACAAATGTCATCGTAGAGGAACGGTCAATTACTTGGCCGTTTTGGATTTCGACCACTTAAAAATCAACGGTGGAATCAAAATCACGTCCATGCACCTTGTGGCCGATAACAAGCACTACAAGGTCAAATAACGCGAAAAAAGACCACCAATATGTCCCATCGCTGTTGCAGCCTTCTCGTCCCAATTGGGCAATCCTGCCTGCAGATTACTGATAAGACACTGCGAAATCAGATCCAACGATACTGAATAATTATATGAGAGCCATAGGAGATGCAGTTTCTGCTGCTTCCAAGACATATAACGGAGTGGAGAATCCCCGCAAGAGGACCAAAACTTCTTCGTCTTCTTCCATGAATCATAGAACTGCTGCTCAAGCCACAAGAACAAACCGGGCTTGTGACGACTGTCGTAAGCAAAAAACAAGGTGTCTTCCACCCACAAACGAGAGTGCTGGATGCTCTCGCTGTCAGTTTCTCAATCTCAAGTGCTCGTTTCAAAAAGATAACCACAGCGAATCCAAGACGCCCATAGCGCAGTCAGATCGCATTGAACTGATATATCGTGGAGTCAATGAAATAGTCAGTTTACTCAAAAATCAAGTCAATTATCGTCTCAACGACGATGCAAGACTACTCCTAGATGCCTCGAGTACAATGAAACAAGCATCGCCGCAGACAGTCGAGCCAGAACTCGATATTATGCTGACTGCTGAACCTACGTATGACTTTCACCACCCTTCCAAATCCTGTCAATCTTCACCATTTTCAATCGTGTGCAATCTGCTTCCGGAAAACGGTGTTCCCAACTCGATACTTCATTTGGTCAATCGACCGCAGGCTCCGTTTCGAAATCGAAATGTGCCAAAGCCGGATGTCATATCTCTAGGAATTTTGGAAGAAACTGAAGCTGTAGAATTGCTTGACGATTTCAAACAGAACTACGGCCGATGGGTGCTGTTTCCCTCCAATATAACTACTGAAGAATTGATCGAGCGTATAAGACAGAAATCACCACTTTTACTCACCACTTGCTGTTGCGTAACTCTCCGATACCTGTTAACTCATGTTGCTCAAGACGACTACGAATTGCAGCATACCATCAAAAGAAGGAACCAGGACCTTTTATCGCAGCTTGCCAAAGAACTTGAGGCAGCACTTCTTGGCTACTTTGTGTTTCCTCACAATTCTAGCCCAGTTGGCGATGTTGAATTTCTCCAGGCTGTTGCGGTGCTTTCCATTTACTCTTTATCGCTAACCTCTCTTGCTGGGATTTCAGTGGAGGATAAGGAGAGCAGTCTCACCAACTTCAGTCTCGATCCATGGTACTTGTCGAGTGTTGGACTCAACACCTTCTTATCAAAATCAGCATTTGGACAGCTTGTTCAACACAAGGTAATCGATGCCGCAACCTCGCCTTTCACAGTGCTTTTTCAAGAGCTAGACGACGAGGAGCAGACGCTAACCGTGCTACGCATCTACAATCACTTGACAATTGTTCATCTCATTCAGTGTGTGTTCAGTGGCAGAATGTGTGTGTTAGACGAGGTGAGGTTGAACTACTGTACTGCCACTTTGAGCTTGGCAAAACTGACCAATTTTGACGGCAGAGTTGTCAGTGAAATTGAGGTCCTTTTGATCGCCTACAACTACATCCAAGTAGCCACGGGCATCAACGACAGAGCCACACCAAGGGAGAGAGAAACGGCATTTTCGTCAGCAATGGAAGAAATGAAACAATGGTACGACCAATGGGAGTACTTGTTTTCACAGCCAACAGTACAATTTGTGGTATTGTGCTACGAGTTCTGCTTCATAATGATCATTCTTGTCTTCAACTACCAAAAAGGTTTATGCGAAGACGTGCCTGCCTTTGACGTTTATTCCGAGCACAGTCTCAGCACTATTCTCCGTAGCTGTACTAAAGAGAATTTACTATCATTATTGGAGCACGGAAACCACTTACTTCTGTTTGAGAAGATGATTGACAACGATTCGTACTTTGCTTGCTTATCAGACCAGATCCATTTTTGCTTTTACTTTGGCGCTATAGTGATCATGAAAACATTTTTGTACTTGCAGAATAATCACCAGGAAAAGATTATAGATGCTGGAAAGCGTAAGGAAACACTACGCCTTATACAGAGTCTCATCGACCGCCTCACACGAGTGAGTCAAGGTATGAAAAACGATATACTTACAAAGTATCGAGATGGACTTCTGGACATGTTGAAATTATTAGCATGAATTCGAAATATTCATTAGCAATTATAGTTCATATACTGACAACTGTACCTGTTTTCAGGTAATACGGAGAAAGATCTGTCTCGTCTACGTTAACGAAGGTGGGTCCTTTGAAATTGGTTCTACCATGAACAAACCACCAAATGGAAACCAATAAGGCCAATCCACAGGTAATGACACTCGTGTAATTCATTTCCTGAGCGGAAGTAGGCAAAGCGTAAGGAAAGCAGTAGATGACAAAGAATGCCACAATGTACAAGCATGATATGATGTTAATAACATAGCCATACTTTCCAAGCCAGAACCACCCAGGAGTAATTGCCTTTCGCTTATTGAGCAAATGGGGACCAATAGCCAAGAGAAACGACGCTGTAGTCAAAAGAACAAAAGATCCAACAAATGCGTTAAAAGCAGCAAGCGAACCGACGTAGACGGCACCCATACAAGTAGAAATACAGCCACAAGCAAAAGTAGCCCAGAGAGGACTCTTGAACCTGGGGTTGACTGCTCCAATAAACGACGGAAATGGAGCAGCATTGTCTCTCGCCAACACATAAAGAGTACGTCCAGCAGTAATATAGCAGCCAACAGTTGCGCAGAAAATGGGCATGGCAATTACAATTAACAAGCCCAATGCTCCGCCTCTGCTACCTGTTGACTGAAGATAGATATCTCCAAGAGGACACAACGAGTCTGCGGTGAAGATGACGTTGAGATTATTGATGGAGTAAAACATGGAAATCATGTAGCAGATAGCAGTGATAAACCCCACAAGAACTTGCCAGAACAATACTTTAGGAAGGTTTTTGCCTGCGTCTGGAATCTCCTCTGCCATATGAGTAACGCAATCTGGTGTTCCCACAGCAAGAGCTCCATTTAACATGCCTGCCAAAAACACAAAACCATTGCTGGAATAACCAGTATCGTTCTGCCACTCCGACCACACAAAGTTGTTGGATGCGTAGCCAGAACCGTTCTGACTGGGCATGATAGCACAAACCAAGACAGTCACAAACCACCCGCCAAGAATGAGAAATCCTCCCATTCTGTTGATAGTAGGAAGTGCCCAAGTAGCAAACATCACGATGCTGCAACAGGTCCAGCAAATGATGAGATAGACAATGAAAACCTGCCATCTTTGACTTTCAACATTTGGGTGGAACATCTGGTAGCTATAGACAATTATCTGGCCAATGATGGAACAATTGGCAGATATACCAAATGTCCAAGCAAAGAAATTGAGCCACCCAGCAAACCAAGAACAAGCTATACCGTATTTCTTCCCTGCTGTAGCAGCGGCCCAGTGATAGACACCTCCAGAAGCAGGAATTGCCGAAGCCAATTCGGCAATTGAAGCTGCTATCAACCAGTAAAAAATCGACACGGCAATAAACTCATATATGATACCAGGAGGACCACCGTTGTACAAAGAGGCCACAATAGCTCCTCCTAATGCTGTCCATGTGTTACCAGTGACAATACCAGTTGCGATTGCTGAGAGAAGATTGAACCGTCTTTCAAGAACAACCGGCGGCTCGCCAATATTTTCAACTTCTCCAACCTGGTTATCGTCAGTTTTGAGATAGGTCTCTTTGGAGTCGTTGATTATGGAGCCGGACATATTGGGACTGAGATTCACAGACAGCACTAATTCCAGTGCTTTATATACTCAAGTGACAAAAAAAGAACACAAGTGTTGGCGGTAGTTACAAAGTTGGCGTCAGTCGGCCGGCGGTAGTTAGGCCCGCGGTAACTCATTTGGCGGTAGGAGCCCAGATAAGCGGTATTGTGGTTTGCACAAAGCTGCGGTTTCTGAGAATTTTCCGAATTTGGTTTCCCGCTAAAAGATAGCGGATTCTGAGATTTGACAGATTGGTAGCCGCTCGCATCTCTTTCCCAGATGAGTCCAGAGGTAAAGTTGATGGGAGGAAAGTAACCAATCGCGGCTTAACAATACTCGGGGCTTTGGACGTAGGGCAATGGTTTGGGAAGGTTCGAACTTCAGCGAGTTTGCTCAATGTAACTACCTCGCACTTTCAATAGTGGGTTGATATCTTAAAATCAGGAATTCTATCCAAATTTCAGATTACCTTGTATCACAAGCTTTAAAGGATTTTCACAAGATCACCCATAAGTTTTCCTTGGTAAAGTCTTGATGTCTTTTCACCAGTAACCATGCATGTATGCTAAAACAGCGGCTTTGGACTAATCCGAGCGAGCGGCTCCAATTATAGCGATGCACTACTTTATCAATCCATTTTTCTTGTTCGCCGATTTGTCTTGGTTTATTTCAATTCACAAGTTCAAATCACTTGGAAAGAAACAACCCACCATATAAGGGAAGGCTTTCGTGTAGGTCTCAGAATGCCAAGACCGAAGCCATATCATATTACCTGTTTGAGGCGAACATCGCACCTGCACTTTAGGTCCAACTTAACGTTTTTCGAGCGCGCAAGTGGGTCCTAATTCGTAAGATCCTGTACTATACTTTTCGTAATGTCTTTTCGTATTCGGGTTTTGGTCGCATTGGGTTGTTGATTCGCGATTTTCATTTTGGGTCTTATGTTTGACAACTTACCAGTTACGCCCAATGAGACTTGGATATACCCTTTGGTCAGCTCATTCGGGGTAGGATTGGTCCAAATATGTCTCAATTGGAATGAATTGGATAACAAAACTGCTCGTCAAGTGTCAAGACGAAGCCAAACCACATTCACAATTATTGGAATTCATGATTTGTGCATAGCGTTCGTTTTTGCCTTTTATTCATACAAAGTCGAACACAACGGATATGTTTTGATGGTTTTAGCGTGGTGCTTTGGCATAGCCAGCTTTATTGCAGGATTGATGTTGGAAAAGATTAAATTGGCCCACACTCTAGAAGATGGAATTACTTGGTCAAACGCTGCGAACCACTTTTTCAATCTGGGTGCGAATATTGCAAAGGTACCCAAACCACCTCCACCAGGACTTTTTGAAAACATTCGCTATATCAATGGAATCATGATATGGGGTTATATTCTTATGGCTGCAATTGCATATTCTGTGGATGTGGCTTCGAAATTGCAACCAACTCCTAGAAAGATATACGAGTATGTTTTGGTTCTCGCCTTGAATTCATACTGGTTTCCTCAATTTGCTTGGAACACACTCCAGAATCGTACAGATGCCCTTCTGTGGAAATTTGTATACGAAACATCGATCCTCCGGCTCTTGCCTGTCTGGTATCTTTGTAAAAAATCCAGCAATGTTTTCGGCCATTCAGAAGACCCCATTTTATTTGTTGTGATTGTTGTTTGGATAACGTTTCAACTCTTTTTATTGGTTTTGCAAGCCCAATTTGGGGCCCGATTTTGGCTTATCAAGGACAAACTTCCTCAGGTTTACGACTATCACCATTCACTAAATGCCGATGAAATTGACCGTGTGGTCAAATCCAATGAACTCAAAAGGAGCTCGGAAGATAATGATGTTCGTGTAGAGTGCCATGTATGCAAGCAAGGTATCATACTATCACCCAGCGAAAAAATTGAGTCTACACAACATTATATGGTGACTCCATGTTTCCATCTCTTTCACACAGACTGCTTAGAAGGAGTCATGGAGTACAAGCTTCAGTGCCCCAGATGCCGCAATGGCATACCGCTGTAATAAATGGGATTACTGAGCGCAAAAATCACACAGAACTAATATAGAAAGGGGGAAATTTGCAGCCGCTAAATGAGCTTCGATGCAGGAACGTGCAACCCAAGTGGTTGCAAATTTAAACTACCACTCGAATCTCCACCGTAAGTCTTCGCGATATGGACATTTGCCGGGTGCAGACTTTTGCCTATTCAAACAGTAGGGCTCCTTGCTCATGTTTGAACAAATTTTCTTGGCTCGCAATTCATCAGAATGGTATACCCAGACTACAACTGGCTCATCTTGGGTGACGTACGAGCTACTCATTTTCAGACAAGTCTATGTGCTTTGTTAAGTATGAACCTTTCCAAAAAGGTTCAAAAAGAATTTTTATGGTCAATGAAAGTATGCAAAGCTGGTACAATCAGTATGTATCTGGTTGTGGAATTCTTCGTGCTTACTTCTCGAAAGAAGTCGAGCGCCATCACATGCCACATTGCTGGTGTGTAATAGAAAACGCGAAACAACCTTATCAACAAGAAGTTCAGAGAATTCCTAATTTGGCATTTGTTCGCCCGACATGAAATTGCTGCAAATCTGCTTTAAAATGTAGCGAATTTTGCTGTTGGCCGTTCTCAAGATAGTATTGTGATGAGTCAGTGAAGCAGTGGGAGCTGATATAGATGAGCTTTCAATCGGATTGTGAAAATGGTTCTTTATTAAAGATGGAGTACTTTATTGCTGTACGTGGACTTGCCCTAGAAATGTGCTTCATGCATGAGTGCACCATGCTGCTCTCAATCAGTCTCAAGGCTTAGTGGATTGCGCGGCAATTTTACTACAAATGCATATTTTGACATCTCCGAAGCTTTTGCGCCGCATGCATGTGTCTAGGCGAGAATTGTCGCTTCTAATAATAGCAAAGCCGGACAACTATACCAGTAATCCAGAGACACTAGACAAGTAAACGAAGCTGAGAACATAAGGGTTGGTTCTCTAAGATGACTCAGATAACATAAGACTGTAAACGGCGGTCAAAGCACTCTCTTACGACTGATTACCCCACACAGCGAGACGAAATTGTACATAGTGGCTTATTGGTGGCTTACAAAATAGACTTATGCAAGACTACCGAGTGGGCAGCGAAAATAAGTATTTAAGTTGGGGCTATATCAGTAAATTATATTCACAGCATCGAAAAGCCACGATAAATACAATGTATAGTATCTGGGTTTTATTAACATTCGCTACGGTCATTAACTTTGCTCAATCTCTTATCATTGAATATGAAGGCACGCATAACATATTTAACGCTAAATTTGTCAATGTTGATCTAGAATTGTTAAACAATACTGATGCCAATTACACATACGACGGTTACAAAGTGTATTACACTAATGAGATGTTTTTACTGGTTGGTTTGGACGATAGTATAATGCCGTCCAATGACAAACGAGAAATCACAAAGGAAACTAGAGAGGAATGGACCAACGTCATTCCATTGGGATCTAATTTTGTGAAATCTTCATCCAACACTTCTTTATCCGATTTGCTTTCTCAAGTTTCTAAACGTGATGATGAGGTAGTAGTTTCTGGGTTACATATCACCGAACGCTATCTGAACATTGGGTCCACTTATAACAATATAGTGATAGGCTCAGTTACCGCTGCCGGTGCAGCAGCATTGGCTATTTTGAAGTTTCAACAGAAAGGTTACAAACATTGTGAAACATACACCACACAGCATGGTGCTACCTGGTATAAAATTCACACATGTACCACTGGACATAATTGTGATACTACAGCAAGCGGGAAAATTGTTAAAGAAGCTGATGAACATGCTCTAACTGATGCATACCGTCACAAGTCATTCCGTGGCTCATATTCCATGAACCACGGAGGTACTTGGCACAGTTGCGTCGAATATTATCAGAAAGATCACCATGATAAGTCATTCCCTGGGTGTCCCGCTAAGTGGTGTGGCTAAATAGCAGAAGTAACAAGTGCACATTACGCTTGCGTAATACATGCTAAGAAATTGAAGCAATTGTAGTAATATAGAATGAACTTATAGAAGGTCTAGTGACTTCGGCAATTGCAGCTACCAATTTAAGATACTATCATGTGCAGGAAACGTGCAATAGAAATGGCTGCAAATTTGTTTAAGCTGCCGCACGAATCTAGAGGCTGAAAGTCTTTCGGTATATGGGAGTTTCCCTGTAAACTCTTGCTTATTCAAAAACAAGGGCTCATGGCTTTTGGAAACAAGCCTCTTCTTGTCTCGCATTTCTTCAAAAAACCATAATTCTGCGGAAATTGTCATTTTGGTATACCAAGACTATATGTATGCGCATGTACAAGTTTCTAGTTAGCTTTCAAACTAAGATATTGCTGTCTTAGATTTGAATCGCTCATTGAAAACGTGATAGAAAAAGTATTGCTGTGGTCAATTGAATTAGGAAGAGCTGGTACATCCAAGCCGAGTTTATCTGGTTGTTCATTCTTCGTGCTTGCTTCTCGATATAAGTCGAACGCCATCATATACCACATTGCTGGTATGCGACGTGAAAACCCAAATAGTGTTTCCGATATGAAGTCCAGGGATTTCCTAATTTGGCATCTGTTCGGCCGACATGAAATTGCTGCAAATCTAATTGTAGCTCATTTGTCTCTCGGAGGTTTTCAAAATAGTATGTAGATGAAATCATGAGTGAGGAAGTGGGAGCTGATATAGATAAATTCAAGGAGTTCCAAAGTGATAGTTTGATATGAAAGATGGAGCGCTTAATTGCTATATGTGAATAATGTAATCAGTATGTTTTATGCAAATTGTGCCATCAATTAGTTTCAGTAACAGTACAAGAGTATCTTTATGTATCTACTTCTGGTGAATGTCCCTACAATTCTTACTTAGCGGTTTGACATATCTGAAATGCTGCATGCCTGTTCTGCGCGAAATTCATTTCTAATAATAGAAAGCGGGACAATTATACATGCAATTCAGATAACTTGGTCGACTGAACAGCGTTGAGCATAACAGCGCAGAGAGTATATTTGAGATATAAAGCCTCTTGGATAAGTTGAAATTTCAAACGACTTTCGAACATTCCACGAAAATACTCACAGAATTTGAACTTCCACGATGAAAACCATGTATGCTATATGGTATATACTTAGCTTCGCAATTGTCATAGGCTTTGCTCAATCTCTTATCATTGAATATGAAGGCACGCATAACATATTTAACGCTAAATTTGTCAATGTTGATCTAGAATTGTTAAACAATACTGATGCCAATTACACATACAACGGCTACAAAGTGCTTTATACTAATAAGATGTTTTTACTGGTGGGCTTAGACGATAGTATAATGCCGTCAAATGACAAACGAGAAATCACAAAAGATACCAGAGAGGAATGGACCAACGTTATTCAATTGGGACCTAATTTTGTGAAATCTTTATCAAATGTTTCTTATGCCGATGTGATTTCTGAACCTATTACTGATTATGAGGTAGCAATTTCTGGGTTACATATCACTGAACGCTATCGGAACATTGATCTGAGCGATCTCAACGTTGGGTCCACTTTTAACAATATAGTGAAAAGTTTTGGTTCCGCTGCTGATGCACTTGCGTCTTCAATTTACGGGTATGAGACTCCCAAGGAGTGTGGAATGTACACCACACAGCATGGTGATACCTGGTTTCAAATTCATACGTGTACCACTGGACGCGATTGTGATGCTATATCAAGCCTCAAAATTGTTGAAGAAGCTGTTGAAGAAGCTGTTGCTCATGCTCATGCTCTAGCTGATGAATATCCTCACAAGTCATACCGGGGCTCATTTACCATGAACCATGGAGGTACTTGGGACAGTTGCGTCGAATATTATCAGAAAGATTACCATGAGAAGTCGTTTCCTGGATGTCCCCCTGAATGGTGTAATTAACGCAAGACCATTGGCCAAAAATGATTTTCGAATGCAATTGAAAAGATTAAATCTCAATGGTGCGAAATTCTATCCATTCTGCGAATCTGAGCCAAAACGAATGAAGTTCTGCGTGCGAATCTTTAATAAACGAACACTAAACCAACATCCACAATCGAACAGGTCGTGATATCTCCCACACTAAGCCACATCTGTCTCATAGAGCCACATGCAAATATCACCCAAAGCTAGAACGTCGTATTTGATGCAGCTGCCAACGTTTAACCGAGCCACGTTTTGGTGCTCCAAACCGTAATACAAGGGGGTATAATTATTCGCGGTGCGCTTGTCGCTAAAAAAACCCTTTTTTCCTCAATGCGGGTAAAATCTGGTGATTAAAGCCATGCCCCCTATGTTTCCTGCACCGCCCGTTCGTAACTTGGATTTTTATGCGGGGTTACGAGTTGGTCACCAGGTCGTATTGTGAAAGTCGCAGCGTGCATATTATAAAAGAACCAAAGTCGCATTTTTTCAAACTTAATGAAAACTCCATCTTTCGCCCTTATTTTTGCAACCCCAATCTTTGCTGCAAATGTGTTGAACGACCCCAACTTTTTCCCCACCTCCATTCCAGGTATAACCTCGTTCTACTCGGCTTTCAACCTGTACGTGGGCAATGCTGACAACTACATGCAAATTGGCCAAGGGCTCACCACCCAGCCATTTTACACCGAATGGGTAGCTGAAGTCAAGAAACACACTCAGACTTCGTGGTACGCTGCGTACCTTGACGCGCTCACAGGAGGAGACCAGCTTACTGAGTTTGACTTGAACACTGCGCAATTGGACTCATTTGCCAGTGATCTCTTCACCAACACTCAGCTTGCCAGTCTCACTTCTGCACTTTCGAGAGTAACTGGTGCTAGTGACAGCGACTCTGAAGTGAACGAAACGACCGAGAGCGACTCGGGCGAAACGGCTGAAGATCGTACCTCTGACTCCGGCAATTCCTCCAGCTCTCATTCTCATTCTGAAAATTCCAGCTCTGGCTCTGGCTCTGGTTCTAGCTCTCGTTCTAGTTCTGGTTCTGGTTCTGGTTCTGGTTCCAGTTCTGCCGCCGCCTCGGGTTCGTCATCGTCCAAGGCTAATGGTGTCAGCTATGCTGCCCCTGCTGGTGCCGTCTTGGGAGCATTGGCTGTTGCTCTTCTTTGAAAAATGTAGCTATTTATTAATTGAGATGGCCCTTAAAATTCCCCTCCATGTAGTCAATATGGACATACGCCCTCTCGACCGTGGGAAGTGTTTCCACAGCATACTGAAGCGCTTCCGCTATATCATGGCAGTCCTTGAAATTGAGTCTCATGTCCTCCATATTGAACACCACGTCAATTTCAACGTTTAAATTGTCTCCAACATGGTATACCTTCAACGCCGTGATCTGCTTGATCAGCTCTGCAAACCTAAAGGAAAGATACAAGATCACTTTGTATTCTAATGGGCTGGCAGCTGCTCCTGTAAGATTGTCAATATGCTGATACGCAGTGACAGACCAGCTGATTATAATGTAGAAGGAAAGTAAGAGAGCACCAGCAGGATCGAACCACCAAATATTAAAGTAATGACCGAGGGTCGGCATCAACAAAGAAACAATGTTGAATACAATATCGGTCATGGCGTCTTGGGCCAATGCTTGCACCGAACTTGATTTGCTCTTACTGCACCAGATCCAACAGCATACTTTGGCTACTATAGTGAGACTCATGATGCCAATTGCATCGAGACCAATTGAAACTGGCACTTTTGGTCCTGGCAGCAAAAAGATTTGTTTGAAAGATTCTTGACCCACCTGGAAAAATGAAATAATGATGATGACTGAGAATATGAGAATACCAAGAGGCTCGAGTCGCGACCTTCCAACGGGATAACTATGTTTAATGGTTGAGGTTTGCACGGTGGTGAGTCTGTTGGCAATATAAATGATGAATGTTGACAAAAAGTCAAGGACGGAATCGACAAGCGACGCTACCACCGAGATCGAATTGGTGAGGAGAGCCACTACCAATTTCCCAATAAGCAAGATAAAGTTGATGACAAAGTTTACGAGGATAGCCACCAATACCTCGTGGGAGTTTTGCTCGTGGTTGTAGCCAAGAAAATGTGCACCTTCGCTTTGAACGTTACCAGGCACATCATTGAACCTCGATTTCAGATGAGTGGTTTGCTTACTGTCGTTGTTCTCACGCTCCATAGAAGAAGCGTCTATCGGCTCGTGTTCTGGGATCTCAGGGAGCTCTTCCTGACCATAAGTGGATAGCATATTTATGTGCATCTGACCGCTATCGAGAAAATCGTCTATCTCACAGAACCGCTCGATTAGGTAGTTTTGGTCGCGGTAGTACTGACGGACCTTGCGGTTTTTGATACTATTCAAGTCGTGGCAGTATCCCTCTTTCCAGTCGGCCAATTGGCGGTAATCTCCAATAAGACGAAGCGGCCTCAAAGTATTCAAGCGAGCAATCCGCCGCGATTGTTCATCTTCGGAGTATACGCTGGCATTGCTGTCGAGGAGTCCGCTCGAATTCTTGTGAGCAAAGAAAGTACTCGTGTTCAGGTTGACAAATTGACCATCAAACGGAGATCCTGGGTTGGTGACGGTTTGATGATGGGTTAAGAGACGTTCGTAAAAAGGTCTTTGAGGATGTCCAAACACGTCTGCGGCCGAGACCGAGTTCCGCCGGCGCATGGGGCTGTCCGCGGAAGGGGTCCGCTTTGAAGGTCGACCATCGTTGAAATCTGGACTCAACATCATTTTGCGCCGAGCTTCTACCGAGCCTGGAGAAAGCGCTGAGGCCGAAGGAGACTTGTGCATGTTTGCTCTTTCATCGTCCAAGTTCGGGGTGACGATAGGACGCGGGGCGATAAGTGGCAGGGTCTCATTTGCCTTTGTCATTATTATAAATGGAGGCAATCGAATGCCGCCTTGCCGCAGCCGTGAAATGCAACAACCTGTATGGAGAATACTTTCGCACCGCCAATGCGGTTACCCGGCCGCGTACCTTAACAAATTTTTTATGGGAGAAATCAATGTTAAAGTTAACCGTATGTCTATGATGAAAACCACACAATTAATCCAGTGACTCCTGAGCAGGATACACATGCATCACCAACTGAGACTAACCATAGAAAACCGTAAGTGCAATTTATGATGAAAAACTTTTTTTTTTCAGTTCTGCTTCTGAACCTTATGAAGACAAAACCTATACCAAAGCTCAATATCTGAGATTGTTACTAACCCAGATTCTTTTAAATTTCTATTTAGATACTGTAGCTAGATGTCGAAAATGACCACCTTGCCGTCAATGCCCGAGGTGCTGACTTGCGAGGGCGAGTACGACCGGATGCTGGCGATCGTATTCTGGTGAATCGTAGCCAATGCCCGGCCAGCTCCGCGAGGCGAAGGCTTCGTCACTCTGCCCTTAAGGTCAAGCTGCTTGAACATTTTCAAAGCATCGTGTGACGACATCTCGTCTTCTTCATCGTCTCCGGCCGTCGAAGGAGGAGCCGCCGTCAAATCGGTCTGGTTTTCCACCTTTTTGGCTTCACGCCAGCCCTGAACGTCTCCCTCAAACACAATCAAGTTGCAATTGTGGCCACCAGCTACGATTTTGTTCTCGCTGACGAACAAAAGTGCCTTGAATGGCAAGCTGTTGCTGTGCACAGCAACAATTGATTGAGGAGCGAGTCCTTCTCCTGCCGGGTACACAACGCCCAACGAAGCGTCGTGGCCCACGTACGCCAACACGTCGCCAGATGGACTGAAGGCAACACCGTGGATCCACGCTCTGGTCTCGTTGGTGAAGTCACCACACAAGGTCTGGAACGGTAACTTGGACCCCCAAAGTGTGGGTTCCGGTTTGGCATCCAATCCCTTGATATAAGCTGAAAACACCCTGACATGACCGTCAGTGGATCCGCACGCCAAAAGCACATCGTTGGGGTGCCATGCAATGGTGGTTATAGTGGACTTCAAAGGTTTCTTCAAATGCTTTGAAACCCACCAATCGTTCTCTTCCTCATAGTAGCACACCGCCACAACACGGTCGCTGGATCCTACTGCAAACTTGTTGCCAGAAGGTGACCATTTACAAACGGTAGCTGCCCGGCTGATTCTCAACAATACCAATGTAGGCTTGTATTCGCCCGATTTTTTCTCCCAAACCAAGGCGTTTCTGTCTTGGGAACATGTAAGGATCCGTTTTCCGTCGGGAGAAATGTCCACAGACGTAACAGTTTTGTCGTGACCTCTCAAGACGTCCACCAATTGAGGAGTCGAATTTGCATTTTCGACTTTGTACAACTCCACTGTGTTATCTTTTGTAACTACTAGAGTTTTGTGGTCGGGGAAGAAGACATGGTCCTTGATTGGCTCGTGGCCTAACTGATAAATTGTGGGCATTCCAGGAGTCGACTCTACTGGTATAAGGAGAGTTGGTGAGAATGAGAGATGTATGGGTGCAGGACTGGAAAATGCGAAGAGAGAGGAGAGACAAGAGGAAGACATGGTTTACAATTCATATAAGCGTTTTCATATACTGTTTATTATTACAGGCACGCTCAGTCATTCTCACTTCGTTCTTCACAATTGATTCTCATCGTTCTTCACAATTGCTTCAATTCTACTTATACTCCCATTCTTGTTCATTCTTATTCTCCTCACATCTCCGACTGCTGCTTCTCGTCTAAAAACATCTTGATTTTGTCCCAGTAATGAGTCACTTTTTCGTTTTTGCCCTGTACTTTTCCATCAAGTCTGTCCACAATAGACCGGAAAAGGTTTCCTGTCTCTTTGTTGTACAAAATACGCAACCAGTAAAACACCAAGAACACCACCAATTGGTATCCCGACCATCCTCTCAAGAACAACGTGCGAAGCAAGAGGTAGACTATAAGCAAGAGCTCGTCGTAAGCAATGAGAGACGCAAGGAAATCCAGTTGCTTTTCAATGGCTCCGATTTTCTTGTGTGCGCCCAATTGCAAAATAGATATGAGCAAAAAGGGGATAAGTTTGAAAACAGATTTGAATGTAAAACACCATAAGAATGCCAACACCAAATACTGGAAATTTTGCTGGGCAACCATGGTCAGTGGAGGAGGAAGGAAACGAAGTCCAAATTTGTGAGAAAAAGTTGCACCAAGAGCCATCACAGACCCCAAAAGCGACAACCGGTAGCTGATGGAGTTGATGTAGTACCGATTGGGAAGCCACAAGAGTTGGAATCCCGAACTTATAGCACCAAATATAAGAGACATGAGATGGCCCGCAAGCCAAATCTTATATTTGAGTGGGTTTGGACCGGAGTTTTTGCGCACCAACTTTTTCTTGCGATGCTCCGACGACACGGTGGCGTTCGTGATTGGCTTGGCCTCTGTCTGAGACCCCGAAGTAGATGCCATGATAACGGTGTTTGCTGAAGCCAAGTTGCGAATTTCACCCTGCGACTTTCACGATAGCTATGTGTAGGAGCAGGCATTGTGCAGGATCCGAAACTGCGCACCAAAAGCTGTTTATACCAGTAACTTCTAAAACATTATGGCACCGCAAGACATCTACACAACAGAATACGACAAGGTGGCGGGCCTAGAGCCTTTGGAGGCACGCATACTCAAGCAGTACCAACTCTTGGCCACGCAGCTCAAAACCCTCGCCAATGAGGTCAAACTGATTAACACCACCGCATCGGAAACGCGTAGTTCCGACGATTCGGGAGCTTCCGAAGGACCAGGCACGGCCGACCAGCTTCTCGACAACTTCCGGAGCTTGGAAATGAAAATAGGGTTGGTTTACACGCTTTTTCGCGGAGCGGTGTACTCGTTATTTCTTCAGCATGAAGAGGATGAAAATTTGAAAATTGACAAGGCAAAGGAAGACGAAGAGAACGACAACGCTGCGAGCGACTTGCAAAGTGGTTGAACCAAGAAAAGAGTGGAGAAATGAAAAAAAAAAAATTCGAAGGCATGGTGGTGAAAAATTGATTCTCAGTTGATGAAACGAAATAACCTCCGATTAAGAGGTCTTCAGCTACTCTGTTTTCAGCTTCTCCATCTCATTTTCTATTATTCCATTACACCTTCGTGTTTCTTTTCTTTATTACACTATCAGTTAAGGCACGGGGCCCGACCTGCAGGTAACATACCGAGTCAAATTATTTATTACTTCATCACGGCACTATTTCACCACTCATAATGTCCAACGACAAGTATTCCACTCCATTGTCTTCCAGATATGCCTCCGAGGAGATGTCTAGCATCTTCTCGTTGAGAAATAGATTTTCAACTTGGAGAAAATTATGGCTCAATCTTGCTATTGCTGAGAAGCAGGTTGGTTTGGATGTCATTTCCGATGAAGCCATCACTCAAATGAAAAACCATTTAACTATTACTGACGAGGAGATCGAGGCAGCTGCAAAGGAAGAAGCTATTGTTAGACACGATGTTATGGCTCATGTTCATGTCTTTGGAAATACATGTCCTGAGGCTGCAAAAATTATTCATTTGGGTGCTACTTCTTGTTACGTCACTGACAATGCTGATTTGATCTTTTTGAGAGATGCTTATGATGTTTTGATTCCTAAATTGGTCAACGTTATCGACAGATTGTCCAAGTTTGCTATGGAATACAAGGATTTGCCAGTCTTGGGATGGACCCATTTCCAACCAGCTCAACTTACCACAGTGGGTAAGCGTGCAACTTTGTGGATTCAAGAGTTGTTGTGGGACTTGAGAAACATGGTGAGAGCCAGAAACGATATTGGTTTGAGAGGTGTCAAGGGTACCACCGGAACGCAAGCTTCGTTCCTTTCTTTATTCCACGGTGACCACGACAAAGTTGAACTTTTGGACGAGACTGTAGTCAAGTTGTTGGGATTCGAACATGTGTACCCTGTTACCGGACAAACATACTCGAGAAAAATTGACATTGATGTCTTGTCCCCATTGGCTTCTCTCGGAGCCACCACCCACAAGTTTGGTACTGATATCAGATTGCTTGCCAATTTGAAGGAAGTGGAAGAACCTTTTGAAAAATCGCAAATCGGTTCTTCTGCCATGGCTTACAAGAGAAATCCTATGCGTTGTGAAAGAGTTTGTTCCCTTTCCAGACACTTGGGAGGTTTGCTCAACGATGCTATCCAAACTGCCTCAGTGCAATGGTTTGAGAGAACCTTGGACGACTCTGCTATTAGAAGAATCTCGATTCCATCGGCATTCTTGACCGCCGACATCTTGTTGTCCACAATGATTAACATCACCAGTGGCCTTGTCGTATACCCAAAGGTGATCGAAAGAAGAATTGCTGCCGAATTGCCCTTCATGGCTACTGAAAACATCATCATGGCAATGGTGGAAAAAGGCGCTTCGAGACAAGACTGTCACGAAGAAATTAGAGTGTTATCTCACCAAGCTAGTGCCGTTGTCAAGCAAGAGGGAGGAGACAACGATTTGATCGAGAGAGTCAAGAACACCGAGTACTTTAAGCCAATTTGGGGTGAACTCGACAACTTGTTGGATCCATCTACTTTTGTTGGTCGCGCACCTCAGCAAACAGAAAAGTTTGTGAAGAACGATGTGGCCAAGGCGTTGGAACCTTTTAAGAAGCACATCACCACCGAATCGGTTTCTTTGAGCGTTTAGATTTTGTATCATTCGCTAAGTCTATAAAATCTCGTAACTAATAATCATAAAAGTTTGCGTAGAACCCACTACCGATTCAACTTTAATTCGGTTTTTGCAAGTTGATCACTGTCACCATTCGGCCCAGGAACCAGCATGGACATAGGCACAGACGAGTAGCGGGTCTTGTCTACGGCATTTTTGTACTCTTCCACATACTTGGAGTACTCAAATGCAGTGGCTATATGTTTCTGCAAGGGTAAATCAAGGTCAAGAACCCCTTTGAAAAGATCACGCTTCAACATTCTGTCATCGACGTACAAGGAGGCATTGCTCGAGTAGGGAACAAAGTAGATTTTCATTCCCGATTTGTAACGTGGACGAGCGACAATCTTTTTGATGAACAAATTATTGGGACGGCGGCCCGGTTTTCCAATGCTATGCAGCATATCATCTGCAAAATCTTCATCGTCGATCAACAGGTAATCTCCGGGTTGTGCTGTTTCCAACTTGAGCACCAGCGACCCATCTGCCTCGTCAGTGGCCGAGCGGGTGACTCTCACTAGAGTGTAATTATTGGCGCCAAACAAAGAGTATATGGCAGTGTCAAGGGAATTGAATGTTGGGGTAGAGAATTCGTTTGCATTCGTATTGGTCTTACCGTTAAAACCCAGAAGTATCTTGTTCGACACACCCGAGAGATTGACGAGGTCACTATCAATGAGCTGCACCAGTTTCACCTTGGTGGTTGACTCCTGGTCTATGTCGTAATTGTAGGACGGGGTGCTAATTGAGCCGTCTTTCATGCTGGGTTCGTAAAGACTTCGAATTGGTTGGCGATTGGTATTTGGTGTGAGCGAGCAGTAGAGAGCTGTGAGCGACGGCACAAGGGTGAGCTTTACTCTGAGCGCCGCCTCTAGAGATTTCAAATGAAGCTTGGACCCTACAGGTTCGGTCGAAGACTTCCTTGAGCTCTTTCTCCGAACAGCTATTTTCACCAATCTTTCCTTTGGAAAAAACCGCTTGTCGACTTTTGACCTGGGCAATTTTTTACCAAACAGTTCAGCGTAAATTTCGCCAGGCGGAGTGGTTGTGGCTACCGATCCGGGAGCCGAGTTCGAGGTAGAACTTGAGGCTGAAATGGGAGCTGAATTTCGTGCCGAATTGGTTGCGGAATTGGTTGCGGAAGTGGGAGTGGAGGAGGAGGCGATACTGGAATAGCTGGAAGTATGGCCCAAAGAAAGGCGAGATTCCAATCCAGAAGACTCACTTCCAGAACCCAGCGGAGGCCCTGAAGAAATGACGGACTCGTCGCTATCGCTGTGATTAAGGAGGTCTGAAAGCGACGCCATGAGGAGGATTTGGAGTACAAAATGGTAAACCAAAGTTTTGGTTATTGTTTAAAGCGGAGGTTTGACACGCTTCTCTGTATAGCAAGGACAACTCTAATGCAAATTGAGACAACAAACCTGGGTTCTAATAAGGGGAGAAGAAGTTATTTGTGAGAAATTTGTTTGCTTATAAGAAAAGTGAGACATTGCGGCATTACGAACACTGTTTCCTTACACAGGAAGAGAGGATGGAAATAAAGGAAGAGCCCTAGGGGGTCAAAAGTGAAGCAAATTACTCCAGATTGAAAGGTAAGGCTGTATACAACGTCTATAGTCCAGCATGAAACTCCGGAACAATTCCACTCACAAAAGCACCCACTGGCAAATGTGAGACACTCGTCCATCCCGTGCGGCGCGGAGACAGATAGCCGATCGGCTGATTTGGGGTATAATACACCGCTTATGGGTGCGAAAGGAACAGGAGAAATAGCGTGATAATTCACATTATGACATGAAAATATTTAGTTTGAAAAAATAAAAGGATGTTTAGTTTTGAAAAATGAAGCGTAAATCTTAACAATATTTTTTAGAATTGTTTGATTTCAAACTTTAAATTATCTTGTCTATTTTTGCACATTCTGAACTATTCAGTCTGAGTATAACTCTGATCCTGATTCTTCGTATTATGTATTCATTTCCTCTTCTCTATTCGTCTTCTTTTCTTCTCCCTTCCATTCTCTTCTTTTTCTCTTCTCTGTTCATTCTACTCATGCCTAAAAATTAGATCCTTGGTTGATATTTCTATCACGCACCCCAAGCTCGCCACTGAGGAGATCGCTATCATCTCCCTTCTCGTTTTTCCTCCAGAACGTCCATCCTCCTTCTTGGTCTTTGTTCGTCCTTCGTTTGAGGAGAAACAAGATTGAAATAATGCCAATGATAATCGCACCTCCAACGCCAACAACTACACCTACAACGATTTTATTGGTGTTCGAGAGTCCACTGGATCCGCTGCTGTTGCCACGGTCACCAGAGGCAGCGCTAGGTTGATTGGTCCGCTCGCTATCGATGGTTCTGGTGACAACCACCGTCCTTCCATTGTCAACCGACAGAAAGGTTGTGGTGATTTGGTCACTTTGCAGAGAAGAGCTGGTGGTTTCTGGTGAGCTAGTGGTACTATCTTGCTGGGTTTCCAGGGCAGGAGTCTCCTTCAGCGACAGAGCTTCTTGTCTTGTCGTTGTTCTCTGCGACAGACTGGTAGGTTGAGTATTCGAAGAAGAACTCGACGAAATGACTCTGCTGCTTGTACGCTGGGCAAACGATGACGACAGACTCAGACTCGTCAGAAATACAAACGACAGCGTCGTTGGGTCATCAGAAAATGTGGTTGACTCACTGCTGATAGTAAAAGTACCGAACTCGTCTGATGAAACAAACACCAGGGTATCGTTATCTGCCCGAGCCATCACAACCACCGTCTCCTCAGGAACAGCTCTAACCTCGCTGGCGGTCTGCTCATCTTTTGGCCGTGACTCATATCCAGTCTTACCGTCTATAAATTGGAAACTCCATTGACGAAAATTTCCTTTCGTAATTTTTTCAATGCCTGGTGTATCCAGATGCAATGTGGTCACATAGATCAAGCTACACGCCACGGCAATCAACAACAACACCCAGCTTAACGAACGACAACTCATTACCTGCTATTAATAGAGATCAAAGAAGGGCAGAGATGAAACCTGGTGCGTCACGTGAACGAGGCGCGGCCCGTCGTGCCACGGCGCGGAAACTGGCGACGAGCAGAACAAAGGGAGGGGAATCCGTCGTCTATTGTGGTGTATGGGTGGTGGTATTGAAGACTGCTTATGTAATCAAATGATATCTCCGTCCCCTTTGGTATTAGTAATCTTCTGGAACCTTCTACAACTTTCGCAGTGATCCATTCTGGAAACTTCTACGCAGCACAATGCGAAACGGCTGCAAATTATAAAAGGCGCCACCGATACTTCTCCTTCAATTCATTCCACAATGTTTGCAATCAACTACAACCCCGTCTTGAGCTTTCTTGATTTAGTTCAACAACAACAGCAACAACAACTTCGTCAACAATTCCAACCAAAGATTTCAAAGAAAGTTGAAACTGAAGACGAGTATCAAATCCACATTTTCAAGCCATATGGTGACTTCAATTCTTATGAAGTCCGTGCTTTAAAGAGTCAAAATGGACTCGTAAAGCTTGTCATCGAATCTGAACCTGACAACTTTCAAGCCACCGTTTCGTTTTCGTTGGCTGAGATCGATTTGCAAGAAATCAACTGGTTATACTTCCGCGCCGAGAACACATTGGTGTTGAGGATTCCCAAGAAACAAAAGGTATGTTATCCTCAATTCTACTTTCCTGGCTGTGTTATTGGAAATGAAAGAGAACAACAAAGAGACGATAGGTTAAGGCAAGCTGAACAAGCCAAGCTTAATGCGAGAAGGGAATCAGAAGAGAGAGTGAGAAGAGAAGCTGAAAGAGCAAGGAGGGAAGCTGAGAGAGCAAGGAGGGAAGCTGAAAGAGCAAGAAGAGAAGCTGAAGAAAGGGCCAGAAGAGAAGCTGAGAGGGCTAGAAAAGAGGCTGAAGAAAGAGCAAGGAGAGAAGCCGAACAGGCAAGAAGGGCAGCTGAAGAGAAAGCCAGAAAGGAGGCGGCACAAAAGCAAGCTGAGGAAAACGCCAGGAAGGAAGCCAAGGCTAGAGAACAGGCAAAGCTTCAGGAAAGAAAGGAAAGAATCAGAAGAGAAGCCGAGGCCAGAAATGCTAAAGCCCAACAAGAGCAATTTGTTGAACAGCTTCTACAAAACTTTTTTACTCCTTTCTTGAGTCAAGTCAGCCAAGCTCAAGCCAAGAATTCTGAAGAAAAGGTTACCCAGAATAATGAATCATCTTCATCTCCAGCACCAGTTCCAGCTCCAGCACCAAAACAGCCATCTCCAAGATTAGACGCCAATGATGATAACGAGTCCGTTCAATCCGAGCCATTGACCCCAGAAGTTGGCTCTCCAAAGCTTGAAGCGAAAGACGAATCTCTCGATTTGCACAAGCACCCATCTTTGGAAGAGGTTGAAGATGAGGAGTTTGTCATGTTCCGCAAGAAGTTTGAACAATGATAATAATGACTACCTAGATATCAATTGCATAGATAATACGACCAATCTTATAATAATTCGATTTATTGTAGATTTTCCAATTTTTCATTTTTCACTGCTCCCCACATCTTCTCACCCCACCAATTTCTCGCATTCGCAACTTTCTTCATTGCTGCAATGACAATACTTAAAACTATTGGTGTTTTTGGTGGCTCCGGCTTTGTGGGAAGGAGTATTTGCAAGAAAGGGGTTCAACTAGGCTACAATGTGATAGGATTCTCTCGTTCAGGCAAACCGACGGGAATTCAGGGTGCTTGGGTCGATAAAGTGAACTGGCACAAGGCTGATATTTTTGATCCTTCGACATACGAAAACCAATTGAAAGACATAGATGTGGTGGTCCATAGTATGGGGTTGTTGTTCGAGAACCAAGCCTACAAAAAAACCATAAATACTAATTTCAATTTTCTCAACGACATTCAAAATTTGGCCAGTGTCATGAGAGGTGCCAATCCAATGACCAAAGGTCAACACGATTCATACGAAGCTATACAGCGAGACTCTGCGGTGATCCTTGCCGACGCTTTCTTGGAAGCTAGAAAAGAAAAAATGAAACCAAAGCCAACTTTTGTCTACATCTCTGCTGATCAAAAAATGCCAATTGTACCGGAGGCTTATATAGACACGAAGAGAGAGGCGGAGTTTGAATTGTCGTGCAAGCCTGGGCTTCGGAGCATCAGTTTGAGACCTGGTTTTATGTATGACAGTGAGCTGCAACTGCTCAATGCTCGCGCTTTACTCAAGACATTGTTGAGTCTTGGGTACGGAGTCAAAAACGCTGTTTTGGGAGATAATGTTTCTTATATCAATAACTTGATACGGCCTCCGGTCTCAGTGCAGCAATTGAGCCTGACGCTCTACGACAAGGTGGAAAAAGAGGAGTTTGATGGCACGGTTTTGTTGGAGGAGATTCGCGAGTATTGATGAAGATAGGACTTGAATATCACGACTGATGTATATAGAGGAGAATTGATAAGATTAATGGAGAAACAAGTACTTCAGCATATTAGTTTAAATATGGAGATTGTCTACTTTGAGTGAAAGGGACAATGAGTATTAACCGAATGAAATGATTGATTTAACAGTTGTATGTATTAATTATTCTACTTTATAGTAGAAAATGATAATTGAAATGATTAAGTTGGTTGTCCAAGACTGTATTCGGTTAACAGTATTGGTAATTGAATATGTTCCGACACCAAGTTGTGTATTATTAGTCAAACCTGAGCTTCTTATGACTTAGACGAATTGAATGAGTTATCATCACGATACGGGCTCTTGAGTGGAGTAGGCTGCGACGAGGCAATCAACTGGCGCATCAGTTCGAGCCAGATGAAATTGAGATCTTCAACGTTCAAGTTTGACGGTATAGTAATTCCGTTGGCGGTGATTTTGACATAGTCAATCTGGTCAACATAATGGACATCAGATTCGAATTTGCGGGGTACTGGTTTTGGTTTTGGTTTTGGTTCTGATTTTTCTTCTTTTTTGAGTTCTTTTTCAAGTTCTTTTTCCTCGTCTTTCTTCTCTGAGGGCTTCAAGACCGCCGGTGTCCACCAGTAAGCGGGAAACTTTCTAATGACATTTCCCGTTATCATAGCGACACATATGATCAAAACACTCAGAATCAACTGAACGGGAAGATACCACCAACTCATTTCACGAGTGTGTTCATCGACAGATGGAAGAAGTGCTGATGCACCAGCAGGCGGATGTACACAATTCAAAATGGACATTGCCACAGAAGCAACACCTACACTGAGAGCTCCACTGGCCCAATAATGGTGTCTTCCACCGGCACTCAACAGGAAAAGTTTTTGGATGCAAACACCAATAAGTGAGGCCACAAAATGGCCCATAAGTATACTACGAGGTTGTGCCAAAGGTGCCTGGTGAGCATTGAAGCAAAGAATAGCGGTTGCTCCGTAACTGGCAATGATCATAGGAACATGATGGGAAGTGAATACTGTATGACTCTTGAATACACCTTCCAATAGTGCAATACCACAGAAACTGGAAACAAGAATTTCAATCCATATCCAGTAGTCTGCCACGGGTTTGGGATGATGACTTCCTAGCACTCGGCGTATGGGTTTGGGTAGCCTATTTAGACGATTGTAGGGCACGTATTTGTTCAAGACTGTATCTATAGTGAATTTGAATACCATGTCTATGACAGGTTCTATTCTTTACTAGGCTTCTATGAGTGAAAAAGGTTTTATTATGCAGAAAGTTTCAATGCAAAGGCTTATAAATAAAGCAAGATTCGCTAACTCCAGCTGAGCCGGATTATATAGTGGCCGCGCGATTAAGTCGCTAATGCCGTCACTGCGCGCGATGACTCGGGCCGACAGAAATGTGCGGAAGACCGCTGAGTCAGTGAACAATGAGGAGGTTACTGAAAACTGGTTGGGAACTAAATTGTTCTTGAGAGGAAACTGTCAAGAGGATACTATGAAGAAACAAAAGTTTGTTTTTTTATCAAATTTTGCAATCTTGCAAATTTTTCATTTTTTAATCTTTCAGGTTTTCATTCGTTCTTAGACATCTATTATCTATACGCTGTAGCTGACTCCATTCATCGTAAACTGCCTTCTCTTATACCACTTTCTTGCCTCGTCAACTAAAAATACACTGCTGGTCAACAAGAAAAGGCTTCCAAGATCTGATAAGTACAATGCCTCGGTTTGGAAGACAGACTGGAAAAATGGCACATAAATGGCACACAATTGACCAAGAAGTGATCCGGCCACGGCAAAATTGAACATTTGGTTTTTAAGTCCGAGTTCAAAGATAGACTTGGTTTGGTGACGGCATGCCAAAGCATTGAACATGTCGTACATTACAAAACAGGTGAAAGTCATGGTGGTATCTCTGGCAGTCACCTCATTATCAATTCTTTCTTTGACAAAGATGTGAAGCGTACCAAGAATAATCATAGTGGCAGATTGTAAAACACGCTTGATCACAGCTTTGGTCAAGATTTTGTCGTTTCTCTTTCTGGGAGGCTTGTTCATCACCTCATGATCAACGGGTTCAACTCCGAGCGACTGGGCGGGAGGGCCATCCATCAAGATATTGATCCACAAAATTTGCATAGCATTCAAAGGGTTTGGAAGTCCAAAGAACGTAGCTAGAGCAATCAACGTCAACGCGGCAATCGAGGTGGATAACTGGAAAGTGATAAAGTTTTGAATGTTGAAGAAAATACCTTTACCCTCTTCGATCGCATTCAAAATCGTAGAGAAATCGTCATCCGTCAACACCATATCGGCTGCTTCTTTGGCAACATCGGTTCCATTTTTTCCCATGGCAATTCCAATATCGGCGAGCTTTAATGCTGGGGCATCATTGACTCCGTCTCCAGTCATGGCGACGATATCACCTCTAGCCTGAAGCGCCTTGACAATCAAGACTTTGTGCTCTGGAGTGGTTCTAGCAAACACCGAAACGTTGTGGATTGCATTCGAAAGTGCTTCGGGGGATAACTTGTCGAGTTGGTCGCCGGTCATGACAGAATCGTTGGTATGTAATGGCATTCCAATCTGCTTGGCAATGTTCTTAGCTGTGCTTGGAGAATCACCAGTAATCATAATCACATGTACTCCACCCTTCATGAGACGTGCAACCGATTTGCTCACATTAGGACGGGGAGGATCTTTCATTCCTATCAACCCGCAAAAAATTAAATCGGTAGGTTCACTCTCGATATGTTTCTCGTCACCGAACTTTTGCGTATTGTTGGCCAAGGCCAAAACTCTCAACCCTTCTCCCGCCAAAGTGTTGGATCTCTGGTTGATTTCGTCTCTTACTTCGTCACTAAGTTGCTTTACCTCACCTTTAGAGTCGTAGTATTTCGTGGAACGTGCAAGAATCTGCTCAGTTGCACCTTTAGCAAAAGTCTCAGATCTCGAAGTGTCGCCAGAATGAGCACATACTGCCATATACTTTCTTCTTGAGGAAAAGGGCAATTCGTAAGTACGTACTTTTTGACCACGAGTATCGTCAAGACCAAAGTGTGGTAAGCATTCAACAAAGGCAATATCGGAAGGGTTTCCAACAAACTTCTCGCTTTCAGATGAATACCTGGCGTTGTTACAGATATTGCCAGCCTCTAATATTCTGCGAATGTTGCTGGTGAGCTTGTGGTGTAAAGTATTATCATCGAGCCTTTCAACCACCAAGAATGGGGAATTGAACGTACCTTCAAAATCAGTCGACCATATTTTCGTCACAGTCATCCTGTTCTCAGTCAAAGTTCCAGTTTTGTCAGAGCAAATTACATTGACACTTCCTAATGTTTCGACACTGGGTAATCTCTTGACGATAGCTCTATGACGAGCCATTCTAAGCACACCAAGGGCTAAAGTGACTGTGACAATGATGGGAAGACCTTCGGGAATGGCTGCCACGGCCAAAGAAACGGAAATCTGGAACATATCTAACCACGAGCGACCCTGGGTAATACCAATTAAGCAGATGATTCCAATGACACAAAAGCTGAAGATGGAAAGATCCTTTCCGAGCTTATCCATGGCTTGTTGTAACGGAGTCTTGGGTTTTTCTATTTCTGACATCATTTCGAAAACGGCACCGAATTCCGTTTTGGAACCGGTTGCTATGACAATTCCAGAACCATGGCCATCGCGAACCAAGGTTCCCATGTAGACCACAGACGGACGGTTAGTGATTGGAATAAGACCGTTTGCTTCTGATTTGATGGCTTCTGGTGATTTTATTACCGGTCTGTTCTCGCCGGTGAGATTACTCTCATCGATGGAGAGGTGGACTGCGTCCGTTACTCTGATATCGGCGGGGATTCTGTCACCTTGGGAAAAGTGGACCACGTCTCCAGGAACCAAGGTCGATGCTAGAACATGAGAGGTGTTACCATTGCGTGTCAAGTTGGCTTCTGCTGGAACCAATTTGTTCAATGCAGCTAGCGATTTTTCCGAACGGTACTCCTGGACAAAACCTACAGTCACGACGATAGTGATTGCCAAGGTGATAGATATGGAGTCGTCGACGTTTCCCATCCAAAATGAAATGACAGCAGACCCGATCAAAAGTAAGATCAATGGGTCAGAATAGAAGCTTGCGATGAATTTTTTCACAAGACTCTCCTCTTCATCTTCGGCAAACTCGTTGACACCGTGTATGGATCTACGGTTGAGAATATCCTGATTGTCTGAAAGCCCCTTGTGAGGATCGGTTTTGAACTCCAGCACCGTGTCCTCCACCGACTGGGTGCAATAGCGGTTTGCAGCCGAGTTGACACGTTGGGGTGGTTTTAGAACCTGTTCCACATCGAACGGGTTCTCTGTCATAGTTGTCACACACTCGTGTGTCTAGGAAGAAATGTTGGGTCCAAGGCGCAAGAAAAACCACAAAAAACTGGTGAAAAATCGGCGCGGAAACTGACTATGGGACCCCAAATATGTAGTTAAGGAGGTGCGATCCAAAGATGTCGAGACGTGTTTCGTGCCTGCGAATGGTCGGATTATCGGTTGGTCCACTTGCGGAGAATCCACTCACGAATTATTAATGCAAAAGTTCGTGATGAAAAACGGATCGGCTATGGAAACGAAGATGCGCTCGGGTCCAAATGGTGTACTGCTGCGCCTTATTGAGATGGAACAAGGTTACAGTGGTAGTACAAGTGGTGGCTTATACAGCTGATATGTAGGTTTATGTAAGTATATGGCTTACTGGCCATCAACCACCTCCAAGGCAGCTTTGGAAAGACGGTTCATGACCGCAAGTCCTTCGTTGGTTTCTTCAATTCCTTCCACAAAGATCATATCCACGCCGGTTTCGTCGACTTCTCGAAGGTACCGAAAGAGATTATGGGATATGGTGTGACCGTCGGTACCTAGTTCACGGTCTATGCTCTCCTTGTTTGCTGAGGTGGAAGATATGCCGACAAAATGTCGAGATTTGAGTAATGCGATTTTGCAGTCTTGAAGATTATGCGACGAAATGTAATTGTCAATGGCCTCTTTACCATCTCCACAATTGACAAAAAGCACCACACGAGCTGTGGGAGAATAGTGTCTGTATTTCATTCCTGGAGTCCTTACGGCCTCAGTTTTACCAGCAGTCTTTTTCGCAACCACCACATCTTTCCAAGGCTCTCCTCCAACCAGCTTAATCTCCTCCAATGACACTCCACCAGGACGAAGAAGCATCGGCGGGTCCACTAGACCATCCACCACTGTCAGCTCGACTCCAAAGTCGCACGAACCGCCATCCAAAATGTATGGAATACGGCCCTGGAGATCATTATATACATGGCTAGCAATTGTAGGACTCGGCCGAGTAGACGCATTTGCTGATGGAGCGGCTAATGGGGTATCACTTAACGCAATGAGCGCCCGGGCAACAGGATGTTGCGGAATCCGAACCGCAAATGTAGATTGCCCTGCGGTTACAAACTTCAGAATTGGCGAGCTTTCATGAACAGGCAACAATATTGTCAATGGACCAGGCCAAAACTTGTGTATCAACGATTCGTACACCTTGGGTATTTGGTAATTTGGTGGTAGTATTTTGCGTTTCAATTGGCTTATCGACGAAACATGAACAATTAATGGGTTATCTGCCGGCCTGTTTTTGGCCTTATAAATGGACTTTACACTTTCGTCGCTCAACGCCGAGCCCCCGAGCCCATATACGGTTTCAGTTGGAAACCCAATAACATCGTGGGTGGTTGTTAAGACTTTGGCGGCAGTTTCAAGATTTTTTTTGGTGACTGGATCTGAAATTTCCAACTCATCTCCCTTGAAGGTGATGCTCAGTCCGTCGACCGGAAGTATCTTCGTCGTGTATGACATGGTTCTGCGGCTCCAGGTGGAGAAATGGGTTCGTAGTGATGCTCTGTACGTTGTGATTAAGCTAGAATCATCGCCTAGTCTCATCGCTAATTCTCACCGCCATGGTATGCAGGACCGTAGGCTGGGGCACCACCAAGCCATGCTTAGAACACAAGGTTTTCAGTAATGATTTTCTTCTCGTCCTCGTCCAATTGGTCGTAGTATTTCTCAAAATGGCCCAAGTTTTTAGTGGTACATTCTCGGAAAAAATATATGAGCATTTCTCTCAAAGAATCGTCTCCATTCTGGCCCTCATGATCGCTATCTTCGTCATCTGAATCAACATAGGACTTCAATTTTGCATAGTTAGGAACCCCAAGGTCTCCCATATCCTCCCAATCGTCTCCATCTTCATCGTCGTCATCTTGGTTATCCGGTAAGTAGCCGTTTGCATTGGGTTGTTGGTTCTGGAAGGATAGTTCACCTGCCAATAATTTCAATATTTTTAGAGACGCAGATATTTGGGTATAACGGTCAGGGTTCGCCTTGGTCACAGATCTAGTGCGTATTATATCTCCCTCGTACGGTATGATATCACCGTCCACAATCAAATTCTCAATTCGCAGATCTCCCAACATGAATATCTTTCCCAATGCCAATGCGTTTTGTTTGATTTTCTCATATCCTCGAGTAATCTCGAACGACAGAAACCACATAGGCATAACGAGCTCAAGCCCGTTCCTTTCTTTCAGGCCAGCTTCCGGGATCTTGATCCGATTGTACATATAGTCCACCATCTCACTTGGCGACGACAACACAAGGTGGCAGAAGACCTGAATTAAACCTTCAATGGTAACAACCTCTCTTGCAACTAGTAACCGCCGAGTAACGGCATCAAGTATTTGCGATAAAAAGTCATTTCCCAAGTATGCCTGGAACTTTTGGATTAGTGACAACACAATAGTTCCACAGTTCATGGCCGCGCTATCGGATAATTGCGGTGATAAAAATTTGGCTACTATTGCCATAAGTAAATCCATACCTGACTCGCCTGTTGGTTTTTGATACTGAAGAAACGATTCGGATGCTCGTTGAAGCAAAGAATCGAGAACTTGACCACCACTTTGCATGATCTGGTTGTCCACGGACAAGAGTAACAAGTCATACAAATCCGAGAAGATGTATTCGAAAACTTCTGCGGGAAAACCACCACTTGATTCAGTGGGTGCTTCTTTGATAATTACACTCAAAAGTTCCAAAGCGAGATCCAATTGCGGCGAGTACTCTCCACCTTGAGCAATGCTGTTGCGAAGAAACTGAAGAATGAACGGAATGGACTTTTGACAGCATTCCAAAAATGAATTGAGATCAACATCGGCCAAGAGTGTCTCCAAACAGTCCGACGAGTCAACTGCTAGCTGAATATTTCCTGGGTCTTTGAACGAGATTTTGAAAAGAAGGTCCAATACGGTGACGGAACCATTTTCCAATTGTATCTGGCGGCTCAATGCTGTTTCCTTGTTTAATTTTACAGCGACAGTGAGGGCCTCAAGTAACGAGGGCAACGTATCCTCTTCACTTTCTTCCACCAAAGAAGCTATAAGAAGCGTTGTTTGCTCGTGAGCTGCAAGCCGTTGTTCGGGTTCCAAAGTATCGAACTTTATGAGCTGATTGTAAAAGGTCAATGCTACTAAAGAGGCACCTTTCACAATTGCAAAGGGCAACTCTTCCATAAGGTTTTGCGGGCAGTTGGCAAAAAATTTCATCATTTCCAAAAAGCTTTTAGACGCAAAAGAGGTAACTGATAGCTTTTCCTGAAACTTTTCGAGAAATTTGGGGAGAAGTAAGAAGCATCTGCTAGTGACAAGCGCGGCACTTTCCAACAGGCTCTCGTCACCGTACAGAACAAGCAGGGAGATCGAATTCAAAATGGACACTGGAGAAGTCTCATTATCAATAAGCACTGCTTCATCGTTCATACAAAGACTTTCGACAGCGAATAACTGACACTCACGAAATTCCGGAGCGGCTGGCAAAGACATAGACTGGACCAAAAGAGAGAACGCCTTTTGGGCGTCTTTGCTATTAAGCTCTGACAAAAGTTCATTAAGTACCTCACGAGTAGAAGTTAACAGGGAAAAGCCTGTTACATCAGTGACAAATTGGTTAAAGTCGGCAACATAGTCTTCGACAGTTTGCTGGGAGAGGATACCAAACAACAACAAATTTTGAAGTACCTGAGGAAAAGACTCGCCCACAATATCGCCAATTGGTACTGCTGCCTGTACGGCTGATATAGCACGAATATACTCTAGTGAAAGTAAATTAATATCTGTGTTGATGTTTGACAGGTTCATGGAGCGATGAGTTGACGAGATTGATTCCAAGTCCCTGAATAGTGACGAAGCAGCATCTCGTATTAACTGCGGTGAAATTTTGCGCAAGAACGAGGAAACCACATCAGCCGTTAAACGGTAAAGATAAGTGTGGAGGTAACCGGAGGAAGTTAGAGTGGATTGTAAATCAACTGGGTATGACAATAAATTGGTGAATAGGGTCATTGCCTCATTAACAAGACTTTTCACCCCGTTTTTTCGTTGAGGAGTGGAAAATGCCTCGGGGCTTTTGAGTGTAGTAATTACCGACAGGTAGAGTCGAAGACTGGCGATTTTCACATCCAACAGCGTATCAGGACGAGTCAAAAGTGTGGAGATATGTGACACGATTTGAGAACCCACGTTCCCTTCCCAAAATTGTTCATCAGTTATCAAGTCGTCAAAGAGATCATTGAGAACTAAGAGACTTCCAGCAATGGCTATATTATCTCCCTCCACAACCTGCTGGTACAAAGTTGAGAGCAATTGTGGCCATTCGTCAGGGTAGTCGGTAGCGGCAATTTGTGATATCACGTAGGAAGCACCGGAGCGTAATTTGGATTCAGTAGAAGTAGTTGCAAGTTTGAGCATATCGTTGCGAATAGCTTCCTTGAGGTTCTGGTCAGTAGGAGGGCCCACGAACGAGTCAAACGCAAGCGACCAGTACATGGGAACAATTCTTCGTATGTGCAAAAGACACAGCTGTCTTATATCCACGGGAATCGAATTATTTTTGGCCAGTTCCACCAACTGGTACAAAGCACCATTTGGATCTTCTGCTACCGCATGCTTAAAGTTGACCTCCGCTTGGATTCTGGTGGTGTTGTCGGCGCTTGTTTGGTTTACGACAAGCTCGAGAATGTTCATGGCGTTGAGTGTAGTGGGATGATTGTGATGAGAATGAAGATGAGTTCTGAGATCGCGGCGCGTGAAAATTAGCGCGCTAGATGATGGTGCGACAATGAGAGCTAGGGAAAGTCGCACCGAGACTTAGCGAGAGCTAGCGTGGTTGGGAGGTGCGAAGTTGCGCCAAAATTCCGTAGTGTGTCACACCGCGCACACCGCGCGACACTGAGTTGCGAGTGCGATTGGTGGCGGTTCTTTTCAACTACAACTCAATCATGCCCCTTTATCCAGCACTCGAAGAGATCAAAGACTCTCTCCTGGCAGAGCAGCTAGCTATTCTCAAGCGCCAGTTGGACTCGGAACAGCCAAATGTCAGTCCTCAGACTCGATTCAACTACGGATGGGGACTCGTGAAATCTCCAGATCGCAAGCTCCAGCAGCACGGACTCGAGCAATTGGCCCAAGTTTACAGAGAAGAGAACTCCATGCACAGAGAAGCACTCTACTACTTGGCGGTGGGGTCTTATAAGGTGGGAGAGTACAGTAATGCTCGTCGCTACTGCGATGCGTTGCTCAAATCAGAACCAGATAATAGCCAGGCTCGAGCTCTCAAGGAAATGGTGGACGACAAGGTTACCCAGGACGGCTTGATAGGCTTGGGTGTGGCTGGTGGTTTGCTTGCGGTGGGCGTAGGAGTGATAAGTGCATTGGCACGGCGGAAAAGAAAGTGAGAGAAGGAGAGAGAAAGAACAGAATGGGAGTGAAGAGAGAAAGAGAGTTGAGAAAGAGAGAGAAAGAGAAGAAGAGAGAGAAAGAGAAGAAGAGAGAGAAAGAGAAGAAGAGAGAGAAAGTGAAGGAAAGAGAGAACGCAACCTAAAGGATGAAGTTGAACTTTTAGTGACTCCACTCAATTTTCCTCCTCCACACTGTAGGTCGTCCGGTACTATCGCTCAGTGTGCAAGCCCTACTCAACATCTACAGTACATAAGCTTTAGCCCAGCTTTATTGTTTTGGCTTATTATTTTTATTGCATCTTTATCCAACTTTTGCAGCTTATTTTCTGTAGCATTTATTCGCTTCGCATGTTTCCTGATAAAGTAGCGCAGGCGGTCCTTTCCCACTATGACAAACTTCCACCGTCAGCAAAGCCAGGGATTCGTTCAAATGGAGTTCGAGAATGGACAATGCTAGCAGGGGTTGTGGCGGTAGTCGATAGCTCCATAGTTCCATTGACCATTGCAACTGGAGTCAAAGCGATGCCTGACGAAATCAGAAAATATTCAAAAGGGAAAATAGTACACGATATGCATGCTGAGATATTGGCGTTACGGCTCTTTAACTTGTTCTTGCTTGAAGAGTGCCAAAAGCTTATAGAAGGCAAGTCAGAATTTGTGGAGAAAATCGGCGAGAAATTCAAACTTCGAGATGAGATCAAGTTGGTGCTTTATGTCAGCGAACCGCCGTGTGGCGATGCCTCTTTGGCATATTCTGCTAAAGGCGAAGAAGGCTGGGAACAGGAACCACAGAAAAAACGCCAAAAAGTTCTTCGTGGTAGAAGTTTTTATGGCCGGATTGGCGAGGTGAGAACCAAGCCTGGAAGAAGTGATAGTTTAATTACTCTAAGCAAATCTTGTTCCGACAAGTTGTGTGCCAAGCAAGAACTTGGGCTCACGAATGCATTGACAGCACCATTATTTCCGCAAAATTGTTTTTTGGATAGCATTATTGTTCCTGATGGACTAAAGAGTGATTTTGACAGGTGCTTTGGAAGAATAGAAACGAACCATCAGATCAAGCTCCAATTTAGCTCGGTGAAATTCCAGAGTGGGAAGCCTCTGACGGAAGATTTTGAAGAGGTAAAGAAGTATTCGCCGTCGCCATTATCGGCGTTGAAAATTGTTCCTTCTGGCACTTTTCAGGTGCTCAACAACGGAGTGAAAAATGGCAGTTTTGTGAAGGGAAAACCGCCAAAAAAAGGCGGAGAGAGCATTATAAGCAATTGGAATATGGCACAAACTGCAAAAGAGATTCACAAAGATTCCGCTAGTTTGAAAGTGGGTCTCACTTACCACGATTACAAAACCAGTTTTGAACAGCGACAACGACTCAAATTGAAAACCCGCAGCCAGCTCCAAACCTGGATACCTACCCTGGTCGATGACTTTACCTTGTAATATCTATGTCTACTATGGAACTGGGTCCTCATAAATGTATCCAGTGGCTAATCAGAGTCCGATGCGGACCCCGACTCCTCATCTTGAGCCAACTGCTCCGCCTCCGTCACCTCCATCGAAATCGCATACTCGGCACCCTCCAACAAATTACGCAACTTCTGGTTATCCGTCACCAATTGTATGGGCTTCAAGCCATGACTATTCACTATGCGAGGATCAGCTCCAGCATCCAACAAGTTGTCGACCACAAAAGTTCCATGTTCCGGCTCGTCGGCACAGTACTTGACCGCCAAATGCAACGGGGTATCACCCTCTCGGTTCAAAGGATCCACTTCAACACCTTCAATGTCAAGTATGATATCTATCAGTTCCCAGTGGCCCATTCGACATGCTAAATGCAACGGCGAATTGTTCGTAATGGTTTCTTTTGTGGTATTGATCAAGTGTGCCAACTTTTGCGAGTCGTTGTTGAGTTCGGCTTTGATCTGGAGTAAAAGTTCGGTGTTGTTTCGACGTGCACATTCGAGGATCTGCTCGGAATACGAAGCCCCTTCTTCTTCCATAGCAATGTATGATTTGTGATGTGGATTCTAAATAGTAAGCACCAACGAAAAGCACCAAAAAAACTGAAAGTCCAAGGGAAATTGATGTACAAAGACTAGTACACTTGTTCAGATCACAGAATCAGTTGAGACTTTAAAGAGGTCACATCCGTGCACCCACAAATGATCCTGCAGAATGGCACTATTTCTATGTTGCATTTCCTCGACCAAAACGCCTTCTTTTTGCTTCAGAGAAACATGGCATACCGCCACACTACTAATCTTTCCACTCGATCACTTTCAGCTTATTTGGCCAACATTTTCCCCAAAATCACCATCCCTAATTCTCCTGAGGTAAGACACATCAGTGCACCAACTCTCAACTGCGCACTTTGCATCGATATCTCGATCTTGATAGCAAACGATCATGGTCAAGCCCATTATTGCCCCATCGATTCTTGCGTCTGATTTCGCCCATTTGGGGTGCAATTGTCATCGTATGTACGATAATGGAGCCGACTGGCTTCACATTGATGTAATGGATGGCCATTTTGTGCCCAACATTTCCATGGGTCCTCCAATTATCACCAGTTTAAGAAACGAGATTCCACGTAGCGATACAAAAGCAAGCTTTTTTGATTGTCACATGATGGTTTCGGAGCCGGAAAAGTGGGTTCCGGAAGTAGCAAAGGCTGGGGGTGACCAGTACACATTCCACTACGAATCGACAAACGATCCGGTAGCTTTGGTCAAGTTGATCAAGTCTCATGGCATGAAGGCAGCTTGTGCTGTGAAGCCCGGAACGCCTGTAGATGTGTTGTATCCATTGGCAGAGCAGTTGGACATGGCATTGGTGATGACTGTGGAACCTGGATTTGGAGGACAGAAATTTATGCCAGAGATGATGCCCAAAGTGGAAGCATTGAGGAAGAAGTTTCCTCAATTGAACATCCAGGTTGATGGTGGGTTGGGTAAGGACACTATTGGAGCAGCTGCTGATGCCGGAGCCAACGTTATTGTAGCTGGAACTGCGGTATTCAAGGCGAGCGATCCACTGGAAATGATTCAAATATTGAGAGATGCAGTGACAAAGAATTTGGAGGCCAGGGGACTCCTTGAGAAATAGCATGGGTTACTGTAGTGCATTAAGATTACGAATTTAATGGGACTGTAGAGTCTTTAGACATGTCTTTTTGGTCTTCTTCATTTCTCTTCTTCATTGAACTAAAATGCTTGTACTCCCAAAGTAGTACCTTCGCCCACGGCAGGTGCAAGCCCAGCACTGCTATCAGCCTTCTTGGCACGAATCAACTCCCACAATGAGTCCTTCACTCTTTGTATTTGTGTTTCTGTTGCAACCCCGTTATCCATGTCCATATCGGGCGCGGTTCCATTTCTCTGCTGAACATATTTTTGGTTTCTAGCAATCTTTTTGGCTCTTTTCTTCGAGAGCGTACGGTTGGTAACTACAGCGGTGTCAGGAGAGCTTCCAGTGTACAAAGCAATGGCTTTCGAATCTGTTGGACGAGGAGCGGTTTTTGTTTCTGTGTTGTATCTTGAGGTGGATGAGCGAGTAGCAACCACAGATTTGGATCTGGCGGCCCTTCTTTTGCCTAGAGACATAGCATGGCTCTTACTTTGGATCTTTTTGGACGGTTTGTTTATGGAGTTTCTAGATGGCATTGTGGATCAGAATAAAAATTTCGCAGTGCGATGCGAGATGAGGAGATGAGATGAGATAAGGAAATGAGTGAGGGAATGAAATGAAGAGGAAAGAAAAAAAAAGTATAACAGATGAAGGGAAGAGTATTTAATGGCTTTCTTCACACCCTGTCCTTGGACTGTCGACTTGAAAAAAATTGCAAAAAGAAATCTCCCGGGGGTGAGTCGAACACCCGATCTCAAGATTACTAGAAGTTACAGTCTCGCGCCTTAGCCAGCTTGGCCACCGAGAGGATTTCTGAGTGAGCTTTCGGGTTTGGGAACTATAAGGTGCAAGCAACATAAAAAAGAGCTCACAAAAGACCGATACTCACCTACTATCAAATCTTTAAATGAACACTTCCAATTGAACCAAGAACTACTTCCCTTCATTTTCTCGTTATCCTCTTATTGCCGCACAAGCGTACGGCATAGATAAGACTGGTGTCTGGATGTCGCAAACCACACCGTCGCGCCACACAACTACTCCTATCCTTTTCAACTATTCAATTGTCATGGAAAAACAATATTCTGAACCCTATGTGGTCCAGAGACCCAGGAAGAAGTTGTGGGCTCATGCCGTAGGAGCCGGATGCTTGTTGATGATGTATTTTTATGGAAACTGGTCTTTTGATTATTTCAACTTTGGACTCACGACTGCAAATGATTCTTTTGATTACAAAAGAACATTTTTGAATGCGTTGACCACCAATCTCGCAGGCAATTGGTCAGAGAAATACACGTCGGAGCCTCATTTGGCCGGAACCAACTATGGATTTGTTGATTGGACCAAGGATAAATTTGAAGAATATGGACTCAAAGCCACAGTGGACACCTACGATATTTACGTCAGTTACCCTCACGAGCACTCATTGAAGCTTTTGAGAGCTAAGGATGACAAATTGTTGTACGAAGCTCCATTAAAGGAAGACGAAATCAAAAAGGACAAGACTTCTGTGGGCGGTAAGGATGCTGGAGTTGTCCCCACATTTTTGGGTTATGCTGCCAACGGCAATGTCACTGCTGAGTACGTTTACGTAAACTACGGAACCAAGCAAGATTTTGAAACTTTGGAGAAATTGGGTGTTAGCGTCGCTGGTAAAATTGCCGTTGCTAGATATGGCTCGATTTTCCGTGGACTCAAGGTCAAGTTTGCTCAGGATGCTGGTGCTGTAGGAGTGTTGTTATACACCGATCCAGGAGATGATGCTGGAATCACTCCTGCAAACGGTTACAAGCAATATCCAGAGGGCCCTGCTAGGCATGAGAGTTCGGTTCAACGTGGAAGTGTCCAGTTTTTAGGTGCCCCAGGTGCCACTCCAGGTGACCCTACCACTCCAGGATATGCTTCAGTACCTGGAGCTGAACGTAAAGACCCCCACAACTCTATTGGCAAGATTCCAGTTCTTCCCATTTCTTACCGTGAAGTTACTCCAATTTTGAAGCTGTTGAACGGCCACGGGGAAAAGGCTCCTAAGGAGTGGAAGGGAGAACTTGAGGGATTCGACTACTACACTGGTCCAAACAAGAATGTAACCTTGAACTTGTACAATGATCAAGTTTTCAAGGTGCAACCTTTGCACAATGTGTACGGAGAAATCGAAGGAGAGAAAAAAGACGAGGTAATTATTATTGGTAACCACCGTGATGCCTGGATTAAGGGCGGAGCAGGAGATCCTAACTCTGGTAGTGCCGTTCTTATTGAACTTGCCAGAGCTTTTGGTCAATTGAAGGCTGCTGGATTCAAGTTCAAGCGTACGATTGTGTTGCAAAGTTACGATGGAGAGGAATACGGACTTCTTGGCTCTACCGAGTATGGAGAGAACTACGCCCACGATTTGACACGTAAGGTGGTCTCTTACATCAACTTGGATTCTGCTGTGACGGGCAAGAATTTGCACTTGGGAGCCTCGCCTGTTCTCAATCAGGTATTACGTAGTGTTGCAAAGGAACTTGATTACCCTGAAAAGAAGGTTGGCTCATTATACGACCACTTTGTCGATGTTAGTGGAGACAAGATCCACACTCTTGGTTCAGGATCTGACTACACTGTATTCTTGGAGCACCTTGGAATCCCATCTGTTGACTTGGGATTCGGCGCTGGCAAGGGAGACGCGGTGTACCAGTATCACTCGAACTACGATTCTTACTACTGGATGACACACTTTGGTGATCCTGGATTCGTGTACCACAACTTGGCTGCGAAGTACGTGGGATTGTTGGCTTTGCAATTGTCCGAACATGAAATTATTGATTTCGGAACCAATGATTATGCCAACGCTTTAGTTGACTATTTCAGTGTCACTGAGAAATTGATTCCAAAGAAATGGTTGAAGGAAGAAGTTTCAAAGGGTGAAGGGTGGAATGAGTTTTTGCGGTGGGACATGGCTGACCTTGGTGCCAGCAAGGAACTTGCCACTGCTTACTCGCCACGAAACCTTTATCCATTCCCCGAATTATTTGGAGCAAAGCAATGTAAGCACAACAGACTCCATCAAATGATTGACTTGGCTCACCACAAGGAATTGAAATTGGAAGACATCGTCAAGCTTACCAAGACTGATCTCGAGAGATTGCAGAATGCAACCCAAATTCTCGATTCCGAAAGTCATGAAATCCAAGTCAAATTCGACAATCGTGATGCACTCAATTTCTGGCAACGGATCAAGCTTCATTTCCAGATCAAGCATCACAATGCGTTGTTGCAATACTTCGAAAGAAACTTCTTACACCACAAGGGGTTACACGAGAGGTCGTGGTTTAAGCATATTGTATTTGCTAGTGGACGTTACACTGGGTATGCGGGTCAAGATTTGCCGGGATTACGTGAAGCACTTGAAGACGAGGACTTTGACCGTTTTGTACACTGGTTAGGAATCTTTTCCAAGGCACTCAGAAGAGTGTCTGCACACGTAGGTTGATGGAAGGAATATATGCTGATTGATTTTGAAGATGGTAGGTCAAGTAGAATCGCTTATATGGATCGCTAAAACGTTTGCTCGGACGTGCATCGTACCGCTCAACGTCGCAGAGTATGCACGTTGGGATGCGGCTCATGCAAGATATTAGCCCAATTTGGCAAAGTAATTGAACAATTAAAAAGGACAATGGAAACAATGATTTCGGTATACAATCGCAGGCCACCCCGGTTTGGAAGCCGTTGGGGCATGTGGCACTGTGGCGAACCATCCAAAGTTTAGCAAAGTCACTTCAAGACCAAAGAAAAAACTCCGGTCTTCGAAACAGTGCGGCGCGAGCGGCTGTGAAAATGTGGTAGTTTTGGTGCTTCACATCTATAAAAACCATCCCCTAAGCCAACACACTCGGCGATTAAAAGTATCAACTGCATGCGTGGGTATGTACTATGGTTGGCGAAAGCTGGCTAAACCAAAAGGGTAAAAACTCCTATAGAACAATGCAGGGTCAACAAGTGCGAAAATAATTAGCAGCGGCTCCCAACCGGTGCATAATGGAAACTATTGATCGATGGCGGTGTCTGGAGAATGCATATCATGTAAACGTACTAACAATAGCGACCGACGCTCGTGATAAGAAAACCAGGGTGAACATTTTCCTAATTTTATTGACTTCGGGATCATAAGGCGATTATTTTTTAACGATTAAACTACTACAAAAACTTCGAGTATCCAAATTCCAACTACTATGTATACTCCTGAACCGGCGCGTCTGCGGTCGTCGCTTCTTCGTCGTTTGAGTAGCTCAGTTTCCGGCTTGACCAAAAAACACCAAACGATAAAACCTGGTACTTCCTCAGGAAAACTGCCCATGTTCATCACGGCGATTTCTCCCGCTAATCTGAACGGGAGCCAGACGGAAAAGGAAGAGATCAAAGATTCGACGACTCCTAGATTCACGGGACATCTTCGTACTCCTCCATCTTCTGTGAAGAAAAGAGACTCGAGATCTCCAACCCAGTTGAAGTCTTATAGTCAAGACCAAATTTGTGCAATTTGTGAAGAGCCATTGGCATCGAGTTTGCGAGGTGAAAAGGAAATCTTGCTTGCGTGCAACCATCCTTGCCATAAAATATGTATGCTGGTGATATTATCTCTGGGAAATCGACTTTCCAGTAGTCTTCCTGATTTTTTGGATCCTTCGGTCGCATGTTGCAAAGAGTGTGGAGCACCTGCTCGTTGTGCTGATGCCAATGAAACGTCGCAGATGCTCGAGGAGATTGCTGTGAAGGGTATGATGTCGCCAGTGGAAGGAAAAATCCCATTTACCCCAGATGGTCAGATGATACCTGATCCAGTGGTTCATCCACCGGTTTCTGTCAGACCCACCTCTGAAATTCACATGAAAAAGTCCAGTGCGGTTTCGCCAGTAGTGGACTTTGAAGATGTCACTACACCGCAAATAACAAGTTTCGCCGACACAGATACGGTTGTTTTAGGTGAAATTCACAAAAAGGACATCGAGATCAATTTTAAGATAAAAGCTCCCAAAACCCACTCGGTTGCAAATGTTGCACAGGACCACCTACAAAAGAAGGAAGTGATGGCAGAAATCATTTCCAAGTTGACAAACTTGAAAAACTTTGACCAGGTTGCTACAAACTTGAGCACACTTATTTTGTTTGATTTTTTGAACATTAGTGTCACCGGTAGCGAGTGGGACACTCTTTGTTGCTTTCTCTTTGACGATCGGTTATTACTTGTGGATTTCTCCAAAAACGAAATAGTGGGCCAACTACTGATCCACGATGATGTGGCTAGCATTAACAAGCGTGAAAATGGTATTACTCTCAATCTCACCCAGCAAGGGTTCCCCGAGTTGCAAATGTGCCATTCGCACCCATTGATATGCTTAAAGTGGTACACTTATTTTTGCCGGGTTCTTGCCCTGGTATCCACATCTATCGTTCCCAGCGTTCCCTTTAACCAGCTCACCACCAATGGCTGGTACGTCCTCGAAGACTCGTTTTCTTTGATTCCTGAAAATGCCATTAAAGTTAGAACCGCTACCGAGCATGATTGCCAATTGACAGAGAATTTGCTTTTGGAAGCGCTTCCTCGGCCAGAAAACTTGCCCATAAACCTCGTATTGACGATTCCTTTGGTCAACACCTCAGCCATGGATAACCAAACCTATAGAACAACCCTCATGAAACTTGTGTTCAATGTCAAATCTCGTCTTCGTGCTTTTGACAAATTGGCACTCATTTTCATCGGCATCGATGCCAGCGGCCGGGCTTGTCGTAAGGGATCTTTTATAGGCTGTGCCGAGCCAAAGTGGGACGGCTGGAATGCGGTGATTGAAGGCATTGAAGTCAGCAATAATGAGGATATCAATGGTGCTGCTGTTTTTGACAATGAGTTCCAGGAACTTCAAATTGCATTTGAAAAGTGCCGTGATTTGTTCCCATTCATTCCTAGTTCTCCTTCCAATATTAATCGTCTTTTGGTTATTCATACCAATCGCTATGGTCATATTGGCTGTGATGATGATTGCCTTGAAAGTCTTTCAAGATCTTTGGCTTCAATTCTTGATTCCTCCACACTCTCCATAGATTTTGTTAGTGTGGGTGATACCATTAGCCCAGACTTGCAAATGGTGCATGATCTAGTAAGGTCTCCATTCCAAGGACATATGCTTGATTCCGTGCAGCTTCGGTCGGGTTCAGTTCTTCAACATTATTCTACATTTGAAAATTTGGTCACTGAGTTACCACACTTTGCTCAACAGCGTTATCTGTCGGTTTGCATTCCTACACTCACACTTGAGTTTCAAAAAATTTTCGCAACCAATAAGCTGGTTAGTTTTAAAAGTATCGACATCAATGGTACAAAATGCGACATTCACGATGGAATTGCCCATATGAATATCATGCTAGATAACCTCTCCAGCGATTTCGACTATTCAATTTCACTTCATGTGGAACTTGATTTGCATACTTTAGATCCCAATGTGTGTGAGAGCATTACCGATAACCTGAAATTGGCCGGCTTATTCACCTATAAATCGACCTGGAGAGGTGAGAGAAGCAAGACTACAAACTACGAAATGAAAATTGTTCTGCTGAATGAGTTTTCGTTCTTTGAAGATGCAAAATCCATGTTCTCAGAAAACAGCCTTGAGATGCTAGCAGAAACTAAAAACCCATACTATTTCGATGGTCCATTGCTTTCGGCCGTGCCTCTCACTCTGGATCTTGGGTTTTTCAAATAGACATTAAGTTTAGCAGGCTAAAGCTTAGTTACGTATACCGCTGAAATATAGGTTTTTCATCTGTTTGTCTTTTTCCTAATTGGGAATAGTAATTGATCTGTCAAAACATAGATGGCTGGTGCATGAAAACTAGGGAAGTTCTCGTGACTGAATTTCAGGATCCGGTCTTGGAACTGGGTATAAATCCATCGAGCTGCACTCGAAGTTTCCAACATAATGTCTGTTCTCCCTCATCGCTTCGGAGCCGCACACATTGCAGCATTTGCATCCACTGTTAGCATCGCCATTGCATTAGATACGGGATCATTGGACCAAGACGCGGGTTCAGGTGGTTCGAATAACGACTCTAATGATGAAAAGGGGGACAAAAATACTGCAAACGAAGAAAAAACTCCGGCTGCAAACACAGCCAATACAGATACCCAGGCTGCTACCAAGAACACAGCTGTAACGGACACCAAGAAAAACACTGCCACGGCCACTCAAAACACATGGTGGACTCCGACTACAGCCACTGAGACTGCCACAACCAAAGCAACTGCCACAGAAAAGACCACGGGAACTGGAACCACTGGAACTGGAACCACAAAAGACACTGCTACTACTGGAACTGCCACAGAAAAAACCATTGGAACTGGAACTGAAACCGGAGTCACCTATAACCAATGGGGCTTTACAGGTTCCCAGAGATCATGGGAACCAACCACCGCTTCAACACAGTCGGGGTCTTCAAGCTCGGGTTCAGATTCTTCGAGCAAGTCTCATTCAGCCAAAGAAAAGTCGAGTGCTCGTCGGTTGGTTTCACCTCTTGAAGACAAGGAACTCAGTGTCAAAACCAAATTGCTTGTAACTGGCTTCATTGGTATCACTGCCATATTGCATATTTTATAGGAATACACCTTTTAAAACGTACTGTTCAATTGACCCATTAATGTGCGCTCGTATTTGGCTGAAATTTCATGGAGACGTAGTAACACTCCGGCACCAAGACTCTTGACTTTTTCGTCGATGATTTTTTCCCATACAGCTGATGCCCACATCTCAATGGCTTGAAGTTCATTGGAAAAAGTCTCAATGAGATACTGGCTTTCAGACGTATCCAACACCAATAAAATACCAGTAAAAATGCTCTCTATCAACGGAATCTGGTCCAATTGCACTTCAGCAATTACTGTCACAATCACCAAAAGTAGTTCTCGAGTCATATCTCTAAAATCAGTAGCAACAGGGTATGCTGAGTGTAAGATCAAAGTTAATGTTCTCACATAGTGGGAGGTTAAAATAGGCGAATAGTGGCCGATGTCAATGCCGTCCACTTGGTGCCAAAGATTAATCAATGGAAAAAAGAACTTGGGTCCGATGAATTTGTGGAAATCAGTTTCTCTAGTCTTGATTATATGGGTTGAATTTGTCTTTTGAACTTTGCTGGACATTCTGAGAATCGTACCACCAACGATTTGGTCCTTCGCCTTTTCTGAACGTTCTCTCATGAGATCATTTTCTAGTGCTAAATGTGCCGAATTTAACCTTGAAACACTCACGTCGTCTGACCCAATTAGCTGTTTGTGCAATTTTGGTGGAAGTTTTTCTGAAACAAAATCTTTAGCAGTGTATGAGCTTTTTACGAATTCGTCCTCGATTCCAGCCAACTCTCGTGCCGCAAAAGATAGCGTTGAAAGAATGGTTACTCTTTGCTGTAACGAGTAGTCCCCACCAGCCAAAAGCTCCACAAGAATAGCACCCAGAGAAATGTCACTGCTGGCCACCGCTATCATACAATTGAGACGAGCTTGCTCAAAATTAGCATCTTCGTAGATATTAGTCATGGCAAGGAGACTAGTCAATAGTTTCTCAGTATAGATTCGAAGCTCGCTTCCGTGTCGCAGCTTTTGTCTGATAAGCGTTGGACCATGTTCAAAAGCCAGTTTTCTCTTCTCAAATGCTGCACTGTCATTGGTATCCACACTGATATAAGCTAGAAGATCTTTAATGTATAAGGGTTTTTGGATAGCCTTTTTGCGTACTGTGGGATCATCGTCGTCGGAACTATAGTCAGAGTCGTTATTATTCACAATTTGATCCACCTTCAAAGATGCAACATTTGTCTCTAACTTTTGAATTTCTTGGTCTGGAACTTCCACTGCTTGTGAAAACACATCCCAAGCTTCGTCCAAAGAGCTAAACTTTGGTTCAAGTGCAGAAAGTTGTTCGTCAACTACCAAATTTTTGAATATGGGCTCCTGGCCCGCTCCATTACAAAGCTCGTTTGTTAGTACCAAAGCAAGATTTTTCACAGCATCAGAGAAGGCACCGAGTCTAGTGGAAACCGCATTGATGAAAAGAGGATCCTTAAGTAGTTTTGCACATTCTTGGGGCTGATTCTTGAGCAGGAGTATGAGAAAGCTTGTGCGCATTTGCTGTAGAACAATCGATTCCAATTTTATCGCTGGCTCACTTCCCCATTTCTGAAGCTGAGATTGGGTCACAGCTCTTGTATTTTGTTCAGATTCAAGCGATAATCTGTAAGTTGCAAGCCTGTACAAATTTGTGTTCATAGTTTCGACAATGTTCTCCACAAGCACCACATCGAGATCATTATGAGGAAAAGTACCAAGTATATATGCCAAAGCTTCTAGTTTGGTATCTGTGCCTAAAATACTGGGGAGAAACTCGCACCAGAATCGTTCAAGAAGACGTTTTCTTTGAAATGATTTCAGTTCCTTGAGTATGCTGATGAAAAGATGCAAATTTTCCGAGCGGAAAAGCAAGTTGAACATATGTCCACTGAACTTGGGGTGAAATGAAAATGCAGAATGAATAAACGGGATGGCCTGGCTAACACTTGTTTGCAAAGTATCGTGGATTTGGGGTGCCAAAAATGCACAGTATGAATCAATCGAAGAAAATATCGTACTTTCAACGTAATGCAGATCGAGTTCGGCCGTGGCCAAGTAGATTTTTCCTTTGAAAAAGTACCGTTCTATTTCGGCTATTTCTGACCGAGACGAAGCAGAACTCATGAGAATCGTAACAACTTTGTCTCGACAGATTCGCACTAGTATATCAATGAACGACTGCAACAAAGTGTACTCTTTAGATTTGTTTGCCATGTTTATTCGAGCAAGAAGGTTGCCCAAGCCTATAATTGACGTGCAACAAGCAGCTATGGAGCCTTTAAGCTGTGGAATTTGCCAATACACTTCCGGAACCGTAGTTGATAAGAGCACCAGAACCAATGCTAATGTTTCATTTCTTGTGGATGGGGGGTCCTTGACCAACTTTTTAAGAATATGATGCAATTCCTGCTCGTCTGGTTTGCTTCTGAGTGTCTCAATGAGTGTATCAAACGACTCTTGCGTCCCCATCTAAAGTATGAAGAATGATGAACTTGTCTGAATCGGGGCTGTCTGCAGGCACGATGAGGCTGGTGGACGGGCGCGACTTCGTGTTTCGATTAAAGAGTCACTTATCTAGAAACACGAGTAGTTGATCTGGAGGGTTTGTAATGAAATAGATGTATTGCATAACCAAGAATAGCATATCGTTGAAAGCTAGCCCAAAGAACCGTCTCTTTCCATTTTCAAAAACTACTTTGAAACCTTCATTTCACCGATTTGAATCGACTTTGAAACGCCCAAAAAGTCCACTTGAACCACTCCAGCCACTCCAGACTGTTCCACACCCCCCAAAATACCATTCTCCAATGTCAAATCCCCAAAAACTTCTCGCCGACTACTTCGACACCACCAACTTCCAATTTGCCGGAGACGTCAAAAACCAGGTGGCGTCTCTCAAACGGTGGATGGAGCTTGTATATCTACGCGACAGGCCGCTCGTGGCGGTAGACATCGAAGCGTTTGAAAGAAATAGCAACTTGGTCACCGAGGTGGGCTTTGCCATTTATGACCCGAAGGAACAGGGTGCAACTTTGTTGCCCAGTATCCGAACTGTGCACTTGATAATCAAGGAACACGCCAATAAAAAGAACGGGCGGTTTGTGCCCGACAACTCCCATCGGTGTCTCTTGGGCAAATCTCATATTGTGGACTTACGACAGTGCTCGGCATTCATCTCGGAAGTTTTCCGCCATTACTTTGAAGAAGATCAAGGTGTGCTTGTGGGACATGGAATTAAAGGCGATATCAAGTGGCTCAAGACTTTGGTGGGAAATGTCCCCGAGACATGTCCTATAGTGGATACTACTTTGATCCACAAACTTTCCAGAAAGGGTAATGGCAGTCTTGAAGGTATACTACGCCAAGTTGAAATTCCCTGTGGCCGCCTCCACAATGCTGCTAATGATGCTTTCTACACTCTACAGGCTGTGATGGCTTGGTGTGACCCGTACTACCGCCGAAAATACAACCTTGATGTCTACGATTCCACGATAACGCTGGTGTCTAAGAATATTAGGCGACGCATGCAATTCGACGATGCTGCAGTTTTGGTGCACGAAGAAGACGGGATCCACCTCTACGAGAGATTATGGGGCTGTGTGCCAGAAGAAGGTGAGTCTGATGTAGAAATGTAGCTACAGTCTCACAAGTCTTGAAAATTTCGCATAGTCGCGAATAATTCATTCTTGATACTCAGACTCGTCTCACCAATTCCAATTAAAAAACTACCAATTACAAACTGCCAATTATCCAATTGAGTCATGCCGCCGTATGTACATCCCGGTACCTTTCCCATCACCACTAACCCAGAAAAATACGCAAGACCAAGGCACCAAAGCCGTTCACTTATACTCGTACAGCCAACACGATGAAATTTGGAGCCCATGTTGGTTCTTCTGGAGGTGTTTCAAAGTCGGTTTTGAATGCCATGGATATCGGGGCAAACAGTTTTGCACTTTTTTTGAGGTCTCCTCGGCAATGGGCGGCTCCACCATTAAGCTCGGAAGAAGCCGAAAAGTTTAAAGCACTCTGTAGCCAACATGGCTACGACCCTGCTCGCGATGTACTTCCCCATGGGTCGTATATGATAAATATGGCCAATCCAGACGACGAAAAGGCGGAAAAGTCGTTTGGGTTGTTTCTCGACGATCTTCAACGATGTGAAAAATTGGGCATAGGTCTCTACAATTTCCATCCTGGCTCGGTTATCGACGGAGAAAAGAGCGATGGCCTCGAAAAGTTGGCCAGCTACATCAACAGAGCCATAAAAGAAACATCAACGGTCAAAATAGTGATCGAGAACATGGCTGGCCATGGCAATCTCATCGGCTCAGATTTACAAGATATCAAGACAGTGATAGATTTTGTAACCGACAAGTCCAGAGTGGGTGTGTGTGTCGATACGTGTCACAGTTTCGCTGCTGGATATGATATATCCACCGAGCTGGGATATAAGGAATTCTGGGACAAGTTTGATAGTATAATTGGTCGTCAGTACCTCAGTGCTATCCATCTCAATGATTCTAAGGCTCCTCTCGCAGCAAATCGGGATCTTCACCAAAAGCTTGGTCTTGGCTACTTGGGATTGGATGTGTTTCGCTTCATAGCAAACGATCCAAAACTTGAAGGTCTTCCAATTGTTCTCGAAACTCCGGTGAAAGACGACGATACCGTTTATGGCGAAGAAATAAAGCTCTTGGAATGGCTACAGGGTCGCAAGGACGATGAGGAATACGCAGCAAAGAGAGAGGCACTTGCCAAACTCGGTGCATCGGAGCGGAAAGAACAAATGGAAAAGTTTGAAAAAAAGTCTCAGAAATCCAAGAAGACAGTAAAGACAAAAAGACAGGTAAAAATCGACGAGTCTCCAAATGGAACCCAAAAAAAGAGGAAAGTCACCACCGTCACCACAGCAATCAAGGACGAGTCCGAGACAACCACTAACCAATGAAACGTTTTGCAAAAGTACCCTTCTCTTGTAGTCTCTGCCTCTTCGATATTCTGTTCCTGCATACACCCACGTCAACAAAATCATTCGAAATCTCATCTGTCTGCGACTTTATGTTTGGCCTGACCACGTCTGGATTTGGCGGTTTCGGCGCAGCTTCGAACACCTCAACGTCCCCGTTCGCATCCTCGGCCACGAACAATGCACCAGCATCGAATACGTCGCCTTTTGGCCAGTCTAACCAAGCCAACCAGGGCGGTCTGATTTTTGGCCAATCTGGAGGTTTCGGTTCCAACGCCATTGGCGGCTCGGCGTTCGGCTCCAGCAACACTAACGCTCCCGCCACCGGCTCCTCTGTGTTCGGGACCAATAACAATGCATCTGGAAGTGTTTTCGGTCTGACCACAGCACCAACTACTTCGCCTTTCGGAAACACAACCCAGAACACAACTTCTGCTTTTGGTAACACCGGCTCTGGCTTCGGTGCCGCGCCAGCCTCGTCATCTGGTGGGTTGTTTGGAAGCTCTGCGACTGCAAATAAGCCAGGTTTTGGACTGGCTTTTGGTACTCCGAGCAACACAAACACCTCACCTTTCGGAGCCTCAACCGGCTTTGGAAGTGGAACAGACGGGAAGACCAATACCGGCTCGGGCAACCCTCCGTTTGCTCCTTACACCGATAAGGACAGCAACGGAACCAATAGGTACCATAATATCTCCATGATGCCTTCGTACCGCAATTTCTCTCCGGACGAAATCCGATTGAAAGATTACGAGCTCAACCGTCGATTCGGCAATACGCCTGTTGTACTGGGATTTGGTGGATCTACCAGCGGTTTTGGTGCTACCAACACCGGATCCGCATTTGGAGCTACTGGAGGAAGCACTTTTGGTGCCAGCTCAAATTCTCCATTTGGAAGTACCGCAAACAAATCTGCATTTGGCCAACCTTCCAACCTGACCTTTGGCAGCAACACGTCCACCTTTGGACAAAACAACGGTAGCGCATTTGGCCTGAATACAGGCGGCGGTTTTGGCTCCTCCACCAACACTGGAAGTGCCTTTGGAAGCACTAATACTGGTTCCGGTTTTGGAGCTACCAACTCTGCTTTTGGAGCAACACAGAACCAAAACCAACCTTTTGGAGCCACAACTAGCGCCTTTGGTGCTCCTTCCAACACCACATCGACTGGGGGCTTGTTTGGCTCGTCCACCAACAATAATACCAACGCTTCTCCCTTTGGTGGTTCTTCGGCGTTTGGTCAAAATAACACCAATAATGCGTCACCATTTGGCCAAAGCAACAACACAAGTGCTCCATTCGGACAATCTTCCACTTCAAATGTGTTTGGTTCAAATACCGGTGGGACAGGTTTTGGATCAAATTCTGGTAGCACTTTCGGCTCGTCTGGCTCTGCTTTCGGCGGTGCCAATAACAATACTGGTGGTGGTCTTTTTGGTCAGAATAACCAGAATACCAATACTGCCGCTTCTGGTGGATTGTTCGGCCAATCCAACACTAATACGGCCTCTAATCCTTTCGGTTCCAAGCCAGGCGGCCTATTCGGTCAAAATAATCAAACAAACCAGAACACCGGCTCTACTTTTGGCTCTGGTACTTCCGGGTTTGGTCAAAATAGTACTACTGGAGGAGGATTATTTGGCAGCAAACCTGCTCAAACAGGCGGACTTTTTGGAAATAACAATCAGAACAATACCGCCAATAATTCCAGTCCATTCGGAGCAACGAATGCATTTGGTGCCAACCAGAACCAAAACCAAAACCAAAATCAAAATCAAACCACCACCGGTGGACTTTTTGGTAGCAAACCTGCCACTGGAGGTCTCTTTGGGGGCCAAAGCACCACGAACAATACCGGTTTTGGTAACAACCAATCCACAAATACTAGTGGTGGACTTTTTGGAAATAAGCCTGCGACAACAGGAGGGGGTCTATTTGGAGGTGGAAACAATACCACCAGTGGAGGAGGATTGTTTGGTGGAAGCTCCAACACTGGTTCTACTGGTGTAGGTGGGAGCACTTCCGGAGGTTTGTTCGGTGGCTCTGGTAACACCAATACTACTGGAGGACTCTTTGGAAGCAAACCAGCTCAGTCCGGATCAACGTTTGGGGGAAGTAACACTGGAAGTGGAAACACTTCTTTTGGCACAGGAGGCGGACTCTTTGGGCAAAACCAACAACAGTCTCAGCAGCCTCAGCAACAGCAGCAACAATCCCAGCAATCTCTCCTTAGTGCTCAGAATCCTTATGGTCAAAACCCACTCTTTCTGAGCATTTCCGTCCCAGCACCTGGTGCTAATGGACCCAGTGGTCCTCTAGCCGTTCCTGTGAAATCAGCGGCACCTAAAAAGCCTGTCAACTTGGGCAATGCTCATCGCTTGGCACCTTTGTTCCGGATGTCTGTTCTTCCACGAAAGGCAGAAGTTGAAGCAGAACAAACAAGAGCAACTGAAAAAACACAGAATGGTCTTTTTGGTGTGGACACTGACGTAGCTATTTCGTCATCTTCGATTTTCCGTCCTCAAACATCTGTACGCAAATTGATCGTGGACAAGGCGCAAGAAGCCGGCAAGAAACTGCCTGCGTTAATACAAGTTGCTGTGGGTGAACGAGAACCACCCAAGCAGGTTTCCATGGTGCTTGACTCGGGTAGAAAAGATGAAGAAGAAATCAATGGCACTTCGTCACCAAAACTCATTGAAAGTGAAGTTGTTAATGGAAGTCAACCTGATACAGTAAAGGATGAGATTGACGAAAACGGATACTGGACGTCACCTTCGATTCTGGAGCTCAAGAGAAAGCCATTGGCAAGTCTTCGGTCAATAGAACACTTTAAGGTGGGCAGAAAGAATTACGGTCATATCGAGTTCTTGCAACCGGTGGATTTGTCACTGATAGTGAACCTCGAAGACATAGCTGGAAATTTGATCATTTTCGATTCGAAGTCGTGTGTGGTTTATCCAGACGACGACAAGCCCAAAGAGGGTGAAGGGTTCAATTTGCCCGCCATAATCACCCTCAATGGATGCTATCCTGTCAATAAAGCGGATAAGCTTCCTATTTTGGACCCCAAGAGCGAAGTCGTTAAAAAGCATATTGACAAGTTGAAGCTGTTGCCCGAGATGGAGTTTCAACTGTACGAGCCTCAATCTGGAGACTGGACGTTCAAGGTTACTTCTATGTAGAATTACGAATATGGCTACTAGGGCTGTATATATAAATGAGGTTTATTTCTATCACTGAAAAATCGCACCGCGACCGCGTATTCTTCATGGGTGTTAAAGGTAAGTAGCCACAAGTGTGATATGAAACCATGCTAACCCAGGATTGAACCAGCTCATCAAGGAGCACGCTCCCGAAGCTTTCAGGGAGTTTCAGCTCAAGAATTTGTTTGGCCGAAAAGTTGCAATCGATGCTTCTATGTGTCTCTATCAATATCTCATTGCAGTCAGGCAAAGTGATGGACAGCAATTGACATCAGAAGATGGAGAAACAACGTCACATTTGCTGGGAATGTTCTACAGAACGATCAGGCTTGTGGAAAATGGAATAAAACCAATGTATGTTTTCGATGGAAAGCCTCCGGTGTTGAAAGGTGGAGAATTGGAAAAACGAATGATCCGGAAAAAAGAAGCTTTGAAGCAGCAGGAAGACATAAAGGACACTGCCACGGTAGAGGAGATGGTGCGGTACGAGAAGCGGTCGGTGAGAGTCACAAAAGAGCAAAATAACGAAGCCAAGAAACTCTTGGAATTGATGGGAATACCCTATGTGGATGCGCCGTGTGAAGCTGAGGCCCAATGTGCCGAGTTGGCTGTTGCTGGCAAGGTATTTGCTGCTGCCTCGGAAGATATGGATACGTTGTGCTATAGTCCGCCATATCTTCTTCGTCATTTGACATTTGCTGAGGCTCGCAAAATGCCCATCGATCAAATCGACTATAAAAAGGCAATGGAGGGCCTTGAAATGGACAAACAGACATTCATTGACCTATGTATTCTTCTTGGATGTGATTACTGTGAAACCATTAAGGGAGTGGGGCCTGTTACTGCGTTTAAACTCATCAAGGAACATGGCTCTTTGGACAATATTGTCAAGTGGATAGAAGAAAACCCCGACAGCACCAAATTTAAAGTTCCAGAAAACTGGCCCTACGCAGAAGCTCGCGAGCTTTTTTTGAACCCAGACGTGAGTCCTGGAAAGGAAATCAACTTAAAATGGCAGGAGCCCAAAGTAGACGAATTGGTGGAATTTATGGTTAAACAAAAAGGGTTTAGCGAGGACCGTGTACGGAGTGGAGCCGAAAAACTCAAGAAAGGATTGAAAGGAGGGGTCCAAGGACGCTTGGATGGGTTTTTTTCTGTCGTTAAGACCGAAAAACGAAAGCCTGAGCAAGATAAAAAGACAAAGGGAAGCAAGAAAGCAAAGAAAAAGTAGTTTCTTGAAAAGAATAGGTAGAGGGGCCAATTAAGAAACTAATTTACGTAATGCTCGATACCTGTGTATATTCTAATCTCTCAGAGGCTTCTTCTTCTCTGCCTCAGCTGCCTTCTCTTCCTCGATTTCGTCGACATATTTCTTGATTTCATCAACCGTCATCAGATGAATTTGATCGTTGGCCTTCAACACGGCCACCTCGATGTTCTTGGCGCCAGTCTGAACCACTTCTAACAATGACTTGATAGTCAACTTGATGGTTTGTTCATCGTTCATATCTTCCTCGTAATTTTTCTCCAAAAACTCCCTCACTGTTTTCGACGACCGGCCTATGGCATGAGCCTTCCACGAGTTATACACTCCCGAAGGTTCTGTTTGGTACAAACGAGGAACGGTGTCGTTTGCGTCGAATCCTGCAATGAGGGTGGCAATTCCAAACGGACGAACTCCACCAGATTGGGTATATTTTTGTTGCACTCCAGCGACGTACTTGGTCAAGTATTCGATGGTGACGGCATCTTCCAACGTGAGTCTGTGCGACTGAGCCTCCACTCTCGCCTTGTCTACAAGGATACGGGCATCGGCGTTCAAACCGGCGAACGCCAACAATGCGTGATTATCCACTTTGCAAATCTTGGACGGTGTGATTCTGGGGTCTTGAAGCTTGAGCGTGGTCCTTTTTTCACAGCCCAAAATAACACAATCTTTTCCCTTGACGCCTACCGCGCAAGTTCCTCGCTTGACGGCTTCTGAAGCGTATTCAACCTCTGCAGTTAGTAATTGAACAAGAAAGACAAATAAGTGGAACTTCAATTGTACGCCAACAAAATGTGGAAGATAACTCAAAAGTAGTCTGCTTTCATATATGTGGCATATAGTTCCTTTGAAAGGATCCAAGCGCCAATTTTTGGCCATTTTTAATACTTACGAAACACATGTCCATCAGGTCTGAGTTAGTAACCATGATTCAAAATACAAGAAAAAGTTCATTTGTTGGCATTTCTATCTTTCAGATTCAGCACAAGTCCCAATACTTACGAGAAAATCGATAATGCACTGTCGTAGCCACTCATATTGAACCGGGTATAATGGTGGCAAGCGGTAGCTGGTGGTGATAATCGAGTGTGAAGCCGCGACGATTTGGGTGCCCGGCTACATGCAGTCTCGGACCATCGCAGATTGGAAACTGAGTAGTGGATGCGAAAGCATCAATGATAAAGCTGGATGTTGGAGAGAAAGATATAGTTAGCTCAAAAGATATAATTCGCTCAGAAGTGAGTCTGGAGACTGTTGTTGGTGCTAAAACACAAAATAAACTGAAGAAAAATGGAAAGAATAACAGCAATAAAAAGAAGCGAAATCCTTCGAATACTCGACCGGCCACTGACAATCAAGCTCGAATTTCCTTTTTGACTTCCAGGCAGCCAATACTCTCCTCCTAACAAAATATGACGAATTGTCTCGAAATATGGGCCCGAAATGCAGACTTGGTGTCCAAGAAATCTGTCACTAAACTCACACCTTCGTTGAAAAGAAGTATTTGTAGAGACTGTAATACCTGCTTAATACCCGGATTGAGTCAAAAGACATATATAACCAATGATTCGGTTGCCAAATCGCCTCACAATGATGTGTTGGTTCATGAATGTTGCAATTGTGGGACAAAAAAGCGGTTTCCTATCGGTCGAGATTTGGGGTATACAGAATTTGCAGCTAGGGCATAAGAGAAAGGATGATAAGAAACAAAAGTAATAGAGACGACATAGACGATGTGTGATACAGTGTGACATATACCATGAGTGAATACAAGACATTAACCTTTAGATACATACAACCTACTATATAGTCTTCATGATCTTTCCTTGGGTCCCAACATCTTCTCTGGTCTCACCCACTCCTCAAACTCTTCAGAAGTAAGCATGTTAAGCTCTAGGCACAGTTCCTTCAACGTAAGGCCCTTTTTGTGAGCATTCTTGGCGACCTTGGAAGCGTTGTCGTAGCCGATTTGGGGGTTCAAAGCCGTTACAAGCATCAACGATTCGTTCAAAACCTTGGCAATCTTTTCCTCATTAGCAACTATTCCATCCACACAGTTGATCTTGAAAGAGCGACAACCATCGCCAAGAAGTCTGATGGACGAAAGAACATTGCTAGCCATAACTGGCTTGAACACGTTCAACTCAAATTGTCCGGAAGCTCCTGCAAACGTCACCGTGGTGTGGTTACCCATAACCTGAGCACACACCATGGTCATAGCCTCACATTGAGTGGGGTTGACTTTTCCTGGCATAATTGACGAACCAGGGTTCATTTTCTGGAAGCGACAATTCTCCATATCCACAACGAGGACCAGACCCAAGGTACCTGATGTCATTGGCAATCTTGAAAAGAGATGTAGCCAAAGTGTTGAGTGCACCAGAAGCCTCTACCAAAGCATCGTGAGCAGCCAATGCTTCAAACTTGTTGGGAGCGGTTTGGAAATTGAACCCTGTAATTTTTGCAATTTCGCTAGCAACCATAGTATCGAATCCCTTGGTGGTGTTGAGTCCAGTACCAACGGCGGTTCCTCCTTGAGCGAGATACAACAAACGAGGAAAACATTGCTCTACTCGATCGAGTCCATAGGTCAATTGCTGAACGTAGCCGGAGAATTCTTGGCCCAAAGTCAACGGGGTGGCATCTTGCAAGTGGGTTCTACCGATTTTGATGATTTTGGCGAACTCATCTGCCTTTTTCTGGAAACTATCACGAAGATTGCGCAAGTTGGGCAACAATCTCTTGTGGATTTCAGAAACTATAGCGATGTGCATAACCGTGGGGAAGGTATCATTGGACGACTGGGACATATTACAGTGATCATTGGGATGAACGGGAGACTTGGAACCCATTTTCCCGCCCAAAATTTCAATGGCTCGGTTCGAAATCACCTCATTGGCATTCATGTTCGACTGAGTTCCCGAACCAGTTTGGAAAACCACCAATGGAAAATGGTCGTTCAAGCGTCCTTCGGCTACTTCCTGAGCAGCCTGTCTGATCGCACCAGCCAACTTGGGATCCAACAACCCCAATTGCTCATTGACAGAAGCCGCAGCACCCTTCAAAACTCCGAAACTCCGGATTATAGGATCGGGCATTTTGGTGTCACCAATGTCGAAATTCTGGAGCGACCGCTGGCTTTGTGCTCCCCAGTACTTGTCACTTTGCACGGCGATTTCGCCAAAGGCATCGGTTTCGATTCTGCTCATCAAGTTGGTTCGGAGAAATCGACGGAAAATTGGGGTAGAAAAGCTTTGGGTGCGCCCGGGCCCGGGCACGAAGGACCCGGATGTAGAAGGTGTAATAGATGAGTACTGGGTAGATTGGGCATTGGTTCCGGCACTTTGCAACTGGATATTTGTGCAACACTGGGCATTTAGTCAACTGGAAATTAGTCAATTGGCTTTTTGCATTGGAACACTTTCTTGAAGTTGTATATGAGCTTTAGTTTTGGGGTTAATTTTTCACTTTCACAAGTACCTCGACTCCTCCTTTTGTCTCATCCGCCGGGCAGGCTGGACCCGGGCTCCGAGCCAGTTGTACCGGAACCCAATTTCGTGGGCCAAAATCTCACCAAAACCCAACATCATACCGTTGATGAAGGGCAAAATTATATTGATCGAAGCACGGCGAAAAATCGTCCAAAATCCCCCATTAGTATACGAGTCCAGAGCAGCGCGATCAGAGTCTATAAGCATCTCTGTGTGCACGATATCTTCATCGTTAACCACATCATCGGTCGACATTTGGCCTCGAAGAATGGCCAAATCGTTGAGCTGAGTGAGCTCATCCACTTCGGTTCCGTCTGAAAAAAATGCTTTTTCCGAGTCCTGAACATCACTGGAGCCCGGGACAGCGCTCAGGAAAGCTGGGTCGAAGTTGGGGAGTGTACTTTCTGCGTATTCCATAGGGTGAACTGATCGACTGCGAATGAATAAATCGCCAATTGAAATCAAAAATGGGCTGCGAAATGAAATCGACTGCGAAATAGTCGACTGCGAATAAATCGACTGCGAAAAAAATTGAAAGAAATCGAATTGATTATCGACCGACTGCAATACAAGAGCACAGAATATTCCATGGCATTGGCATATTTCCATTTTGCATACGAACTTTTCCTGTTTAACATTATTTACTTATCTCATTTTTTGAGGCCCACAGAAAGTCCCTTCTTCAATCTCTGCTCGGTCAATGCAGCAATAACTGCCGCTCCCACTCCAGAACCATCCACAGCGGCCGTGATGGTGATTGGGTCCTCCACAGAGTCGTCCCATTCGAAAATGTCACGCAAAGCACGAGCAGTTCTCTCTTTGAATCCAGGATACATGTTGTAGACAGAACCGTCAGCAGCACAGTGGCCGGTCTTGTAGCCTCTTTTTTTGCAAATGGCTGCAATTCCACACACAGACAACCTGGCGGAACGCTCACCAACCTTTTGGGCGATACGTGAAATAACAGCTCTTTCATTGAAGGTGGTGTCCAAGTTCAACACTTCCTTGAACAATGCCTCCACCTCAGTGAGACTCTCATAAGGATCTTCTTCAATTCTCGCAGGGAACGAAGTGTCCATGATAAACTCTTCTTTCAATTTGGAGAGATCCTGGCCTTGGAAAATCAACTTTTTCTCCTCCGCCAAGTCAAGCAAAATGAGTCGCAAAACCTCACCCAAGTAGTAGCCTGATATCATTTTTTCAAACGATTGTTGACCCGGTCTGGGCGATTGCTTGTCGATGAGAACGTCGTATTTGGTTCTTGGCAACACCACAAGCTCGTTGTCGAAAGCACCGTACTCACAGTTAATGGCCATAGGGCCGTCCTGAGCTACATCCGATTCCACCTTTCCTTCCAACTTGGGAATATCCTTGACTACATCGTAGTAGGCTCCGTTACAACCAGTTCCGAAAATCAACCCCATAATGGTTTCAGGATCAGTGTACATGGAAGCAACCAAAGTACCGGTGGTATCGTTGATCAAAGCAACGACATCGATTGGAACTCCAATATTCTTGATGGCATCTTGAAGCATTGGAACCACATCGTGGCCCTCTACTCCGTCGATATCAAACCCTTTGGTCCATCTTTGTAAAACACCAGTGTTAATAGAATATTGCGTGGCAGGGTAAGAGAACGTGAATCCCAATGGTAATGGTTCGGTACAGCCGTCATTGAATTCTTGTTCGACAAACTCTTTAAGACACTTGGCAATGAAACCAAACAACTCGTCGGCGGTGGAGGTTCTCATGTCCAGAGGCAAAGCATATTTGGACTGAATGGTTTGGAAAGAACGGTTTCCGTCCAATTTCACCAACACAACTCTCAAGTTGGTTCCTCCCAAATCGATGGCCAAGTAGTCACCCTTCTCCTTACCAGTAGGAAAGTCCATGACCCAACCAGGAATCATGGGAATGTTACCACCTTTCTTGGACAAACCCTTGTCCAATTCCGTTATAAAGTGGGCGGTAACTTTTTTCAAAACTTCGGGCAGCAATGTTAACATATCTTCGATGGCATGCAACTCTGTGGATAATTCCTGGGGAACATCCTTGAGAAGATTTGATCTTTCATGAGCATCGTGGCTAATAGTCATTTTGTGGAAATGGGGCACAAGTGGCTATTTATGTATTTTCCGCAAAAACGCCGATTTTCGAGAGCGGAGTTTTATCTCGGGGTTTTTTCCAGATCTCGGAAAAAAACCGTACGATGCAGGATCACGCGAGCGGATTGTTCCAGTAAGTCATGGACTTCAGGCCGACAACGGAGTGCCGTGGTTCAAGCAGGAATGAGACTTGGAGTTGCAACGCTTGGTTTCCAACTTTTGCGATGATACTGGAAACCAAAAGTCTCAAAGTGTTAGTGATTCTCGTTCAGTAAAGGTTTTTGGCGTTTCTCAAACCTCCGTTTACCCCTCCGTAATGCCCCGCATCCGTTGCTGTCTCCAGTTGGGGATTGCGTTATATTGTTGGAGACACCGGGCACTATTTAGTCGAGGTCGGCAGATTTCATGCATGCTGACATCATTCTGCAGGAAGAGTTTTTCCGGAATTCTTTTCTTTCGTTATTGCTCTGAAGTAACGCCATTAAAGTCCTCCATGGCCTCCCCCACTCTTTGTAGCTGTACCTTGATGTCGTGGACATAATTGTTCATTTCGTCAAAGTTTTCTTTCTTGTATAATACGTGCTGACGGTCCTGACCCTCGTTGTCAAAAAACGAGAAAAGACTTGAGTCAAGCTTGTCGGTGGTGTTAGGCTCAACCCTGAAGCGCTCCTGTTGTAGATTCAGATCAAAGTCCTGTGAAGCCATAATGTCGATCAATCTGTCCTGCAGTGTCTTCATGGCTTCCAATTCACTGTTGAATTTTTCGTTGAAAAACGAACCTCTTTCTCTTACGTCGCTCGCCATCTTCCGGACATCGTCCAACACGTCAATTTGGGTCCATAATTTGTCCAGATACGAAACACTGGGTTTGGCGCTGGGAATATGATCAAGCGTGCGCAAGCTCTGGTTGTCGAAAGTAGACGGCGGATTGTAGGCGGAGTCTGCGTTGGTGTTGGTTCGACTTATACGGGCCAAACTCGACCTGGAGCCCAGCCGGGAGTACTTGTGGGAAGGTGTTGTGGACTGGGGAACAGATAACTTTCGCATGATTGAAAGAATAATGAAGGTTTTGGATGTTTCGGAAAGTTTTGGATGACTTGAAGGTATGAAGCTGATGCTCTGGGTGCGGTGATGATTTGTAGCTGGTTTTCTCGGTTCCTTTGTTTACAAAAATTCGTGGTTTGATGGGTGTTCCTCTGGCCGCCAGATTGTTTATCAAGATATTTTCGCGATTCTCACAATTTTGAAATTTTGGCTTTCGCAGCTTCGCAGATTCATTCAATTCAGTTTCAGTTCTTCAAACCCAGCTTTAATATTCCTTCATGGCGTGGAAGAGACTCCTCTACCTCGCGCAGCCGTACCCAGACAACTACACAGATCCATGTTTTTTATCGCAAATTAAACGAAATACGACTGTTGCCAAGTACTCGTATTGGCACCTAGTAGACCATTTTTCGTTGATTGTGCTTCATTTGGCTACTGTTGTGCTAGTGGAGCTCACGTTCTTGGGCATATATGATCGTGGATGGGATCCAGTGGTGCCAATGGTCATTGCAGCGGCTGGTGTAGTTGTTGGAATGGTAGCATGGGATACAGTAACTGGTAAAAAAACGCCCCCCCTGACCAAAAACTCGCCAAAAATTAAGACTGACAAGTGGAACACGGTGCGGTCAGTTCTCGTGGTCATTCTTATTGTTCTCGTGCTTTCTCCAGTTTTAAAGTCGCTTACAAGATCAACGTCCTCAGACTCAATATGGGCACTTTCGCTCATTCTTTGTTTGTTCAATATGCTCTGCCATGATTACGCCATGGACCCTCATTTGGCAGCGTACCGACCCATTTTGTCCACAAACTTGTCGCTTCTGAACGCATTGGTTCTTGCTTCTAGATTGTCGTCGTCTCTACATGTTTTTTGTTTCGTTGTTTTTGCCGCTGTGGTCAACATTTTGGTTCCACTCTTTGACGTGGGGATCCGCAGAAGCAACCCAAACTCTCGTCTTCATCACATTGTGCTTTTCCTGTTTTATTTGGCGGTTTGTGTTGCAACCAATAATTTATTCGGACCAGGTTTGGTGTTAGTGTGGTTGATGACAATGGCTGGAATTGCATTGATGCTTCCCGCGTACTTCTTGTGGGTCCAGCAGTACAAAAACGAGCTCCAGGGACCTTGGGATCCCGCCAAACCGATCATTCGTAGACAAGATAGTTGACGGCTGCAAATTGATGGAGTAATGGGTGGTGTTTGGATGTCGGGACACCCATGCACCACGCGCTCATTTCAACTCAAACATTTCTGGTCGATACTCGAACATGGCCGAGGGTACGGAGAACGGAAGGCTGACGCAACCCAGTCAAAGCCCTGCACCGGGATTGAATCAAGGCGGTGCCAACGCAGCCCAGCTGCAGCTGCAGGCGTACTCGCAGCCAAGGGTGCCGCCACGGCCAAGCACGCAACTTTCGCAGGCCGACCTTAATAGGATTGTGCTTGAATATTTGAACAAAAAGGGGTATCACAAAACAGAATCGATGCTTCGTCTTGAAAGCTCCAATACGCCAACGCCGCCGGGCGAGCAGATGTCACCTGCGACCACCGCAATGGCGACTTCCGGGGGTAGTAGTACTGGTGGCGGGTCATTGATGGGAGCCAATTCCGGGACTGGTGCGGCAAATGCTGCAGGTGTCACAGGTTTGGATCCTGAAGTGTATTCTCGTGCATACAACATGCTTCTGCGGTGGGTTGATACTTCTTTGGACTTGTACAAGCCGGAACTTGCTCGTTTTTTGTATCCGTTGTTTGTGCATTGTTTTCTCGAGTTGGTAGCACGAGGACATCCGGCGCATGCCAAAGCATTTCTTGACAAATTTGGTGGAGATCATCAGCTTTTACATGGACTGGAAGTTTCCAAACTCGCAGGAATTTCATTACCGGAACATTTACGAGAGAACGAACTTGCAACCGCATACCGTACCCGCAGGTATCGGCTTGTGGTTTCCAAAACCAGTAAGAATTTGGTGCTTTACTTTCTACATGAAAATGATGCAGTTGGTGGGGGGCTTCTTGTGCGTATTATTAACCAATATTTAAGCATAGTGGTTGCTAGCACACGTCCCGACAAAACTAACAAACCGGGAGAAGCCGATCCAGACGAGGGTATTGCCGGGTATGTTACCAAGTCGGAAATTGACCGGTTTAATCAGCAAACGGTAAAATTGGGACCAATGCCGATGGATGCAGAGGTGGAAAAAGAAGTGGAAGCAGAGCTTAAGGAGGAGCAAGGTGAGAACGACACATCGCTAGTGGATGAATTCAAAAAGTTGACCGGAATTACAGAAGATTCACCGGCCAAGGAAATCCCGCTTCCGTTAGCAGATGCAGCCGAGATTCGACGCCAGATCCTCTCGGTGAAAGACTCGCGCGCCCGACTCCGGCTCGATACACCGCAAGCTGCTGCACCGTCGGTATGCATGTACACATTCCATAACACGCACAATGCAATGACGTGCGTTGATTTCAACGACGATAGCACCATTGCTGCGGCCGGGTTTGAAGATTCCACCGTCAAGCTTTGGAGTCTCGATGGCACGCCGCTCAAATCTCAATCGAAGCGTGATCCGCATAATAACGACATTTCGCGGCGTCTTGTTGGCCATTCAGGGCCGGTGTACAACGTTGCATTTTCGCCCGATAATCACTACGTTGCGTCTGCATCCGAGGACAAGTCGGTTCGGTTATGGTCGCTCGATTCGTATACCGGGCTTGTGGCTTATAAGGGGCATACTGCGCCGGTATGGGACGTTGCATTTTCACCTTGGGGCCATTACTTTGCAACCGCATCGCACGATCAAACTGCGCGATTGTGGGGAACCGACCATATTTACGCACTTCGAATTTTCGCCGGCCACATCAACGACGTGGAATGCGTGCAATTTCACCCTAATAGTAACTACGTTTTTACCGGGCTGGCGGACAAAACGTGCCGCATGTGGGACGTGCAGAGTGGCAATTGCGTGCGTATATTCATGGGCCATACTGGTCCCGTCAACTGCATGGCAGTATCTCCGGATGGACGATGGTTGGCTTCTGCCGGGGAAGATTCGGTAGTGAATTTATGGGATTGCAATTCCGGTCGCCGCATTAAGGCCATGCGTGGTCACGGGCGCAATTCGATTTACTCGCTTGCATGGTCGCGCGAGGGAAATGTGGTGGTAAGCAGCGGCGCCGACAATACCGTAAGGGTGTGGGACGCCAAACGTGGCACATCCGACCATGCGCCGGAACCGGAACATTTAGATAAGGGAACCGGTGACCACATGACAGCGTATTTTACAAGGAAGACGCCGGTGTACCGCGTGCGGATGACACGCCGCAACCTCTGCATAGCAGGTGGCGCTTTCACGGACGCTAGCTAACGCAACAATCCGACCTACGGCGGGAACCTACAGGGCAACCTACAGCCGTGCAAACCATCTGAGTTGATCTCTTGGCAACGTGCCTGGTGCAGCATGCAGGTCCCGAGCCCATATAATGCACAATTTCTGCACGATTGCTATACAAGATTGCTGTTTGACGCCCGCAATTTCATCATTTACGGTGGCATTTCGCCACTGCTATTTATGGCTCCGGGCGCGTCCACATGGGCGTCGTGGCTGATGGGTTAAAAATAACCGCTAGGTGGGCTGGTGCATCGGTGCGAGATAGCATTGCAGCCACACTCTGAAACACACAATTCATGCCACCTTGTTCAATTAATGTTCATTTAAAATTGTTCATTGATTTATTCAATTAATCGTCCTTAAATTGCCTAACTTGTCAGTTCCTTCGTTCATCTGAATAATATCTACCGGTTCAGATCTCCTATTATTAGCTCCATCCACACACCAGTTCCGATGGCTTAGGCTTAACCCATCCCACATGGGCAATATGAGGAGACGTCTCAATGAATATAAGCCGCAACAAGGCTGAAAATGAAACAGACGGTTGCTGCTTTTGGGCGTGTTTAAAGTGGCTTGCACGACAATTTCGTGTTGAGGGTGGAACCGCCTAAATTTTGTCAGGGTATAAAATCCCCCGTGCTCCTCCAACAATTTTCATATTTCAATTGCTATGAAATCTTCTACTATCCTTGTTGTTCTCGCTGCTGCTGCTGGTGCTTTTGCTGCCAAGTCCGACTCTTCGTCTAAGGCTGCATCTTCTCACGCTGCTTCTTCTCACGCCGCTTCCGGTTCTGAAGCCGCTTCCGGCTCCATTACTTCTGCTGCTGCTTCCAAGGCTTCTTCTGCTGCTGCCGGTGCCAAATCCGACTCCAAGTCCGGTTCCGCTTCCAAGTCGGCCACCAAATCCGGTTCTTCTTCAAAGGCTGCTGCTGGTGCCGCTACCGCTGGTATGGGTGTATTGGGTGCCGCTGCCGCTATTATGTTGCTTTAGATAGTAATACAGTGAGTCGAGTCACGTGTAGCCCACGATATTGTCTCACGTGACAAATACAGAAACTGTCTCACGTGCCATACGTCACACGAAACGATGCACGCGACGTTGGCCGTCGTTCCTCACAAGACGTGCGTCATGCACGTACCCCACTCGGCACGGCAGTGAAATCCTTCAATTTCCCTGAACCTGAAAACTACGCCATCTACAACTCATTCGAGCACATAACATCACCATCAGCTCACCAGCTTCATCACCAGCTTGCCACCAGCCACCTTTGTTTTCACAATATCTTTGTTCATTGTCCATATATGCCGGCGACATTTTTCTTGCTGCACGCTGCGGCAAATCCGACATCCCCTCCCCCACAGTCTTGTCTATATAAAAAGTTGAAATTCCAGTTTCCCCAGATTACATCTCCATCATGAAATTATCTACTGTTGCCTCCGTTTCTTCAATTTTTGTTGCTAGCGCCCATGCTGCCAACTCAGAACAAGTTGCTTTCCTTACTGCGTTGGTAGAGGACTTTAAAGACCATAAAGGCGACTACCTTAAATTTTACCAAACCGCCAGTGACGTACCTGGAGTTTTAACTAGTTTGGTCAAACAAGTCGGAACTTACAAGGACGATTCCTACACTACATTATTGGACGATTCGGCAATTAATGTTGGAAGTTTGTCGAGTTTTGCCACAAACTTGCCATGGTATACCAGAATTGCATCTGAAGTCGGCATTTCCGACGCCGATAGCGGGTCAAAATCTTCAAAAGCAGAATCTTCTTCGGCTTCAAAAACTTCTTCCGAGTCGTCGTCGACTTCCGGCGGCGCAGGCAAGATGGCGCTTCCTGTGGGTGCTATTGTTGGAGCTGCAGCTGTAGCTTTGATGTAATTTATTAATATATCGTAACCGTGCGAAAGACCTACGAAAGCCCGTTGCGGACATTTTCATCGCGATGCGTATTATTGCTTTTCCTAATGTAGTAAAAAGCCTCGCGACACATGCAGGACATGTCCCAGTGTTGCAAATCCTTCTAGTTGTGTTTTGCAGTTACCATAAGTACAAGCCATTGTAGTCGCCAGAGAAGATTGTCCCAGCTGTCGTGAGGAATGGGGTTAAATGCTGCTTGCGGATTGAGATGTTTAAGTTGAATTCCGGTGGCATGGATGAGTTGCTGCAAATTTTGATTTAGGAGGTGCAACCCTCTTTCGAAGTTTTCGTTTTGCTGGTTCTTGGTTCGTCGTATATCGTAATGTAGTGTGTAGCTGTGGCCAAAAGTATCGAAAATGAACGACTCACAGCCTTGGGGTTCCATTTTGAACCCAAGTTGAACTCCGAGAACTTCAGCTAAAGCCTGTACCATTTGCAGAATGTAGCCTAAACCAGCATTTATTTCCACCAATTTGGCTTGAGATTCTGGGGAAGGGTCGTAGCAGGTATCAAGAAGCTCGTGGATGGTTGGTGGAAACTCAATTCCAACCACGGAAAATCTTACTGAACCCTCGGCATTCTCAATGGGCACAAATTGCAGCACCAGAGATGCATGTTCAAATACCTTTTTTCGTATTTCAGGGTAGAGTTGTTCTTGCAATGCCTCTTGCAAAGGATAGCATTCCTGGTCCAACATCTCGATTTGGTGGGTGGTTGTTGCAACTATTTCTGGAAACCGGTCGTCGACAAGACGTTTAATATCGTCGATGGCTACTTTATAGTGCATTATTTCATGAAGAATGGAATCGTTATTGGACCGCTGGCGCCGTATATACTCGTCGAGCTGTCGTATTTGTCTTTTGAGCTTTTCGGTTTTGTAGGGCATAGTATTGATGTTTTCTGGGTCGATTAGCCAATGAATAGAATCATCGATATTGTGTGAAAAAAGTTGTTTAGATGATTCCAATTCGGCCACCGACCGCTCGAGTTTCGTTAGCGACCGCACAGCTTCAAACGCGTACGATTTCTTCTGTGCTGGAGTGGAATTGGGGGTTTTTTTCTCGGATTGAGTTTTCTTGTCAATATAGTACAATTTTCCATCAAAATCCAATTCCACAAAATTCTTGGTTTCGGCCTCGGTCTCAATCTCGTGGATAGAGGTTGTGCTTGCTCGTAGGTGCACCAACAAGTGCCAAGGGCCATTTTGGTGACGAGCCCACACCTTAATTTGAAACTGAGAGCAATCCCGGGGTAAACGAGGAAGTGACAATTGTCGGAATTGCGGACTCAGATTTCCATAGATTACTTCGCTAACGTGGACGAGGGTCCATTGGGGTCCGGTCCGGACATACAAGGCGAAAAATGAGTCGACAAGCGTTTTTGCGTTCAATTGGCGAAGTTGTTCATAGTTGGGTATTTCCTGCGGGATGATGAGAATCGATGATTTTCTGGTTCTGGTCAGTTGTGAACGTTTCTGGGCCTCAGTGTGGCCCTCACAAGCTTCAGGGGGTCCCACATCCCCATCCAAAACGAGATCTCGTACGCTCAACCCACGGAGACTGGAGAGCCTCAAGTTCATGCGCAGAAGAATGCGGGTCGCAGCGTCAAATGCACGAAATGCGAACGCACAAACTACGAAACGCACGAAACCTCGTCTTCATGGCCAACTATATCGTCGCTTTGGCCCATTTTTGCGAGCTTCACGGCCCCGTGTCCATCATATGCACCCAGCAGACACACGAGAACGTGCACCAGACGTCCTACCTTCTTCCTGGGAACTCCAAAGTACAAACCTGTGCTTCGTGCAAATTGGTGCTTCCTCAAGATGCAATAAACTTGATTACAAACGACACCAATGATGCCAATGGTGCCCATACCGTGTGTATATCGTCGAAGTATCCCTCCTCACAAAGAAGGTACACCGCTCTTACAAAAGTGGTGATGAAAGCGTTGACAGTAGAAACCAGTGCCGACCCTAAACGGCCAATTTTGTACGGAGACAGTGTGGATGGCTACTGCATGAGCCGAGTATTCAAAGTACGAGACCCCAGTGCCCGCGGAGGCGAGAGAAAGTACAGTTTTATAGTACTTTGTGACAGCGAGAGCCATCTTTCACTGAACTGGGAAATCATAGCCATGTATATCGGCGAGATGATTTCACATATACAAGAAAAGGTGGAAGCCCGAAGGTCTAGCGGAGCCACAGAAGAAATTGATAACGAAAAATATTTACGAAGATCAATGGCACGGCCAAAACTGCTTGTGGAACTCACAGGAGACGACCAGATTTTTGTGAGGTTACATATGTGGGCGCGAGAGGTGCTCCGCGATGTTCAAATGAAAGATTGAGAAGCGAGATAGACCGGTAATGATTAAAGTAATGATTATAATACAGTAATGATAAGAGTAATGATTCACGATATACCGTTAAATGTCAATCCTCGTGCATCGCGTGCATCGCGCATTGCACCGCACCGCATCGCACCATGTAATTCTACCCATCGATCTATGGTTTTGCTTTTATCCCTAATAACCATTATATCCGGCTACATATGGTGGACATATCCTGTTTCTACGAGTGGATTTGATCCACGTCTTGTTCCCGCCTTGTGGTTTCGGTGTATCATGGTTTCCACTTCATCCGGCACTTTCAATTCATCTCTTCCCTTTAAATGGTCATCTTTGATTGGGTTACGCAAAGTCAATTGCAGCTGCAAGGCATTTGCAGACCATTATCATATTGAAACGGAACACCTTCCATGCGAAAATGTTCCCTATATGAGATTTTACGATCACCCTAGTCTTTCACTTTCATCGCTGGACCATGAATTGGTGGGTGCAACATATATGACCAACGCACCATTACCGGCCAAAATTGTTTTTGTAGCACAACATGGGTTAATAGAGCTTGCTACGCATACTCAGAAGTTACAGATAAATTGTTCGGATGATCATATTGATATAAGAAGAGAATGGAACCAAGTTGCGAATATTTTGCAGCCGACCAAAGTTGTATCCCAATCTGCCAATTCACAACAAAACTTATGGGAGTCTCCTCCCGAGGCATCGTGCTCCAATATAAAGTACTTTCATGAAGTTGGAAGCCACCAGGATTGGCGTTTTTTTCGGTCTTGTGACCATAAACCTATCATCCATCGTATGGCCAGAGCTTGGTTTCGATTTGCAAGAGAAGCTGGTATAGACACTTGGTTAGCACATGGTCTGGCCCTAGGATGGTACTGGAATCGTCTGAACCTTCCGTGGGACAATGATATTGATGTTCAGGTGAGTTTTAGTGGTCTTGAAAGACTTTTGCAATTTAACCAGTCCATCGTATTTGATGTCCATGATACAAATTCCGTCAACCTTGGCGTAGGAGGATACCTTCTTGACGTCAACAGCAACATATACTGTCGAGAAAATGACTTGAACAACGTTATCGATGCCAGATTCATCGACATATTCTCGGGTTATTTCGTCGATATAACAGCTTTATCATATGTCCCAAAAAACATGGAAGTTGAAAGCGAAGAACTTTCGCAAGTCATAGAACCAAGTTACACCATCTACCAAGCCAATCCGACTTACAATCACAAAAAAATGTATGCTTCAATGGCAGAAACCAGAAACAATTTGATCGCGAATCATCTGCTTCTTTATGCAAAAGATCACCACTTTTATACAACCACAGATATCTTGCCATTGCAAAAAACCATGTTTGAAGGAGTGGTCATGTATGTCCCCAACAACATAGAAAGTATGTTAAAACGAGAATATCCAAAAGGATTTCTTTATCGAAGATTCGAAGGGCATTCTTTTGAGCTGGGAGTGTGGAAAACTCCAGGCCAAGATGTAACTCAATTTCAACAATTACTCAATACCAAACAATTGAAAGACATACCGCCAGTCTGGAAAGATCCTTGGGTCCGGTGGACTAATTCCTCCTTAATAAAAGTGTCTTAAATTACACGATTTGCATCCGGGAAAGAGGCCATATTATAGCCACCACTTTTCCCACCACCAATCCCTGGCTTATAGGGCCAAATGTGTTGGAGTCAACCGAGTGTGCCGTGTTATCTCCTTCAACCCAGAGGTGATTTCGTGGAATCAATGCCTGGTTTTTCGGATATGGTGGACTGTGGGGAAACACTGTATCTCCTTGTAATCCGGTAATTCTCTTCGTAACCAACTTTTCTGGATTGTTCGGCGACCGAAACATGATTATGTCGCCGCGCCGGAGCGAATTGGGTCGTTTAAGATTGTATTTTTGAACTATGGCGATATCTTGAGAAGTGGTGGTGGTACCAGGATTGAACGTAGGAGACATTGAAGTTCCTGAAATATGACATGGCTGATACACATGGTTATGGAAGGTGTAGAGAACGGGAAACCACGTAAGGGTAACGAATGCAGTCCTTGTGTAGTGTGCCATAACCCAATAAGTTTCGGATCGTAAAGATTTCGGTTTGAAAGTTGCTTATGTAAGCGTGATGCTTGATATACCTTGGAGCTACATGAACTTGCATGTAGGCCTGTGCGTGTGCATAAAAGTCGCTTCATATCTCATCAAGGTTGCTGAACATGTCGGGCTTGTTGGATCAGATATTGATGGAAGATATTGCTAGAAACTGTCCCCAGCAGTTTTTGGCGTTCCACAAGTGTATGGGTGATCCCCAAGGGTCCAATTGTGGAACAGAACAGGTCCAATTGGCTGTATGCATCAAGGGCCAAGTTCCTGCTTTTCAAAAAATTCAAGGCGAATGTGGAGGAAGACTTCAAGCTTATGAAGCATGTTTAAAGAATGCTAGAGGTGACACCAAACGGTGCGAAGGAGACTTGAAAATATTGAGGAAATGTGCATTGGGATCTGTAAGTTAACAAAAGGGAAATTGAGATCAGTTTGGTAGATATCGAATGAAAGTCAATTGCAAGATTACAAGAACTAGGACTGAAATTAAGCGAAAATAAAAACGAAACAAAAATATAGTTGCGTTGACTAATGTGAAGAATGGATCTAAATATGTTGCAGGGTCTGCTGCAATGTAGCTTTGGGTAATATTTCAGCAATTTTAATGTAAGAGCAAGAAGAGTATTCTACGATTCCAAGCAAGTATGAAGTATAAATTTTTAAGTAATTTCTGTCAACTCTTATATTTCTGAGGCACATTATCCAAACGAATTTGCGATAAAAAGTTTCGAGTAGTTTCTCTTAACTCTGGATTGGCATTGTGAGTCTCCTCCATTTCATGTTCATGGTGGAGCAATTCGTGCTCAATATCCTCTTTATGTTTAATTTTGATATCTGGATCATCGTTCATATGGAATTCTTTCCAATGATGTTCTTCGTATTCCAGCTCGAAATCAAGGTGGTGACCTTGTCCATACCCAAAATCTGGAAGCTCTCCGCCGTTTTCAGTGAATTTCTTCCACTCGTCCAATGTAATTTTTCCATCATTATTACTATCCACTAATCGCAATATTTCTGATACAACATGGTCTTTAGCTTCTTTAGTTATGCCCTCCTGATCATGACTATGACGACCCATTCCCGATCCGTCGCCCACTACTGACTCCCGGAGAAGCCCGTACAAGTTTAAAATGTCGCTGGGTGTCCATTCTTGTTGGTTTTTGAGTGCATGAATGGTGAAAAATGATTCGGAGTCGTACGAGTCCATTTTGTGTTCTTCAAGCATATGCCAATTCTGCCACAGAAGTCCTGGTGGAGGCGTGTTGGAATCGTGGCTTCCATGTGCCACAACCAAGGCGGCAAGTGCCAAAATACCGAGTTTCATTTTTGGTGGAATGTATTTGGTTTGGCGGGTGTGTGGGTGCGGATCGATCAATGAATGAGTGTGCATAATGCACCATGCACAACGTGCAGCCACTTACATCGAGGTTGACGTTAACCCCACAATGAACCCCAACCCGAATATGCCTGTGAAGCCCACAGAAGCACGAGTGGGTCGTGAGAACCAGAGATACAACCTGGAAACGGGCGCTCGAATGGTTGCGGGCTGTATTTGTATGGACGAAGCCAAGGAACGGATCATTATGATTCTGAGTATTAAGCACCCAGATAGGTGGATTCTACCAAAAGGAGGAATTGAGTTGGATGAAGGTGATGAGTTTGTTACTACCGCGGTCAGAGAAACTTGGGAGGAAGCTGGATGCGAAGGCAAGATTTTGAGGAAACTTCCGGTGGTATACGACAGCCGGGGTAAGAATGCTCCAACCATCAAGGGTTCATTTGATCCCTCAAAGGTGATTCCAAAGACAGAATTCCATTTCTACGACATGGTAATCGACCAATTGAGCCAAGATTGGCCTGAGCTGCACAAGAGACAACGACGCTGGTGCACCTACAGCGAGGCTAAGCACGAATTGGTCAAAGCCAACCGGCCGGAATTGGTGCTGGCTCTCGAGCTGTCGGCCGTTCGACACGACGAAGAAGTATATTAATTATTTAAATAACCCTCCCATCATATTAGCAAACATGTTTTGACCTCCGGTATTTCCTAGTTTCAACTGGAAATATGTCTTTCCCAAATACTCCACTGGAGCCACAAGTTGGGCTTTTTCAAGGTTTGGTTTATAGTGATCGAGTAACTTGAGAAACTTGTTTCCTGCTTCCTCTTTGGAGAGGGTTAATACCAAGAGCTGGACGAAATTGCAAAGTGGATAATTTTCATTGTAGCTGATTCCTCCCTCTTGCTTGAACTCATTGGCGCCAATAAGTTTGATGAATTGGTGAACAAATTCTTGTGCAAATGTCACGTTCTTAAGGTATCCATAGTTCAAAGCACCACGAGCCATGAATATTCCTGGATCCCCGCCATTTATAGCCCACACATCGTACAAAAATTGACAATATGCATCCCGAGATTCACTGGTACCCAACACGCAGTGTAATTCTGCAATAGCAAATAATTTTGATTTTTCGTCATTCGTGGCAGTGGACTTTCTTATGGCGCCTAAAAACTTGAGACCGAATAAATGATGAAGATCGGCGTCTCCAAATTTATTTTCCGTATTTTCCTGACTCCAATTGGTGGATTTTTTCGCCAAATCAGCCAATGCGGGGTCTGTTTGAGGTAATTGGTTCACCAATTCAATCAACTTCATCTTGTATTCTTTGTGGGCGGCGTCGCATATTATGCCTGCTTCCGAGTATACAGCCAACAAATATATTATCAAGTCGGTAGCCGATGCATATTCGGATTTTGCAGCCAAAATAGATGCAGCTTGATAGAGAAGATCGATTGCATCAGAATACTGTTTTGCCTTCACATACCGATTCGTGATTATACGCACCGTCTGGTGGGCTTCATAATATGAGCCGGCATCGATCTTTGCGCGGAAACGGGTAATGGTTCGTTGGAGCTTGTCAGACATGATGCAAATCTATCAAATAAAGCGTCAAATAAATGCAATGCAATGCACTCTCTTAGTTTCTGCTTTGCATGAGTTTCGAATGTCAATCGTGCATACAACCGCATATACATCCAAACACCACCGCCGAGGCCTTTCAACCCGGGAATCATCCGCAACATTCAACCTAGGTGATATGAGAGCTTTTGCCAGATTGTTGAAGCATACCCCACTCATCAAGTTTGTGGGTGGTCCTCACAAGGCCGAAAGTAAGTTGATAAGGTGCAAATCCTCCTAAAGGGAAAGCTACTAACCAAGATATTTCGCATGCCGTCAAAGCCCATCCCTGTGCACCCGACGGAAAAGTTCCCGGATCCAGTGGGCTGGGTGCCGGAACCTCTAGCGGGTCTCAATTTAAATCCGGAATCGAACCTCGTGAAGGAGAGGTATTTTCTCGTGCCGAATTATCACCTCGTTTCCGCTACAAGCCTATTAAAGATTCAGAAATTGAACAGCTGCTTAGCGGTGGTGCGGAGTTGGTGTTCTGATCCATAGCAATACATAAACGATAGAAAAGTGTAGTAAATGGAAGAAGTGGGTGGTATAGTGGGTGTGTGGATGGAAGAGTACGAATGCTTGGTGTTTGGGTGCGCGTCTTACCTATTCTCAACTTCAGTCTCGCACGCTCAACGCCACCATGAACCACGATCCTTATGTATGGGGACGTCCCGATGACGCCGTTTACGGGGCCTATAACCATGCAATTGCCAATGCCAGCAGCCATGGCAACGTACAGGAAGAAACCAGCTTTCCCAAGATGAATAGTCAGCAACCAATCATTACTGGAACTTCGGTGAATTCGATCAAATTTAAAGACGGAGTAATTGTTGCTGCCGACAACATGGGATCATATGGATCCTTGCTTAGGTTCAACAATATCGAAAGAATCTTCAAAGTTGGTAAAGAAACCGTCGTGGGAGTCTCAGGAGACATCTCAGATTTCCAACAGATTCAAAGATTGTTGGACGAATTGGAGATTACCGAAGAAATATATGACAACGATGGAGGACACAACTTACGGGCACCCAATGTCCATGAATACTTGACAAGAGTGTTGTACAATAGGAGATCGAAAATGGATCCTTTATGGAATGCCGTTGTAGTGGCTGGTTTCAATGATGACAAAACTCCTTTTTTGAGGTATGTGGATTTGTTAGGCGTCACCTACGGGCTGTCGGCTATATGTACCGGATTTGGAGCCCACTTGGCTATTCCGCTTTTGCGTCAATTGGTTCCTGATGACAAGGATTACCAAAATGTGACAGAAGAACAAGCAAGAGAAGCCATTATCAATTGCATGAAGGTTTTATTCTACAGAGATGCGCGTTCCAGCGACAAGTTTACGTTGGTGACTTTAAAGCAGGGCCAGCCCCCTAAATTTGAAAAGGACTTGCGTTGCGAGAACCAAAACTGGAGGTTTGCCAAGGATCTCGTGGGATACGGCAGCACGCAGTTGTAGTTCTTGAAATCCCAGAATCGGATCTCGGAATCGTGAATCTCAGATCGTTGAATAAGTCACCGCCTATAACTGCACAATTGCTACAACACCATGTTAGCATATGCTAACAATTTGCTACAATCTGCTATAAACTGCTACAATGCTAAATACAAAGCTTATCATTTGCTACAGACTGAACCGCGATATGTTCGTCTGCTTCTTTATCGCTATCGCTTTTCATTGCTTTTCCATTGCTCTTTCATTGCTTCTCTCATCACTTTCATCACTTTCATCACTTTTCATCGCCTCTTTCATTTGCTCTTGACTAACGAGCATTCAGTTCTCCATGCCAATCCTCGGTCTTATCCTGTTCCTCGTTTGAATACGTTTTTTCGTGCTTTCCTGTTGGCTAAAGGAAGGGCTTAGATCCCCCGCATACCTTAAAGCTTATCATGCATCTTCACTTCCACACGAGACAAGTTCAGCAAGTATACACGGTGCCAGAATCCCCTCGGCCGCCTGCGGTCCATCCCGATCTCCTTGGCATATTTTAGTGGCGCCACACGATTATTGATTCATTGTTCTCAATGCCGTCTCCATGCGGCTGTATTATGCACAAACGGTGTTTGCTGCAAGTTCGGTGCGTCTATTTTAACGCCAGTTATGGCACCACGATTTCCCCTCCTTCGACAAGTGTCGAGATTATCACTCATGCATCCTTGACATCACACCACACAACCCCAATTTACCATTAAAGCCACTTTGAGCCGTCGTAAATGTGGCGCTGCGTCATCGATATGCACCTTTGTTTCTAGAAGACGCACTCTACCCGTCAACGCCATTTTTCGTGCTTCTTGTGCAGGGCACGTCTGTTTCTGGGGTCAGGGAGGGGAAGCCCCTAAACCAACCTCGTATACACCTACCTTGACAGTTGTGGACGTTTGCTTTCCCTTGGCTTGGTGAGAACGCATGGAACTACTATGTCGTTTGATATCACTTTTCTAGGATCATCAGGCGGATGTTTGGACGGCACTACATGCGCCGTATTGGTCAAGCCTCATCTGATAACCTACAAAGAAATAATTACCCAACAACGGTTCGACGATATAATTTGTGTCGACGCTGGCAGTGGACTTAACATGTTGGGACACATAATACATCATGAAATTGCCCATAATTCTCCATACCAGAGTGGTCTAGACCTCTACAATGACCTGCTTCCGGTGCAAAAATACATCAAACCCGAAATTATTACCCCGTTCAGCACCCTCAATGCGTCGGAATCCCCTCTCAAGCACGCATTTGGAATTTTCCATCGGGTCTCGGCATACTTAATCTCGCATCCGCATCTCGATCACATTGCTTCCTTAGCCATCAATTCGCCGGCGTTTTCTAATAATAGCTCACGCCAAGTATACGGGGCGCTGCACACCCTCTCGGCGCTCCAGGACCATGTTTTTAATGGTGTCATATGGCCAAACATGCCCAAGTTCAATGTGGTCAAACTTCACAGCCAGAAGTATTGGAAACCGTTTTCCATAGCCAACGGTAATTTCACCGTCAACATGTTCGACATCAGCCATGGAAAACTCATAAAACTGAACAATGTGAGCAATCTGGACAAGCTCGTGCCGTTAAAGGAGTCCGATATCGACGGAAACCTCGATATAAAACACTACATTTCCTCGGCGTTCTTGATCACAATTCCGTCTACCAACGCAAGTCTCTTGGTGTTCGGCGACTTTGAGTCCGATTCCATATCGCTCTTGAACAAGAACCTCACTATCTGGCGCCATATAGCTCCGCTCATTGTTTCCCATCAACTAAAAGGAATAATTTTAGAGTGTTCATCGTCAGGAGATTGTGATCCCGACGAACTTTACGGTCATTTGATGCCTTGTCACTTGATAGCAGAGCTCGAAAAGTTACGAGCTGAGTGTCTCAGTATTGATCCGTCGCTGGAATCACCATTGAGCGGTTTCCATATCGTGGTGACCCATGTCAAAGACGTGGGATATGTCGACCCTCGACGCCGAATTCTCAACGAACTCGAACAACTCTCCCAACAAGCCCAGTTGGGCATTCAATTCTCGGTGGCTATTTCCGGTGTATCCATTGTATTATAGATCTAGAATGTACATACTTTTACGCTACCTCGTATACATCCAGCGCCAATTTGATGTGCAAGTCGAACGGAAGTGACTCTTCGTCAGGTCCACGTCCAACAACGTCCACCACCGACACTTTTCCAAACGAGGTGTCGGCCTCTGTAGCTTGGTCGTTTTCGAGAGAGAACTGGATTTCCATGGGGAACAACGATTCTTCATCAGGTGCGGGAACCAGGAACTCAAATGATCCTTGGGGAGATTCGATAGGAATAGTCACAGTAAAGAAAACTCCATCACCAGTCACCTCGTACGGAACGTCTTCCACCGTAGGTTCCTCGCCCACGGGCACTAGTATAGAAACTTCGACATTTTCCAAGTGTTGATGAGTCTGGACAAATTGGTCAGTAAGTTCGTATTCCAACGTCACGTCGGCACGGCCGTCGTTGCTCAGAACCCACGCGCTGACTACAAACGGCACCAAGCTGCGGTCGTCTTGCTTTCCTGCTCCGCGCCATCTCAATACCCCGATAGACCGGTCGTCGGCCGGGAACGATTTATTCTGGTCTTTCAACGAAATCACGCTTTTCTGGGTGAAAAGTTGACGGTCAATGTTGGGGTGAGGATTGTACTGGATGCCGGGTCCTGTAGTAACAATAATCGATGCATTGGCAAGGTCAGAGTCGTTAATTCGCAATTGCAAATCACCTTTGACCTCGGACAGAGTGATGGCGCCGTCACGAGTCAACGACGCCGAGATTTTCTCGTTCACAGTGATGAGCACGCCATTGTTAGTCGCCTTGGGTGCCGGAGCAGGCGACGCCGACGCTACAGACCGCGAGTAGCCGGGGGCAGCTGCTACCGAACCGGACAGTGGAGGCACATTGGATCCTAGGTGGCCCGAGTTGAACCGCGGTTCGTTGTGCGCAAGTAATGGCTGGTGGGTCTCTGCCACCTTGGTGGGCTTTTTACCCAACTGGAGCCCGCCACGCGTAGGTCTACTGGAGATCGAAGGACCGGAAACCGGGGTGTTGTCAATCATCGGCAGCGGCTGGTATGCCGGTTGCAGCACCGATGTCTGGCTATAATCGTACTGGCTTGCCATATGGGGCGTTTGCTCCAAGTTTTTGCGTGCCAATTCTCGGCGTTGAATTTCCTTAGCTCTACGTTTGCGTTCTTCGGTGGCCTCCAATTCCTTGTTCCGCTCGATGATCTCCTGGATCTTTTCCTCGTGCGAGTCCATCTCCATGAACGTTTGAACCTGCGACAACGTCAAGTTTTCCTTGTATCCCAATGAGATAATCTCGTCAAAAGCTCCCAATATATCAAAGGCACTGGCAAAAATCTCCAGTTCATCCACTTGTCTCAACATGTTACTGATGGTGGAAATGAACAAGTGAAGCGTATCGATGTCCTGTAAGATATTGGAGTCCTTATTGGTGAGTAAAACCACATAAAGATCTTCCAATGGCTGATAAACATAACGAATGGACTCGTCTTCAACGGCAGTATTGTGGGAAGTCAGTTCGGAAATCAAACTAGGAAAGTTGCCTAGAAGTCCTGTGATACGGTCCTTCGATATATCACGAAACAGACGCGAAAGAAGAGGTTTTCCGCCTCGGGTGCAGATCGAAGCCGCCAACACTACCATTGCAGATTGAGGATCGAAGAAATTCGTGTTCACTCTGGGTCGTGCGCGGGCCATAAAACGTCGCGCAAATACTTTCATGAAGTGATAGTAGCAGATCAAACAGATGTAGACCAGACGCCAGAACCAAAAAAATGAGTATGGCATGTCCTGGTTCACACTGGAACTTGTGTGTTTCGTACTCTTCTTATTTTTCGTACTTTTTGTTTTTTATACTTCGTTTTCGTATTTTTATTTTTTCTTTCGTCTATTAATGCTCACTTATTGATATGAATGTCCATTTCGATATCCACCTCGCCCAGCCCCGCCTGGCCCTGTTGCCGGAGCTTTCTTTCCTTGAATAATTTGCCGAGCTCACGCTCAATTTCCGCAATCAAGCCTTCATAGCCACACGATCTGGACCGTACTCGAGCTTCACGTAATAATCGCTCTGCCTTCTCGTACTGTGAAAGATGCAAATGAACCACTCCCAATCCGTACGTAGCCAACGCTACTGTCTCATTGATGGTGGAATTGTTCTCGATGATTTCCTGGGGTAATTTTTTGGCAAATTCAAGCACAGACTGGTACGTTTCAACCGAAAGTCCAATACATTTGTCTTTGTTGGCTATAGCCTCTTGGTACTCTGCCTTGTCTTCAACACTGCCTTTTTCCATCATTTTTTGTACCATATCCTTGGCGTCTTGCAGTTCTTGTACCGTTTTTGGCGTCAAAGTCTTAATGGTATCGTAGTCAAGACCAGCAGATTCGGCGAGTTTACGACGAAATCCAATTTCTTGTGCCTCAAACTCTTCTGCCTGCAAATAGAGCAACGACGCCAAGTTGCACTGGGACAAAAGTAGCTTATGTGGATCGACATCGGCCAAAAGCATCCATTCTGTCATGGAGATTTTCACTCGAGAAGCCATGCCCAAATCGCCAGTTGCTACACATATGGCCGTCAAGAGGTCCATGGCATTGAAAAACTCGTCGGAAAAAGGGTACCAAGCTGCTGGATTTTTGTTGATCAGAGTGACAACTCCGTCGGTGCTGACGGTGATGGAATCGTGTTTGATGGTAGCGTTGTAGTTTTGCGGGGTTTTGTCGTCGTCGCTTATAGCCGTCATCTTGTAGATGGTGCCTGAAGGGCCCAATTTCTTGTGGACTTCGTCCTGGGCAATCAACAAGTGAGTCATGAGTATAGCCTTGCTGAGCAGAGGATTGAGGTTATTGAGTTCCACCAACTTTATAGCGATCCGAAGGTCTTTCTGGATCAAGTGAGCCCGGTGCTCTGGCGTAGCAATGCGCCGTCCATCTTCCGAATCTGGTGCCGCCGTCAACACCTTCATGTACAACGTAGCAATCTCATTATAGATGAATTCCGCATTTTCTTTCTGGTCCAACCGCTCAAACATCTCCGCCACCTTGAGCTGGATCCCAGTATACTCGTCACTCAACGAATCCATTCCAATTTCATCACAATGTTCGAGTGCCATGATGTAATATTTGAGTGCCAATTGGTAGTCATTTTCGCCGCGGTCAGATTCGGCCCAAAGACCCTTGCGCAAGATCTTTGCCACCGACAGAGGAAACGTGTGCTTTGGCCACCACGCATAGTAAATATAACCAGTGGTGATCAAGGTTCCCACTCCAAAGTAGAGAAGCCTTCTAGGCAATTTTCTTGGTGTATAATTGTAGTTGTAGGTATATTGTTGTTTGAAGGTTGTGCCTATGTGAAAGTGGCGTGCACGTTTGAAAAAGGGAAGACGAATTGGACGAATGGAAACCATGAAGAAAAGTGACAGAAATACTAGAAGTTGTAGAACGAAAGCGAGAGTTGCAGGATTAAGACGGTGTGTGCAGTACTACAGACTGCGACCCATGCAGTACCGAAAGACCTTCTCCTGCAGCGAATCGTACTTCGTACGATTCATGATGAGCAACATTGCAGACATTTTCAACCCTCCCGCATCGCGCCCGGTCGTCACAGACAATTGCGCGCCGTGCACGGCTGTGCAGGCTCTCATGTGTTTTGGTGGGGGATGGTATATGCTGCTGGGGTTTCCATTACAAGATAAAAACGGAATTATCGATGTACGTAAGCATCCAGTTTGGTGGCAAAAAAGTGTACGAGGCGTGGGGGTTTTGTTAGTAGGATTAGGAGCATATAGAGTGGGGGAGTTGGCACAAATGGCGTGGCATAGGTATAAGACTAAGTAAACAAAAAAAAAGATACTGCAAAAGAGGATGGAAAAAAATAATGACTCCGACGCGATTCGAACGCGTGCATCTTTACGATAACAGAACTTGAGTCTGCCGCCTTAAACCACTCGGCCACAGAGCCATTGCTGAAAGAAACTACTCCTGGTGACTTTATCATGCGCAGCCCCTACCTTCCTTCTCATTTTCAGTTCGCGCCGTTGTCTTGTTCATTTTCCGTTGGCCATAATATGGAAAATGGTGGGGCCAACCACCCCTTTCAACTATCGCTGTTGGACCACAAATTGTCCCATCTAGCAGAGCAATTCCATACGGCCGTATCGGTCGACCAGCTCGACGAAATCGTCGCCGAAATAGATTCCTCCACAAATCTCATCGACCAAGAATTACACCATTTTCACCACCCTCAAACTGAAAAGACTCCAGCAAGATACAAGTAACATCGAACTTGGTCGTACAAAGTTGTCGTCGGCGATTGCCTCTTCTGGTGAACTTTCGCTGCTACTTTCGGCCGCCGACGATTTGGGCAATACTTTGACCTTCAAGATCCGGTCGTTGGATAAAGAAATAGGCAACGTCAACAAGACATTGGCGCTCGTCGAGGACTTGCAGCTGCTCAAGAACAACATAAACCAGGCATACTATGCCATAGAAACAAAAAATTGGGAACTCGCAGCCCATTGCATTCACACCATAAACACCAGTATCGATGAAAAAGTTATTACCGGCCAATTTTCATCGGTCGTTATCCCTTCCACCGACATTCCCGAGCTTCCACAAAAGACCATTTCCAAATGGACCGAGGAATTGACCCAGGTTTTCCAGATCAACTTTGACGAAGCAGCAAGACAACGGAATGTAGCAGATGTAACTCGCTATTTCCAGCTTTTCCCTCTCATTGGACAAGATAAGGTGGGTCTCGATTGCTACTCGAGGTTCATATGCCACATCATCACCGATACCCTGCGTAATCTATTGAAATCTTCGACGAAAGATTCGTCGCGACCAGGTTTATACGCTACGATTTGTATGAACTTGCTCGAGAACATCTCGGTGATGCTCATGCAACATGGTCCTTTGATCCTCAAGCATTACAATGCCACTTTCACCGAGCCGCTCAGCTACGTTGTGGCCAAAATACAAGGTGAAATCGACTCGCAAGTGGGTCTTATTGCCGACACTTTCTACGACGTTCGAAGATTTCCTAAAGTTATACAAGATATTTCCTTGTACACGTTCCCCCATTTACGACACAGGCAAGAACCACACCATGAACCCCAATTTCAAGACCTGGCAGACATTGTCAACTTGATCGAAATCGGCGACTTGATGAATGAACTAGCCACCATTCTTCACCAATGGTCCTTATACTGTCGATTTGTGGCTGTCAAGTACTTCTCTACCTCTACGGAATCTCCTTTGGTTCCTGAAATCATCCAAAAATCAAACTTCACCGCCAAAGTCACCAGCAAATTATTGCCTGCTTTCGAATCACTATGTCTGTTTTATTTCCGCCGGTCGCTCGAAAAAGCTCTCACAATAGAAGAGCTCCCTTCTCTCGATCCTTTGTTGCGAGCAACCCATGTTTCAGTCTCGCCCGAGCAAGTTCCTTGTTCTTCTGTCATTGAAGACATCACCATTGTGTTGAATAATACCCTCCAAAACGTTCTTGATTCGGCGCATCCATCTGCCGTCAAGAAGTTCATTGGAGTTTGCTTCGAGGTTATTCAGCGAGACTTGGTAAATGGCTTTTTCATCAAGAGCATAAACGAAAATCAGCCCCGGTACAACTCCAGTCTTGTGTTGGTGACGGCGTCCGATACAAGTAATGTCACCAGTCCTGGTGCTTCTCGCAGTGGAACCCCGGCACCCGAAGGTTTGGGGTTCTTCAAAGGTGCTTCTAGTGCTCTTGGAAATGTAGTGGGAACCGGCGCTGTTGTAACCACTGCATCTGCTAACCCAGAAAGACTCAAAAACTTTGTACTATATTTGAATACCGTTGCTGTTGGTCAAGAGTATTTCAACAAAATCATCACCAAGTTAGCAGATTCCAGTTTCTTGTCCAAGGCTTTCCCCTTTGGTTCGGACAACGAAAAGGTGGCTAGCATATTGAAGACTGACTTTCTTGACCCGTTCAATACCATTTCGCATAAGATTATTCAAGACAGTTTGGTCAATCTTTATAACCAGTCTTTCAAGTCGAAGCTATTGGTGATGGTCAACGAATGCTTTCCAGAAGTCAACGAGACAAACTACGTTGTCTATTCTGCCAACATTTTGAACGATACTTCCAGTCTCGTCAGATTTGCGTCTTCGTGGCAGGCCACTATAAGGCCATATAAGCAGACATTTCACAAGAATCTCGTGTACCAAAAGCTCGTCAAGCTTTTAGTGGTGAACTTGGCCAATCTTCTCGAGCTCAAATTTCTCGCTGTATTGAGAAAGTTCAAGATCAACGAGTTGGGGTCGCTCAAACTTGAAAAGGACTTGTCTTCAATCATCAATGAGGTGTGTGAGGACAGTTACGAACTTCGAGAAAAATTTGTCAGAGTCACTCAGCTTGTTTTGCTCGTTGGAATGGATGACGAAGAGTATGAATTGAGCATAAAAGAGGGAGAGGATGATGGAATCAACTGGGTGTTGACACCTTTGGAACGTAAGCAAGGGCGAGGATATAGAATATAGGAACCTCTACAGGCAATTCAGCTCTACAGCTCTACAACTCTACAGCTCTGTAAGACAGTAGTATTAGCTATTATTGTATTATACACAAGATATAAGTCTTTGACTTCTAACTTCTTACTTCTTCGCAACCTCGTTCCCCTTACTTCCCTCCTTTTCGTCTTCATCTGGCTTGATTCGCAACCTGTCTATCATTCCCTCGAAGCGAGGATGACTATAATCACATTCAGCACCTTTGGGACAGAATCCTGTCACCCACAAAGGACACATTATTTTTCGTACATGTCGATTAGGACATTTGGGGCCCTCGGGACAGAATCCCTTTTCGTAGTTGGGGCATGCGGGTATTTTCAGTTGTGGATCGACGTGCAAATATAAACATTCAGGAGTTTGGGTACAAAATCCATTCTTTGAGTAGAACAAGCATTCGGGCATTTTCCGCAAATTGTATTCGTGGAGAAATTCACAGTGGTCATTCTTCTTACAGAGTCCACGAAGCCAATGCTTGCACACAATCTTGTTGGAATACATTGTAGGAACGTGTTTATTAGGACAATTATTGCCATTGGGACAAGAACCGGGAGTGGAAGGTAAAAAAAACTGGCATACTGGACGGTCTGGATTAACGGAAAAATTATGTTCTCTGCGAAGAAAAGACTCTATTTTTAGTGGCTTGTTGCGAGTGTCGGGATGTATCACCGGATTCAACAGTAACATGATTAGAAATTAGGAAATTGAATCACGACAGAATTGATATTTCTGGGTTTTGTGCAGGTCGATTATATGCCGTACTGTGAGTTCGGCTACGAGAGCCAGTAAATCCTGGCAAGTTTATGCCAATGGTAGTCCAAATGGGTTATGAGGTCGTTCTGTTTTTAGTTTGTTCACTTTTGTTCAATTTGGTTTAATTTTGTGGTTTTTGTTCAATTTTGTCCGAAAAATTGGAGTGAGTCCTAGCTCAGATTTCCTGAGTTCTTCGAATCGGAAAACTTTGGTTTCTGTGGCTTCTTGTGGCTCCCTATGGCTTGTGCATCCTCTGGATGACTTCTGCCAACTCTAGTTGATTCTACTTCAGTTCAATTCAGATTCTTGTTCTTGCTTATCTTGTTACTCTTTCTTGTCAGCTCTCGACTCTGTTCCCGCCTTCTTCTTCTTTTCATCCGCAAATGCCATCATGCTGGTTCTTCGGCGCACACCTTCGTGGATCCAGAACTCGCTGCGGTACAATTCCCATCCTTCGCGAATATCGGTGTTGAACATTCTGGCATTGAGAACAAGTTTGACATCAGTGATGCCTATTCGAGGCTGACATTGCAGCTGGCACGACACCAAAAACACCTCCAACTTGGAATCTCGGTTTTGAATCATCGCTGGGTTAAGCCTGTGGAACGAAATTAGTAACAAGTTCACCACGAAAAGTGACATTTCTCGTACAAGATCAATTATTGAATCAGAAAGTGGGATCTTAATCTTCACTAGCCGTATGTTGAACTGCCGGAGTCCCTTGTTGGTCGAAGACAAGAATCGACGAGGAAGTACGATGGTTTTTTGGTACTCTCCGGAGAGATGGTACAACATTAATGTTACTAGTAATGCAAGAAGACTGAACTGAAGAATCACCCGCTTGGTTCCCGTCGGTGTCTTTTCCACAAAGTAGAGCTGGTGAGCTATGGAGGCACTTAGGGAGCAGAGAATGGCCAAAAATGTAAGGTATTTCCGTCGCATTGCTCGTTGCTGAATCACCTGTTGTCTGAGATTCTCTTCAAGAAGTAAAAGATTGCGGAAGATTTTACCGGTGGCTGGCGTCAGAGTATACCCACTACTAACATACTCGGTCTTGGATCGGGCTGATTTGTCGCTGATTTCTGACCGAGTGGATTTCCGTCGATGTCTCTTTTTCGGTTTGGGTGTTTCTCCGTCTTTGTTTCGGGGTGTTCTTGGTGTTTCCGGTGACCTTGTATCTGAAAATCCGTCCTTACTTGAGCTACGCCGTGCCCTGGGCGAACTTGATCGTGATGGAATCTCGAACGTTATCGGCGTTCCTGGCGAACTGGGCTCAGAATTGTAACTTTTGATGTGTTTCAAGTCTAACAGGTGCAGGGAGCCCACATCTGAGTCGGAAAAAAGCACTTCTTCAGATTCCCGTCCTCGAGATTGAACCGGAGTAATGTCCATGGGAGATGGAGTGGAACGAAAATTGGGTTTTAATTTTTCTTCCGAAAGTTCTGAAAGAGCTTCTGGTTCTTGTGGAGCCACCTGTGTCATTTCTGAGGTTTCAGAAACATCGTGAAGGCTCTTCTCAGACTTGGGAGTCTCCATTACAGTTTTAACCAAAACCAGAATTTGGTGAACTAAACGCGCGTGGTGTCTGGGTGCAGCTGGCCAACAAAATGGCTGTTAAAGTGGTCCTTAAAAGTTAGCAATGGTGTAGAGAAGGGTTAATAGAGGCTTGGACAAATCAATAGAGACAAGAACAACACTTGTTTTGTTGTTTTCTAACCCAATTATTGCAATTAATGTATGTGCTTCAATGTTTCGCTTACCTAAGCGGTACCCCAGATTTTTCCTTCAATACAGATTCGGTGTCATGTCTCTCAAACAACAAAAGGAGAATTTCGTCACAGGCTTGACCGGAGGATCTGTCCCGGAGATCTACTGGGTCACCCTGGTGGCATTGAGTGGGTATCTTGCCTACAACATGATCAGAAGCACCAGCAGAAATATACCGTTTGTTGTAGATTTTTCACTTCAAGTGGTTGCCATTCTTTTGGCTGTAACGTTGTATTGCAACATCATTGGTACACTCCATGGATTAGTATTGGGTCCTGCAGTGTTGGTGATGTTTTCAGGGGCACCCAAGAAAACTCAAAAGAGTAAAAGTGTCAATTCGAGTAACGAGCTCTTACCACAAAAGCCATTTTTGACAGCCTATCGAGCACAAATGCTCATTTTGACGAATATTGCTATATTAGCAGTTGACTTTAAAGTGTTTCCCAGGAGATTTGCAAAGGTGGAGACATGGGGGACGTCTATGATGGACATTGGTGTGGGATCGTTTGTGTTCAGTATGGGGCTTGCAAGTTCACGGTTACTTATCAAGCAAATTTTACAACAAAACTACAAACGAGGCAGTTACGTAGGGTTGGTTTTCCGCAGTAGTGTGAAAGCTATGCCTGTTTTGGGACTAGGACTTGTGAGGTTGATCAGTGTCAAATCATTGGAGTACCAAGAACATGTTACTGAATATGGAATCCACTGGAACTTTTTCATTACCCTTGGGTTTTTGCCCATATGTTTGGCGTTCCTCAATCCGGTCATAGAGATCATTCCTCGAGTTTTTCTTGCGTTTTTTGTGACCATATGCCATGAGGTTGCATTGCAAAAAGGCTTGCAACAATTTGTTTTGCGAAGCGATAACAGAATGGACAATCTTGTCACCATGAACAAGGAGGGAATATGTTCCTTACCCGGTTACTTTAGTATTTTCTTGTTCGGACAGTGTTTTGGGTACTTTGTATTGCCTGGTCGGAAGACTCGTAATAACCTCTTTGGCGCCTCTCAAGGAAGCACACAAACAAAGTGGACGGTCACTACAAACCAAGGGTTGATTATTGCTACTTTGGTGTCTCATGGGTGTTTTTGGTACTGTCAAAACTCTTTTTTGGTAAGTCAAGTGTCTCGAAGACTTGGTAATATTTCCTATGTTATGTGGGTGGTTTCGTACAATTCGTCAATGCTTCTTGCTTACCATTGGATTAACCAAGCATTTCCAAATGCCTCTATGTCTCCAATTCTACAAGCTATAAACAAAAACGGGTTGGCGATTTTTTTGCTTGCAAATGTTACCACTGGTGTTGTAAATATGACGATTAATACGTTGGAATGTGGGTCAATTTGTGCGGTTGCAATACTTGCGGTGTATGGACTTTCGTGGGTTGTGGTGGCGATAATCCTTGAGAGAAGGAAAATCTATATTAAGTTGTAAAAAGAAGAAGGAAGTAGTGAATTATAGAATACAAAACTGTGAATGGAAAGTGAAAAATGGAAAAGTTGCAAAAAGTGAAAATTTCCAAAAGTGAAAAAAAATAAACAGTATGATACGAAACACTATATACCAAATGAAAAGTAATTATAGTTTCAATTGAGTATATATCTCAACCTCTACGTCCATACACTTCCTTACTCTTTCTCTTTCTCTTTCGTCTCTCGCACCGGCTCCAAATTCCTGCACACCATATACTCGGCTCGCGGATCTCAACTCGTTACCATGTCAGTAGCACAATCCAGTTCATGGACCTCGTTCCTCAAGTCGATCGCCCTGTTCAACGGCGATTTGCTGTCTCTCACAGCTCCACCGTTTATATTATCTCCCACTTCCTTGTGTGAATATTCTCAATATTGGGCCGAACATCCAGAACTTTTGGTTTCCCCGGCTTCGTTGAATATTAGCGATGAAGCCTCCAACAGCGAAAAAAGTGCCATGGCTGAGAAACGACTTATTGCAGTGTTAAAGTGGTTCATTTCCACGTTGCGGTCGCAATACTGTTCCAGAAGCGAAAGTATGGGCACTGAAAAGAAACCGCTCAATCCGTTTTTGGGTGAGGTGTTTGTCGGCAAATGGACCGGAGCAGCTACCGGTGATGAAAACGCTGGAGAAACGGTTTTGGTGTCGGAGCAAGTGTCGCACCATCCTCCGGTAACGGCATATGCTGTTTTGAACGATAAGAATGGCGTTAAGCTCCAAGGTTACAATGGTATCAAATCGTGGATTTCTGCCACTTCGATCAATGTTCAACAATTTGGTCACGCCATCTTGGAGGTTGGTCCTGAATCGTTCTTGATCACACTCCCACCGCTTCATATCGAAGGACTCATCACAGCTTCACCTTTTGTGGAACTCGAAGGCACTTCGTACATTCAAAGTTCGTCTGGTTATATTGCCAAACTCGACTTTTCCGGCCGTGGCTACTTTTCCGGCAAGAAGAATACATTCAAGGCGCGAGTGTTCCCGGATCTTTTGTCGTCTCAGAACAAAGAATCGGCCATTTGCACCATTGCGGGCCAGTGGCTGGGTAAGTCATATATCACCAAAGGAGGCTCCACTCCAAAGAAAACAGACATTTTGTTCTACGACGCCCACAGTCCGGCCACCCACCTCAAGGTGAAACCAATTGAAGAACAACACCAACTTGAATCTCGTAAAGCGTGGGCTAAGGTTGCCGATGCCATCGCCAAGAGTGACTACGATTTAATCCACAAGGAGAAATCTCTCATTGAAAACTCCCAGCGTGAGATGCGCAAGAAGGAAGAGGAGTCAGGAATCCCATGGAAAGCCCGTTGGTTCGATGAGGTGGATTACGAACAAGGACCCGACCATGATGCTTTTCTCAACTTGTGCAATTTGGCACTGCTTTCAATTAAGAATGCTCCCTCAGGTACAGCCAAGAAGGCCAAGCATGACACGGGAAGCGCCAAGCACTGGAGGTTCAATAGAGAAAAGTGGGACGGTGAGAGTGAAATTAAAGTATAGAATATGTAAACCAATAATGGCTGCAATTAATGCACGATAACACTAACTGCATAAACCTAGTTGCACGAGTGTCGCACGTGCTCCAAAGTAGGGCGCCACAGGCACACGTGAGCATGACTGCGCTTCTCGGGCACCACACGCAACCCCGGTCGGCCCAGCCATCCACCCGCACACAACGTTTGTTACACAAAAGCGCCGGTGGGTTCGCACCCAGATTCAAGGTGATAAAAATTTTAAGCGGTAAAGGTTAAAGAATAGAAATGGCCGAGTCTCACAGATGTATGTATACTAAAAACGAACCAGAGTGATGGGCACGGTGAAGAGAAGAAGAATACCATGAAGAAGACCTTAGATGTTCCTCGTTTCAAGTTGAAAAATCCATCGGTGAAAAATCAGTTGAAAAATTGAAATATTGGTGAAACAACAAGAAAGCCAACGAAACAAGTATAAGAATCTTCTATGGCTGTGAAAGTATCTTCTATGGTATTCATCTTCACCCACTTTTTCATTTTCATTACTAACTCAGTGTATGTCAAGGGAAAGCACATCTCCTACCAGCGTTCAAAGAACGTAACCAACCCCAAGGTGTCGTTGATCCAGATTGACGGTGTGGCCAACCCTCAAGATGCCAAGTTCTACTTGGGTAAGCGTATTGCCTACGTTTACCGTGCGCAAAAGGAAGTCAGAGGTTCCAAGATTAGAGTTATCTGGGGTAAGGTTGCCAGAACCCATGGATCCAACGGATTGGTTAGAGCCAACTTCAGAAAGAACTTGCCACCAAAGACCTTTGGTGCTTCTGTTAGAATCATGTTGTACCCATCGAACATCTAAACCCATGCCATATAACAATACAAATTAATGTAACGAAAAGTGTAGAAAAAGAAGGGAAGAAAGGAACAAGAAAGAGAGGTTGGAGGAATAAAAGGAATAGAATTTTGAGTTATTTGTGCTTCTTCTGTTTCACTATTCTCTCTCACTTTTCAATTTTCCTGACCAATTATATTACTGACCTATATTTTCCAAACAATTCACTTATTTCCTCTACTTACTCCCTTCCCTCCTCATTAACTTCATTTTCCAATCTATTTCGTTCTGTTCTCTTCTCTCTTCCTTTTCCCCCACATCGAGCGCGCTCAATCGTTTCTTTATGGGTAAAAACAAGAAGAAAAGTGCCAAGTCTCTGGGCCCTGTAGAAACTTCTGGCGCCGATACGAATGGCTCGACGACCCCACAGGCTTCGGAAAACAATCCTATACCACCAAACACGGTTGAAAATGACAAAAATATCAACACAAACCAAAATGTTGATGACAGCGAAACAACAAATAATCAAAAGCTACAAAACACCAACGGCCTGATACCGTCCCACAAGGCACCAGAACAACCTTCGGGTGGCACTGAAATTGAATCACAACAGAAAGAAGAAATAAAAGCGTTACAGAAACGAATCGCCGAACTCGAGCTCCAAGCTAATGTGTCGGATGATGATTCAAACATCAGAAAACAACTCGAGGAAGTCACCAAAGATCGAGATGAAACGAAGGCATCGTACGATTCCCTTCTTTCGAAGTTGTCGTCGATGAAGACTGTTTTCAGCAAGATGAAAGAAGCTCAGAACGAGCTTGAGGAGACCAAAGATGCATTGCAATTGGAAGTCGAGCGAGCAGACGAGGCGGAAAAGGCAAAAACAAGCCTTGAAGCTACCGTGAAGTCGCTTCAACAAAAGACAAGTGACCTCAATGGCGAGTGTGATCGACTTACAAACTCGTTGACGATGCTTCGTCGTGAGTACCAAACCAAAGACGACAGTTTCCTGGACGAACGGTATGAGCTCGAGAACCAGAACTCCAGACTCAGCAAGACCATCAGCGAGCTCAAGGCGGAGATCACAGAACTCAAAACTGCTAGGAGCGAGCAGGCGCTGGAGATGAAAGATTTGCATGCTAATAATGAAAACTTGAGAGAAAAGCTAGAAGAAAAGGAGAAGGAAGTAGCACAGAGAGCGGAGAAGATTTCCGAGCTCGAGACCCATATCACGCAAATTAAGCATGACAGCGATTCAACCGTCAAACAACTCGAGAACCGGGCAGCTGAGCTCTTGGCCGAGGTTGAACAGAAGAACAATCATATAACTAAACTCACGGAAACCGTCAACCGCCAAACCAAAACCATCGACAACTTTGGAGCCGAGCGCGAGAAGCTCAAGCTGTTGGAAAACGACGTAAATGCCAAACAGCTTCTTATTGGCAAACTCAGACACGAAGCCATCATTCTCAACGAGCACCTCACCAAAGCGTTACAAATGCTCAAGCAACACCTGAGCAGCGAGAACAACGCCATAGACAAGGAGCTTGTGCTGAATGTTCTCATAGGTTTCCTCCAGTTTCCTCGAGGTGATACCAAAAAATACGAAGCTTTACAGTTGATTAGTGCATTATTGGATTGGGACGAAAACCAAAAAGTGGCCGCCGGGCTCAGCCATGGTCAATCGCAACGAGTAGAAGGCAGACAGAGCTTTGTTTCGCTATGGACCGACTTTCTTGAAAAAGAATCGCGCGGCAAGTAAGATTTTACCATTAATATACCCTCCCAATTCATCTTCATCATTTAAGCTGTCTGTAGGCCCATACACCAGCACTCCTCCGCGTCTTTCACAGCAAATCGCGACCTGGTGATCCCAATGCCCGATATCCAAGATTTTTTTGGTGCCAAGAAGCCGGCCAAGGCCACGGCAAACGTATGTATTTGGTGTTCGTCTTCCAATCACATAGCTAACTCAGCAGAAAAAACGAAAGCAGCAAGACGAAATTATATCGGTTCTTTCCGATGATGATGTTGTAGATCTCACATCTCCAGAACCCAAGAAATCCGAGCCAAAGCGTAGGCGTACCACGGAATCGCCCAAGAAGCCGGCTAAGAGTGCGGAAACATCCAAAAAAACCGTCAATGGCTCGCCAACGAAGAGTAAAGTTGCAAAACAGAAAGTTGAAGAATCAACAAAAAATTCCAATTCAGCCGATCAGAACGCAGATGATGTCCTTGCGACGCTTCCAGATGCCGAATTGCCAGATGTCACGGAGTCTAAGCCATTCTCGTTTGCTCAGAAGAAAGATGGACCCCAATCATCTGGAATGTCAGTTGACATTGACGCCAAGGCAAATTGCCTTTCTGGCCTCACAATTGTATTTACTGGTGTTCTTCCCAACTTGGACCGTGACCAGGCGGAAGGTTTGGCCAAGCAGTACGGAGCCAAGGTGACCAAGGCGATTTCAGGCAAGACCAGTTTGGTTGTTCTAGGCGACGAAGCCGGACCCTCAAAAGTGCAAAAAATCAAAGCCAACAAAATCAAGGCTATCACAGAAGAATCATTTCTCGAGCTCTTACGTCGAATGCCGGCGGAAGGAGGCAACAGTGAGCTGGCGTTACGTGCAAAAGAAAAGAGAGACGAAGAGGAACGCAAGCTAAAAGAAGCGGTCGAGAGAGAAGAACGTGAAGAAAGAGAGCAGGCAGCAAAAAAGGCTAAAACCAGTTCTGTAAAGAATGAAAGTTCACAGAATACTCCGTCACAACCCACCACTTCATCGGCAGACCTTTGGACCGTGAAATATGCCCCCAAAGATACTAGCCAGCTATGTGGAAACAAGGGCCAAATCAACAAGCTCCAGTCGTGGTTGGCGTCGTGGTTCGATAACGCCAAGTCCGGCTTCAAGAACCCTGGATCCGACGGATCGGGAGTGTTTCGAGCATGCTTGATCAGCGGCCCTCCAGGAATCGGCAAAACGTCAGCGGCACATTTAGTTGCCCATAATCTCGGGTACGATGTGTTGGAGAAAAACGCCAGTGATGTTCGTTCGAAGTCTTTACTCAACAGCAACCTCAAGAGTGTTTTGTCCAATACTTCCGTGGTGGGTTTCTTCAAACATCAGCATGACCAAGCCAGTGTCAATGATAGAAGATTCTGTATCATTATGGACGAGGTTGACGGGATGTCCTCCGGTGACCATGGAGGAGCTGGAGCACTTTCTGCTTTCTGTCGTATCACCTCAATGCCACTTATACTTATTTGCAACGACAAGCTGTTGCCGAAAATGAGAACATTTGACCGAGTCACTTTGGATCTCCCGTTCCGTCGTCCCACGGAAAATGAGGTGAGGTCGAGACTCATGACAATTGCACTTCGTGAGAAGATCAAATTGGATCCTACTGTAATTGGTCAGTTGGTACAAGCCACCGGCAACGATATTCGCCAAATGATTACGATGCTTGCAACGGTTTCGCGCACACAAAAGACCATCGGTCACAATGAAAGTAAGGATATGGCCAAGGCATGGCAAAAGCAAGCGATTCTCAAACCTTTTGAAATCACGGCAAGATTGTTAAGTGGTCAAATCCATAACCCCAATGCCAACCACAGCTTGAACGACAAGATCGACTTATACTTTAACGATATCGATTTCACTCCGCTAATGATCCAAGAAAACTATTTGTCCACTCGTCCCACTAATGTCACCTCGACCAAGAACCACCTTGAAAGAGTAGCCAGTGCCGCCGACGACATTTCCGAGTCGGATATTATCAACTCGTTGATTCGGTCAGGTCAACAGCAATGGAGCTTGCTTCCATTCCATGCAGTAATGTCGTCGGTTAAGCCAGCGCTGTCAGTTGCTGGTCAGGTAACGCTGAGAATCAACTTTGCCGGGTGGCTTGGTCAGAACTCAAAAGCCATGAAGTACCAGCGGCTTTTACAGGAAATTCAGTATCATACTCGCTTAAGAACTTCGACCGATAAGATGCAATTACGACTCGATTACTTGGCAGCACTCCAGCACAAACTCACAACTCCTCTTTTGAAACTTGGCGAGGAGGGCATTGGCGAGGTAATTGATGTGTTGGATCACTATTATCTCACCAAGGAAGACTGGGACTCGATAGTGGACTTTGGAGTTGGACCTATGAAAGCCGAGGTTGTTCTCAAAGACATTTCCACCAAAGTTAAAACTGCTTTCACGAGGAAATATAACCTGTCTACGCATCCAATAGCCATCTACAAGACAGGAAACTCGGTGGCTACCGGAGGTAGGAAACAGACAGTGGACTATGAAGATGTCATTGAAGACGATACTGCGAAAGATGAAGTAGAAGAGGAAGTGGAAAATGACCAGATTGATGCTAAAAAGGATAAATTGATCAAAGAGGTGAAACCGAAGAAAAAACGGACCAAAGCAACGGGTCCTGCGGCAAAGAGAAAGAAGACATGAATGAGAGATACAAGAGGATTTAAGATGAAGGCAGCGACTGCATATACCGGTTCTGCACACACAACGCGGACCCATTTCGAATCCGCGCTATTCTTCACTCCATCATAACACCTGCAACCACCATGACCGATCCCCTATTCAAAGTTCCCCCTACCAAGCGGGCAGGGCCCGTTCTTGCTCCGCTCTCCACGCGCACAAACAATGCTCCTCGTCGAAAACCGCCTCCAATTGATTTTCTGCTTGTTAATGGCCTGCACTCATTTGACACCGACGGAGAAAGCGGCCAAAAAAAGGAGACGACGCCCCAAATGGCTCAGATTCACAACGAGACGTATGCAGGGGACTCCACTCCAGCGTCTTCGAAAGCGGAAACCAATCAAAGTCCGCTTTTAACTGGAGAATGCTCACATCTCGATGACATTACACCGGAACAATGGAACCAACTTGCCAATAACAACCGCATAGTAGAGCTCACGTGTTTGGGAGAGGGCAACGGTGGGTCTGTCTCCAAGTGTAGGCTTGCACAAGGGTCGCCTGTGTTTGCTTTGAAACTCATCAAGGTGGATACCAATCCGTTGATTCAGAAACAAATTCTTCGTGAATTGCAGTACAATCGGTTGTGTAAGTCGCGCAATATTGTTCGCTATTACGGAACATTCTTGATCGAAAGCCAGCAGATGATCGGTATAGCCATGGAGTATATGGGAGGCCGATCCTTAGATGCCATTTATAAGCGAGTAATAGAACTCGACCCATCAAACCGAATCAACGAAAAAGTGTTAGGGAAAATTGGCGAAAGCGTTCTCAATGGCCTCAACTACCTCCACCAACAAAAGATTATCCATCGAGATATTAAACCTCTGAATATTTTGCTCGATAGCCAGGGCAATGTCAAGTTATGCGACTTTGGCGTTTCCGGAGAAGTTGTGGACTCGCTAGCAACAACCTTCGTGGGGACCCAGTACTATATGGCTCCGGAAAGAATTCAGGGAAAGCCTTACACCGTCACTTGCGACGTATGGTCGTTAGGGTTGACTATGCTTGAAGTGGCTAGCTGCAAATTTCCCTTCACCGTTGATAATCCGCAATTGGGCCCAATTGAGCTCCTCCAGCTCATTCTAGAGTACGAGCCAAAACTTAAGGATGTGCCTGAAGATGGAATTTATTGGTCTGAAGCGTTCAAAAGCTTTATAAGTTACTGTCTCAAAAAAGAACCTACAGAACGACCTAGTCCGCGGCAAATGTTGAACCACCCGTGGTGTGTGGGTCAGAGCAACATCTCTGTACGCATGGATGGCTTCATACGCCGTCTATGGGATATAATTGATTAAGCTGAAGAACTGGGGCAGTTTTCCTGCACAAACCCAATTTTCCTGCACTCAGCAAATGTCGAATCCGCGTTCATCCAATTAAAATCTCAACTTGTTGTATTATGCCTGTTCCATTTGAGGGATTGTTACCCTATGCCATCATGGCTGCCTTCTTTGGGGTTGCTGGCCACGGTGTAGGATTTGTCAGATACTGGGACAATGGATGGAAAAAGGATAGATTTGACTTGGACGCCTGGGATGAAAAAATGATGCAAAGAGACTTTTTACTTACGGGTGTGAAACGAGGACAAAGTAGTGAACCGGTGGCTCCTGAACACTTCAAGACAGCCGACATCAAACTCCAACAATACTGGACCCCATATAGAGATCACTACTTTAGTCTCAGAGAGAGATTGTACAGGGGCTATACAACCGGCAACTGGGACTTTTCATGAGCATATGAAATCGTTTATACGATGTAATAAAGCGTATACGAGGAGATGTAGAGCAAAGAAAGGAGAATGTAGAGCAAGAAAAGGAATTGTAGAGCAAAGAACACAGAGACTTGAAACAAGTCTGCGCAGCTTTCGACAATCCAGCTAGGTTCTCATCTTTCTTGTCAGTTATCTTGATTTAATTCGATATGCTAGCTACTTAAAATCCTTGTATGTCCATTTCTCCGTAACCTTGGGCTTATACTTTCTCTTTTTGGAGACGGGAAGTCGGGCCTCTATCTTTCCATGTTCTTGCAACTTGATCATTGAATCATAAAAAAGGTTTCCCTCTGGTTTCAAATTCTTCAAATTACTTGGTAACTCGTCCGAAAGTTTCACTTCAAGAGGTCTTGCTATGGCGTCGTACTTGTAAAGTTTCTTCGGCTGTTTTACCTTCTTCACATTTGTAGATTTAGCTTCGATTTCTTGTTTATATTGATCCACTTTTGCAAGCTCATTCAATTGTTGCTTTAATTCCTGTAATTGCTGTTGTAATTCCATTCGTTTTTGGTGACGTTTTTCCTTATTACGTTGGGTTTTAGTTTTGATATTCACTTTCGTTGGTTGGTTAATTGAGAGCTTATAATCCACTTCAACTTGTTCTTCTTCATCACTGGCTTCATCTTCTTCTTCGTCGGCGGCATCGAGCTCGCTCACCATGTTTTTAAGATGATCTTGAAATTGTTGGAGCTCTTGTCTTTTTGCTTCACGTTCACTTTCCAGAGTAAATTCACTGGTAATTAATGATTTCCATGAATCAAGCGAAAGGGTTATACGATTTTGCCACCCACCACCTCATCATCTTTTGCAGATTCAAGTCGAAGAGATGTTTCTAAAAGCGTCTTTGGTATAACTTTGGCACGAGTGTGACTGTGAGAGGAAAACTTTTGCAATATTTCAGGCGTTGTATCTTCTTCCACGGTATCCCAGAGGTCATTAGTGACGTTTTTCTTGATAAGTCCATCTTTTTCAATCCTGGCTTTAAGCTTTGATTCTCCCATCACCTTACCAGAGAGCTTCATTAACTTGTATACTTTGCTTTTATCCACACCCTGGATCTTGTTATGATTACGGACCGATTCCAAAGGCTTGATTTTAGACTTATTGGTAAGAATATCATGAGTTTTGAGTTTTTTAGGTTGATTTTGATTCACCGAACCTTCATTATCAATGACAAAATCGTCCTCATCACCTACAAGACGTAATTTTTCGCGATTTTCTTCTAATCCCACCTGAACGTCATCAATGTCCACGTTTTTTCTCCATGCCCGTTTGCCCTTTCTAGACCGCTGGGAGGTTTTGGGGCGATTTTTCTCCATAAGTAGAGCGATGAGATTTGAGCAGAAATGTGATGAGGCGTGCGCGCACAAAAGTGCGGAGAGACGACATCAAAGAATGTCGCAAGGCCAAGTTTTTCAAAGGATCGTAAATCGCACCAAAAATCGCAGATTTGATTACAACCCGCATTTGGAACGAAAACATGCTCATGCGGCGAAATCTAATAATAGGTCTTCGCGATCGTATGCGGCATTTCCATTTTCCCCTGCAGTCGAAATGCAACGGTTAGGCGCACATTACAAATCCGATAATTACACAACGTAAATGCATCCTTAATGCAACAATTGCAATAAAAATGCAACGTAAACAATTTGTGACCCATTTATCTTCCATACCGCGAATTAACCTTTGCGAGCAAAAAGTATCTGCAGTACCACTTTCCCCCACCATGCGCCACCTTTCTCGGATATAACACGGACCCGACGGAACCGAAGTCGGGCCGCCGCGGAGCTAACACGGCTCCTAGTGAGTGCCACTCGATGCTCGATCAATGACATGGTTAAGGAGCTCTTGGTAACTACCTGGGTCTAGCCGTCCATTGATATTCGTATATACGGGCACCTCGAATTTCTTAGCTAAAACCCGACCCATATTCCGGCACATTTCCTCGGTATCGGCATCGGATTCATGAATTACCGTCGCAAAAGTTTCACCACTTTTCCGATCGCCAATGGTGTAAACGTAGGATCCAAAACGCGGCGCTGCCACGTCAGTAATAAACACGGCAATAGGGGGATAATGTTGCAGGGTGCGCGCCGCACACCCAGTGATCGCTACGTCGTAATCACCCGAAAATAATGCGAGCTTAGAAATCGCCGTAGTTGTATTCATGACCGTTTTTTCAAGTGCGAAGGAATTTAGATTCTGTTTAGGCGACTTAATGCGCGCCACCTGCATGCGATCCGACGTTTAGCCCCTCATTGGGCCATTCTAGACTAAACTACTGCTGCACAAACAAGGAATTTTCGCCGTGCATTGCATCCTAACCCGCTTCCGCCGCCATCTCCGCAGCCACTCCGCCGCCACTCGTCCGTCTATCTGATTTGATAAACTACCAATTAGGGGCCAGGGCTCCCCTCCCCACCGCCCGGCCGAATTAAGATACACCCGCTGACATAAGCGGGCTTCTTGCAGCGGCTGCGATGCACAACCCACGGCTCCGGCGCATGCGTTAGGCTGCATTTATGACTAATTTAAATACGGATTGATTCCCATGTAAACTTTTCGATTCATGGATTGAAAACCATCCCGCACGGCTGATTGATATTTGGTTTTGATCCTTGGACCTTGTCATTGATACTGCTTATCTATTGAATCTATACATACCAAATCAATTGGTTTTTGTTGAAGTTAACTGATCATTGGCAATACTTCCATTTTATCTGATCAATCGAAATCCTCCTTTTGCTCTTTATGAATCGTACCGCTACCAATTTGCCACCATCGTCTGCTTACAATGTCGCACAATCTTCTGGTGGTGTTCCTGCCGATGAGCCGCGCGCTCCAAATCGCGACCTACTTGACCATCTCAATGCATGCATTTTTGATGCTCCGTTACTAAAATCGGTTTCGCCGATTTCTGATGTCGGTGATGCATTCCCGCTTCGCGTGAGTGTAACGGACTGCAATTATGACACTTTGAAACCGACGGTTGGCCTGGTGTTACAACATGTCGATATTTCCGATTTTGATTCTGGCATTGAATTACGCTGTAATAACAAGTTCAATGCCGATAAACTCGTGGTGAAATTGATTGAGAACAATCTAAAGTTCACTTTGGACTATTCAGACTTCATTTCTCATCCAGGAAACCTCTTTGTGAAGAATCTTTCTAGCTCATTGATCAACCATGATTCACTCTTTGAATTCTTCCAGGTTCGTTCATGTTACAAATCATTGTCTAATGTCAACATCTTCAACAATTCCGATGAAAGCTTGTTTGCTATTCTCAAATTTGATAATTACTTGGACGTGGATTTCCTCATTGAACATTTGGATACTTCCAATAATCCATTCCATCATCTTCCCTCAGTTCCACTTTACGTCAACAAGTATATCAGCAAAAGAGAACGGAAACTCAAAGCAGAAGATTTCCAGCCTGCAGCATCCCAATCTCCTGCCCATAGTGAATCTGTCAATTTGTATAATACCATTGTTGTGGAGAATTTGGGAGAGTTTTTCAACTATAGCCCCACATTTGAATTACTAGGTCAATTTCTTTCCAAATTTGAAATGTTCCAAAAGATCGAATCGGTGTATTTCCCCTTAACCAAAGTGGCAGAACAAGACGTTAGTGTTTCAAACTTTGGATTCATAGGGTTTGAAGTTGACGAACACTTGAATGAAAATGTGCTCAAATGTCTTTACTACTTGAATAATTTGCTGTTTGAAGAATTCATGGCATTTGAAAATAAAGACATCATACCTATCAACCGTGAAACTGAATTTGACGACAAATCTCTTACTTCTGGAACACTCAAGATCTCCATTGGCCAACACAAGCATAACCATTACCTATACCAGGTCACTGGCAACAGGATGGCATTAAACTGGGAACCAAACACCATTCCTACGTTTACTTATATCGATATGAATTTGCATAACGCTGCAATCACCAAATTTTCCAAATATTTGAATTACCAAGAAACCAATATCTACGTTAACAGTTTCCCTGTGGTGTTTGAAAATAACGACAAGTTGTGGGAAACTTTCTGGAAACAATTTGGTAAGATCAAGTCAGCAAAGATCATCAAACCACAATTCTACTCAAAAAAGTCTACAGAAAGTACGGGCAAGATTGGATTTGTGTTTTTCGAGAACTTTAGACTGGCAGTCCGTGCCATCTTACTAACCAATGAGAAGACCATCAACACAAGTCTCACCGGTACTAGTCACTCGGTTCATGTCCAAACCTCGTTTGCAATCCAAAAGAGCAATCATAGTCCATCTGCACCAGCACAAGGTCAGAGATCTTCGGTCCCTAACAACTATCTTGCCCCTACACCTCACAACTACATGAAGCGATTCAGCTGGCCATCGGAAAATTACTACTATTCACCACAACCTATAGTTTCTCCCCCACTCACAGATTTTAACATGTACGCTCCATACGTCTACTACAATTATCCATACATGGTGAGAGACTTGAGTCCCCACGAAATGGCAGGAGATCAAGCAGTGGAACCACCTTCTGGGGACTACCCCAACTTCTACGGCAATGCCCAACCACAGAATTTCAATTATTACTTACCGTTTGACCACGGAACCCCAGCTACCTTTGCACCTCTGTCGATGCCAGGGTCAGCTCCACCACCAAGACAAGGCAAGAAAACTCAAAAGAAAAAATAGTTCAGTTGTACATATTGTGACGATTACCAGAATTTCATTAGACTTATGTACATGTAGCGGCTTCTATAACAGAGGTGGTGGCGCAACCTTCACCTCTTCGATAACAAGCAGTGGTTCTTCTTCTTCTTCTTCAACAGGTTCCACTGCCTGGACTTCTTCAATATAATGCTTGAGCATACTTTCTATGCCATTTTTCAATGTCACCGACGAAGATTCACACGATCTACATGCTCCTTTAAGTTTGAGATACACAGTACCTGAATCTTCATCGAATTTTGCAAATTCAATGTCTCCACCATCTTCTTGAATGGCCGGCCGTATACGGGTAAAAATGAGTTCTTTGATCATGGCTACAACTTCGTCGTCATCTTCGTTGATTTCCATGTCGTTAGAGAGCTCGTATTCGTCGTTAATAACAGGAGCTCCCGTAGTTAAATGTTCGGTTAAAATCAGAAAAATCTCAGGTTTCATCACGGCCCATTGGTTACTGTTAGCCAGTTTTTCTATGGTGATGAAATTGGACCCAAACATAACCGACTTGATGCCATCGACAGAGAAGAGCTTTACCGCCAAAGGACTACGCGCTGCCTCTCTTCCACTTAAAAATTCCAACGTTTCGTTTTCTTTCAAAATCGACATTGAAGGGAGAAATTTAAGAGCATGTTCATTAGGAGTGTCGGCCGTCTGGATGAACAAACTACGCACAAAATCAGCTCGAAGAGACCGAGCCGCACGGCTGCCGTTAAAAAAGCGTCCTGATATACCTCTTAACATGTTGTCTATATCTATTGTGATTTCTCAGCGATCCGGAACCATGTCATCACCGCGGTGCACCCACAGAGTACAGTACTTGTACCAAAGCACCAACTACCTTCACCAATATACTCACTCGTCAAACAAAATCTTCTCAAACATCGAAAC